CTACCATTACAGACTGTAGTAGATATAAACATGTCTGTCTCTTCTTATTCCTGAGCTGACCACCATCGGGATGAAATGATGGTCAATTTCACCGAGGCCGGCAAAGGAGTGCTTAGGGAAGTTATGTATTGTCTTTAGATACATTTGGAACATATCTATGTGCACACCAGTGGGTGCATTCCCTATCCTTGATACAGATGAGCTTGATTTCCAGGAAGCACAAATCTGTGTAATTAATGGACAAAGCAAGTACTGGATCACAGCTGTAAAAGGCTGAATATATATCTCATGTACTATGTTGATTTTACAGTTCTAACATAGGGGAAGGGACCTGCTTCTGCTGCGGCAGGAGAGCCCGGACAGTGACCAGGATATTTGGTGTGACACTTTTTGCGATGGTGTCACAGCTTGTCACGTCCGCGACGCGTTCGGACGCGTCGTTAATTGCTCTTTACTGCCAGAAAACCTACAGCGTGCTACGTTCACATTCACGCGTCACTTGATTCATAAAAGTTGATCTATATCAACGAGCGGATGCAACGTTGGTTGTACATTTTTGTTAAATGTACTTGCGGTCTCGTTACCTCTATCGAATGAACTTGATATTGGGAAAATCAGAAATTCAAAACCAACGTTGCATCTTCTGTATCATGACATCCCTGCTGGTACATTTTATATGCGTGATTTCGACATGCGGAAGGCTCTACACGCCCAAGTTAAGCTCAGGTTGCAATGACACCGGAAGTTGCATGCCGAAATGATGTCCGAGACGGACATGTGCCGGGTATCCGATCTGAGATCGCTGAGACCCGGTTAGCCCGACGTCCCACCGTCGCCTGAGTGACCTCAGACCGAGATCAACGTAGACATCGTGCATACATGCTGCTGCTGAGGTTCGGGTGATGCCTCATAATGGCACTCGTATAACTGCATGCATTTCTGATATAATGTATAGGGGCACGAAGCCTATTATCTACATAGTTGCATTGTCCACAACAGAGTCACCTGCCATCTCAACCGTAGCCTGAGCCAGATTTTGTGCCTCCTTTGCTTTCTTGTTCCGAGCGCGTGTCTCAGCCGCCTTTGCGGCACTCTGAGCTCGTTTCGCTGGTCCTGAGACCTGAAGTCCCTTCGCGATTTCATCGAGTTTTGACAGTCTATCATGTAGATAGCGGCGCGGCGCAGTCAGGGAGCGGGGGAGGACGTCCCGGAGAAGGGCTGCATTATGCAATGCATGCATATTCAGAATAAACTGATTGTCGTCTTCATGCACGATGCATTTATCCAGGACGTTCGTGCTGCGCCGTTCTTGCTGTAGGCCACGCCAGCCGGTCGGGCTACAGCCGCCTGCGGCACAGTCGTGCTGAGCGTTGAATAAGAACAGGATATCCTAACGGCGTTGTGTTAGATTATAATGGAGAATATCATATTTCGCGCGTACCAATGCTTCTACTGGAACGATTGCTGGGCCATGTTCATTCGAGACCCGCATTAGGACAGGCATCCTGAGCCGCTCGTGCAGAACGCTCGAGATGTGAAAAGACTCTATAATGATAGACGCTGCTGTGTATGAGTCAGATGGTCCTGATAGAACATCCGAGTCAGCAACAAGGATATTGCGGATACGACCGCATGCAACATTGTCGCTCTGTATGCCCGGCAGTTAGCAGCCTACACACGCAACAGTCTGCAGCAGCAGGACCGGGAATCATACCTGCGCCATTCGATAGAATACCCAGGAGCCTGGTCGACAGACATCCCTGGAGCGGGATATACAGTATCGGGACGGTTGCCAAAGCCTTCCTGCTGGTGTAGGTTCTGCCAAGCTCGAGAGAGTGGATATGTCGAGGACTTCTGACCACGTCGCCTTCGACTGCTTTGCTTTGGGCAACAATGTAATCGAACCTGAGTTCGGAAACCATGAGCAAGCAAACTGTGAAACAGCAAAAGGACAAACCTGGTTGCAGCGATGCCAGTGATTTGTCCACCCATCCGAGTCGTCTTTGGAGTTTCTTATTTCGCTGGAGGAACTCCCGTACGTTTCTTCCTGCTTGTACGTACTCGCCAGTATCACCTTTCCACCAGCCGCCGCTAACTTGATGTTTAAAACGCTCCATATCCGCCAATGTCGCGGCGATGTCGTGGCTTGGAGCTTGTCGATTCGAGAGAACACTGCAGAGTCGAAATATCGCATTCCAGCATTCGAAGATTTCCGTGGCAAAGAGTAAAGAAGGACCGAAGCGCCGAATATCATCGATGATATGGGGGAGTACGTGTAGTTTCGGTTTCTGTATTATACGCGCGGGATCTATCAGTGCCCATATATCGAGGACATTCTCAATGAGGATTTCTACGTCAGCCTTGTACAATTATTATCCCTTGTCAAAGAGAGGTAGCGGATAGCATAAATCTAGCGAGAGCGTACCAGATAGGTCTCCATGTCTGAAATTTGATGATACCACAAATATGCTCCGAGGTCACCGGTTGCTCGCCACATATCAAACATGAGACTTGAGCACAAATCACCATGAAGATGGAAGATGCCGAGTTGCTGGAGGACCTTGAAATGACGTCCGATCAGGTTGTTTTTATACTGAACAATGTACTGAGCTCGAATGGGAGGCAAGCCTAAGCCATCCACGGCTGACGAGTGCAGTCGCAATGCAAATAATTCTTGCTTTTTGTCGTCCCAACTGCTGTGAGTTGCATACCAGACATACTTATCTTGGCCAAGAAGGTATGTGTGGAGGATCTCCACCGGCGTGTCGGCATGTATATCCACCCCTGTAAGCTTACTTTAAGTGCGCATGTCCAATAATAAGTGCTGCTTACCCGTCATGGCGAGGCATGGATTATAGTGATCCCCCGGCCGTAATGCTTTGCGCTTTGCTGTGACTTAGATAAGGCGATGAAAATGTGTAGTAAACTCTGAATTCACGTACGGGAGTCAGCAGGAAGCATATTGTATCGCGCTTCAGGTTGAGTCACGAGCCAGTCATAGACCTCTCGCTGAATCGCACATAGTATCTCGTTTCTGACAGCCTTGCGAGCATCACCCTTTAAGTGTCTGTCCTTCAGTCGCATATCGCAGTCAGGACTGTCCTTGCCGAGGCGTTGCTTTTGGATCGCGCGTGCTCTCATGATGCACTTGTCTATCCAGAATAATGAAATCTTATCCTTTACTCCCGTCGTTGTGTGCAACTCTTCCAGGGTTTCCTGAACGCCAAGGCAGGCAGCCCACAACTGTTCTTCAATGAGCTGAACAGTCTCAACTGGTGTCCTTGCAGCTCCAGGCTACAGAATTTGTTATTAGAGATATTTGGGGAGTGAAGCCGCTTCAAAACTAGATGCGAACCTTGAACAGCGCTCGGTAGCCTTCACATGTCTCTCTTTCTTCTGCAGTCCCTCCAATTTTACAGCGGCGGCAGAAGAGATTACCGTGCACACCGACATGGGAACATGTCTCAGATTGCTGCGGATTGTCAGCCGGGAATGTGTATGGAAGTATGCGGAAGATGATTTCTTCCCTGAGCTCGCAATCATATGCCGGATACCAAGCATCAGGCTTCCTGATTGCAGCTCAGCGAAGTCCACCGCATGTGGATAGCTTATGACTTACATCTTCCCCGATAAAGCGTCTAGCTGCTCAGACGATGAGGCATGCTGAGATGTCGAAGCAAATCTAATAAAGAATTCTTGTGCAAGCTTTTGATGCGGTAAAGTACTATTGGCGAGGTAGAGATTGACGTGAGGGTTGTACTGCTTGCTCACGTTCCCGGAGACATCATCACTCCACGGAGTGACAAAGAGTGTGAAGGCGTGTCGTCCGTTGGCAATCCGGCGAACAGGATGCGGCATTTCACGTGTCCATGCCGGTGCCGCTTCTGCCAAATGAGTTAGCATCATCCCAGAGATTTATCAGAAGTGTAGCTCACCAGAGAAACTGAATTGAAGTCCTTCGCCGGAGGTTAGATCAAGATAGTTACTTTCAAGCTCAGAGGCATGCACGCGCTGAACTCTATGAAGGTCCACATTTGTGATGCCCGTCTGCCGTGGAAAGAGCTCGTAAGCCTCAAAATAGGTGCCTAATGCTGCGTCTTATGCTCTCACCACATTATCCTGAAACACCTCAATAAAATCAGCACACATTACTCCCTCCTGCCGTACCCATCGAATTGGGATGACTAGCTTGCCGCTGCGCAAGCGGGCAACTTCTTTAATAAAATAATGGCGGTGGGGGGCATTCTGCCTATTTGCCCACATCGGAGACAACAGATCGATATCGTTGCTATTGGCCCACTTCCCGGCCTGCCATGCTTCGGACACATTCGATGTTATTTCCGGATATAAGTTCATATGTTCCCGCACCAGGGGATTGGCCCAATCCTATTGATCCTGTTAGCTCCATTAGAATATGTAGTATGAGACCTCCTCTTCACCATCGCAAAAAGCTGTATCGGGTCATTCATGTAGAAATGATTTTCTAATGATGATGTGTGCGCTTCAGTCTTGAGTCCGACATTCTTCGTCAGCCTCGTCTGGAGCGCACGTAACGCCGTGAATGATGGCACATCAGGCGTCCCACACTCTTGCATCACCCATATTATGGCTTGCAGATGGTCATCTGAAAGGCGTAGACGTGGTAGATTATCGAGAAGATCAAGCATGAACATCTAGATCGAAACTGTATTAGTTCCCTTGATACATACAGTCACGGTCCCCCTTCTGACGCAACTGTTTTTGATCCATATGGCTCCCAACCCTCTTGTGGAGGGCCTTCATGCTGCTCATCCACTTCATCAGGCATATCTTCGTCATCAAGCCCTGCATATTCAGCAATTCCCATATGTGGAATTGAGCTTGTCGCGATCTCAACAAAGTCACATGTGCATTTAAGCTCACCCATCAAATCTATCGCACGGACAGCGTCAGCGACAGTGGGATCTTCTGCTATGTCCTCCGCTGAGAGCTGTGTCTGTCCCAGTGAGGTGTGTCCCTCGCAATAGCCTAACCACTGCATCTGAGTATCGAGGCGAGCTCGATTCCTATCCTCTTCGCTTATTCCTGCTGAGAACATGATGGTCTGACCGTCTGATTGCAGATAGTCACCACCATCGACCGTCATGTCTGCAAACAGCTCGCGGGCTTCTCCAGAAGCTAGTGTGTTATTAACAGGCTCATCCGCAGAGTTGCCTATCGCAAGGAAGGATGCCAAAGACAGTAAAGTGGGTCTCGCCGGCGCCGGTAACACGTTATGATTGGTTTGTCCGTCAACAGCTGCGCCGGGAAGTGTTTGACCTGAGACTATAGCAGGAGCCAATTCCAGTACAGAATCTTTATGTTTCTTGGTATTGAGATGATCATCCATCCCACCCTTTTTAACAAGAATATCTCGTCGAAGACGCTCGGAGCAGAGTGTACATTTCACCCTTGTGTGATCCATTGGGCATACAACAAAGCCTGCGGGATAATCAGCACAGTCACAGTTCGTATAAAGACTTATAATTTCCTTCCGGGATTTTGCTTGCACGAGGCATGTTGGCCGCACGCAGTCACATTCAGCAGTCAATATCGCGTCGAACGCGTTGAAGAGCTCTTCATTCGCGTAAGTCCCTCTTCACACGTGACTCCTGAGCTTGCCAGTGCAGTTGAAGTCCGCAATCCGTCACACTCCGCATTCGTTCGTTCTCTTGTTTTCACCTCCAAACTTCTCATCTCTTTCATATTTTCTCCTCTATTTCATTCGTTTTTTCATCGTTATGCCTCCACTATCACTTTCCCAGATGCTGAATAGTGACCCCGGTCCCCCTCCATCTTTCCCATCCAGTGACGGTGCCAGCGAGCGGTCAAGGACTGAGTCAAGCCCAACCCCAGACATTCCTCATGTCCCTCATGTCACTCCGAGACCCCCGACACGAAAGCGAGGTCCAGAAGATCTCGCCCAATACGCTCTAGCAGTCGCGAAGCAGAAGCGCTTACGCCCAGACACAGTCAATGAATTAGTTACGTTTACAAAGGTTGTACACACTTTCTCACTCAACTGTGCCACCTTTAAACCTCCAGTCCCCAGCTCTCGAAAGACGAAAGAAGCATATGGTCTGCTGCAACGTTGCTAGGCATTCGCACCTCAGTCTCCCTCTTGCGCGCTCCAGATGTCTGGACGGTGCCTGATGCTCTGAAGGTATGACTGTTATGAGGCGAGTTGTTGTTAGTGTCCTCACTGACCCTCGCTATGTCATTTTTGCTGGCAGAAAAAGATTGATCTTTATTCAGCTTCGGTAATCCTGTCTCCGAAGCTCCCGGCATATGTTAAGGATGATGCTGCACGGAAAATCGTGATTGTGAGTGTTCTGCGGGTACATGCTCGACTTGTCTTACAGTCACCTTCAGGCAGTGCTTAAGCGGCACCCAAGCTGGGGCCTCACGCCAGAAGTCCAGGATACACCAGCGCAATATGATGCAGTTGTCGCTCTCGTATCAGCGAAGCTAACAGACAGAAGGTATTCTGTCAAGAAATTGGTAGTGGCTTAATTGATTTTCATTCGTCCGCCTGTGCGCATCTGATCATGATGTATGGCAGATCGCAGATAGCGTTGGCAAAGCCTCCGAAGATCCTCAAGACATACGGCGCGAGGATGCAGATGACATCATCACACTCTGCAATACGCTGGTCAAGAAGGTCTTCAAACGTGCAAATGTCGTCGTGACTGTGCCGATGTGTGGGAGAGTGGCATTCCTGGTACGTCAATACCGTCACTATTCTCGTCCTCTGATCTCATCCCCGGCACAACAGCGGCAAGTATACATTGAACATCCTAAGGCTGGAGATAAGTTCTGGAGTACTGTGGATAAAAGCCTCCACGATTTTCGTGTTACCTTCCCAAACGAGGCACAACTCTCGAGGTCTGTTCTTTTCTCTTGTATACTTGGTTTTCTTTGACAATTCTTCGACTTCAGTGCTATCGGCCGCATCCTTACGCAGGATCGTCTAGTGTACGGTACAATCGAAGACGGAGACCTTGAGGCGATTGCTGCCAACGCCGGGACTGAGCAGGGGGTGCAGCGCGAAAGTGAAGACGTTATTTCGGGTACTGCATCTAGTGTCGCACCTACCGACGAGGCCGACGACAGCGACAGCAGCGATGAGGATTGAGGTTGCTCCTAGGGTAGTTTCTGGAGGAATGGGACTTTATATTCATTTTAATCATCAGTAATTTGCTACTTGTATACAACAGCTCATTGAGTCCTAGTAATAGTAATATAATGCAATCATTACTGTCCCCCAAATCCGCGCGCATTCCCCAGCAGGTGATCGCTGCACCATGACGTGCTGTCAATGTCAAAGATGCTACACTACAGACATCACATACGATAATTTCATGACATCCCCAGAGGCGTCGTCCAGATATCAACCGTTGACATCGGTCAGGCCTGACTGCAGGCTCTCGACTCGACATGCCTGTCAACTGGAACTCAATCTGATCCTCGGTTTTTATGTCAGGTAGTCATCAACCGGACATCGGCCTGGGGTCTGATCCGGCCCTGGGCGAGGTCTGAGATCTGACCTTGCCGAAACCTTTTTTTAAACTGGGCGTGTATGAAGGCGGGGGATTTGCGACCACTTTCTTGCAGAGTCCAAACAGATGCAAACAACTCGCCGCGCGACCCGGAATTGCGCCTCCCCAGTAGTTGTCGTACTGTAGCGTAACCTATACACCAAATATCGACAACTAGAACGGCGAACAGATGGTAGTGATGGATGGTGGATGCGTGGGTGGGTACGTGGATGGCAAGCAAGATCACGTCCAACAGCAACCCGCGACGAAAGTCCAAGATAATCATCAATCATCACCAGAAATATCAAGTCCAAGAATATAGTGGGGGTCTAGAATGGGTAGGGGGACGGGAGCACCAACGTCTCCGAAGAATCAAAGCAACACTACGCGCGAATAAATATAAAGGTCCATACGGTAGCTTCTAGGGGTCTAGGCGATGCAGTGTGGCGGCGGCGGCGAGTGTCGGTGTAAATGTAAAGCAATAAATCGGAGCATATGGTAGGCTGGTGGCGGTGGTGGTATGTGAAAGTGAAGTGTTTAGGAAAGAAGTCTATGGGTTTTGAAGCGGAGGAGTGGTGGGAAGATTAGAGGGGGACACAGGAGCCGGGCGTGAAGGGCGACGGCACGAAGCCGGGCTTGCAAGAGGTGACTTGGCAAGCGCCGGACACGCAGGCTACTGCGAGGGCGTTGGGGATCGTCGTGCAGTCATGGCTAGCGCAAACACCAACGTCAGCCGCCCCCGATAATCGCACGGCCAGAAAAATGCTCACCTAGCATCGACGCTCCCGCACCCGCCGCACGCCTTCAGATCCTCGTTGAAATCCACACACTCGAATTCCACGCCGTCCCACTCTGCGAGGGACTCGGGCATCTTGCTCGCGCGGCCGACGGGGCACGCCCTGCTCGGCGCGGGGCAGAACTTGGCGGAGAGGTCCTCGTGGTAGATGGCGACCTGCTCGAGCATGCTGCGTTTGGACGGCTGCGGGGCCGGCTCGGGCGCGCGCTTGGAGGGCTGGGGCGCCGGGGCACGCTTGGAGGGCTGGGGTGCCGGAGCGCGCTTAGAAGGCTGCGGGGCACGGGCCTCGACGACCGCCTGCTTGGAGGGTTGGGGAGCGCGGGCCTCTACGACTGCGCGCTTGGAGGGGGCGGGGGAGCGCGCCTCGAAGCGCTTAGAGGGCACCGGGGCGCGGGCCTCGAGGTCGGGGCCGGGTGCGGCGAGGGCGCCGGAGGAGGCTAGGGCGGCGACGAGGAGGACGACGAGCGAGGAGCGCATGGTCGTGGGCGAGGTGGGACGCGGAGGGGGGTTATATGTAGGGGCGAAGGAGCGGGAGGAAGAAGAAACGTGCGGGCACGATGGGAGATAAGGAGAGAGGAAAATAATTATAAAAGAACAACGAGGGAGGCTGACATGAAACTTCTAGCAGGTGGCTGTCACACCGTCGGCGTGGCGCGGTCAGCCATCGCTTAGATTCTCGACTTCCGGGGTGTTGATCAGCTTTTCCTACATGACGTTCGAGGTTTTGCCCTTGCCTTTTGCCAGGCATATGGATATATAATTGTCTGCTATTCCGAGCTTTCCAAAGTGTTCATAGTGGGGAAAACACGGGCAGGGAGGGTTTTATTCCGCGACGGACTGGCATGCACAATGGAGAGAAGAACAAAGCGACGGCTTCGACGACGCGTAGCGATGCCGGGCTATGCCGAGCTTCGAGATAGTCCAGATCTCAGATCTGCATCAGCTCCCCCGATCACAAAATGACGTGACACCGACTCTCCGAGACTTGACAGCCTTTACTCAGTTTCTGCGCATCCATGCAGGTCCATAACCAGCGTCACGTATATTGCCTGCAGCATAACACCAATGTGTCGCGCTCGCGCTCTGCATCGTCGGCCGTTCGTTCGAGTACCTACAGTCGTTCAAAGCTCGGCGGCACCCTCGATATCGCCAGTTCACACGGCGCGCAGGAATTCCCGCGTGTCGCGGCGGGCGGCCATCATCGCGCTACGGTGCTATGCGCTCAGCCCACTGATTCTCCACCGTCCAGCTAGCACCACTTCACTGCCAAAGCTCGCGCAGGTCTCGGTGAATGGGTTGCAGCAACAGGCGCATATGGCCACCGCTGAGCAAGATAGCAAACATAGAGCAAGTCCGCTGGTTAGCCTTGGCGTCGGATGGCGATATCGGCGCAGCAGAAACGCTAGGACGTTATAGGAGATAAAGCAGAAGGAGATGCGACCTGCAGGAAATAAATGAGAAGAGTTGGCAATTGATGCGCCTATCGACGCCAAGGAATGGTGGCGTTGGCGTGGACAGGCTGACGAGATCGCAGACTTGAAGCTGAAGGTTCAGTCATTTTACATGCAGAAAGAAGAGTGCGCTCAGATAAACGGACTGTACGCTGTCATATGCTCCTCGAAAGGACGGTGCTAAGCCACATCCTTCCGTACGCCGCTACAGTTCGTCTAGTAGGACCTCTGTGCGCGCCGTAGGAAAGAATACAGGGCCCATGCTGGGTCTTCCATGGATGGCGTATCCGTACGTCTAGCGCACATTCACTAGCCTAGAAGCTCTGCTCAGAATGAATGAATGTTATCACATCCCCAGCCGGATATCATGATCGCGACGTAGCGTGAATGCAATCCATTCACTTCTGTACGACTCGGAGGTATACAAGCTTCTGTGCATATAGGCGCACGCACTTACGACCGGTGGTTCCACTAGTACTTACCAGTCCCAGAAGACTTTCCACATGCAGTCGATGGTCGCATCCTCCATAGATCGGACCACGGCTCCGGTAGGGTAATTCAGGAGTCGAGGAGCTAAAGGGGTGAGTGCGATCCATCAAGCTCAAGCCTTGCAAGAGTTCATTATGCGATGCCTGGAATGGGCAGGTAGAGAATGTCTTTGGAATGGAAGCTGTTATCACGTCGTCCTAGGGTGCCGGCGCGACAGCGCCACCAGCTGCGATGGACATCGTTCAATCGGTATTGAGTAGGTCACCACTGCATCCTCCTTCAACAAGGACAGACACCGGACTATATGTCGAAGTAGATACGACGCCTCACATCCCAGGCTCGCCCAGATAGTCGCCACTATACTTTTAGATTTTAGGCAGCCAGCCAGTCCACGGTCCAAAAGCCTCAACTCCGAAACCGGATATCTCAAGGGGATAAAGGATGCCATTACCTGTCATTGCAGCCAGTCATGAGCCCGTTTCCTTGACGCCAGACGAACGGGAGGGCGACTGACACCAATACCCAATTGCCTGTGTGATGGTCTTGATTCCAAGACGCCATAGATCGAAAGACTTCGTAAGGGTAGGGGAAAGATGGGCATGCACACAGATCCAGGATGGAGGGAAAGGGATATCGCGCCTCCGAAAGTAAACGAGAACGATAATCGAGCTGTACGAGTTACTAGCTTCCTGCATCTTCGACCCGTCGAAGAGGACCGTCGCCGGCTGCATGAAGTCAAGCTTTCCGGAGAGCATGCGCAGGATCTTCCTGTCCACCCTACTGTATGAACGGTTTCCACGCGCCATCGGACACCTATGTAGAACAGGCCGCCTTCAGGAGCCGTCTGTCGCTTCAGCATGCTTGCCCGCCTAGATTTAATGACACAGCTTATGCGTAGGAGACGCAGCGCAGATAGTGCCGTCTTAATCCAGTGAAGTTCTCCGAGCGCAGACCTACATAGACATGGAGAAGGCGATAACGCGTCGGCGTGTGACCGAAGCCCGCCAAGTCGGAATAGAAATACCAGAGAGGTCCTAGCAGATAGATTCCCCCGGCGACGTTCTGAGATAGAATACGTCTTACTTGGGAGGACTAGGGTCAGGGCTCGGAGGGCCCAACAGTACCTCGGAGGACCGAAGATACGTCTTCAGTGTTCAACCCGTTACCGAGTGAACCCTCTACTGAGTGCGCCCTCCCGCGAGGGGCAGCGGCTGTCTGCCTTTCGTCCGTGCTACATGCACAGCTCCTGAGGGTTATGTCTCCCACCCAGGCGGGGACGCTGGGGAGCACGACCGGGCATGAAATAGTTTTTACCTGCAAGCCGATATCTGGCAAGTCGACAGACAGCCTAGACAGTTAGTCTCGCTCTAAGCTGGCCCTCGATTAGCGGCAGTCCCAAGATGATCATTTCTCTAGTCTCAGCCCAAGACCGCTCGGTTCTTGGAATGAGACTATGAAACTAACAGTACAAGTATCATACACCACGCCTTCATGCCTCCATTCCATGCATACCGTGGCAGTCGAACATTCGGTTTATCTCGCGGTTCCCTAGACAAAGTACATTGTGTTCGCCATGTTGCCGTTGGCCGGCGTAAAATGCTGTTGCCAAAAGTGAAGATCGAACGGCCCGGAGGTGTCGGAACCATAATCCGCGTGTAAGCTGACACGATCATCAAAGTGGAATCGAGCCCGGCGGCACACGAGCTAGACATTGGAGGTCAGTGCTTGGTGCACAAACAAGGATCAAATGACACAAACATCGGCATCTGCGACAATCCGATGATCAGGCAAGGAATTTAGCGCGAACAGGAGAGACTCACAATAAACCGGAGCGGGAATAGACACAGCGCGAGTGGCACGCGCATAAGCAAAGCAGAGTCCGTATGACAGTTGTTGCAGTCTATACAGACACATGAATTATTAGGCAATGGCTAATCAAGCAAACGTCTTACATATCGGGGGACAATCGCTTGCTGTTGATTATCACGACATAGTGGCTCGGCCGGCTTGCTATTTGGAGGGCGTTAGGCGGAGAAGACAGCACAAGTGGACGTTTATCGAGAACTCACTGCCTTTTAGCCCAGGTTGGCTTTGCAGATAATAGTTGAACTCACTGGAGTGACATTTTATTAGAGGTTGACAGTCCACATGAGAGATGTTGTACTCGCGTCGGGTGGGATATCTCCTTATCCACCACTAGGCCTGATCGGCAGTTTCGAGTACGATCGGCTGCGCCCTCATTACCGGGGAAGAACCGTATGTGATGTCGTTTTCCAACAATCACGAAAGCAAGGTGGGGGATATCCCGAGTCCGGGCCTCTTCGCAGACCTTATGACATGCAGCTAGCAAAAATTATTAATCCGGCGGAATAATCTGAAGTGACCGCCGGCATTACCCTTGATTGCATTGACCTCCGTGAGAGCCAGAGTGCGATACTCCCCTTCAGAGACCCCGTCGCGATAGAACAAAAGCAGTCGAGGGAGCTGTTTTCCGTGATTCTCCTGGTAGCATCGTAGCGCCCGCTGACAGACTCTCAGTGAGCTGAACACGGCCAACCCTTTTTGGAACATACCTCGACCATCGATTGCATATTTTCTATGACTTCCTGTCGTGGACGCTGTATACTTATAGAAGCGACGTACTTGCTGCAGTGGTCATCCCACGAAGAAACTAATGAGGCAACAGAGGGCTGGGACAAATCAGTCGGATGACTGACATCAGCACCTTGTGCATGGATGAGAAGTGTATTCAAAAGATCCTAGAAACGATCACGTACCTAGTGCCATAACTCGGATGTCCTTCAAGTTATTCATAATGGGACTTCGGACAAAGCTATTGACTCCGCCCAGTTTGACATTGATCCTGTAGATGTTATGTTAAAAATAACCACAGCAGAGATAAAATGCCGAAACATACTTGAGGGCTAGATTGTTGCAATACTGATTATTGTAGCTCTTGCCCTCAGTCTAGGCACGTCGATATGAGAATGGGTCGGGGATCAAGGATAGACGGCAACTCACCACACACTGGGTTACCAGACCAAGATCAATATCACCCAATCTTTTCACTAGCCGGTATAAGTCCGGGCTATTCCGCGGTAAGATGAATATGGCGAGGTCGGGCTTTGGCCGGCTCAAGAAAGCCTCGATTGAGCGGAATGTCAGCATACTTTACAAGTATCAACAATCTCTGCTTACACGTTTCATTGTTTCGGAGTCTGGACTAGCCATACGATCAAGTAGAGGAGGTTGTTGAACATCTGTAACCGAGCTTTGGAAAGCCAGTCAAGAAGTGAGAACGAGGAGGGCTTACACATGCCTAGTCAACCATTGCAAACGCGTCAGACATAACCTCAGATATGGCAGCGCTGAGACGCACCTCTTGCATTCATTGCATTGCGCAACTCCTGTCCCAGAGCATGCACCACTGCATCCTGGAGTGATGAGAGATTAATGATCACCCAGGTCTTGATAGCCATTGGGACTGCGAATTGGTATTTCGTGACATTCCAGACCCCCGTCTCTTGAGGCCTAAAAGTCAACTTTGCTTGATTACCAAATTCCAAGTCGGGCGCAAACAGCAGTCGCCCGCGCAACCTCTGTAAATCGCCAGCCACGGAAAGGCCAGCGCCAGCCAGCGCCACGGATGCATCATATGCCAATGCCTACAAAACGTCTATGTCAATCGAGACTCGCATGTAGGCACCTGAGGTCACATTTCGCGCATCCCGAATTGCTTGCATCCGGTCAAGAGGGTCCTTCACCGCATATCGGACAATTTCGGCTTGCATTCGCGGTGGCGGTTGCTTCTTGTAAACTTGTGGTATGACCAGCTTACAGACCTCAAACGGCAGGATGGTATCGTGGTCTCCTCTGTGCCGTATTTTGACGCCAACCATGTCTGGATAACGGAGTCGGATCTGATAGGCCTGCAGGTAGTGCTCCTATGTAATTTTTAAGTCATCAATTATGGCATGCAGTTCGACATCTTACGGCAACCGTCAACTTGGTAGCGCCCTTGTCAAACTGGTATCTGCCAGCCTGCCGGACAAGGTCTGATATAACATATCTTTTCGGGCGGCTACCATTAGTAGTCTCAATCCGAAGACCTTTGAGGGCATATCGGAGCTTCTGTAAGTCTTGTCCACTTATATCCCTGAGCCTTTGAAGTGTAACTTCAAGATATTCGGCAGCAAACGTGGTCAGATCAGACACCCTGATCCTACAAGAGGGTTTCATGAATGTCTCCTGGAAGCTACGAAATCACCTACTGCAATCCCGTGACCACATCAACATTAACCATCAGGGCCCTCGGGATGGGACGAACACTCCTACACTAGAATAAATGACATGCTTCTTACTAGTAAAGCGGGAGTAGACCTCACTGGAAATAGCCCTGGACCATATGAAATGGGCCTATGGGACGGGAGTGCTGCGCGGCGCGTGGGAACAGTCTGCGCCCATCCCGTACGCTTCCGGCGCTAGAATTTAAGAGCTCATCAACGCCGGAGGCATAGCATGCATGAAAACTGCATACTGACGTAGATGGAGCCTGCTGGAAGATAACATTCAGCGCATTCAGCGCAGTGGTCGCCTCCTCGTGCTCGAATGGACGACCACTAAGGAGATCTGCAGCCCCGCGGCCGTTGTAGATGATTTCCAGGTATCTGTAAGCCAGTCAGCACCACGGTGCAAAGGGTATGGAAATGATAGACAACGTTTTCTGGACCTGTTTTGCGAACGTAACCCTGATGTTCACGCTCGTCGGTCTCCGTATCGGATGCTGCGGGTCGGGGCGCGTGTAGAGCATTGTAAACTAAGCATAGCTTATTCAAGACGAGTGCACTGGGAGCCACGCAGAATCCTGACCTCTCCAGTATTTCCGCTGGGAAGCTGCAATCGCCTCGTACACCTGCGCGACAAGTTAGGCAAATCCAAGGGGTGTACAAGGGGTTACAGACCACAGCATCGACTTTCCGTCATAAGCACCCTGGCCTTGAAAGATGTTATGGTGATCTTCGTCTTGCAGACGCCGCATTAATTCTTGGGCCTTCTGCTTCGAGATCTTGCGGGACTCCGCGCCCTCGGTAACGGGAGTTAACGCCATAGCTACTTTCCGTGAACAAACGCCAATGACTCTAACGATCCAACACACCAACTATCGCGCGAGAACGTGGTCAATATGACAATGCATGAAGGAAGGCGCAAGGATGAACGCACTGGAGTACCCGTAAATGTGTCGTTTTTCGTCCTCATCCCAGCGAAGAACGAACGCGTTGGCGTATATGTGCGCGACCGTGCCCGCGGTTCCGGCGAATTCCTCCCAGGCTGGTTGAGGAGCAGCCATTGCTCCTATGTCTTCAAAAGATAATCGCGACGATATCGACGGTGGGGAACGGTGGGATTCAGAATGAGGGAAGAATTGACAACTTATACCTGCCCCGGCGCCGAGTCGAACTGAACTCGAACCTAGTGATAAATGTAATCAATCTAGATTAGTCTTATCGGATTGTTGATGCTGTGGCGGTGTAAATAGAAATAGGATCAACAAGACCACATGACGAGCCTATCGTCTTTCGTCATTGGCTGCAGCTCAGAAGGGTCATCATCGCTCACTTAGAGTTCCGTCTTACATACCAGAACCTCTCCGTACTCCAACGAATCGCCCAATGTTTACTTCAGAATACAGTAACTCACATTTGCTATGACGTTTCTACAACATGGATCGCCATTTTCACGACTTTTTACAATCATACACTCGCATACGTACTTCTCTTGTCAAATCTAGTCCAGTTTCTGCACCTTGGGATGCTACAAAGACCAAGAATGGTAAGCCCAATCGATCCGCGGACACACGCTGTCCGAATACGTACGCTCGCGCTGTTGAAGCCGTCCATCCCAGCAGCAACCCGAGCACCGGCGATTATAGCACTCCAGTCTAACGTCTCGAATTTGTGTATCCCTTCACGTCTGTGATTTTCTTGTAAAGCACGAGCCGTCAATAGGTGCTGGTGGACAATATCAATCAACGGCATCGGGGAGTTGTGCTCATTAGTCAACCTCCGGACGTGCCTGTAGAAGAGGTCAGCAGAGCGATCCTCCCGTGAAGCCCTGAGACTTACGTCGCATCTTTGATACCCCCGTCGATAGCAAAGCCTGCGCTACCGTCAAAGTTGTCGTGCAGCATCCTGTTGCCGTAGTTGACCAATCTGAGGTAAAACGAGCAGCCAACGAACGGTCAACTGACAGCTACCCAGCACTAATGGGCGTATGCGCACGGTGGAGCAGGCATCATGTCTACAGAATTTGAGAGGTGTCAAACGAACGCACAACATGTTAGCGGTTGGGACACAGTTTTAGTCGTTGGGCAACACGAACCTTTGATGAGGTTATAGGCTGTTTCAGCACCGACCCCCGACTTTTCTGCCATCGTAAAGCTCTCGGCCATTACTTCGAGCATACCCATGATCATAGAATTTCCGATCAACTTGAAGGTACATGCTATGAGAAGGTTAGCGAGTTAGCGAGAAAATGGCGAGGGAGAAGGCCACAGGAGCGAGTTGAGCACACCTTTCTCAAGGTTACCACCCAGGTCATAGACCTTCCTGCCCACTGCGGGAACAAGGAGATACGCGACCTCCTTTTTGGAGCGATAGTCACCACTCATGACGATGATGAGTTGCGCTTTATCAGCAGCAGCAGGGGGACCAAAGACGGGACAGGTGATGAGATGGCAATGCGGCACTGAAGAGATCAGTGAATCCAGCTCTCCCGCGAGCGTTGGATAGACCTGTGAGCAATCTTATGTGCATCCAGTCTCTTCGCTGCAATGCTGTCAGTCACGTACAGTGCTAGTCTCCACAAAAATCTTGTTCTTCGTGGGTTTCGACTTCTGCTTGGGAACATCAGACTGGTGGCCGGAGAAGGCGCAGGAATTTAACTCGCCGTCAGAGCTTCCCGGAACTGTTGATACACACCCTTCACTACTTCATCGCTTGCAAGGTTGGTGATGATTACATCGCATTCATTCGCGATCTGGCTCAAATCCTGAGCAATCCGGACTTTATCCTCACCCACTTCCTTTTGCAACTTCTCCGACTTGGATACGGATCGATTCCACACCAGCAGCGGAACAAACCCACCGGGGTGGTTGGCGCGGTAGTTTGCCAAATTGCGGGCCATGAGATATCCCATGGCGCCGAGACCGACGAATCCAATCTGGGGTGGATGCGCACCGGGCGTTGTGGGACGCGAATAGGGCACGTCCTGGACGCTAGCGCCGAGATGCTGGTGTATAGAGTGAGACATGTCGGGCTCTTCACAGATAAGTCTTGATGCTCTAGTCTAGCAGGGCACTTGATTTTATAGTACACAGATTCCTGCGTAGATTCGGTACCGTGAGTTTGCTGTAGAAAGGATCAAACAGGGACTGAGAGTGACTCACAGACGGATCGGAAGTAAAAGGCTCCCCGCTGTGAAAATATTCTCGTCGATACACTGTGGGTAAGAGCGCAGAGGGTGATGAAGATCAGAATGAAGGCCGTTGGAGGCGAAAGGGCCCAAGTACTGACGCGCTATGGTCAGGTGAGGCAACCTCGCGTGGCACGCACGTTGTGCCCGGCACTTCTATGACTGCCTTTCCTGGCGGCTACAGCGTTGTACATCGCAACTACCATGGCTATGGCCATGGTACAGCAGGCGCAAGCCTACCAGCTGACGAACAGAGGAACACTTGTACCGGGGCAGACGATATCTGTTAATAAATACCCGGTGCAAGTGGAACGGTACCTCAGTCAGGGTGTGTACACGTCTGGAACATGCGGGGTTTACGAGCTGATCTTGGAATTGCTAGGTGGTTTCGCGCATGTTTATCTCGTCAGAACGGCGCAGCCTGTATACAATACTCACCATCATGTCCTTAAGAGGATAGCTGTTCAGAGCGAGTCGATGTTGTCCGAGGTCAAAAAGGAGGTTGACATTATGGTACGTGTAATCTCAGCCGCTGCTTGTTCGAGCCCTTCTTACGCGACAACACAGCGGATCCTCAGGGGACATCCCAACATCGTCTACCTTATTGATGCTGCTTGGCACCGTATGCCGAATGGCATGTACGAAGTCTTCATCCTGATGGAGTTCTGCCAAGGTGAGTGCGACTTTGACACCTGGTTACGGCTGCCGTGTTCTCAACTACGTCCACGAAGGCGGCGGTATTATCGACATGATGAACAGACGTCTCCGAGAACGTCTGACGGAGGCTGAGATTCTCCAGATCTTCGTGGATGTCTGTGAAGGGGTAGCCGCGATGCACAATCTCCGTCCCCCTCTCCTTCACCGTGACCTCAAAGTCGAGAACATCCTCCAGGCCTCATCTACTTCTTACAAACTATGTGACTTTGGATCGGCTGCGCCTGTAGCGCCAAGGGTACCTTCCACCACGGCGGAGATTCGGGCGCTCGAGGCGGATTTGAACAGGCATACTACCTTACAATACAGAGCCCCTGAAATGGTCGACCCGTATCTACGGAGACCTATCGATGAGAAGTCGGACGTATGGGCGCTCGGTGTCTTGCTATACAAGCTGTGCTACTACACCACTCCTTTCGAAGAGCATGGGCCACTGGCTATCCTCAATGTCCAGTACAAGATACCACCATACCCAGTTTATTCCAGTCAGATGAACGGCCTTATTGGTAGGTCCTGATCTATCTTTTGGTTTCGGTGGTCTAAATATAGTCCATAGCGTCCATGCTTCGTGAGCACGGTACACAGCGTCCCTCAGTCTTTGAGCTCCTCAACACAGTTCATCGGCTTCGCGGGACCAAGTCAAGGTTCACATATAATGTCCCTATTCCTCAGCCTCTATCGCCCCGATTGTCCAGAACTTCATCTGCTGCCCCACCTGCCAATCCTCTGGACGATCTAGTTACCTATCGGTCCTCGCAATCAGGGGTCGCCCTTCCTGCAGGCAGTCCTCCCATTATGGCGGCACCAGGATCTGGGGTACAAGCTCGAGACAAAGTTCTTGAAGCCATTGCCCCCATGCGTCGAGGACGCCCGAATGACAAGGCTTCTAGACCTCCCAGTCCAACGAAACCCTCAGTCCTTTCCGGAGACCTAGGCAAGGACCAGTCCAGACAAGGTACCTTGATCAGGGATCTTGACATGGGCTTTGGCGCTGAGGGTGACGAAGCTTGGAAAGCCATGAAGGGCGGTGAGGGAGTTGGTCCTGTTCGAGGACACAAATCTGGTCTGGCTGCGGTTGAGGCGTGGAAGGTCAAGAATCCCGTGATCGATCTCACTGAAGCGGACCCTTGGCTGCGACCAAAGGCCGACCAGAGTCGTAGAGCTACCAAAGGCGGGGCGTCTGATGGTTTCGGAGACTCTTTCAGTGCTTCGTTGGGGCTTTCGTCTTCATCAGAGGCTGCTGCTGCGGCATTGTCGGCTAACCGTCGGGACTCGAACCCGAGCTCGGTTAACATTCCACCACGACCACCGTCTGCCACGCCACGCCTGACGGGATCCCACAACAGATTAGGACTTGCGCCTCGGAATCAGACCAAGGACGCTTTCGATGGATTGGGCTTATCTTCCTCCGAAAAGACACCCGTAAAGACTTTGGGAGACGTTGGTAGATCTAGGACAGGCCTTGTAGTGCCCCAAGGAGGTTCTTCGGGCACAGGACTCCTGCCGTCTAGGCCGTCAAGTTCAAATACACCCCTTCAGCCGACTCCGTCACCCAAGCCACAGACGTCTTATTTCTCTAGCGCTGCAGCCCCGCCCAGTCCTAAGCCTACATGGGGTCACACGTCGTCACTACCGACAGAAGAACTCTCCCCCGAGCAGCGGTTCCCTTCGGTGGAAGAATTGGATCGTACATTCGGGTCACCTTCTCCGGGTGTTTCTGTCGGAGCCCCCCGCAAAAATCCCACTGAGTCCGGACTAAGCAAGACATCATCGGCCTCGGGACCGCCGCCTTTGCCGCCTAGAGGTACTGAATCTGGTACAGCTGCCAGCAACGATGCCCTAGAGGTCAATAAAGGGGCCTTTGGCGGTGCTGGAGTGAGATCTCAACAGGTTACCGGTATTGCTATGATGGAGACGCAATCCAGCTCTCAGAGGCGGTTTGGGGAACCGCTTAGCACCAATGACACAGCTACGGATGTACGGAAATCGAGGCCGCCAAGGCCTAGTCTATCCCGGAAGCATCGCAGCTCTCTATCCATCAAGCATATTCCCGCTCCTAGTAATGATTTGATCGACATAGCGTCTTCTTCGGCCAACACGCCATCAGAGCAATCATCTCAGTCTGGGTTGAATGTCAAGCCCGAAGCTCGTGACTGGTTAACTGGTACTGATGACGAGGCGTCTCCGTCATCTACCGCAGGGGCGCCTGGCACTCCTGTGCTGAGGAGGTCGCCCAGCAAACGTGCATCTGTCATTCAAGGGAGGGTGTTTACAATACCTCCTGCGCGTGCAGCTATCACTACGCACGAAACTACGCCCCCACCCAGTCCATCCCTGAAGCCTCCAGGTGTATCGTCGGGTAACGCTGTAAGGATGCCGTCACCAATCCGCACGGGGACCGTTTCAGCCCAGTTGACCGACAACTGGAGCCCTGTAGTGGAGAAACCGCAACGCAAGAATACTTCGTCGTCTAGTGGGTCAGACGAGGGCCCCGAGGACGTGAATGGATTCACTGCCATGGCAGGCTCTGAAGCTAGTGGAAATAAGGAATCTCGGAGACGGAGAGCTAGGTCCAAGAGCAGGCAGAGTTCAGTGCATGATCTGGTAGATTTATGGGGAGGAAGCTCGAAGGATAGACCCAGCACTCCACAGGGCCACGCTACGGGTTCGCAACTTACGGGCCAAGACACGCAAAGGCTTCGCGCTCCTGCACCCCCGTCGCCGTCGAGGCAACGGTCGGACTCTCCAGAGGCTTTAATTTCTTCGGTGAGGGAAAGCACACCAAGAGGCCATTCTCCCAAGCGGCGTGTGTCTGTTGAACAACGCAAGCAGCCTCCTGCGAAGGGAGCTATACCATCACAGACGTCATCGCAAGTATCCGGACGGTCACGGCCTCAGTCTATGTTCATATTTCCGGTCTCCAAGAACGTTACGGAGAGTGTTGCGCCTGCATCGCGAGACTCCTTGTCGACCGGACTGAAAGCCCCGGAAAATCCCCGGAGGTCATCCTCTCGTCGCACATCGATCTCAGACATGGTTCAAATGTACGAGTCTAGGGCAAAGCAGACTCCTAGTTCGCCACCTGTGGCACCCAACAAGCCCGCCAATCTCAAGCTCCCTGCTCAGGCTCCATCGCCTGGTCCGGGCTCACGCTTCACGAGAATCTCACCTACCCGTGGCCTTGACGATTTGAAGGGTAATATTACTGGTCAGAGCCTCCACCCGCCAAGCAAGATTACGGAAGGGTCGAGGGGTCGTTTATCGCCTACCGGCCTTCCGCGCGAATCGACCACGGGGACTAGTCAAGGCTCAGGCTTGCCCGATACAACTCCCGCTAGTGGGCACAGCTATCGAAGTGTGCCACTGAAGCAGTCCTTCACCGCTGGTCCTAGCTCGCCTGAGCGTCCTCGGCTGTCCCCCTTGCCCCTGCGCAAACCCACGGTTTCTGCTGAGGACCCTTCCCCACAATCGCCGGATAAGCCTTACCAAGGCGTTGGCAAGCTGATTGATCAATGGCAGCGTAAGACAGCGGAGGCTGATAGGTCAAACTCGCCACAGATGTCTCGTCGCGGGGGATTTGCTCCTCGCAGAGGCGCCATAGCGCCCACAGTGCCCGGTGGAAGTCGATAAACGATGTACAATATTTATTCATACCACTGCTCGGAATATTACAGAGACAATGTCGGTCATAATTATGAATTATGGAGTGTGCTACATATATTGTCTGGACGACAAGGCAGATGTAAGAATAAGCAAGCTGATATTACAATTTACGGGAAGCCCGGCTCCTCGTCTGACGATGATTCTTCTTCTCCGATGTCGAACAGACGTTGTCGTGAACCACTGCGATTGTGGCTCTGCATAGTGTTCGGCTTCTCCTTTGAGGTTCCGCTAAGGAGGGCCCTAGCTATCTCTTTTCCTCTACCAAGCTCCCATGTGTCCTGATCTTCAGGATATATGTTCCCTTTCACGAGCTCCGTGTCGCCGCCTATTCCCATCTCAAGTGCTACAGCATCTGCGCGGGCGATATTTGACTCATTCGGATGTATGAATATACTGTCCGGTTTGGACTTGGAACGCGGACGCCCAGTCATCCGGTCCATCCTCACGGCGTTCAAGATTGGGGAATCTGGACTGAGGAGAGGTTCTTTGACCCCATATGAGCTGCTGAACACGTTAGTCGGAGTCGCAGGGACGGGGAGGACTGGGAACATACTCTCGTGTGTGGGGCCGCGGACTCGGCGCGTCCAAGTACTCCATCATGAATTGACCAACAGATAATGCTGTCACCTGCAACCAAGACCCGTTACAGACACTGTGCTCGAGAATACCTGTGGCTTACAGTCACAAGGAGCAGCCTGCCGGGGTATGTCAGATACGAAAGCTCACAGGCATGAGCAGAACGCACGCACCCGAGATGAAAGGTCATAGCGACCAGCATGTATAGCCTAAGTATCCATGCACTCAACTCCGCAGCTTTTTCTGAATAGGGGAACTCACAGTCGATTCAGGGTAACTATCCAATACAGAGCGGTTCGCCATAGCGCATTGCGGAGCCGTGAGTGTCGTATAGAGGTCAACGGACACCAGTGCTTCGACAAGGCGAGAGTAAGCAGTCTAGGGAACCATTAGGGAAATGAAATAGCGCGTCTGGGTCCAACCCCACCTTTCTGTCAGACATATAAAGATAGTCAAGCATGCAGCCAGGAAGAAATGAGCGGAAGAGTTGAGGCGCAGAGAACCGAACAGGACATGTTCGCCGAGGTATGCAAAGTGGAGGCGGTCTTCCCAGCCATCCATCTTCATCCTGCAAGTCTGTCAATGTCCAGGTCGGTTGTCTGGTTAAAAGAGCGGCTTATGATCATATACAGTGTGTTGACAATGGATATAGTCAAGTGCGCAGTGCTTGTATGTACTTTCTATATTTAGCGCGTCCCCGTTATACGCAGGGGCATTGATAGCCACGAATCGGAATCTCTAAGAGGCTTGGGGAATAGCCAGTACCTTGACATCTATGTACGAGGTGTCCGCCCACCTGCAGAGACGACTCCTATGATCCCTGTTCTATGATACAACAACACAAGATATGACAGATACCAGCGAATGTGATCAATAACTTAGACATTGTCCCATGTTCAGAAGTACCTCTCTTCGGCACCACCGAAGGCAGGCTTGGCCAACGCCTCGCGTGCCTTCGCAGCTCTCCACTCGCAGTCGTCGCTATATTCACATGAGCTGAGAGGTACGACATGTTAGCAAAGCTCTGGAGGGAACTAGCATCGCCAACTCACAAGCACCTGCTGGTGTGGTCCAAGCTGACACCCTCTGGAGATCGTCTGCCGTACCACCAATCCAGAACCTTCTTCAGATAGTCATCGAGGAGAGCATCGTCGACCTGGAAATATTTGATCCCAAATACATGAGAATCCGGCGACTCGTCCTCAGATGAGGAGTTAGCATCTTCAGCAGCTTCTGGGACGCAGTTCTAAGTGAGTCGTATCCTTCTGGTAGCTATGGAGGTCCGAACTGACCGTTAACCTCATTCTCTGCGGGCATTCCACTTTCGATATCCAGTCCCGAGGCTATGCTCCTCCCCTTAGCACTTCTGTCATCCCCCTTGGATGATTGCAGGAGGGAATTCTGCACGACCCATGTCAGATGTGGGGGTAGCTGTCGGCCCGTGAACCGGGATGGTCCTACCACGCTCCCTTTTTCCGGCGTCAAACTAGCTTCTATCGCTTTCTGCAGATCGGCATCTGCCTCCTCTTTCAAACTTGCCTCAACAGCAGTTGCCAAGTCCACATCTTCTCTGCGCGTACTCAGGACATCTGCACGTTTCCGCTTGGACCCCACTTTACCTGTCGTCGGTCGGGTCCTATACACAAGCTTGAGGTGCTTGTCCACACTGTCCACATCCAGCCGCTCGACGGCCGCCAACCAAGCAGCCGTTAGGTCATTGAGGCATTCCAAGGGTGCCCCCCAGTCGGCGCCTAGCAACAGCCCAGCGTCGGTCAAGAATTGGTGACCCAACCGCGCGTCTGGTCGCAAGCGCAATTGCTTCCAAATCCTGCTAAAGTCGAATGGTTTTGACAGCGACACCAACTTTGAAAGAAGACGATGATATAGCATCAGCTGCAGCCGAGATGGTAGCGCATCGTCTTCCGACGGGAGGGTCATCGTACGCCGAGTTTTGCTGTCGGACAAGTGAAGAATGTACCTCGGTAGTGGGACGAGCGAAGGGGGAGGCCGCTTAGGAGACGGTGTGCGAGCACGATCGCTCCCTTTGAAGAAGGACGTGATCTTGGCATGGGACTCGTCTACCTCTTGCGTGCGTTTAAGGCGCTTTCCGAGCGCTGGCTTGCGGTAAGGAGAGGCTTTCCTCACACTGGGCGGAGGGGTTTGTGGTTTGAGCTCTCGACGCAGCTCATCCTGCAATAGTTGATCAGTATCAGGATCGAGTGAAAATGGGGGAAAACCGACAATAATGCCGACTATTATTTGGTTGTTCACGATACCGAACACAGGTATTTCTCGCTAACCAAATGTTATTAGCTACACACGCAAAGATAACTAAGTTGGGGCTGCTATACTCACAGCAAAGCCAACGGTCATCAAGCTACCAACGGCTGCTAGCATATTCACAAGCCTTAATGCATTCAAGAGCTCAGTGTTGAGCCAGCGTTTGACATAAGATGTCCTACCGCAAAGCCCATCGTTCTTCCTCAGTAGTGATGTATATTTCCACTTCGGCGGGCTTCACTTCGCGTTCTAAGACTTTATGCACCGACTAAGCATGCACGACTGAGCATAAGCTCCCCCGCTGGGTAGGGATGAATCACGTACTTGCCCAGCCTTCAATACTTTGTCATTTTTTCTAGCCACATCGGGGTTGACCTTGATCTCTCGACCATGTGCCGAGACGAAAGTGGTAGGGCGAGATTCCAGCTTGAAACTTCTTCGCTGGCGCAAGCCATAGTCAAACTGTACTTCACACCTTTTAAGCGCTAACGTCAAATGCAGGATTCATGACACCGTGCTACAGAAGTCGGACTTACCATGCAGGTCCGACTAAGTCGCTTACAGACAAGACGTTCTTCCGCCGAAACCTATTATACGGACTGCCAGGCTCCGGATCCGGTCCACTGCTTTCGCTGTCAGATTCGACAGCTACCGGGTCCTTGAATAGACCATGCACGTCAGCGGTACGGCCTTCCAGTTCTATGAGAATGTCCGGACCACCAGGGAGACCTGCGAGATCCCCAAAGCTGAAGCTGCTGTCCCAGTACTTGGACGTGTCGGTAGAGGTTGGAGTAGCGGGACGAGTCGGGCTCTGGGAGCCCAGTGCTGCCAGTATGGCTGCGTCGATCTCCTCGAAATCTTCTGCAGTGAACTCCGCAAAGTCACCATAGTCGGAGTCTGACATATAAGAAATAATGTCCCAAGGCTCTCAAAGTCATTTACTTCTCGAGAGCCAGGTGCGATACAAGACGGGCCTGAGAGGTTTCGGATTCGTTCAGTACAGCGTTGGATCTCCTGTTCAGTGGACCCATTCGGTTCAACAAGGTAGCACAGCCACTTGTGGCTGCAGCAGCGTACCGGTTCTAATAATTAGCGCAGCTTTGATCGCAAGCCTGTAAGCCGCCTGTGTACTTTCTCGACTACCGCTTCTGACTCACAGGTCCTCTACACGATTAGTACAATGTCAACTCAGAATGATGTTATGAAAAACCGGAAGGAGATGCAGGAAATCGACAGGCAGATTCAAGCCTTGAACTTGCGTCGAAATGCCCTTGCGCCAATTTCCTCTCTTCCTCCAGAAATTATGTGCATGATGTTTATGCTGTCAAGCGAAATGGGTCGCGAAAGCCGGCGTGTCCTCGAAATTACGCATGTCTGCCACCAGTGGCGCGTCCTTGCGCTGGGATACCCTTCCCTGTGGGCACGGCCACCTCTATCCGATCCGCGGGGTACGGAGGAATTTCTCAGACGTGCAGAGGGCGCACCTTTGGGAGTCTCCATATTTTTCACGAGAGAGAACACTAAGGCTAATATCGAAGCTTCTGCGATTGTTCTCGATCAAATGCACCGTATCCGGACCCTGAGCCTCATTGTGGAAGATAGGCGTCCTACTCGCGATGTATTGGATCGTCTAAAAAAGCCTGCACCCCTTTTGGAGGATCTCGAGATATCCCCCGCCGACGCCTTTACCAAACATATCGTCCTCTTTGATCGCGTCACTCCGGCACTCCGTAGTGTTTCGTGCTTTCATTGGAGGTTTGGGTCTGCCGAAGATCTGACCCTCTTCCGCAATATCCGGGAGCTCTCCCTCGTTCACCCACGCGATAGATTGTCCATACGCGATACAGCGTCGCTCCTGCAGGGTATGCCCTCGATTGAGTCACTTGTGCTGGATCAGGTCGCCCCAGAAGTCATCGATCTCTCACGAATATCGCCTATACCTGTGCAAAAACTGCAACGTGTGGAGATTTCAGATACACGCCTCATCCAGTGCGCGACAATGCTAGCGTTTCTCGGTCTCAGAAATCGGCCGACGCTACATTTGGCGACGTTACTGCCTACTAGTCCCAACAACATCGAGACCGCTTTCCGGGTTATCGACCCCATCCTACGATTGGGGCACGCTCCTCCGTTCGCCTCAGCGGAAGTGACTTGGGAAGAGTCGGATCGCTTTACTATCTCCCTGTGGTCCACAAATGAGGATGCCACTTCTCCGCAGACGTCGCGACCGCACTTCAGCATCCTTCTCCACACGTCCGAGCCGTGCCCGTTATCCCTCTGGTGCCAGTATCTTCCCTTATCCGAAATTCGGAGTCTGTCATTGGATACCTGCATCACTATCCGCTCGAGCAGGGATATGGGTTGGCTGCGGACATTTGAGTCGTCTCACAAGATCGAAGCCCTCCATGCTCGGAAGGTAGCCGTCCAGGAAGCAGTAGAAACCTTGGGCGCCCACCTTATGCACAAATGGGATTACATGGACGAGCCAGAAGAGCCGTACTATTCTGATGAGGACGACGAGGATGAAGATAGCGATTATCAAACGCGTCTAGGGAAGCAAGATCATCGTCTTCCCAAGCCAGCTCCCCCCAAGAGGATATTCCCTCAGCTGAAAGAGCTTACGCTAGAAAGGTGGGATCTCAAGGACACAGTCACCATGAGATCCGTTCAACTTTCCTCGGTACTCGAAGAAATTGTCAAAGACCGCGCTGAGACAGGGGCGCGACTATCTCTGCTGCGGGTCAGGTGTACCGGCATCCACAAGCCAGCTGCCAACAGGCTAGAAGCAAACGTTGATCAAGGAGTTATCGACTGGCAGTACATGCAATAATGCTGATGTACGTTGTAGTTGATTCAAGAGCACCTAGCGAATGTAACTCTACTGTAATTCAAGGTGTCCTTTTGCGTCGCGATGCTGGCCCACCGCTCGTATTGAAGCGACGATGCTATACGTGTTGCGTCCCCTGCAGGCTGCCGATGTCCTACGCAACTCAACGTTCTGCCCTAGAGGCTGGATTATGCGATGTCCGCGGCGTTAGGATGTCTAGTTCCCTTAGGCCACCATGCTCCCACCCTCCCTCGTCCGTCCGAGGACGCCCCCCACTGTACACGATGGCGCACTGGTCATTCCATTCTGGCCTGCGTTCGGCCCAACGCGCGCATACTGTGCGGCTGGCAGGTCCTCGTCACCGAGCGCGCGCCCCGCTATCCCCGCGCATTCCGAACGGGACCGAAGTGCGCCTCGGTGGATGACCGGGCGGCTGGCGCATGTCTCGCATCCATCGGAGTATCCAGAGAGAGGGTCCAAAAGGTATAAAAGCCCGCTCGTTTGCAGGCTGACCGACACACAAACTCTTCCACCTACTGCCACTTGCCTCTTGACGAGCCAACACTTGTATCTTCTCAGCACTACTATTCTCTACCACCCACTACCATTCATCGCATTCAGTATGAGAATCGCATCTGGTTCATCGATCCTCTTCGCTTCGCTCGCCTTGACCGCCTCTGGTGCTCCGGTCAACGAAGGCAACGCGGAATCCCACCCCAACTCTCCCCGACCCTCAGCGTCGGGCTCGATGGGCGGCAAGGTATCTGGCGGCGCCCACATCGGTAGAGGGTTACCCTCCACTATCGGTAAGTTGCCATGTCCCCCACATAAATGCACCCATCTGACGTTGCATAACCACAGCTGCGCGTGATGCATCCCCTCTGTGCAGCCTCGAAGGCATGGTCAAAGGTATCCCTATCATCGGAGACCCTGTTGCAGGCATAGTCAACACTCTTGTTGGCGGGTGCGACGCGGGTGCCTCGTCCCAGGCTGTGACGACCCAGTCGCTCGCGGATACGGAGTGCATCGTCAAGTCGATCGTAACCTCTCTGCCCTCTGTTGGAAGCTTGCTAAGGCCTATCATCGATGGCATCCGTCTCTGCCCCGACGGTGCTGGAGCAGAGAGTGTCAATGCCCAGAGTGCCGAGCCCCTTGACGCCGACAAGCTGGAGCAGATCGCTGCTGCCGTGTCACAGGCAGCGGCTAGCATTGAAGCTGCCCACAGTCAGCCAACCGGCAAGAGCAGGCGCCAGCTCCCCGTTCCTGAACCAGCTCCATCTACCACAGCTAGCTCTTCAATCGCCTCAGTCTCTTCGAGCGGTGTGGCGGAGATGGCTATGCCTACTCCCCCGATCGTCCTTCCCGTCAGTGCGCCTGGCGCGCCTGCCCTTCCGGTGCCTCCCAACACCCCCGAGTCCTCTTCGTCCTCCACTATGCCCTCCTCTACCTCCCTCTCTCCTCGTCAGCTCCTTCCAGTGCAGTCTAGCTCGGGCGCCATGTCGAGCATAACTTCGGACAGCGCTGCTCCGACGCAGATGGCTCGTCGCACCGAGGATGAATTCACTACCACCACTGCCTCCGACGAAGTCCTCCCATCCTCCGTCTCACCCTCTACCGCTCAGTCAGACGCTTCTGCTGAGCCTACGCTGGGTGCTCGCCAGCTACCTCCTGCGCTCCCTGTGAACCCCCCTGCGCTCCCAGTGAGCCCCCCTTCTCTCCCCATAAACCCCCCTTCTCTCCCCATAAACCCCCCTTCTCTCCCCGTAAACCCCCCCGTGAACCCCCCCATGTCTTCCTCCTCGACGTCTTCTACCGTACCCAGCGACGCCTCCTCCACGGGCATGGCTCAGAGGGACCTCCCTACTCCTCCCGCTCTCCCAATCAATGCTCCTGTGCAGCCTCCTAGCGCCCCGGTCTCGCCTCCTAGCGCCCCAGTCTCGCCTCCTAGTCCGCCCTCGGCACCTGCTCCCGCCAAGGACGCCGCCGGCAAGACTCCTGCAAGTGACGCACCCGTGTTTCATTTCATGGGCGTCGCTGCATTTGGGCCCGAGATGACTGCGTCGCAATCCGCATCCAGCGCCGGCTCGACTTCGACTTCTGCATGACCTGCTTATGTAGTATAATATAGATGTAACATGTTTATGATATGAATATAATTGAGGCAATCACCCTACTTGCATTGCACTGCACGTTGTCGCCTGAGGTTCCAGAGTGCCGTCAGAGGCCGTCAGCCACAACGACTTCGAGGACGCGACGCGTCAACTATTCTGTGGCTAAGTGATCGGAAGTCGTCGTGATCGAAGATCCGATCTAACTTTGTATCTGGACCCACTGCGCACTCAAGCTGGCAGCTGCAAAGGCAACGGCTCTCTGCTCACTCTACCATGGCAAGGCCAAAGCCTCTGCAGAACTTGGCCACAGGCCGCACTGTATCCGACCAGTATCAATCGCTCACCCCACGGACGCCTCACTCACGCGCAGGGCGAGCGGAGGAGGCCGTCGGCGAGCTCGAGCTCGACGACCTGCACGGCGACAGCGAGTATAGGACGTACCGCCAGCAGCAGGCTGAGCCTTTACTTCGCTCGTCTGCCAGCGATAGCTTCCCTCCGAGTGGCTACAGAGGTCGAGGAGACGAGGCGGAGCGCGCGGCAACGAACAAGTCCGAATCGAAGGGAGTAGCAAGCTTCCTAGCACGAATACCGCTGTTTGCGGGGTGCGGAGTAGCCGCCACGCTGTTCGTGCTCTGGCTTCTCTCTGTCTACAAGCCGGACACCGTTGCAAGGCTAATTGGCGAAAAGAATGCCGCTGTCTTGAATAGTCCAAGCAAGGCCGTGCCTTCGCAGCAGGATGCCGCCTTGGACACTGCAAAATACATTTCATACGCAAATTACACCAAGTTCCCTCTACTTCCCACCGAGTATGCACACGAATGCGAGAAGCTGAACCACGGATTCATGTTACACAAGGGTGCATACTGGAATACATCCTCGCTCGACGTGCCTCATTACGACGACAACACCAATTACCACCTCCCGGAAGGGGAGATGACCAGAGTATGCACGAGCACGATCACTTACATGCTGGATGGCCATGTCGGTCTTCTGGCAGATCTCGCACTGATGGCGCAAATTGCTGGTCTGGCGAGAGAAGTGCGTCTTAGCCACTGCAGTCAGAATGGGCGCTGACGGTGAGCCAGCAAAACAGAACTTTCCTCGTAGATGACACGTACTGGAATCGTGGCAAGTAAGTTCTAACTAATCTCTTTCGACCGGGTGACCAACGGTGATTCAGGTGGATAGACCACTTCCAGCATGTCCGAGGCAGACAACCTGGACCTGAGCCGGGATGCAGAGCTCCGCCGCCGGAAGGTGACGAATATGTCCTCTGCTTGACTCATCCTCACTTACATCTCGCCAGAACTCGTTGCTTGTCCTCGAACAGCTAGGTGAGGTCCCATATTCCCAAGCGAACGAAGTCATTGAACATAGGACATAGACATTGGGTACGCGTCTTGCGGTTGATTTTATGCATTCCACTAGACCAGCATATAATCAGGTCGTGAATTCACGAACCGCGAAATATCATCTTGGGCATGCATTCTCCGAAGAGTACGAGGACCCGTAAGGCAACCCGCATTTCACGAGACATACGACGAAAATGATAATTGGTCCATGCAGGTATGCACACAGTATCAATCGCGTCAAACCCATATTCGAGCGTGCCGCCACCTCCTTCCGTCAAACCATCCGCCCCAACGCCAATACCGCCGCCCTCATCCGCACCGCGCGCGACGAAGTCACGACATACACCCCGCCGTCCGTCAAGTCCACCCTCTCCAATACGTCGACGAACAACCCCGAGGGGTATGTAGCCGTGCACATCCGCCGAGGCGACCGTCACGCACATTCGTGGAAATACCACGATTCATACGTGCCCCTCCCGAACTACGTCCAGGCGGTGCAGGAGACCGCCGCGCGCCTGAATTTGACGCAGCCATTCCCGGTGTACGTCGCCTCCGACTCGCCCGCGGCGTTCGAGGAGTTCCGGACGTCTATGCCTCCGGATACGCCTGTGTTCTCCTTGTGGAATAGCGAGCGGAAGCAGCTGCCACCGCTCGCAAGCACCCAGGAGTACATCCAGAAGGAATTCAACGAGCTCAGCGGTGAGGAGCGGATGAAGTTAACGACGGGGGCGATCGTGGATTTTGCGATGGTGAGCGGGATGTGGAGTTGGGAGGGGGACGTTGTGCCTGCTGCCACGGTCTGCACTATCAGGTCCGGAGAATCTCTGCTGTCTTGTATGGTTGGCTCTTGCTAAGCAGATGTTGCAGCTCGAATATCTGCAAAATGGCTGCCGTCGGACTGGGATGGGACAACGCCTTCGGTTTTGGCGACCCATTGGTCGACCACTCCATGGGCGAGATCGACGAGGATGAGAAACGCTGGGTGGAAATTGACCAACAAGGCACCGTGGCCCCGGCCTGGACCGCCTTCGAACTATTTAACTGAGGGCATAGCACCGTTTCATTTGGCATCATTACGGAGAAATCATTAATCACATCTATGGTAGGATTAGTAAAATAATAATTTATTTCCTGCTGTTGCTGCTACCAGCTCCTTATCGGCTGCGACCCGGCCAAAACATATCGTGGATAACCAGGGCCGTCCCACCTAGACTCTCCACAGCTGGAGCCACATCCTGGTCACGATAGATGTGGGCTATTTTGATCCTCTTTCTAGGCTTGGACTGTTCCTCCCCCAAAAGCCGGTCCTTTAAACCGCAAAACTCTCTATCTTCGAACACTTCTTCGATATCTTCGATGTACTCGTCCTCGGCAGTTGCATGCTGAGCTTCCGCCGCCGCGTCCTTCCATTCTTCTTCAGCGATTTCTGCCACCCAGGGGACGTAGTCAATCCGCAATGACCCCGAAGGGTCGCAGATCCAGGCGGCGATGACGTCCTCTTCTGTTATCTTCTCGCACTTATGAATGTTCACCTGGGCGAGGCGGCAATCATACTGAAAGAATTCCCTTGCTTCGATGAATTGCTTAATCATCGAGCCCTTCACCACGGGGCAGGCTTGGAGAGTTAACGTCTTCAAGTGTTGACAAACGGGGACTTCACCACGCGCTGGGCGTTCTGAGAGGACCTGAAATGCCTTTCCACCGATGAAGGACCCGATAAGCGTCAGCGACCGGAGATCCGGGAATTCGCCTAGGCACGCGAGCAGTGCACTGTCTGGGATATTGGCATTCTGCAGAATGAGTGACTTAACGCACGGTGCATGTCTGGCAAACTGCACTAGCAAGCGACCACGGGTCTTCGCGTCATCCTTGACAGCTTTGACTATGTTCTGGATCTTCTCATCTACGTCTTCTGAATCTAGGATAGAAGAGCGATAGGCCCTATCTCTCATAACGAAGGTCTCGAGTTTCGGCGCATGAAGGAGTGTCGACAGGTAGTCCAGGCCATCGGAACCACCGTTTCGAATTTCGAACGTTTTCAGACTAGCGAGGACGGCATACGTGGATGTGGAACAATCAAACGAGCATGAGGACAATCGCAAGACTTCGAGAGATTCGCAATCACGAACGAATGATAAGAACCGCGAAGATGAGCAGTTTACGTGCACCAAAGACAGCTCGCGAAGTCGCACATATGCGCCGTCCCCAGGGGGCGACATGCAATCGAAGAGGGTCAGGGAATGCAGTGCCGGGGCCCTCTTGATAGCTTTCGGAAGAGACTTCAGAATCTCGTCTTCTTCCAGTCGCCATCCTGCGCAGATTCCGTGCTGGAACAGTCTCCCACACTTCACTGTCAGATGTCTTAGCGCAGGAGCTGAATCGTAGAATATGTCGAGTAGTGCGTCGGCCAATATTCTCGACTCCAACCCTAATTCGATTTCTTCCACTCGATCCATAACGGTGGCGAATCGCACTATTACATCCATAACGAGCGTCATCGGGGGGTATATGCGACCGAGAGTGAGAGACAGGAAGAGCGGGGCGCTGCCAGATCGTTCCAGCCAGAGGGGAATTGGGCGGCGTTTGCCACGGGGATCGTATTCTTCTACCTCCATGCACCACTCGGGGTCGTCGTCTAGTGGCCCTACACGTCTCCTATCTTCGAGATCAAGCTGGATGGTACTCCAAGCTCTAGGGCATGAGAGTATTACACTCCTCCATAGGCGGCAGACCAGAGAAGCTATCCATGGGCCGTCTTTATCCACAACAGCCCAATGGACGAATACTTCAGCTAATAGGTCCAGAGGGAGGCGGTGAATGAAATGGGTTGCCTTGTTCATGAAGGGAACCTCCACGCAGCTGTTAGTTATGACAGTTATATGGCAAGAGGGTAGGACATACTTCTATGATATTTCTGATTGCCCTCTCTATCGTGCTTCGGTGTGAAGGTTTGTGGCAGCATTGTGGAGGTATATATATATGTCCGAGCACGTGATCACGACGCGTGGGTTCAGTGACTTCGGACATCAAGCTTCAAGTTCAACTTCAAGGCGTCCGTTTGTAACAGCCGCCACGTCGCGACTCTGGACTGAAGATAGGCGATCGCTTCCGAAGGGCTGCAGCTTTCCGTGAACTCTCAGCGAGACATCAGCGCGAGAGGTGTTATAACGTTTCTCCTTCTAGCTGCAAATCGTACACAGTGACTCTCCCGAAAAAGTCGGAGCTCTCCTCGAATACAACCCTCAAAGCCTCTACATGCTTGCCATGGAGCGTAGGGTCAACTGGGGTCAGGTCAAATATCTGCTGGCGGTTGACGTCCTCAGGATAAATACGAGATAGCATCTGCCATCCCTTGGAACTCTCGCTTCCAGCTTGCTGAGCCGTGATCGCCTCAACAGCACACTTTGTCCCGACGAAGCCCCCTTGGAATGTCAAGGAAATCTTCCTTGGCAGGACCGGCCCCGGAAAAGTTAATTGGACGTATTGTGGCAGACCCTATGCTCACGGCGTCGACAAGAGATTAGGTGCGTCGAGGTTTGGATGAATACCTGCTGAGAAGTCCAGCAAGTATCTGGGTTCCCGTCCGTCAGATACTTCTTCCCTACAGATTTGTCCAAGGTCGAGCTAACTCTGCAAAATCGTGACCATCTGGGAACAACGGCAGTCACAAAGAGGACTTACTTGATCTTGGTTTCGTCAGTTATTAAGGATCGCATGGTCTTCGTTTTCTGGCGACACGCTGCAAAACTTGGGAGCTCTGCCGACCACGACTGTCACGAAATCTACAAGCGTTACGACGAGTCTGTTATCGTGGGAAAACTTACGTCGACATCAATGTAACTCGTCAAGTTGACACCATCTACAAAGTTGCACTCTCCTATGCCTCCTTCTGTCGAATTACCGAGATGGCTTCAGGCGGCCCATTCGCCTGAGCATCTCACTTCGGTTGTCACGGCCTTGACCAATCGCGAACGCCTGAGAGCCTCCGCTCGGACCGCTTCCAAGCACAAGTCGCATTCCTCCAAAGTGCATCGGGCCTCCTTCGGTGCCTCATCTTCCCTCCTCACCAAATCTGCACATGTCAATCACTACTCCGTATCGGTGGGAAACCGTCCGGAAAACAAGACGGGCAATCGCTACGCTGATATTGAGCCCTATGACCGAACCAGGGTGGTTATAGATGAGCAACTGGAGATGGGTAGCGGGGCGACCAGCAGGAAGGGAAGATATTTGAACGCGAACTGGGTTCGTGAGCTGGCGGGTGGGAAGTGGTGGATCGCGACTCAAGCTCCACTACCGCATACGGCGCATGCCTTCCTGTCTGTCATATTACAGCCCACTACTCGACCGCCACACGACCTACTGCATCCTCTCGAGTCCAATTCCCACCCGGAGACTGATGAGCGGCCCAGCCGTGTTCGGACTGTCGTCCAACTCACGCAGAACTTCGAAAGTGGGCACCAGAAAGCCCATGTATATTTCCCTCCTCTTCCAGGTCAATCCTGGGTTATGTACCCAGAACCTGGGTGTACAGCTCCACCTATCAAGGTGACTCTGATATCCACGAAGACCATCGATGAGGCGCAATCCTTACAGAGCACGGTGTCCATTATTCCTGTGGGAGTACCTGCCGATCAAGAGCCTATCATTTTCCAGCATATGCTGTTCGGTGCTTGGCCCGATCACGGGGTACCGGAGGGCGAAGACAAGCTGGCACTGCTACGGTTTACGAAGTGGGTCGATACCGTGAACAAGGATTTGAGTCTGCAGCCGAGCCACTCCGGTGTTGACCTCGACCCCGATCCTCCCATCATGGTCAACTGCTCTGCGGGTATTGGCAGAACGGGAGCCTTCATTGCTTGCTCATCCCTCCTGCGCTACTTTGGATTCCTCGGTGGGCCTGCTCGGGAGTCTAGAGAATTTCATCCAGTGAACCCTTCGCCACTGGGACCTCTACCTTCCGACATCGCCGACGATATCGTTGCACAAGAAATCGATTCCTTGAGAGAGCAGAGACCGGGAATGGTCCAACGTCCTGAGCAGATTCTGCTCGTGTACGAGTTAGTCGAGGGAGCTCTTTCAGGAGTTCAGTGAACAAGTGCTGAAGGCCAGTTGGCGAACGTCCGCTATGTTATTCGGTATGTAAGATAAGTAACTGATCAACGTGCATGTACGATACCACAAATGGTCGTTTGAGGCACTTGTGCCAATCTCGACAGGAAACAGAGGGGTCGCTGTTCGAGCCAGGTTGTCGATCTTTGCTTCTCTCGAACCGCATGCGTAGACAGCCATCTCTGTATACAGATCAAAGTACGGTCCTAGGTCTTCTGATTAACATCACAACTTAGCACAACGGTTGTTGTACCCGCGTCGCACCCGCGGATGCATCGACCTTCGATGTTCTTCAATTTCATTCATTCAAACATAGCATTACCCGTACACCCAATTATTCACTGCTTCCATCGGTTAACCAAACGTACAGAGTCCATCACTGTTCATGCGATCTTGATGACGAGCTTGCCGGTTGACTTTCCACCGGTCAGGTCCTTCTGCGCCTCCTGGACACCTTCTGCCGTGAAGGGATACTCCTTGAAGACGTTGATCTTGATTGTACCGTTGGCAATAAGGTCGAAGAGCTCTTTGCCGTAGTGAAGGGCTTCCTCAGGTTCGGTTATGTAGTTGATTTGCCTAGAAATCTTTGTCAGTTCCATAGGTCGAAACATGGGACTCGTGGAAAGCATACGAGGGACGAAGCAGCTTGACGTTTTTCGGAGTCAGCTTGAGCGGGGCGACGGGCGGGACGGGACCGGATGCATTTCCGAGAGAAATGATAGTACCCTTACGGGCGATCATCTCGAAATCCGACTCGAACCTAACCAGAAACTCAGATCAGGCGCGATAGTCACGATGTGCAAAATCGGACGTACGTGTCCTTGCCCACACCGTCGAAGATCGCCTCGACACCTTTCCCGTTAGTCAGCTCGAGGACACGTTTGACGGTGTCCTCGTTCTTGTACAGGATGACGTGATCTGCGCCGTGCTTCTTCGCCAGCTCAGCCTTCTCCGGGGTGGACGTGGTTCCAATGACGGTCGCGCCGCGCCACTTGGCATACTGAGCCATGATCAGCCCGAGACCGCCGGCAACCGTGTGGATAAGGACGGTGTCGCCTTTTTTGACATTGTAGGCCTCAGTCATGAAAGTGTTGCATGTCAGGCCCTGCAGCAATGCAGCGGCGGCCGTTAAGGTCGATACAGACGAAGGGACTGGGAAGACTTTGGTCCAAGGCACTACAGCGTAGGTGGCGTGTACGCCGAAGTTTTGCTGAGTAAAGTGTCTGATCAGCGAGGGCGAAGCATCCGTGAGGGGAGGATTGACCTACCACTGCAACCTTGGAACCTTTCTGGAGCCCGCGCAGCTTGTATTGCTCGTTGTTCAACACCGCAGGATCGGTCGGAAGGCCCACGATGGTCCCTGCGGCCTCCATACCGAGAATAGTTGGGAAACTCTGGACGGGATAGAGCCCCTTGCTGGATGGATTTGTTCGCTTGGCGTGATGCAAAACAAGATGCCCTCCCCCACTACTCACCGGAAGTATGTATCAATGAAGTTGACGCCGCCATACTCGACCTAGTTTAGTAGAGTAAGAGACAAGCCACGAACGTTATGCATGTTCGATCATCACCTTCACCACGACACTGTCCGGCGACACCTCCGGGAACTTCTGCTCCGTCACCTCGAGCACGTCGAAGTCTCCGGTCTTCGCGATCGTAACGGCTTTGATGGTGGACGGGTACGACATGTTTCTGACGGCGGTTCTGGATGCTCTCTGGATAGACGATGCAGCAAAGTGTCGCAGGATCTGAAGAGTCCGTATCTGCGCGTATCTGGGGAAGCCTAGCATGGCGTTCACTCTGTCGGGCTGGCTTATAAAGCCTGCATCCACTGTTTCGCCGGCGAATCAGCAGTCCGTTCGAACTCGCATGGAATGACAGGCTGGCCATCAAAATAGATGGGCAGAGAGGACGCGTCATTGACGACTTCGACGCCGTCGGACAGTCTGGTACTTTGAGCTCTGCCAATGCGTCTCTTACGTTGGGTCCTTGTTTCAAGCTTCGTTCGCGCGAAGGATCTTATCAGATTCGCGTGTCATGATGCCTTGTAATGCATCATCCCATCGTCGGACTTGCGGACACTAGGAAACACCACGGGTGCTGGTTAATATACGGACGGGTTAGCTACTGGCGCTGAAGGAACATACACCTCGACTTGCGAATTCTAGCTAAATCAGGTCCCACGGTGAGCGTCATGGGGATATTTTAGTCACCCTGCACTTTAGTCATGACGCTAATCTTCCCCAGATTGTGCCATTCCGTCAGGGTAGGACGTGTTGCGATCCCCAAATCCGCCTCTTTGCTAGCGTGCTCGTTCGTCGCGGCACCGTCAAGAGTACAGAGTCGTAAAATGAGCAACCTTCCCGCTACGATTGAGGCGATCACCATCCCCAAGACCGGGGATGTGGACGTGATCGAGAAGACAACTCAGCCGTTCCCAAAAGTCACGCCGGAGAGCATCGTGGTGAAAGTGAGTAGCGCATTCTGCATATTAGAAACATGGAGTAACTTGGTTAGATTGAGTATGGGGGCGTCAACTTCATCGATACCTACTTCAGGTGTGTTTGCGCTTGCCCCCCACATTTGCCACACGTTCGGGATGGAGACCGCTAACAGTATATCAGGAAGGGACTGTACCCCATCGAGTCCTTCCCTTTCCTCGTGGGACGAGAGGCCGCGGGCACCATAGTTGCTCTCCCTACCTCTCAGGAGCTTTTGAATAGCGAAGCCTACAAGAAGAGGAATTACCAGATTGGTGGCAAAGTAGCTCTTGTACGTGATCCAACCTCTAAAGCTCGTTACCGCAGCACTGGCTAACTAGACGGTCTTGTAGTACGCTCCTGGGACCTTTGCGACTTACGTCGCTGTCCCGTGGACATCTGCTTACCCTGTTCCTTCCGGAATATCTACTCTTACGGCTAGTGCTGCTCTAACGCAAGGGCTTACGACCAACACCCTTATGACTGAATCCTACAACGTCAAGAAGGGCGATACGATCTTGGTGCACACTGTCGCGGGAGGCCTTGGGCTGCTGTTCGCGCAGTATGCTAAATATCGAGGAGCCACTGTAATCGGCACTACCTCTACCAAGGAGAAGGCTGAGCTGGCGAAGAGACACGGAGCGGACCATGTTATCTTGTATAAGGACGAGGACACCGTCAAGCGCGTCCTGGAAATTACGAATGGCAAAGGTGTCGATGCCATATTCGACGGTGTGGGCAAGGACACGTGAGTCTCCCCAGGCTTCGTAACAGTTAACTAGATGACTCATGACGAAGGCAGCTTTGAGAGTGACTTTGAGATGATCAAGCGCAAGGGTACCATAGTTTCGGTTGGGAATGCGTCTGGAGCCGTACCCCCCTTCCCGCCGCTGAAGTTGACTCCGAAGAATATCAGAATCGTCAGACCCACGTGCGTGGTTCTACTATCCCATCGGGTACTCCAACCTCATAGTTTCCGTCTCCTCCTACAGGATGGGCAACTACGTCGTCACGCCGGAAGAGCAAGAACATTATGGAAATGAACTATGGGATCTCATCTCCAAGGGCGTTCTAAAGATCAACGTCTTCAAGGAGTACGAGTTCTCCGCGGAGGGCGTAAAGCAGGCTCAGACGGACTTGGTGAGCGGGAAGACGACGGGCAAGCTCGTGATCAAGATCGGAAACTGATATCACGAGCGCTGAAGAAGAAGGCAAGAGACTTGTACGATATATATTGTTTCACGAGCAGGAGAATCACCAGTTGTGCTGTCGAGGATGACCTGAGAATCACTTTGACTTGCCAGATGGATACCACGCACACACTAGGTACGGGTGCAATTGGCATCGTTGGATTGGCTATTACCGCATATTGCCCTTGTGGTGAGCTTCATGTGTCAAGGCATCTGTCAACGCAGAGGAAAGCGGAGGATCATCGCCATCGCCGAGTGGGCTATGAAGGCTGCGCTTTGGAGCAGTCTCAACACAATCCGAGACTTGCGAAGTCCTAACGCAGGACATCATCGTCCTGCGTATATCCATTCAATGGGAGTGATCCTGCGCTCACGACTGGCGGGCGTGGCAACATATGAGACTTGATCGCAGTGTTTGTACAGGAGTTTCGGCATAGATATGCCCTTGAATTTCGAGGCGATCTCAGTACCCAACAGGAGACAGGGGATCGACCTGTCGTCAGCGGTAGACAAAGATGGGTGGCTGGTGGCGGCAGCCACACAGGCCGAGAATAGCAACCCTGCGGCGGAGGGCGGGGCGATCGGTCTCTGTGGCCCGCATCGAGGTTAGGCGCAGGGTCCGCCGGGCATTCTGCGGACTTTGCAGTCCCCGGCCGACAGACAGTGTCGCCGCCAGTCCTTCCTTCGGCCGCTGGCTATATAACTATTACCTCCTCTCTTCGACGTTCTTTGGCTCTGGACTTAACTTAATACCGTATACCCCGCCCGCAGAAGAGCAGCGCGTCCTGCTTTATGGAGGCTCCGTCGCTTGTGCTAGTCCCGCCGACCCCTTTCGACTTGGCTCTCCCCGGCCACTCTCCTGCGTCCTCAGCCCCGTCCACGCCTGAGCTGACACAGTCGACCGCCGACCACGAGCGCAGCTCTTCTGAAACTTCGATACCTTCCATATATTCTATGTACCGCGATCAGCGGGGCAGCTGGTCCGCCTCGCCTCGCAATTCGGAAGACGCGCAGACACCGGTCGGCACCAGAGAGCCCATCCCTCGCGACTCGTACCAGTCCGCCCGCTCAAAGAGCGCCGCCAGTGTATACTATGATGCTGGGTCCACCAGCAGAGCTTCCACGCGGGTCGATGTGCTAAAAGCGTCCATCACACCTGGTGGCTCGCGGCGGACGTCTTACACCGACGCCAGGCCTCCGTCCAGCCATGAATCGTCTCTTGCGTATATCAACGGAGATGCGACTGATGAAGACTGGGCATCAATAGGACAGTCGTTCATGCACAATGTCAACGTCGCAGCGGTACCCTACTCCCCTCCCAAGTCCACTCGTGACTCTGCTGCCAGCCATCACTCGTCTCCCGGAAGCACACGTACAAGTCGGCCTTCGTCGCAACAGCGTAGATCTGAGCAGTCGAATGGCATCCCACAAATCGTCACCCCTCCTCGCCGTTCATCCTCCCGCCCTTCTTCCTCATACAATGACGACGCCTCAACTCCCCGTACGCATGCTAGTCCACGGACATCATCACCTCGGCCAACCTCACAAGCACTCTTGACGCCAGAGACAACCCCTCTGACTCCTCCAAAACCTTCAGCATCACCCAAGTCCCGTTCCAAGTCACCTGTAAGCTCTCCAGAAAGTCATCGTTCTTTTGCTCCATCGGAGGGGGAAGATGCAGAGTCATTCCACGTTCGGAGTACATATGCACAATTGGATATGACGGGTGTGAAAGGCGATGGGTATGAGGAGGGCGTAGAGAGGACACGGGCGAGGATAGGAATGAGTAGGACGAGTGAGCTCAGAGCAGAAGCTGCCCTGGCAGACGAGAATGAGAAAGCACGAGAGTTAACTCCCAAGGAAGTCGAGACCCTTGCAAGTCTGGACCGGTTAGTGTATCTTCAGAGGATGTTCTCCGTCTAACTTCAACATCCCCACCACAGTTATGGCTTCTTCTCCATACCTTCACACGACCGTCTGATTCTCTTACCTGCCTCACCACTACAGAAACCATTCACCCGCCTATCGTCCGTTTCCACGGGTGGACCTGCACAGGCCGCCTCCCTCACGTCCGTCCCACCACCTCGCACTCCTGCGAAAGAACTCTCGCGGATAGCCAAATGGAACCGGATGCTCGAGCCGCTGAAACGCGACGTCGGTGCAAACGTGGAGCTCTGGACAGTGCGGCACAACAAGGAGCACAAACTGCGCGAGCGCACCTACAAGGGCGTCCCCGATCGTTGGAGGGCAGCGGCATGGGAGCTCTTCACCGCGAGGTACTCGAAGACCGGTAAGCGGGAGATGGAGAAGTGGGCAGAGGAGTATCGGGAGAACTTGGACAAAGCTTCGAGTTACGACGTGCAGATCGACCTGGATGTGCCGCGGACGATTAGCGGACATATCATGTTCCGTACGCGGTATGGTTCGGGGTAAGTTTCCGGCTGCACTCTAGCAACCAAATAGCGCTGACTGTCATTTCGCATTCCAGTCAACGATCACTATTTCACGTGCTTCATTCCTTTTCGCTTCGATGCGAGGATTGCGGGTATTGCCAAGGAATGGGTCCCATAGCAGCGACTCTCCTGTGTTATTTCGATCCGGAGCGAGCGTACTCGTGCCTCGTGCGGCTACACGACGCCTATGCGATGCACGCAATCTTCCAGCCAGGTTTCCCTGGATTGTTAGAAGCCATCTATGTGCAGGAGCGTATCATGCAGCAGATGATGCCGGGCGTGTATGAGGCGTTCAAGAAGCATATGATCTCCACGACGAGTTATGCTACGAAGTGGTACATCACCTTGTTCGCAAACTCTGTTCCGTTCCAGACGCAGCTTCGGTTGTGGGACGTCTTCTTGCTTGAGGGATATGATATCTTCGTTGTCGTCGCTATCTCAATAGTCTGGGTTTATAGAGGTGCGTGAAACCCGATAGGATCATTCGATGTATCTGTATCCTGATCTGAGCGATGTCTGGTTATATAGATCACATCACGTCGAGCTCGGCCAGTTTCGAGACTGTGTTATCACTGTTGTCGTCGTTCTTTGTTCCGGAGGACGACGATGCCCTTCTCTCCTGGATAGGCAAGGTCCTGGACGACAAGAAGCTCCGGGCCAACATGCAACAGTGGCGTCAGGAGTGGAAGCAGCTTGTCGCCACCGGCCAGGACAGTACCGCTCTGTTATAGCACTGGCGTTCCCTTCCGCTCTCTGCGCAACCTCATCCTTCCTGGTGTTCTATTCGGACTCTCATAGGCCGTGGCATTTCTCTTCTGGACGTAGTCCGTATAATCATCATAATCATGCTTGTTGTTCGCATTGCATCGTCTGTCGTTTATCATCCCGCATAGCACCTGTACTATGTAGCATTGCATATAGCATTACGAGTCAACGTTCTCCGTGGATCCGATAGCCTCGTGCCCTGTCTGGAATGCGATATCAGCCAGATAGGATCCCCTCCATTCGGGCTCCTTGAGATCTTGCTGATATACGGGATCTAATCATTCGTGTCTGGCGTTCGGTGCTATTTGCAGCCTCTACCTTCTTCTCGATGAGGCAAGGAAGCAACTTTGTACGTTGCACGTGGAGAGCGGATGCAGTGGCTTCTCGCAGTTAGCCATTTACAGACAAGGATGCATTCCATTCCTGGAGGTCGCCTTGTATTCAGGAATTACCCAGAGTAGATGTCCCTTTGCGACGGGACCCACTGCGGGGTATATAACACTGCTAGAAGCTGATGCTTCCCCTCAGACCAGCCAAGGTCATACTCCATCGAGGCAGCAGCGTCTTTCATCCTCGTACGGTCGGCCCTGCCTTCGACGAACCCCGCTGCGCGCGTTCAGCGGCCTCCTCCCCTCATCACGAGTGCGCGAGACACCATCCTCCCCTCTATCACGAAATAACGAATCATCCTGGCCCAGGCAGTCCATCTGCATCTCTCCCCCTTATCAATCATCATCATCATTCTCGGGATCCATACCATTGCATCAGCATCCTAAACGCATTGTAATATCACCTCGCATAAATCACAATCATCCACCAGCATGTCTTCCTACTCCGCATCATACAGCGCCACGCCCACATCCCCCACATTCGCATTCTTCCCGACAAGTCCATCCGCGCCGCACGCGTTCGCGTCCATGCAGCAGTCTCCGCGCGACTCGCACTCGATGTACGCAGCGCTCGGGGGCACCGCCGCTTCACAGGGAGCGGCGAAGGCCAGCCAGCCAAGCTCCGCCACCACGAGTACGTTTGCCAGGTTCACGGGGCGGAAGTGATCGCCAGACGCCACTTCATGTCCATCATCAGAACATGCTATACCCACTTACCTCACGGCGGGTGTTTCTGGAGATGCCCGCTATTGTAATTTATCGGCTGGAGTGACGGTGGGGGCAGGACAGGACAGGAGGCGGGGAAGAAGCGGAGAGGGGGAGGGAAGGACTCTATTCATGGTTCCCACAGCACATTGTTCTTATAGCACCACCCTGGCATTACATTTGTATCCTTTATTGTCTCGCCTATTGTCAATATCTTGGGACGACTGCAATTTCATAGATTCCATTTACCTCGTAGCTTGCTTACTTATGACTCGAATGAAGGCTTCTCCGTCCAGTTAGAGAGCGTGAAGTCAGCAAGAGATGGTGGCACTGGTCAAGACGGTTATCGGCTTGGGCCGAGTGCCGTCATGGATCGCGGGCTGTGCCGGTGGCACTAAAGATAGCCTGAGCGCGTCTGCAATATAGGCCCAGGTCACGGTCAGGGAGTTGTAACTGGTCTGTGCGCTTTCTCCACATCGTCTGCAATGGCGCCGCGACCGTCCTCAACGGCGGCATCGTCCAACACCCAAACAGCCTACTCCTTGACGCTCCTCTCGGAATACACCCACACGCTCGATTCCCTGCCCATCGACCTGTCGCGCAATTTCGCCGACCTGCGGGAGCTCGACGCTGTGCTCTCCTCGTCGATGCAGTCCGTCACAGCCAAAGTAGAGCGCCTAACCAAGATGATAGAAGAGAACACCAGCCCGAAAGAGGAGCGGCTGTATCTGCTCGCCGAGATAGCAGAGGAGGCATCGCGTCTGAAACCCGGCAGCGACGACAAGATACGGGTGGCTTGCCACGCCGCCGACAATCTCAGGTTCCACGCGAACTACCTCACCGACCTCCTCGAGCCCATTCCCAACTTTGACGCAACCATCATGAATCGCAAGACTATCTATCCTCACGTCGCGACGAAATCCTATGGCCCGATCAACGCGACGGAGCCTGGGAGGCGCAGGCGGAACGCCCCAGCCAACTCCCTTATCACTGCTACGGAGAGCCCTGCTGCGAAGAAGAGGAGGACCGCGAAGGACGATGAGCTTGACGGTACGAAGTCGCCGCGGAAGGTGGAGAGTGGCGCTCAGCGCCCTCGAGGTGGACCTCGCGCAAAGAAGTACGTCAGGGCATTTGAGCATATCATCACCTTCCATTTATTTGCTATACAGGAACGACCGCGCTGGATCTCCCGCCGAATCTCTTCTCTCGGTCGCATCACATATCCCGGGTCACGCCTCCCACCAGGCCGCTCAAGCCACTTCGAAGAGCAATGGCAATCACCATCAAAGTGCTGCTCGCAGCGGCAATGGTGCCAACAAACGGGGCCGGAACAACAACAACAACCACGCCACCCGGAGCCCTGACGATCTTTATACATACGAAGCTGCCGCCTCCTCCAGTCGCAGAGACATCTTTAACGGCCCGCCGTCTACATCCCATCCTTCTCTACCCCAGCCTTACATCAATGGGGTGGGTCCCGAATGGGCTCATGGGCAACTTGAAGGGCCGGGAGTGCCTCCCGTGGCTAGATCCAGTCAACCTCCGTTAGCAATTGCCGCTGCCACTGCAAGTGTCACCGCGGTATCGGCGTCTGGTGTATCGGCGAAGGCAGGGGCCGCAGAGATCGTCACGGACGGGGGAGAAGAGGCTGCGGAAGGCGATGGCGATGACGGCAAGACATACTGTTTCTGCGATCGTCCGAGCTTTGGAGAGATGATCGCCTGCGACAACGCGAATTGCGAGAAAGAATGGGTACGTGGATCATGACGTCTGGAGGGAGGTATCGCGCTAATGACAGTTCGTGCATAGTTTCATTTGCAGTGTATTGGTATGGTGACAGCCCCCGTCGGGACATGGTATTGCGAAGTATGCCAGTCTCAGGGTTATGGCAAGAGAGCGCCTCGGGGAGGCAGGAGAACCGGCGGAAAGCGAGCAGGGAACAGGGCCAGCGCCAATGCGTAGAGTGGTGTATCGGTCAGACTGTTACTTACCCTGCCGTCTCTAACTTATTCTAGTTCGTCATAGTCTACGTCTCCCGTCTTGTACCGACCTTGTGTATTCAAAACCCCTTCCTATACCATGATATTGCCACAGCTGCACTGGAATTTTCTGGAGGCTTTTCCGGAAAGATGCGCTTCGCATTATTGTCCTCCGTGCGTCCGCATTCAATCTGTTGATTCGATTCGCAGCACTTCCGTCTTCAACAGAACCCACTGTTGCATGGTTTTCTAGCATATTCCAGAGTCGCGTGTCAAGGCCAGTGTCGTCCTTGGCCACCTCCCCGGGATGGATGTTATGACTTCGTAAGGCATGAGTGATGCAATCGGCGTAGGTTGATCAGCGCTCCGAGTCCGTTTCTGCTCATAATTGGCAGTCGGTGGATGACTAAGAAGCATGACGGAACCAAATGGACAGCATAAAATGCACAAATTAGGAAAGTACCCCGGAGGACGAGGCTTTAGCAAGCAGCCTCGACTGACCAATTGTCCTTGCGACGTAGACGTTGTATCGCCGTCAAGCAGAGTTCGTGCAGAGTAGAAAAGGGCCCAGCATGAGCGTTGTAACTGCAGAATTTCCCCGTTTCTCAAACACTCTCGTATTCGACTAGCTCACCTCCACCGCTTCAGCCCAAGTATTCACCATGCCGTCCTACGCTATTGTTGGTGCTTCTCGTGGCATTGGCGTAAGTAATTTTGGACCACCAGCTATACGGATTTGAGCTGATATCCTGTCTGCAGTTGGAGTTCGTTAAGCAATTGGTGAGATGTCCTCGCGAGACCGGCATCACGAATCACTAGGCTCACCTTGTTTCGACTATACAGAGCGCAGACCCGAAGAACGTCGTGTTCGGCCTTGTGCGCAACCCCGCGGGCTCGACGAAGCTCACCGAGATCAAGGCCCCCAACGTGCATGTTGTGAAGGCCGACATTACCGACAGGAAGTCACTAGATGTATGTCTTTTCTTTTGCCATCGTTCATAAAGCACTCACTGACGGACGTTTCATTAGGCTGCAGCAGCTGAGGTCGCAAAGGTGACTGGCGGAAGCCTCGACGTCCTCGTCAACAATGCTGCCCTCCTTCCCGAAGGCCGCACGCAGCGCAGCCTGGGTGGCTAGTGAGTATTCATCATTCCAGGATGATAGCGTCATATATTGACGTTTGTCTCCAGCGGCCCCGACGAGCAGGAGACGCTTGCAGAGGACCTCCGGGAGGCGTTCAACGTGAACGTTGTTGGTGTTGTGCACAGCATCAACGCTTTCCTCCCGCTCCTCAAGAAGGGCTCCCTCAAGAAGGTTATCACCCTCTCCACGGGTACTGCCGACGTCGACTTCACCCTCAAAGTCAACTTCCCGATTACCGCCCCCTACTCCATCTCCAAGGCCGCCCTGAACATGGTCGTCGCGAAGTACGCCGTGGAGTACAAGAACGAGGGCATCGCCTTCCTGGCTATCAGCCCAGGCCTTGTAAACACCTCGGAGAAGCCTCGTCAGTATATCCAGATTCCTAATTCTTTTGATGAGATTATCTAACGTAGTATGTATACAGCTTCACCTGAGGAACTCGAAGTCTTCAAGGCTCTAATTGCTACCTTCCAGAAGGATTACCCTCACTGGAACGGTCCTATCACTCCCGAGGAGTCCGTGAAGTTGATGTTGAAGGTCATTAATGGATTCACCATCGAGCAGACGGGAGCCTTCGTGTCGCACTACGGAAACAAGCAGTGGCTGTAAATGGACTTCGGACATCTTGCATCAAGACAACGTTGTAATATAGCTGCATAGTACAAATATAATCGGTTTCATGGAGTTCATCAGTCTCAACGCGGGAGCGGGACCGAAGTAAAGAAGTCGTCCATAGCATGTGCATACCATGCGTCGCCTTCATAACCTGCCTGAAACGACGGTCCATTGGTTGCTTCGCACACCACAACACATCTGTCCCGAGCGAACGGGATCAGGACGCCCGGAGTATATTAGCCGCACATTACGAGTATACATGGATACACATGCCCGACGAATGCAAGCACAATGGGGCGCTAGCGCCGTTTCGAGCTCCTGTCGTCGCCATTCGGCGAGCCTCTGCGCTTCCTGTAGGTAGATCAGGAAGAACTGACGAGACGCGACCTAGGAAGGAATTTTTTAGTACTCACCGGCTCCCTCTGTCATCATCAGGTGTTGCATTGTCCCTATGTGCCCCACCTCCACCTCCGCCGTAGTCTAGACCATCGACAGCAGGTGCATTGGCATCCTTGTCCCTATATTTTTGATTCCTCGGTCCTGTAGGAACGTTTGGAGGAAGAGGAGAGGCTGGTCTAACAGGAAGGTTTTGAGGTGCTAGAAAGTGCCCGGGTTAGTGCCTACTATGAAAGGAGCAGTGATAGCAGTCTTACCGTGGCCTCTACCTCTCCCCATACCGTACCCACCCCGCATGCCACGCACTCCCATGCCTTGCTGCATGGGTCGTCCTCGGTACGATACAGGAGTGGCGGGACCTCGTGGTGCGGCGGGAATGGGAGTCGGAGTTTGCACAGGTCCAGAACTGGGACCCTGGCTAGGGCCGGGGCCAGGAGTGCCGCTGCCCTCCATCCCTGGGTACATCTGTTGGCCCATGCCGGTCTGATCCTGATCACGAAGACGGCTTGTCAAAATATGGTTTTCGGAAATGACGGCTCCGAAGCTTACCTGCATGCCCTGCATGCCAAATTCTCCACCCATACCCATACCCATCATACCTGCACCCGGCCCACCGGCACCGAATCCTTCACCCATACCCATCCCAGGTCCGCCCTGCTCGGGCGTCGCACCAGCTGCCCCCGGAACCATGCCTTCCTGCATCATCTGGCCAGGTCCTTGCATGCCCATGCCCATATTGCCCATATTGCCCATGTCACCCATCCCCATTCCCATCATCCCTGACATGTCTGGGTGCATCATGGGATTCATGCCCATGCCCGCCTGCATCATGGCGGGGTTGGGACCGCCGCCTGGCATCATGGAAGCGACGTTCGCCATGATCATCGTCCGGACTTCTGGTGGAAGGGCAGCGATTTGCTCCTCCGGCATCCCAGCGAAGTTCTGGTGGGGAACGTTAATCCATTTCGCAACGTGAACGCTTGTCCTATTGTGTAAATCGCACATACCAAGATATTCGCTTTGAGAGAGCTAGCGACGTCTCCCATCTCTCTCCTCCGATAGCAGTAAGCTTCCCATGATACCTCATCGAAGCCATAGTTGAACCAGTCACTGATATCCGAGCCGGGTCTTCTCCAGGGCTTCTCCGCCATAGCCTGGATATCATATTCGAAGATTGACCTGCCATCGATGGTACCTGGCAGCGACGGATTGATAGAGGGATGGGATGGGGGCGCATGTGCAGGGGGAAGTGTGTTCGGGTCAGGTCCGTCATCTGCTTGTTTCTGCTCTTGGGGCTGGCTTTCTGGGGGTTGGGACTGGGAGGATATTGACGTCGGTTGTGGGGTTGCTTGAGGAGTGGACCTGGAGGTTAACGATTTGTTGAGAGGGTCACCCCGTTCTCGTGGGGTATACTCCGTCGTAAGTGATGGTGCTGGTGCTAGAATATACCGAGTACCGAGATTAGACGAGGTCGACCAACATTGTTCAGATAAGTGCTTACGGCCCGGTTTAGTGGGAGTGCTCACACTTGCACTAAGAGTGCGGGTAACGCTGGGACGGTTTTGTCTGCCTAGGCACTTAACAGGGAAACCGGAACAGAGGCCATGTACACATACCGGAAGTCAAGTGAGCGATTAGCTGGCTCCATAATAATCTCGATATCCTGCACCCATGTTCATTATAGCGGAGCGTAGGAAGGGGGGTTATTAAACGTACATCTTCGCTTTCGTCCCCCTCATCTTCGTCCTCGTCACCCATGTCCCCGCGATCTTCTTCCTCCTCGTCCGCATTTTCTTCCTTCACGTTCGCTTCCAGTTGGGCCAAGACACCGTTTGCAGGCTGGGCCTTTTCTAGGGGAACCCTACATCCTCACTGTAAGAACCTGACAGCCCTGCCACTTCGCTAGAGACTCACGGCTGAGGCACTGTCACACAACACGCGAAGGCGGGAGGAAGATCAATGATTATTTCAAGAGCATACGAGTTACATGAAAAGAAGCGCTCCCTCCCCAATACGCCTCGTAACCATGAACAGCTCTTACCAGAAGTCTCAACGGTAGTAGACTGCCCGGCGTCCGTCGGGTCGCCGTAGAGGTAGGCGTCATCATCTTCGTCCCTGGGTAAAACCGGTGAGCAAGGCACACGACAGAAACACCAGAACATACATGTTTCCCGGTAGACGGATGCAACGAAGCCGTCTACTACAGCCTACAAACGGTGGCAGACTACAACAAGCGCTTCACGTGGCTGTGGCGAGTGGTCAATAACTTTCCCAAATTGGGTATGTCAAGAAACGACGAGCTTTCAATATTCAGCTCATGCTGCCACCACAAACAGCTCGTGTCGCAAGCACGTCTGCTCTACGCTTGCAGACTCGCAGCTATGCTATCTCGGTCAAGCCGCCCGTAGTCTACCCTGGCAAGCCAGAACCCAGGATCTATGGAACGAAGAAGACTTTCCTCTACAACCACTACACCCGAATCCTTCAGTCCTCTTCCAATTCGCCGCTCATCTTCCTAGAGCACAAGGATTTCTCCGTGCCTCGCCTAATTCAATTGCGGAAGGAGATTCAAAATGCTTCTGCACGCGCTGCAAAAGCAAGATCATCGGTGGGCATGTCGCCTACACCCGTCTCACCTGAAGCCGCAGAGCCGCCCAACTTAAAAGTTATGCGCACCTCTATCTTCGGCGTCGCTCTGCGGGACTATGCGCCCTTGGACAAAGATGCTGTTTCCGAAATCGCGAATATGGTGCATGGAGGATTTGCAATTCTCAGCCTGCCAACATTGAACCCTCCCCAACTCAACGCTATCCTGCGAGCCCTCGACCGAGCTGTGCCTCCGAAGAAGCCGCCAACACCGGAGCAGCTCGCACAGGCCAAGGCTGAAGCCGATGCAGACCCTGTGACGCCTGGGCGACGACCGAAGCGTCAGAGGCCTATCAAGACCCCCGAGCTGAAGCTCGTCGGAGCGCTGATCGAGGGACGTGTGTTCACTCCCCCTGCAGTGCAGGATGTGTCGAAGCTGCCCACGTTAGACACCCTGAGGGCCCAGATTGTCGGTCTGCTTAGCACGCCGGCCATGCAGCTTGCGGCAGTTCTGAGCGAGGCGAGTGGAGGCAAACTGGCGAGGACGCTGGAAGGCTTCAAGAAGAGCTTGGAGGAAGGACAATCGGCGGAGTCCAGTCCTCCGTCTTGATGACGCTCCCTCTTGCAGTCTGGCTTACATGAGGTATGTTATGCTCTCTTCCTCCTTACGGGCGATACTAATGGTCGTATCACAGATGTTGGTGTGTAGTTTAGTAGAGTGGCATCGTATGCTACTGGTGCTGAATCTGATGCGTCGTTCCACGGATAATATGGTCAAGCACAGTAATATAATAGCACTGTCCTAGAGTTCTATTCAGGCATAGAACCTCTCATAAAGGCCGCAATCCAAGACTGGGACCCATTATTCCCCGGGGCACGGGTCGCTGAACTAATCTTTTAGACAAAACTCCCATGTTCGGTCTTCCCCACCCTGGCCTGTCGTCCCTTGACCGCCAAGTCTCTCACCCTTCGTCATACGGTGTTCGTAGCCTTTCCAAGCAGATCGGACGAACTGGAACGAACGCAGCTGTACGTATCTGGGATTTGGCTTAGCGCCGAGAGATGCAGGCGGTGGGGGTGTCTTAGCGAGCTTTGGTACATCCCTGAGGTCAAGTCGAAACGTGAAACGTAAGACGAGATTGAACTGAAGAAAGCTTCCCTGTCGACTCACCAAAGCGTGTATGGCGGTACGTTTCGCAGAGTTATGAGGACAGTCCCTCTGGACCTTGTATCAAGTGATGGCTTTTTCTCGCCCGCAGCACCGTTGTCCAACGGGTCGTCGTCGTCGTCATCTTCACCTGGCTTTCTTTTCCGCTTGTGCCTTTGCTGTACGGAAGGGATGGGGCCTTCTATCAGGAAATGTGACGCAGACCGGAGAAATCCAAGGATTAGCAGCTGGTTTGAAAGGATATTCCTATCCTGGTCTGTGATGCCTTTCCCTGATATAAGATTGAGCATGAACTCCGGGTCACCTTGAGATGAGTTGCGGGTACATTTTACCTGCATGGGGGAAATTCCATACTATCCTGTCGAACTTCCGGCCTTTCAGAGCAGCGCACTTCTCCAGCTTCATAGCATCCACGCTGAACAGGACCTCGACGCCTTTCTGCCGCAGAGTAGCAACAATCTCTCTGCACTCGGGGTACTTCTCGTAGCAATCTTCCTCACTGTCGTATCCGGTAGCGGTCACGTTCCCTGGCGGCAAGAATTCTAGGCTGGGTGGGGGAGATGCAACCAGCGCGTGGGCGAAAGAGAAGTTGCCTTCTCCGATGAGGAGTATGGTGTCCGACGGAGAGAATGGTATCGTTGCCTGACGCTCCTGCGCCGCTTTTCCCTTCCCTTTGGATTTTGGTTTGGTAGGCCCGTTCTTGTCCTTGTGGTCCGCTGCCTTGGCTGCTTTGGCAGCCTTTTCTTTCTTGTCCACCCGAGCCTGGTGGGACAGGAGCGCGGCTTTGAGTGATGACTTATTCCCGGCCTTCCCCATCGCGTTCAACAACGCAGACAACAGCTAAGACAGTGATGGGGAGAAAGGATGAGATGTCAAGCTTTCAAGCGGTATACGATCGGACATCTTCATTTCGGACGACTACATTCTCACGCCCTCTCACGGCTAACTTGAACGTGCACAAGACATGGCCAAGCACCACGGCACCACCCCGGCGAATGAACCTGTACTATTGATCTCTAACGCCAGATAACTCGTCTCATACTGGCATTCATCCCTTTCACTGCTGCTGCATCAGAAGGCGAAGGAGGCGTACGATCCGCAGGCAGTAAGTCGCAGTCTAAGTTCTCATGTAAGCCATTACACCCTGGTATTCACGTCTACGAGCTGAAGATGGACATGCAGACTATGACCTTATCCATTGCAAGTTCAGAGACCGTAGGAATGCACAGGGCGCTCGCGCTCCCCGACATCCTCCACCTAGTCTGCGACCACCTCATCTGGTCCGCAGACGGCTTTCCATCCCAGGAATCCCAGCGAGACATGCTCATGCTCGCGCTTACATGCAAGGCGTTCCTCCCCATTGCCCTAGACACCCTCTGGTCACACATGCGCTCGCTGGTGCCCCTGATGAAGCTGCTACCAACCTTCGGGTCAGCGTATCGCGGGGGTCTCTTTGTACGTCCTCTCGCTAGCAGATCTCCACTCACGATGGCATTGGCTGAAGGTTCTCAAAGAAAACGTCCCTCCGGAGACCTGGCGAGTATTCGACGCTTACGCCGCGCGGATACGTTCTCTCAATCACTCGCAGAACCTGCGGACTGATCCTTCTGTGTATGAAGCCCTCCTGCGATGGCATCCATCACCGCTGCTTCCCCGTCTTCGGCAGCTACTATGGCGAGGGGGAGATTTCTCTCTCTCAGAAGCTAAACTCCTCCAGTCACCTTCACTGCGCCACGCGCGATTCCTGTTGACTGAATACCCTGAGCAGGGCGGTGGCGTCCAGACTTTCCTAGAGCGGCTGTCCGAAACACAACTCCAGGAACTGACCTTGTGGGGAAAGATACCGCCAGGCTGTCTGACGCTAGTCCCCCGGTTCCAGCACTTACGCATGCTGTACGTATGGGAGGCCTACCGCGGAGTGAAGATCCTCCGTGACAAGCAGTCATGGGAAGACGTGCACGCAGGCATATACAAAAGCGCGTTCGAAATGGAACAGCTCACGTCTCTATCCCTCCGCCTGCCGCTGGAGAACACCTACGAGTTCCCCGAGCGCATCGCGCTAGGGAACCTGGACTACCTGTGCCTGCGCGGGTCCGTCGAGTCCCTGATCCCGCTCTTCGAAGTGCTCTCTGCGGACCAGCTCTGGGAACTGGATCTCACGGCCGACACGCACGGCAGCCCGGAGGGGTGCAACTACCGCGGGCTGCTCTCCAAGCTGCGGTTCCCGCATCTGCGCGTGCTGGAGCTCAGCACGACGAACGAGGACCGCGCGGAGCTCGCGCTCGACTACGCCGACATCGTCGAGCCGCTGCTCGGCCTGCGCGCGCTGGAGAATGTCCTCGTTAACTTCCCCAGTGATACGGTCCGCCTGGGGGACGACGACGTGCTGGCGATGGCGAGCGCGTGGCCGTGCCTGCAGAAGCTGCGCGTGGTGACGGCGAACAGCGACCGGCCGCCGGTGGGCGCGGCTGCCATCCCGACGCTGCGCGCGCTCGCCTACCTTGCGCGGGGGTGTCCGGAGCTGCAGTCGCTCGAGCTGCAAATCGACGCCTCGGGCGCGGTGCCGGCGCCTGTGAGTATGGATAGGGATCATGGCCTCCGAAGCCTGGACATGCGGTGCTCGCCCGTAGGCGATGCTCGAAAGGTGGCGGTGTGGCTGAATGGTGTGTTTCCGAGCCTGGAAGTGGGGGTGTCGGCGAAGAGGGGCTGGGGCTGGGGACATGTGTGGAATCAGATCTGCGTCCTGCGGGTACTCGGGGAGCTCGGTTATACGGATGTTGTTGCAGCGCTGGGCTGAGCTTTCTCACCCAACGGCGGAGGGCTCTTCTTCGAACATCCGTATTTCTGCCTCGGGTGCTTATTTCGGAATCGGCGTAGCAACGCGCTACGGAGAGCTTGGGGATGAGGGAGTGCGGAATGCGGACTGCGGGGGGAATGCCACTACGTTGTCGCCCTTGGTTGCCGTTCCCGGACCCGAGGATCCTTATGCAACTGTGCCTCCCTTGTCGGCCCCACGGTCGTGGGTATCTGCACATTGCTTCACTTGCCTACTCCCGCTCAGCAAGAGATTCTATATGCAACCGTGGAAGAAGTAGGTACAGAAGGGAGGTGACAGTCGCATGACGGGTCAAGCTGCGAACGTCGCTTTAAATGAAGCATCCCGCGGGCCGTTGAGTGGTCCGAATATGTCGCGATTAATCGATGTGGATGAGACTGCGAGGACGGTCCCGATCCTGGTTGTAAGTAGCAGCAGAGGAGCGAAGAGAAGATGGCGGCACGTGCAGAGACCTGACGGGGAACATTCAAAATACCAAGGTCCTGCCATTCACGGGCATTGTCAGCTAGCTATAGGGACTGAGAGCGCACGAACGGAATAAATACGGGTCGAGGGGGAGGGTACTCAATCGGGGGTTTATATCAGGACGTAACAGATCCGAGCTTTCTCGAAGAGGTGCCCCAGATTTTGGGGCTGCGAAGAGCAGGCGACGTGTGTATTAGTCGCGATGAGAAACTGATTCTGATCACGTCTTCCCACAACACTCGAACTGTTTCGAGCAGGAGTTGCATTCCGCTCATATCCTGTATGCAAGTGGACGGCTCCGAGGGTGCTGCAGAGCGCGTCTGCCGGCGGTGAGCTGCATAAATAGCGTGTACCGCCACCGGTGTTCGATAGTCGAGACCCCAGACCGGGGCCAATCAGGATCAACAGAAGCAGGACGCGTGGGAGAAATGACGCGCCACTACGCTCCACAAATTCCCGCAGCAACGAGCGCGGATGCATCGAGCTCTGACACGTTCACGGTTGTCAACCCGGATGCGTTCCTCCTGCTAATCCTCCGTCTCATTCTCCCCGCTGGATGCCCGCCTCTCTTTGACCCCGATTCCTTCGCAAATGGGCCTCCTCGACCACCGACCAGCCAAGTGGCGCAAGTCCGCCGACTACAATAATGTCCTCCCCCTCCACCCCTCGCGTGCAGGCTCACCGGACTCGTGTTCCAGCCTCTCTGGCTATCCGAGGCGCTACAAGCGCTTGCTCACCGCTGCAGTCGTCGGCCTGTCCGTGCTTGGCCTGCTCTATACCTTTGGCTCGACGCCAGCTGCCCAGACCGCCATCAAGATCGAGTCAATGGTCGACGAATTCGCCACCAGTGAACCCAATCCGAATCCGCCGCTATATGAGACGTGGCATGAAGCGGAGCTGTCTATGCCGCAACACGACCCCGATCTGCCGTTTCCGGAGGGCAAGGACGGGAGGTACCTTTGGCTTCCAAATCATGTACATAGTAAGTCTCACATGCTCCCTGACGTCGCTTGGTACTGAGCTCGCCAGATTCTGGATGGGGAAATGCTATGCAAGAGCTAATACTGAACGCACATCTATCATACGTCGCCAAGCGAACGTACGTCTCACTTTTCTTGCTTTACCTACATCCCGCCCTAATCCCGGACGCTCAGATTTGTATTTGACAATTATACCTGGAACCGAGATCTGTCTCAAGAATACTCGGATTTCAACGGCAAACTTATACCATCCCGGATACCATTGACAGCACTAATAAACGGTACGTGCATTCGCTTTAGTACCCCAACCCCTTCTTTTGATCGTGGCTGCGGAAATAGGTCCCATTGTCGGCGATTCATTCCCCAAGGGCGAGGTACATCCAAGAGCAGTACGGAAGGAGTTTTGGGAGAAAGTATGTCCCGAACGGACGATCATCCATGGGTCGGAGGTGACCTCCTCGTTACCCTCGGAAGCACCTGCAAGTCAGGTTATGCAGGCATGGGTGGATAAGCTAAACTCGATTGAGGACCGTTGTGTGGAGTTGGATATGTACTCTGCCCAAATCTTCGAGATATGGTGAGTGTCTCGAAAAAGTCCGTAAGGGCGATTGGCTGATATGGCGTTCCAGGATATTCGGGTCTAAACGTGTACTGGACATCTGGCCTTCGCTTCGTGTCTCGCCGATTCTTACTCAATTCCACTGGTCACCCCTGATCCACTCGGCAGTCGAATATAATTCCCATCTTTTCGCAACGACCACCTTCCTATCCTCGCTTCTCTCCTCCCTCCCCATCATCTCGCCCTTCTTCCAAACCAACTACAACCCCACTTCCCTCGACCAGTACAAGCCCATCCCCGGCCTACTCGCCCTGCACATCCGGCGCGGCGACTTTGTCGACCACTGCCACCACCTCGCCAAGTGGTCGTCCCTGTACAACGGTTTCAACAGCTTCCCCGACCTGCCGGACAAGTTCGAGCCGCCGCCGGGCGGCGGGTGGGGCACGACGACGCCGGAGAACGACGCGATCTACCTGCAGCACTGCTTCCCCTCGGTCGAGCAGATCGTCGAGCGCGTGTCGCAGGTGCGCAACGACGAGCAGGCGCGGCTGCGGCGGCGCGGCGGGGCGCTGAGGAGTGTGTTCATCATGACGAACGGGAAGGCGGAGTGGGTGGACGAGCTGAAGGAGGCCCTGCGGCAGCGCGCGCTGGCGGAGGGGAGGGAGTGGGAGAATGTGGCGAGTAGCCGGGATTTGGTGCTCAGTCGGGAGCAGAAGTACGTCGCGCAGGCGGTGGATATGGTTATTGGCCAGAGGGCGCAGGTTATCATCGGCAATGGCGTAAGTGGGTTTTGCCTGGTTGCGTGAAGGGACGTTGCTGATAGTTTGTGTTGCAGTTCTCGAGTCTAACGTCGAACGTGGTCATGCTACGCATGGCGAACAACATCCACCCAGATACGAACCGTTTCTGGTGATCGGCGGAGAAACCACCTCTTCGTGTCCTTGCTGCTGTATTGTTGTATATGAAAGGGACTTGGACGACCCAAAGCACCGCTATGCCTCGCGCCATCGCGCCCCGGACAGGGACTGTACATATGCTTCCCCCCTCTCTTCCCTCCTGGATAGACAATGGCTTGCAGGACCTTGTCAGCCCGCCGCTCGTTGACGCACAGCATTTTTCTTTTCTTACTTTCTGCTCTGTGAACAATCACATGTATCTGTAGCTGGTGCTTGCCTTCTTATCATACAAATTCTAATCTCACATGCTATTGGACGATCAATGGTATGGAGTTCCTGCGGTCCGGAATAGGCAGGCGAGTTGCCCGAATGGGGTATGGATGTCGATGTGCCACATCTACGTCAAGGTATGATATCACAGGCATCATTGGCGCAGAGAGAACGCTAGCATCGGTCACGACGCTCGATGCTGCTCAGCGTTGGGGTGAGATCTCGCGGCGACGACCGTCTATATAAAGTCGGGGTAATCACAGGTGAGCGATACACGAATTCATAACCAATAACCTGCGCAGTATTCACGATCCTTCCGATGATGCAGTCTACGCTCGCTCCTGAGGACCCGAGATCGTTCGCGGAGGTGGTCAAGGAGGTTCCGCCGCCGGACGAGCATGAGCATGAGGAGGATGGGCAGTCCCCGGATGGGAAGCATAGCGATATCCCGACATCGGTGGATAGCGTCCCAGTGACGAAGGAACGACCGGTGTACGTTCCAGACGACAAGTCCAAGCTCGGGGACACAGGTGCGGCCCCTTCGATCGCACGAATTGGAGACGCGATGCATATGCTTATCACGTTGGAAAGGTGTTCCCCGCGCGAACCAGGCTGCTACGAGGAGCCACCCGCAGGGCACGACCGCCAACTCGTACAACAAGAAGCACGCGAACGAGACGGTGCTGCAGCAGCACTGCGCGTTCTTTGACCGGGACGGCGACGGCGTCATCTGGCCGCAGGACACCTTCCGCGGGTTCTACCAGCTGGGCTTCGGGCTCCTGCTGAGCGCGTTCTCGATGTGGATCATCCACACGTTCTTTGCGTACCCGACGCAGACCTCCTGGGTGCCCGACCCGCTCTTCCGCGTGCACGTGCGGAACATCCACCGCGACAAGCACGGGTCGGACAGCGGGGCGTACGATAATGAGGGGCGGTTCGTGCCGGAGAAGTTTGAGGACTTCTTCGAGAAGTATTCGAGCCTGCCGGGCAAGGACGGGCTGACGGTGTGGGATACGGTGCGCGCAATTGTGGGGCAGAGGTGTATTCTGGACCCGGTGGGGTGGGGCGCGGTGGTGTTTGAGTGGTTGGCGACGTGGATTTTGCTGAGGCCCAGGGATTGGGTGATTAGGAAGGAGCAGGTCCGGGGCGTTTATGACGGGAGCATCTTCTGGAATCTCGCTGCTGAGAGGAAGGGGGTCAAGGTGCATCAATGAGGGGGCAGTTGTAAACCAGGGCATCCATTTTCTGGGCTTGTAAATCATAGATATGTCGGAAAAATCCAAAAACCCATATCAGGTCTGACGAAGCCTGATGGTCTTATAATGCCTGATAGGGTTTGGTTTCTATCCTGGTCAGGACTTATCAGGCCCGATAAGATGTGACAGTGTTTCCGGTCTCGTATACATGTTTTTATTAGTACCTTGCGCCTAAAATAAGTCAGTACTATGCAACTGTGAATTCAGTGCATTACCACGATGCCCTCGTACGGCGGGATTATAATAATGAAGTGGTGTTGCATATGCCCCATACACACAGAAGGAACCAGATGACGGTATATAGCACGATTTGTTTCATATTTAGTATTGCACATTTGGTATAGTAGTTAACTCGCGCGACCTAAGTCTCTGTCGACTTGGCGGCCCTGTGTTCGAACCTGACCAGTGCACTCAGGTGACCTAAGATGCTAATTGGACCATAAAATGCATGTACAGCCGCTTGCAGATCGATAGACCATCAATTCAGAAAACCACGTATAGTCGGAGTGGGTCGGAGTGGGTGCCAGGGACGTCGGAAGAAGGTAGAGAAGTCCAGATGGTCTGATTTCTGTCTCTCGGGGACTTGAAATTGCTTGTCCGACGTGGTCCGACTGTAAATGATTTTCAAAAGGTGGGCCCATCGATCTGCAAATGGCTGTAAGGAGAGAGACTACAAAATCAGCTGAGTTCGGGAACAATGGAGGCGGAAGCGAAGTGAGATTTTTATTATTATTCGTGGAAAACCCTATAAGGTCTCATAAGACCTGATCAGGTAGCGTCAGGCTGATCAGGCTCCATCAGGCTGGTAGCGCGTTATTCCATATTTTCGAACCTAATATGGGTATTAACGACCTGATGGCCTTATTGGACCTGATAAGTTCTTACAACGTCCGATAAGGTTTTTTCGGAATTTCCGACATACCAGTAATATGTAATATCAGTGACCGCACTCGTCTAGGACGAATCTGCTTCCCATCCAGTATCGGCTCAAGGGATTGTGTGTTCACTTCATACGCGATCGTTGACAGGATGCACTCGACGCCATGGCTCATATTACAGATTTAATTTGTTACTTCGGTACATCTTCGAGTCCCCTACACGATCGAGAAGAATAATGATACAGGCATATCGCTCATGCGGCTGAGGCCGACTTGATGAAGGTCTGTCATGCAAAGATAAGATATCGGACCGTAACTTCGTGATCAGTCGGACGTACCGTCAGTCCGCTCGGGTTGGCGCCCACCAAGTCGTTGAGCTTGTTGCCGTTCTTGAAGGCGATGAAGGTGGGCATCTAGGTATAATCGTGGGTAGTCAGTACCTTGGGATATCCTTACACGATTGAACAACGGGACTTACAGCGCGGACGCCGACCTCCTGGGCGATATCGGGCTGCTCGTCGACGTCGACCTTGTAGAATTCGACGTCGCCGTACTCTTCGGAGAGCTTCTCGAAGATGGGGGAGATGACCTTGCACGGGCCGCACCACGTCGCCCAGAAGTCGAACACGGTCACCTTGTCCTTCTTAATCTGCGTCCCAGTCCCATGCCATCTTGATCAGCGATGCCACCCTAACCGCACGGATCCACAGATAACACGTACGATCTCGTGGAACTTCTCGACAGAGTCGACGGGGGTGACTTTTCCGCCCATATTTGTTGTGGTATTTGGTTGACTTGTGTTTGTCTGTGTAGTCTTTGCTGGAGAGAGGTACTCGGGGCTGCAGGATCGGGCTGAGCTGCTTTTATAGGCGCGATTAGATCAAGCGCGCCATCCTTGGTCATGGGTCACGTGCCCTCGCTGACAGAAGCAAGCTCAGAACGGGCCCGGGATGTGTGCTGTGCTCGAATTCCATAAGTATGTCGAGGCTGAGCTGATGACGGTGGCAGACGTCGCAATGCTGTGGGTAAGACGAGAAACTTCGAGTAAATGCGCATGCCCAGTTGGAGAGAGGATATTTGATCCAAGGCGGCGTTATCATCGCAAGTTGTGGCACTGTCTACTATGGAAGTACCATTACCTAACTCGGAGATGTTGGACACGAGCCGAATGCTGAGAGCGATAATTTCTGCACTCGAGTTCAGACTTTTTTATACATTCCAGAGCACAGTCGCATACGTATAACGTCCTTTCATTTTGTAACGTCCAGCTGGAGGAGTCCGACATAAAACAGTCGCCAGCTTGCCTCGCGGAGCGGCTGCGTAGACGATGTCATAGAGCCCAGGCTCCCGCCAAGGCCCGGTGGCGAACCGCTACCGACGTCTACGCGCCTGCGGGGTATCGCGTCCGCATCCCAACACTTTTCTGTCTTCATCGTACGCTGCAGCGACAGAGGCTCTTCAACGTCTGCAAACGACTTTGCTCGCGGTCTAAACGCGCTAGCGCCTCGAGATCTCATCGAACTCTATTCCTCATTCGAGGCCTCTTCGTGCGTTGCTGGGAATTGCTCGCCCGCCGACCTTCAACTGACTTGCAACGTGTCTTGTTTGCTGTGGTTTTTACCCAGGTTATCTCCGTATCCACTCTGACATTGCCAGCGGGCCCGGCAACCCAGTGATTTGCCTAGTTCTTGTGCAGACGAACTCTCCTTAGACCTGTATATCTTTCCAACTCGCGCTCGACTAGGCCTAATTACTTGATACCATGGCTCCCAATTTCCTCTCAAAGCTCGTTAAACCATCGCCTGATAGGCGTTCTGGCGAAGCCTCCCGCAATCCTTCCCCTGGACGCCCTCATTCCAAAAGTTTGAGCGCCGCCGACTCCGACTCCAGTTTTCACTCGCCAGGCCACCTCGATGGCAGTGAAGAGGGCCATCCCAATGTTATGATCGTGCCGCCCTCCCCAGCAAGCCACGGTCGCAGCGAGACCTTTTCATTCCCGAGTGAAGACGGTCATTCCCCAGATCAGGGTCACGGCCACCAGCGTTTCAGGACGGAGACGGGATTGGGCCTTGGCCCGAGCCCTCCGAGACAGGGTGGAGTGGATAGACGTGCAGTGTCATTAAGTGTGGGGGTGGGGAACTCGTCGCCCTTGGCCTCGCAGCATTCACCAAATGATGATGCAATGCCCACACCCACGCCTGCCAGCATGAGTGCCGCGTCATCTGCGCGGAACACACAGAGCTTTTTCCCGGATGACGGGAAGCCTGACTCGTCCGTCGACTCCTCGCCCGAGAAAAACCTCCCTCGCACGCCCTCGAAATCCTCCATGAATTCCCAAGGGAAGCACCCCCGCTCCATGACCGATTCTGCGCTGGGGTTGGATCTCACTAACCTCGACCGAGACCGGCGCGGGTCGAATGCGTCCACGATGTCCTCCGACGGGGAGGGACACATGCCGACGGTTGTCGAGTCCCCCACAGCCCTCCGCACAGAATTCATCCCCCACGGGACGATCAACGCGCCCCGCGGCGTCCCCACCATGTCTGCCTCCGCGAGCAGCAACAGCAACAACTACCTGAGTCCGCACCGGCGCGCCGACACGGACACCGTCTCCATCAAGTCGACGTCCACCTCGGGGAAGAAGCGCCGCCCGTGGCGGCGCGGGTCGAACACGTCCTCGCCGCCGTCCACCATCGCCACCCTGCCGAGCGCGATCTCGGCCAGCTCGAGCAACAACAGCGCGAAGAAGCGCGACCGGAAGCAGACGGGCGGCGGCCTCGCGAGCGCGCTGGCGGCGAGCGGGCTCGCGATGGCGAACGCGGGGAGCGGGATGCCCATGCCGCAGATCCTGCAGCAGTACCAGAACGGGACGCCGCGCAGGGGCGACGCGAACGGGAACGGGTTCACGCTGATGAAGTCGAGCTCGTCGACGTCGCTTGCGAAGCCGCGCTCGCAGTCGGACTTGGGCTCGTCGGTCTCGGGCTCGCCGACTCGGACGCGGGGCGCGCCCAATAAGAAAGGGCGGACAAAGTCGCGGTCGCGGAATACGTCGCTGGGCTCGGACCCGCGTATGGAGGGCAGCGCTAATGGCGATGCGCATTCTGGTCAGGATAGCGATGATCTGTTCGACAGCGGGAGTGACGAGGACTTAAGTGATGAGGAGAGTGACGACTTGGGCGATGATGATATTCCGGTGACGGGCTTTGCTGTTGCTAGTAACAAGAGGAATGCCGATTTCCATGAGCTGTTCCCCACCATCCCTGAAGGGGACTATCTGATTGATGGTGAGTGATTCATGGCTCAAGCATTCGCTCGACCGGACGGTTGATTGCGTTTCACTGTAGACTATGGGTGCGCGTTACAACGTGAAATCCTCATCCAAGGTCGTCTGTACATTTCGGAAAATCACGTCTGCTTCCACGCAAATATCTTCGGCTGGATCACAGACGTGCGTGTCTCTTTACTCTTATTTACTTCCGGGGACTGACAGCTCTACCTCCAATCATCTCCACGTCGCTGATGGCAAAATCTCGGAATATGATCACGCGGACAACAGCTGTGCATACCCATGTACGAGATAACTTCGCTGGAGAAGAAAATGACAGCGTTCGTCATCCCCAACGCGATCCAAATAAATACGCGCACCGCCAAGTACACGTTCGCGTCCTTCCTGTCCCGCGACACAACCTTCGACGTCATTTTTAATATCTGGCGGTTAGCACGGCCGGAGGACTGGAGCATGGGCGATCGCAGCGCCCGGCCGAGCCTCGAGGGCGCGGGCCAGGCCGGGGACGCGGTGGTGCCAGCGGGCGCGAAGGGGAAGATAAAAGCGGCCAGAAAGGTCACGCAGTGCGCTTGTTTGAAGAATGGGGACCATTACACGGAGACGGCGATGGACACAGTCTTGCCTGGGACGCCGGAGAAGATCTATAATTTGATGTTTGCGAGTGGGTTTGTTAAAGAGTTCATGGTGCAGGACCAGAAGCTTCAAGGTGCGTCTTGTCCATCACGTATAAGATACCTAACTCAGGATATTGACGCGCATATGTTGCGCAGATATCCAAATATCCGACTGGACGCCGATCCCGGATAATCCCAAGTGCTTAGCTCGCAATATGTCTTACATCAAGCCTCTGTCCGGCGGTTTAGGTCCAAAGCAGACGAAGTGCGAACTCCGTGATGAAACAATGCACTGTGACTTCGACGACTATGTCGTGATGCTCACCACTACGAGGACGCCTGATGTCCCCAGCGGGAACGTCTTCTCTGTAAAGACGAAGACGTGCTTGATGTGGGCAAGCAATGTGAGCACCAGGATCATTGTCACGAGCCAGGTCGAGTGGACAGGGCGGAGTTTCATAAAAGGTACGAGTCAGCCCGCGAATATGTACTAGGGGATAAGCTGATCTGTATATGCAGGCATTATCGAAAAGTCGTGTCTGGAGGGACAGAAGACATACCACGCTGAGCTCGACGCGGCTATCCGGCGTTACATCTCGGAACATCAGTCCGAATTTGTGCCCGAAGGCGTCGACCCAGCCGCTGCCATAGCCGAAGCCGAAGATGAGCTGGTGGAATCGTCCGTCTCAGCTACGCCTGGCCAGGAACGGACATCCACTGACTCAGCCCGCAAATCACGGGCCTCGTCAGGCAACCAACGTGGTCTGCAGTGGGCTTGGGATACTTTCGAGGGCGCGTACAAAGTTGGCAAGCAATCCGCTGTCGGTGCGATCGAGCTCATCAAGGACGCGTGGGACCAGTCTTCCACGACCACCATATTATATTTCATCATTATCTTCCTGGTGATCAGCAATATCTATTCTCTCATCATTGTGGGCAAGCGAGAGGACGTGGGCCGCAGGAAGGAGATGAAACGGACAGAGGAGCGCGAGAAGTGGGTGCAGGGTGTGGTCACCACATTGTGGGAGGAACTCGCTGCGAGTAGATCTGGCGGGGCGCCGACAATTCGAGCGAGCGATGACTGGAGGGGCGAGGTGGCCGACATCAACAAGGCGCTGGATGTCTTGGAATTGCGTGTACAGAACCTCAGGGGAAGTTTGAAGGACTTGGACTAATTCTTCTCTTGGTTGCCAATCTGAAATTTCTTGGGTTCAATAGGGTGGAATGCGTGCCACACTGGTTGCTGTGTAATAGTTATGAGATAGTGTATATTTAGTTGCTGCTAGAGATCGAATAATGTACAAGAATATCAGAGTTAAGGAGAGTGAATGTGATCCGGTATTTGGAATGGCAAGCTAGAAAGCACTTATGTTTGTCGTGAGGAGAGGACATGGCAAAGTGAGATATATAATTATAGACAGCAATGTTCAAAGCAACGCCGATGCACGCCAATACTCGGCACTCGGCACACATGAATATAATGAATGGTTGCGGCATATGTTAGTCCAAATGAGAGGGTCGACATGAAATTCATCAATGTAGAACAGGAGCCCAGCAGAAGGATGTAAAGGGCGTCAGCTCAACCACCCGGGTGCTATCGAGGAGGTGCGAATAGCGAGAGGACCTTTTCCGCGCCTTCCTTGTACTTCTTCAGTTTCTTGTTCTTCTGCTTTTCCGGCTCCTCAGCTGATGGTGACTGGGCTTTCAGTGTACCCGACGGCCCTACATCATCACTATCTGGCCCGTCCCCGTTCCCCGATTGGTCGGAAGACACACTGGTATTGCCAACCGACGTAGCGGACTCCTTCGATTTTAACGAAGGTGACATGGGGAGAGTAGTCCCATCCGAAGAAGCGGGAGTCAAAAACCCATTTGATGTGCTCGATGTCACTGTAGCAGAAGCGGATTGACTGAGACTCTTAACAGTTGTGACAGAGCGAGACGACTGAGTCGAAGACGGTGGGGATTTTGCGCGCAGGAATTGCCTGGGATGTTTCCGGAATGTCAAGCCAGGTGTCCTCCCCCTACGTTGTTTCTCTGACGGGGACGGAGAATCACCGGCCTCGCCAATTTCGGATTTGCTGGACTTGCTGGACATGACACGGGGTGCAGCTCGAGCGGGGGTTGAACCCTTTCGGAGCGCTAGCCTATACCGGTCCACAACACCTCGAGAGAACAAAGTTGGACCCTTGGATCCGTTGCGCTCCTCGCCTTCGCCAGCTTCCACGAAATCCCAGTCATCATCCTCTTCATCGCGTTCAGTTGCTTCGGTCTCTTCTCCGCCAGCGTCTGAGAGGTATTTGTCCAAAGCTGGGATACCTGATTTCTCCCTGCGACTCCGGGTGAAGCGCGCGGACTTGGGCCTCGACTTCTGCTCCACTTTCTTAGACGGCTGGACTAGAGCATTGTCGGCGGGCTGTACTCTGGAGACCTCCGTCAAAGTACGGCCATTGGTCGGTGCGACCATCGGCTCAGGCTTGGCAAGAGCCTCATGAACGACTTCTGCCTCTGCAGCTGGCAGCACAGCACTACGTGCCTCAGGAGTAGATGCTGCGGTAGCACCTTCTGCGTCCCCGGTATTTGAAGTAGCTGCGACATCAGCCGTCTCAGACACTTCTGTTTCTGGCTCAGCCTCGTTGTCCGTGGCCTCCGATGAAACCTCTTCGTCGTCATCGATGAGAATTGAATGCCGACCCTTGAACGAATAGCCGTCAAACACATCCACCGTCTCCTCCTCCTCTCCAGGGTGGACGGAAGGACTGCGAGACTGTAACGGAGTGGAGGCAGAGTCTTCCCCGTCCGTGCGGTCGGTGTCAGTTTGGTCGCGCTCGCGATCCGTGTCCGTCTCATCATTCTCATTGGGGTCATTGATGACCGGCTCCATTTCAAGAAAGGTGTCATCAAAGTTCTGGGTATCGCTGGCATTCGAAGGATCAATAGGAGGGATGTATGGCGCTGGTGGAATGCAGAGTCAATAGAACTCTATGAGGATGAATCGTAGCCACGCACGTATGTACCGCTTATAATAGACGTGGGACCAATCTCTGTTGTCAAAAACGTAAGCCACCGCTTGGAAAAGTTCAGCATAAAACGCACATCATGGAGAAGTAAGGGTGCTTCTTGATTCGAGGCTCACAGATTCTAAGAGCAGGATTACGTTGAAGCAACTGCAAGAAAACGGTGAGTGCGAGTCGCCAGCGAGGACAAGCTATAACACTGACACCGCGAATTAGACTTTTGGTATCCTGGTCCATGGTTCTATCCTCCGGGAACTGAAGCTCATCTTGTAAGACCCTTACATACATATCAGAATGATTGTTTGCCCAGAACGGTGTCTGCAATCATGATCAGTCCCACCTGACCTCGGTGAAAAACGAAGTAGAACTCACAATGCCGGTCAACATCTCGTAGAGCATCGTGCCGAAGCTCCACCAGTCGACTTCATAACTGTAAGGTAACCCCTGGATCACTTCCGGAGCCAGGTACTCGGCCGTACCACAGAATGTACTCGTTGTGTCGTGCTGTCCTACTGGTTGTCCAGGCCAACCACTTAATTCCCCGTTTTCACCCTTCATCCAGTGAGGGGCCGTCGGAGTCGGAGTGCCAGGTGCAGATGAATAGAACTCTCCCTTCTGGCCCGATGGCGTCGGCGGTGCAGTGATGGCATTCGTCCGGCGCGGAAATTCCTTCGAGAGACCGAAGTCTGTCAAGACAATGTGACCGTCGCCTCCAATCAAGATATTCTCCGGCTTAAGATCTCGGTAGATGACCCCGGCAGCATGAAGCCCTTCAACCCCTTCGACAATCTCAGCAGCGTAGAACCGCGCTCTGTCACGTCCAAGACGGCCCCATCGAGCCAACTGAGTTGCTAGATCACCGCCAGGGTGGAAGTCCTATAGGGGCGCAAGTTAATAGTCTTTCCTCCAGAAGCATTCAGACGCACTCACCATGACAAGATACAAATTCTCCTTATCATGAAAACTCCACCAGAGTTTCACGACGAACGGGTCTGATCCTTCAGCAGCCATACGCTTCAGGACTGCTTGTTCAGTCAGAGTATGCTGCAACTCTTGATGGGCCAAGACGTGTCGTTTGGTGATGGCCTTCAAAGCATAGAAATCTGAGGATGTCTTGTGTCGGACCAGTAATACCTTCCCTGCACAGCCCTTCCCGAGCACACGAATCATCTCGAAGTCACTGATGACAACCTTCCTCTGTGACTTCTTCTTCGAGAGTTGCTTGTGAGGATCAGAAGAACGGGACCTCTTCTTTCGCGCGGTGGGATCATCAGTAGAAGTAGATATCGAGGACTCATCGCCGGTCTGAGAGGCACTGTCGCCATTGAGAGTGGATGGTGTATATGTCTTGGACAAGCGGGTCATAGGGTCGGCTGACTGGGACCGAGGGATCCGAGCGTGCTGGTCGACGGAGTCAGAGGTGCTAGCATTCCCCGCGTGGCCATCTGCGCCATTCAAGGTGGCAGTATCTGCTTCAGGAGTAGAGCGTCCTGCGGCAGCGTCACCCTCCTTTGCACTCTCCTCCTGAACCGCCTCCTCTTCATCCTCCTCCTTGATATCCACCTCCCTTGCAAGGGTGCTCGTCATATCAATATCTCCACTGGTAACGACGTTCGAACCAGAAGTTGGATACTCGTCGTCAAAGCTCTCAACTTCGCTAATGTCGGCAGAAGAGCTGTTTGCTGTGGATGCGTGGCGCTCTGTAGGTGTCTTGGGGCTGACATGCGATGCAAGGTCTGACCGGACACGCTTGATGGCGCGCTCGATACGCACGCTCTCCAAGTCGTCCGTTCGCACGCGAACGAAACGCTTCCAAGCACGGTTGGTGCGCAAAAGTTGGTCGTTCGCAATATCGGTTAGGTAGGCTGCCAGAGCCGTAAGATTGACACTACTGGAAGGCATGGATTTGCCGTTTGTCACCTTAGCGAACGGGTCGCCGATTTCTTGCGAGGGAGAAATCGTAGGGGTGGCGATATTTGACGGCGCGCTCGCTGAAGGAGTGCTCGAATGATTACGTGACTGACGCGAGCCAGACGTCTTCCCTCCAGAGGGGGAAGCCAGTCGAGATAAGGTGTTAAGAAACGCTGACTTCCGTTTGGCAGGGGGCGATAATAGGGATACGTCGATGGGAAGACTGGGGATGCGTGTGTTGGGATTACTCTCGCGCAACTTGTGATGCAATTCGACTATCTCCGTAGCAGTACGCATGAGGGTAAGGTTGTGGGTAGGAGCTAGGGAAGATCAACAGTCAGGATCCTGAGCACAGGCACGTCCCTCTATTACTACAAGGTCTACTCATGGTTGTGCGCAGTATTGCACACAATCACTGCAGAGGCTTTGTTGCAATATGGAAGGAAGCAGCAGGACTCACTCTTCACATAGAGACTATATGACCGCGGATCGTGGGGGTTCTCCGCCACGCTGATCGTCCAAGGGCCGTCTTGGTGGTGGACCCGGATACCACGCCGGAAAGGTCGCGATTGGGATGGATCCATGTTCTCCGAAGCGTCGATCGTTACCACCTCGTCTATATCGTTACTCGAAGGGTTTCCCTCGTCAAACGAAAATCCTTCCGTAACACTCCTGCTATCCTTGCGGCTCTTCCTCCGAGAAGTATAGCTGGAGAGCGTATCCACACTGATCCTCGAGCGACTGCTGTTGACCGGGGTGGAAAACCGAGAAGCAGTATCTGTATCTTTGGATAACGCTGTGAAACCGAGCGCAGCACGAAACTTCTTCGAGGACTGTTCCCGCTGCGGCGAGGAGAGGCGGAGGACACTAGGCATAGAATGCAGAAGTAAATTAGTGACTGTCGGAAGGGATATGACGATTTAACAACAGAGGAGACCGACACAAGCAGGGGCGGATATTAGAATCCCGAGGTTGCAAAAGAGAGAAAGGGGCGACTGGGCGACGGGATTTAGGTTATAGGTGTTGTGCGCAGACGGGGCGTGAAAGCCACGAGCTCCGGACGTTCTGAAAATATGCCACGACTTGATGGGCCTCGAGGCCGTGTTGATATTAGAGTTGCAGACACAAGAGCAGAGTATAACGGAGTTGGGACCAGTCGTGGACGAGCGTCGTATATGAAGGAAAGCAATTATCGGTTACAAGACGCAAGAAGCTGAACACGGAATGGTTCTGGCGTTGCCACCCTGCTGTTTACGGGCGCTTGCGCTTCAGAAACGTACCCCAATTTACAGTTCAACAAATAGCATTTGTCTGTCCTGATATCCGTCATAATGCACTATTCAGGCCAATAGAAGTCTACATAATTGTCTCGCACCATATGTTTCAGCGACAAAGGAGCGCTTGGTCCCCCGAGCAAGTAAATACGCAGTAAATGAAGTCTTCCCTTTCCAGTCCAATCGCTTGTTACCCACTTACCCAGGGTATAGTCTAGTCCCAGGGTCCGCTGAGGTCACGCCCAAAACGATAACGGTACTGTACGGTCTTGGGCTAAGGGTTGGTGAACAGCGGTTGTTCCCTTCTCATTCAGTGGACCATCCTTGTATAGAACGTTAGGGTGCCTAATGGTCTCTGATGTTTTCTTGGATGAAGAGGAGCGTAAGGGGCGAGACCCCATCAAGCATCACCGTAGATCCAAGTTGGGAACATCAATAATCTTGCCACGTCGCTACAGCCAGAGTACATGCTCTGCGAGCAATGGGTGCTCCGGAGATTCGAATAGGTGACGCATTGCCGGTCGTGGGGTCGCATAATCACACTTACGACGGGGTAAGGTGGTATCGAAGTGACCGCGTGCAACTGCTTAGAGCACGGTCTGAATCAGCATCTTCTACGGTCCCGAGACACGGTGGCTGCGAATACCTAAACAGAGGTCTGTGCAAAGACAGTGCCCGTAAGCGGAAAGATGCTCTCACTTGTGAGGATATGGTGCGAATGACAGCATCATCTTTCCGACAAACGCTGAGACATAAGATGTGCTCGGACACTGTACCCAGGCTGAGCTCGGAGCAACTGCGGGGCGATGAAGATCGTCTCTTGGTTAGAACTCATGTGTTGCACAAGCATATTCTCAGAATGGACAAAACTCCGAGACTTATACGGAAAGGTCGATAGCCTAGCACATTTAGGTTGGAATCAGCAAGGCAAACTGTCTAGATCTGCGCATGGCATGACGTACCGATAAGAAACCCTCATTGGAACAAGGGATGAGAGTAGGAATCATGTCACGTCCGCAACGTGCCCAACAAGGCCACCGAAGATGGTAATATCGGAAGCTCGCGTAGACGGAGAGCATGGGCTCGGATAAGCCATGCACTTCAATATGCATACAATACTGTACCGCAATATTCGGATATTGCAAAGGCTCAGCTGCAGGGAACATGCTGTGTGGAACGGGCCTGGGCCATTCACTTTTCGTACCCGGAACCTTAAAGCGTCGGTAGGGCTCTGGTCGGGCGGAAGGGAACAGGCGTAAGATTGCAAGCAAACTCGGTTTGAAAATCAGTGGCAATCATAATGGACGGTCTTTGTCCGCGGGTTATTACCAACATCAGTAAACGGCGCCATTGCGCCTCGACAAAGAACTTTTGCATCAAGAAATGCACCGATCTCAAGAAAATCCTGTACGGATTGGAGGGTTGAACACCGGGAAAGGATGCGCCTGTAAAATGGGAGCGTTGGTGGCCTGCCCATGGGAAGAATACAGAAAGATAGACCAACCTCCGTATTGAACACATAATCTGTGATTACAACAATTGTGCAACAATGAGTGGTGTTCTCGAGGAATGGAAAAGTGAAGCATACCGGATAAGGGCAATACGGAGGCGTCCGCGAAGAGAAGGTAAAGATACTTCAACGTTTCGCTCTAGCGGATCGCTTGAGCAGGAAGTCGACAAAATTGCAAGAGCCACGGACCATAAGGAAAGTCTCCATTTTATCCTCGTGTCGTACGGGTAGTTCGTCTACATTGACAACACTAGCATATCCCCCAGTTTCTATCCGACAGTGCTTCTCGATTGCTTGGAATATTTGCCAGCCCCACTCACGATACCTGCGGTCGCCTGTCACGCGGAATGCGAGGAATAGAGATTCTACGGTCTCGGGACTAACTCGAATCAGATTGACAGCTAATAGAAAGAGCATATCAAGAGCGTACCGGAGTATATATCGGGCGTCCAGAGGGGGGAATTGTCTCGGTCTACATCCCAATGAGCTGACAATCTGCTGGACGTATGACAGTAGAGCCGCATTCACCTTGCCCCTTTAATATACCAATCTTGCGGAGCCTGACCTTGTAACATCGAGTCCACGCCATCGCTTGGTATCCTGAAGTGTACGATCTCGGGAGCAAGACCTCTATGGCCATATTAAGAGATAGCCGGTGAAAGGCTTAAAAGACACCAAGGGTGAACTAACTTACGTGGCTGTTTCGTGTGTAGCCATGCAGGTCCTGATAAGCTCGGCACCAGTCTTCCAGTCCCGGATTCCATGACTCGTCAATAGCTCCGATTTAGGCGGGATAGGCACTTCATCGACTAGTGCTTCGGTAGTCACCGCACCAAGCATCAGTGAACCACCTAAAAAGCATACTAGATGATCCTGCTTTGGCGTTAGCCGCCATGACCTGCAGGGGAAATTAGCTGAATAATTGCAGGCGCTGTGTGACTGTTACTCGCAATTCCCCATTCATATTACGCTCCGGTATAAGCTCGGCTGTGTATGTGAGATGGGAATTCATACTTGTCTTGATAAGGTGTCCATGTATGGCGTCCATCGTATCGGCATACATCTTTGAAACATATATGAGAACATATAACCCGGGACGAGAACATGATACCGACCTCTCGATATACGTGCTCAGTCCGGTTCTGGCGGAATGGACTATAGGGTTGGTATTATGAGACCACTGACGTACTCACGGTCTGAAGATACTGCTTCCTACGCCATCACTCAGCATGTATTGCGAGGAGCGATTTGTTATTTGGTACTCACAAGAGATATTCATAGTATGAGTCCCCGCGCGACCCCAGGCGTATCGCAGCCGGGACAAAACGACCTTCTTGATAGCTGGTACCTATGTCAGAGACATACAATATATACGACTATGACATACTTCATGAAAATGGTAGCCAAGCCAGGAGGCATTCGAGCGGCCTTGATTATGGCCATGACCTGGAAGTCATTCGCCGTGATCATCGGATGCCATGAAAACAGAGGTGTGCAAGTTATCAACCTTTTCGGCTTTCTTCCAGTAGATGTCATCGTCCGTTAACAGGGTAAGATATCGGAACTCCAGCTGGAGTGTAGCGACCTCAGCGGTGCTGACTAAACCCGGATAATCTGGATCTGCCACGCCGACTCGACGTCCCAAGTTGACCATGGTCAAGGGCAGGCCAGACGGAGTGTCGAATGTAGTTAAGATTCGGTCGCCGAGGTCTACGGCTTTCTCCAAGAAAACGGGATCATCTGAGAGATGGTATGCCGACAAGAGACCTCCCAGAACTCGGATAGTGGTCTAAGGAGCACATTGGTATGTGCGCGAATGCAATGCCGAGGGACTTACCTCGAATGTATTGAAATTTGCGTCCCGGTCGAAGGATAGCTTGGTAGCGACCCACTCCTTTGCTCTCTGGTATTCGTCGTCCAAGCCCATGATAAGCATGGTGTCTATTGAATCAGCAACCGTATACCCGATTCCCCCGGCCTTTGTCAGATTGGAGCCTTTGTGGCTTATGGGGTGATATTCATCATCTCCCATCGCGTCCCTCTCTGGCCTAGTTAGCATCGTGAGTTGCATGGCAGCTAATACACTCACCATACGCCAGCCATGCATGCTGGCATCACATTTCTAATGAGCTATTTCTCCAGTTGAAATAACATCTTACGAACCTTGAATGCCTCGACTACAGCATCCCGTTTTCCAATGTCGGCGGACAAGTCAATGGCGTGCGGGTCTCCGGCACCTGGTAAGGGCGATTCGACATAAGAAGACCCTAACCATTGTTCGGACAGTTGCAAGATGACATCTGGGTACTGAACCCATCTCAGAGTCAATCGGATGGTTTTCCAAGCGCTCTATGAGGGCCGCACCATGTATAAGAAGCCAGCCACGATGATACTAAACACAAGATAGGCCAGTCTGCCAGTAGTTACAGACGTTGCACTAGCAACCTCTACCTATTCCAATGTCACATGGGTAAGTAGCTGAGGGGACGAACTCGTACATCTTCAGCATCATTGCTGGACGCGGCTGATTGACTGGCTTTCGTGGCGTTCCTCTTACGAAGGGTAGCATCAGCCATAGCCCCTCAACTTCCAGCAAGTTAGAGGTTGCGGTGTAAGGATCCAGACGCAGCTATTCGACAGTGGACGGGAGCTGGGTGGGCGCACCGGAGGTCTGTTGCGAGAGCGATGACAACGTGTCGCTCCGAGGACGTGTCTGTCATACTGTAGAAGCCCTCCAAAGCAGTGCCGAAAACGTGGCATCGAGAACGCGCATCTGTCAGCGATCGCAAGTGCACTTTCAGCAGGCAGCACAGATAATTCTATAAAATCGGAATTATATTGCAAAATTGTGCGGAACATACGCATCACTACACATGTAAAACACCTACTATTGAAACAACATGAACCCACAGAAGGGACGAAATTGACTCTCGGAGCGATGACGAAGCGAGTTGAACATCGTATGTACAATAAATTAGATGTGTAGTTCGTACTTCGAGGGACGATGCGGTGTGCGGATAATATCGCAAGTGAAGGTGGACTCGAGTATTGAGAATCGATGATGGATGAAAGATGGATAGATGATTGAAGCTGCGAATATATGGTGGCTTACGCCGCACGCTTCGAACGAGCACGGATGGATTTACCGTACTTATAGAACAAGAAAGGGATGGGGCACTGTAAGGACAATCAGCTTCAATTCGCAAAGTGAAATTTGTGGGGTACTCACAATTGCAAGTGCGAGGAAAGCCAACAGAGACGCTGCCCAACCATTTCCTAGGCCATGGAACATCTGGGCTGCAGTACGAGTGAGCAACCGAAGTAATGCCTCAAAACGGATTATACTTACTGATGAATAGCGGCATGGCAGCACCCATGCCACTTCGAACAACGACCTTGGCAGCGAGTGCGGACGCGACATAGGCCGGGAAGGCGTCGATCAAATATGCGTTGGCGGCAAAATAAATGACCACCATTCCGAAACCGAAGGGAATACCAGATATACATGGACCAACCCAGTTACCCCCTCCAGGCATGACGTATGGAGGTGCCGTCCAACCGAAGATGAAGAGAGCTGACGATATGGTCAGATCACTTGTATTGGCACTGAAACTAAATCTGCCACTCACAGATTGGAACAAAGGGTGCGCCTAACATCATCCCTGGAAGTCGGGCTTCAGGATCCGCTTTGCCACCACCCTCCTCAACTTTCTTGGCGTAGAACTTCTCCAGTCGAGGAGTGACAAGCAAGGCCAATGCAAGGCCTATCAGGACACTACAGAATGTGACACCGACGATCCCGTCGCTGAAGTGATATCCCTCCCCGAAGACGACAGGGAAGGAGAAGAAGAACGCGTAAAGGAGACCGTAGATGAGGGAGATATAGAGGGACATTAAGAGCAGAATGGGTTCGGTCACCAGCATTTCTAAATGGAAGTGAACAACATACTTCAATGACTGAGATAAGGTTTACTTACGGAAAGGCCTGACCAAAGTCTCGACCAGAATCTCACTAAACGGTCGAGGGAACATTTCCTGCTCCGTCACAATATTGTAATGACCGGTCTCTTTGCGCATCTTGGCCGCTCGCTTCCGAAGCAATACAGGCGCGTATGTCTCGGGCATGATGGTGACCAGAACGGCACAAACGCCGGCAAGGATCATATTGACCCAGAAAAGCCAACGCCAGCCAATCTGTTCCCCGATGAATCCACCAACGAGTGGTGCTACCACTGGTCCACCGTAGGGAGCAGCAGCAAAAATCTGTCGGAAGAAGTCAGCAGGAGTCGAAGCGGCTGAAATTGAAGATACATACCGCAATAGCGAAACCTCTTTCATTGTTGTCCCAGATATCGCTGATAACGCCACCAGCGAGTGTCAAAGGAGCACTTGCAAAAATACCACAGAAAAAGCGGCAAACGAGCAATGTGCCGATATTCTTGGCGACCGCACATGGAATGTTAAATATGACATATATCCAGAACGATGACGCCAACAAAAGCTTCCGACCATAGAGCTCCGACAAAGGAGACCAGGCCAGGGGACCGATACTACTCAAACATTAGCAACCCAACCCCATCAAACTTACGAAGTAACGTACCCGAATCCGACGACCATGAGGGAAACACTAAGTGCTACAACGACTTCGCTAACATGAAATTCATGTTCTATGTCGCGGAAGTCGCCAGTAACGATAGCGGAACCAAAGGCACAGGCAATGACTGAACAAGCCACTACGAATGTGAGATCTACAGAGAGGAACAATAAGTACTAAACTGAAGTTGGGATACGTGCCACCTACACCATCGGTAGCCATTAGACCAATTACGAGGATCCTCTGGATCATCCACCTTCCACACAACTAACTGGTAATCCGATAATTTACGAGACTTCTCCAAGTCTAGTTGTTTGGCCTCCTTCGTAGGTGCCCGATACAAGGCACCTTGCATAGGCACTACGCCAGACGGATCGACTTCACGATATTCATTGGTGAGACCTGCGCGGAGGTAATCGGTTGTTTGGTAGGGGAAACTGAGATCAGGAGCATCCTGAGAGTGGGTAGGTGGGAGACGAGGGCTTGATGGCTCCTCGTGGACTGTAGGTGTCGGCGAAGGCGAGCGAGTCGAAGCGCCTGTATGATTATTGTTATCGTGTAGCGTAGAGTTATGAGAGGTCGTCATGATGATAGTCTAAGGAGAATCGTCTATGCGTCTATGAGAGAGGAAAGAGAGGAAAGAAGAGAGAACTCTAGCAACCGAAGCGGAGGGGGGTGGAGAAAGCGGATAGGCAGGCGAAGTTAATGACTTCATATATATACTGCCGTCGATGCAAGACACCCGCGATACGGACAAGAAAGGTGACCGAAGCGGATGTAAGAATATGATGATATACAGCATCGGCGAGCGTAAAGGGAGAAGCTTGCCCCGACATGGTCTATTCATTGGTTGAGAGAGTGAGTGGACGGCTGGAGAGCAGCGGAAGCTACTCGTCGATCAATCAATTGCCGCACACCGAGCGGTTGTAAGATGTGCCGGCTGACTAAGCCGGCCGAGCTCTTGTGGTCGTCTAGCCGTGCAGCGCAAGTATCCAGTGTCGGGTCCAACTTGTACAGTCGAACGGCATTGCAGGGTCCAGGCAATATCGTCAGAGTCGGTCAGACCGTCCCCGAGAGCCGCGCTTGACGACTCCCGACGCCCGATGTCCGCGAACGCTTTCTGAATCGGGCCGTTTCACCTTGATCCTCAGGTCCATTGACATCTCGGCTCACCAATATCATGGCGCATCTATCCCAGTGAAAGCATAGCGCGCTGGGGTAGTGTGCCCTCTGGCTTACGACTCGCTGCTTATATACTCACAAGAACATTTGGCAATTTAATCATATATCGCAACAATACACGCCTTATCGGTACTGGATATCCCGTGTTATGTTTTGGATGTCTCCCAACACCCGTCACGCTATTATACATGCCGGGCTTTCGGTAACCGTCTCCTTTTTCACGAGGAAGGTCATCGTGGTGTAGCTTATCGTGATATTGCGTGCCACGAAATCGTCGGAATATTGCGTTCTGTGTAATTTTTGCGCTCGCTGTTATCAAATGGCCAAGGTGATCTCTCCGGTACGTCCAGGACGACGAGAATCCCAACAGCTGCGGGAGTCTAAATTGATACGCCAGTTGCATACTTCACGGATGCTCTCACTATCTTCTCCACTATTTCCAGTTCTTCGTCATCTCGTGGTGCGTACACCATTATCTATGAACCATGAATTAGTATGGTATGGTATGACAAGGCAGGGAACTCCTACGTACCCAGCCATCCGGAACATAGGATAGTGGGAACCGCTCTCCCCATTCTGCCTTGATGACTTCCGCTGCGTCAGCTGGGGACAGGAGGAGGTGCAGGGAAGCGTCCTGCGGATGAGCGTGTGCGACTTCCAACTTCAAGATAGAAGAGTCGGAACTGCGGTTTAGCAGATCTGGCTTCACGTAAATCGCATCTGTGCTACCGCCCTCGGTTTGCGACTTCCTAAGGACAAGCAACTCCGGATATTCTGAGTGCATCTTATTCATCAGGGTTAGTAGCCGCTGTAGATCCATCTGCGTGAGCTCGCGAGCGTGCTGCAAGCTGATTCACACTCACGGCTTTTGTCTTGGGAGGAATCGGTTCCGGTTTCTGACGTTGTGGAAGCGGTCTGTATGCGAAATATTAGTCAATCGGCATTCAAGTAAGAGGACATCCTCATGTCACCGCACCTGGGCAGGATTTGTGGTCTCCCACCTTTCCTGGCCGGAATATCTTCCAACAGTGTGGGTGCCGCCTTCACTTCCAGAGGAGCAGGGTCGCGTAAGTTCCTTCTCTGGAACAAGCGGACCATTCGGAGTTTCGTTATCCTCCAATAACCGGAGAGGTTAGGCGGTGTTCCTCCGGTCCCTATCAAAATTCTTTCAGACTTGCGTCCAGACAGGTCATCGTCGTACGATACCAAAGTTTTTCCATTCCCTATAGTCCCTGATGGCCCATATTGCCCCCAACAAAGCTGCAGTGCAAGCTAGAGCTGCTATTGGGGACCTCGCTAGTCTTTGTACGATATCGCTGCCAGTACGGGATGAGCCCAGGCGTATCCAGATACTGGTAGAAGCGGGATGCTCCATTATTGCTCGTTAGTGTCCTCGAAGTGTGTTGTGTCGTGCCAGGACCGCGCGTCATGCTTATATAGCCCTTGGTACTGTTTGCTGCCGGAAGCCTTCAGTTCGCCACCTTCAAGTTTCGTCACCCAATGACGAGCGCAGGACGGGTTCTGCCGTTCCCCAGGCTGCGTGCTACTTATATTGTATTGCCGTATATCTCCGAAAGCTATCTTCTCGGACACGTTCCCCCCCCCCCTGCGTGGGCAATATCCTGAACATAGGCATTTATGTACCGAGCAGCAGCAACGAGTTCACCAGTCAACTACTATCATTTTGGGGGTTCTGTGAAGATCTCGGAAAACAGCCTGCCACAGGCCCGCTCCTTGGACAATAATTTTACTTTCAGTCAGGCATCATAATAAACCCTCCTAAGTACCATCTGCGCAAATAACCACCCCAATTGACTGGGCAAAACATAATAGAGAGAGATGCCGGTGACGGACCCACAGTCGCAGGTAGTTCTGTCAAAGCGTCACACGCGAGTCACAGTAAGGAATCCGCGCCAATTTCGTCACGCATTTGTCACACCCAGGACCCTTGCACTTCTGTCAAACATACGATAGGAGCAGTTGGAATTGCTTTAACACCAATCGGGTGGGTGAACCATGTTTAGCTATACATAATACAGTGTTCCCCGGTGAGCCGATATTTGCCGGAAGACTGTAGGCCCAGAGATCTAATACATCAGGCCTGTTTCTCATGATTACACTGGGCTGTTTGGACAGTATTTGTCCTCCCATTCAACAATGGTAGAAGATATGACAGTTCTGACTTCACAGGCGTTCTCTACGGGTTACAATTCACCTATGTACCAATCCGCTACGTCACCCGTTACATATTTGTTGAGATTTCGGAGTTCTGTCAAAAATCTGACTTTGACAGAACCCCCAAAATGATAGTACTGCTCAAAACCGAAACTGCTGTAAAGCGTCGTCGTGTGTTCACACCATTCGATCGGTTATCCCCTGAACGCCAAGGTCGATAGCGATTGAAAGGCTCAAGCATAGCGGATTACCCGGGGCGAAAACCGTCTGACCATACATGTGTTTCTACGGGAGGTACTTCAACTTATCGATGTTGTTTTCGTTTCCTCCGTTTGGCTGCGCCCCGAAAGCGTCCTTAAGTCTGCGTCGAAGAATCGCGTATTGACAGACTGAAATGTTGCGCAACAAGTACAGACCAAGCCACCCTGATCGCTTTCGGGTCGACTTTCGCAGTGGCAACTTCGCTTCCCAGCTTCTGGCGGTCAGGGTATGTTTTTTCTGCACCTCTGTCCCTCTAGGTCTGCAAGCACTGACAAGGCAACCCAGGAGTTCGAAGATGGGGAGATTATAGCAACATTGGAAGGCATTACAGAAGGACCTAAACGGTACAGCTCGGTTCAAATCTCCCGAGATATGCATATTGAGGTCTGTGCTTGTGTATCCCTCATCTAGGGAAGTACGACTTACCATGCCCCAGCTGAACTCAGACTTATTATATATGAATCACTCATGTGATCCTTCCGCGATCATCGATGTATCAGCACGTCAAGTTCGCGCTACACGGTTCATCCCAGCCAATACACCTATCACGTTCTTCTATCCCTCCACCGAATGGGAGATGGCGCAGCCTTTCTCTTGTAATTGCGGGGCCAGAAATTGTCTGGGTAGTATTAAGGGAGCCAAGTGGATCGAGGAAGACCGGCTAAAAGACTTCTGGTGTAACGAACACATCTGGGTTTTGAAAAGGGAGCAAAGCGGTAACGGGGAGAGAAACAAGGCTTAGGCATTCGAGCGGTGTGTGTATGCTAAAATATGATATGATATCGCAAGCGTTAAATACGACGTTTATGGTGGCGCGTTTGGAGTTCTTGTGAGACCGATGGAACAGGTAGGACTGACAGTCGAGAGTCAAGAAATCGGGAGCGCGCTCACCCCTACACCGACAGAACTTGCGTGGCGTAGTGTGGCTTGACTTTTCGATACTCACGACACTAAGGTCGAAGGGCGGTACCGCCTTTCGTAGGCTTACCAGGACATCTTCGCAGTATGACCACTCGATCAAGCATACACAGACATGTAATATAATACATGGCTTTACTTACGCCTATCACGAAGACTAGCACTCGTCGCACCTTACAGCATCGTTACCATGACCTTCGTCCTCCGATGGAGACTATGGCCCGAGCCACAAGTGTGAGAATCCTGACTAAGCTACCCTATATTTATGGCGGCCCAAAAATTCGCGACGTGTCCCGGTACATGTCAGATCGCAGTCCTGAATCAACAACCCATCCTATTGAACCTTGGTCTTCAAGATGTCTGGCAGTCTGCAAGCAGCGTGAAGTCTCGCAAGTTTCTTACGCAATTTCCATGTACCAAGTCAAGGCCCTCCTTGCCCTTTCAGGGATATCTTCACATTGGGGGTCTGTTACGGTCATGGTAGATCGATACGGCTTGGTTAATCCATGCTACGTGTCAGCGTTATGCAGGCGTGTGGATCACATGGACTCGAGTCTGGTACGTCTCCGTAGAGTTGATCGCGAACTTGTTCCGCGTCGTGATCGTAGTTTGGGGACAGACAAGCCTCGTTAAATAATTACAGGCTTATGAACTCCTTGCTAGCCGAGTATCCCGTATTCCTTTTCCAATTCCATATCCGATGTTGTGGTGATGTCGTGTGCCGGCTCTCTGCCCTCCTACTCCCATATGTAGCTAACTACTGCCAATATATATTGTCTAGTTTTCATGCCCTGAGCCTCAGCTCGTTGTCCCGACTAGTGTGTCTACTGCTTTACAGATATGTCTTCGAATCTGCCCAATCTATATGGACTCACGGCCAGGATACTTCCATTCCCCTTTCCTTAAAGACTCGGCCTCCTTTCATGACGAAGGTTATTCGGTCTTTCGACACTGCGTCTTCGAAATTCTCCTCCAAGCTCCCGGAAGTGGCGATGATATCTGCAGCCCAACCTTTCCTAAGGGCCCCGAATGGTACTTCATTGTCGCCCACGACTCTCGGGTCTGCAACTTCGGTACCGTCCTCTACAGCCTTGAGCCTCTGTTCACCTTTAGGGCCTTCCCAAGCCATACTTCTCAAGCACTTCCAGCCGCCGAGTGTACCCCAGGAAAGGACTTTTCTCCAGTCCGCGCCTAACCGGACCATAAGTTTCATCTCTAGGGAGTTGTCGCCGTGCGGAAACACGCCGGTATCTCCGCCGCAGGAGATATGGTCGTAATTTACTCTGAGTGCCGCTTTGAAGGCTCTGGCAGCATCGGACTGCTCGAATGTCTTTGGTTGTAGGACGTAGATCACCGAGAGCGTCGGCGTCCATATCATGGGAATCCAATGGTGCGGATCCGCCGTACACTGCAGGTCAACATTCTTGCCCAAAACATCTCGCATAATTTCGTCCAGCTGGGCCTCATCGTCTGTCGAGCAGTCGTCGCCCAGGATATTGAACCCGTGCTCGACGGAGTGGACGCCCAGTCGCTGCAGTCGACGAATTGTCTCCCGCTCAGTGGCGTGCGCAGCGACCTTGACGTCGTACAACGACGCAGTCGAAATCAGCTCCTTGAGCTCATCTAGAGTGAATGTGCTCATTGATGCCCCACCGCGCTTCGTGGACACTTGGATAGTCCGAGAGCGCACACGGTAGTCTGCAGGAATGGTAGGTGAGTACCTCTACAAGCCACTAATCCGAGGTTGTTTATCATTGTCTTACTTGCGTAGATCTATGTCACGGTCAGCCAAGTCCGCCCTTTGGCAAGCAGAAATGGTCTGTCGAATTACCTTTATTTGATCGGCTCCGGCACCAATCTGGCGCCTGACGGCTCTCCGACATTCATCCTTCCCGTCTGCAACTTCTGCACCAGTTATACCATCTATCCCTTCTTTGTTCGGATAAACAGTGCCCTTTGGGCCTGTGAAGAGCAAAGAATTACTACGTTGCCCCAGGTGTCCGCCCTCGCACGATTGCTTACCGTAAGCACCGGTCGGTACAATGGCTCGGGTGACACAGAAGTATCTGGGTCCTGGAGTAAGAGGAATTGGCCCTGAGATACACTTTCGTAGACCGAGGTCAGCGTCTTGGGCGCCCTCCGTTCCTAGATCTCTGGAAGTCGAAAAATCAGGTCAACATGGTTTAAGCTCGAAATCCTCATTACACTGACGGGACATACCTTACGGCCGTGTACCCGGCGAGAAGTGTTCTTCTAGCATGCTGGGTCGCCCGAACCGTACGCTCAGCGAGGCTCTCCTTGGTTAGCTGATCGTCCCAGCTGGTCTCGGCATACGGATGCAGGAAGACTGCGCAATGGAAGTAAGTCCACTTCGATACTCGTCCGAGCGCTAGACTGATAGTAGGATTCTTACAATGTACGTGGGTATCCACAAACCCGGGGAGCACCGTCTGACCCCTCAGATCGATTACGCTGGTGTCATGAGACAGATGTGCCTCCCATTGATGCTCCTTGAATGGACGAACGTCAACGATTAATCCTGAGTCTTCTGATACCGTGATAATCTGATTCTTGTGGAACCCTAGTGTGTATGGATCGAAGACACGCCCCGCGAGTATCCTCCTGGCATGTTCGTCCATTTCATCCCCGTCTTTGAGCTGCATGGAATTGGTGAAAGGGCAACCCGAAAGCTGAGTCCTTCGGAGTATAATACGAACCCGGCTATCGCGCGATATTATAATTATAGGCTTCAACGGGTCCCAAAAGGTCCATTCTGTCCGATTTCGTTTGTATGGCCACATATCCGAGTCAGTAAGACTGAGTAAGTGCTACGATCGCATTCCTGACGGTGTAGATCAAGAGGTTCCTGTTATTCATCCAAGAACAGCATTAACGTTACAGGATAAAGCTAAGAGATACAAGACTGTTCTAATTAAATGGCAACATAGATGTATAATGTATACCTCGTAATGTGATGCTGATGCAGTGGGAATAAGTATGAATTACAAACTTCGTGGTATTGATCCTGATGGCGCGAACGAAACCGAGAAGAGTATGAGAATGCAGTATCCGTGTGAGGCTCCCTAAGTAGCAGACCAGCAATATGTGCGGCAAAATACAATGTACATTTTAGCAAGGGATCGCGCGGAATCACCGAAGGCGAAGAAATTTCACATAGAAAACATGCCGATTCCATTCAGATTGACCTACTCACGCTTAGAGAGGACAATGGGACCTTCAAGAGGGAACGAGTTCACGTCAGGGGCCCAGGAGCGCCACGTTCCGACGAAATTCTGCCCGGCAACCACATAGCCACGGATGATGAGCTTGCCCTCTCGGGGATCGTCGTGGCCCTCTGGATCGACCTGTTAGAGTACGAGATGAGCTAAACCTTCCTAGCGGGAACGTCACAACTTACCCGCACTCTGACGAGAGCAATCAGACCATCCCACGCTCGGATACGACCATAGTAACGATAGTAGTCCCAAGCTCTCCCATGACGATCCTCGGTCTGTAAACCTATTAAGCATCGACCATATTCGAATCACCATTCACACTCACATTGCCGGTGAAAATAATATCAGTAATACCGGAACACTCGTTATAAACGTAGTCATCGTCGTCATCGTCCTCTCCGCGACCAAGACCCGCTTCAATGAAGTCCTCTTCGAAGTCCTCGTGTGTATGGGGTGAGTTCGGCGGAGGGGAGGCGGTTCCATCGCTACTGGAGTTGAGAGAAGCGGAGACGGCACGGGCGCGCTCAATCCCTTCCTCTTCCTCGATCGCAGCGTGGTGAACGCAGATGCGACAGGTACCCTCGTTGTGGGAATTGGACCGACCCTCGACAAATGTCTCGTATGTGTAATGTCGATTATCCGCCGTAACCCATGTCAACTTGCCGTGGTGCTCACGGTATTGGCGGGTTGGCGGAAACCATCCATTCGTAATGCCGTCGTCGAAGTCGTCATCGGCACCACCCACAGGAACAGGGTCTTGAGGATCAATGCAATGGTGCTCATGAAGCCGCATGTATATCGGACGACCAGTGATGAATGGATCATTCTGGAGGAACGTTGGCGGGCGCTGCGCGGTGGTAACCAGGGCCATGTACGTTGGTTCACTAGCAACCTGAAAACAGGTCAGTCCACGAAAAAGCGACAAAAACTACGAACATACAAGAAGGCGGCCCTGCCAAAGACCGGTGAGCATGCCATAGGTGTACACCACTCCCTTGAACTCGGGCTCCCTCAAGAGATCATAGCAATGCGTCCACCTCACCCAATCGTTGTCCCATCTAGCACTCAGGGTTTTCAGATCCCTGTTCCATACGCCGCGACGATCAAGCTCAAGTTGTTCTTCTGAGAGATCGTCTTCCCAATCCCAACGTTGAACAGGGAGCAGCTTCGCCTGCGGGTACGCATTGAACTCCCTGACATCTTCCTGCGTGGGCCCAAACAAGTGTCCTAGCGCGAGTGCATGGTCTCGATTCACGGGTAAGTGCTGGGGGATCATGATAGGTCGAACTTCGCGGCGCGAGAAATAGATAAGTTTCGCAGCCTGCGAGATAAGAGGTGTAGAGACAGTGAACTCTCTGCCGAAATGTCTGACGACGTTCTTGATGGCTGAGGCATTACGATACAGAGGCCATCGTCCATGAGCAGTCCGGACGGATGCCGGGAAGTTGTTATGGTACTCTTCTGGCAAAGGGAAGTAATAGTGGTTGTCGGGAGCATGGAAAGCGGGGTACTGTCGACGGAGGTCAATGATTATGCATGCAAGAAACGCCAACCCGTACTTACACGAAACGCTAGCTCAACATACGGCATGACCATAGCTATCATGTTAGCTCTGTCCTGTTCGCTCTCCGCCAGAAGCCGTTCTAGCCATGGTAGCAGTGTTAGCTGGGAACGTAGACGTTGACGAGGAGACGTACCCTTGGTGGTAGTGAACCAGACAAGCCAAAGAGCGAGTGAGTTCAGCGTCGTTTCTTCCGGCCAGCCAGCATTCAGCGCATCCGCCGTAGACCACAGGCGATTGCGAACAAAGTCATCCACAAACCCCGCCAAGCCAACACGCTCCAGCTGCACCCAGTTCTTCCCGTCGCTCTCCACCATCATAAGGAAAGCGTTCATGAAGTGCCGGTGGAGATCATGGGCGTAGATATTGCGATGTCGCTCGAAAAAGTCAAGGGTCTCGCAATATTCGCGCAATTGCCAGGCGAGGTTGGAGGAACGGAGAGCGCGGGGACCATAGCGGCGAGCAATGGCACTCGCGTCGAACTTTGCTCGGAAGATGCGCGCATACAGCGTGCTGGACTGCGGGCTGTCTATGCTGAACGTCTCGTAGAGGAAGCGGCAGGTAAAGAGCAATGGATTGGACACTCGTCCGAGAGGTGCGGCCACGGCAACCTCACAGCCGATGTTCTCGAGGATCTCCCTGGGCAGGCGCAAGAGAATCGACGTCTGAGGCTCCATCGATAGCAGCAGCAGCAGCGACGACAACGACGGACGGGCAGCAGAGGGACGGACAGCGGAGGGTGAAGGTTATATACAGGAAGATGAACTAGCGTCCGATTATAGCTGACAGGAACGTGAGATCCCCGTTAGCCCGGGGACCGAATCGAAAAGGCAAACCGCCGCCGTAAGTATGTACGAGACGTCGGCGGTGCTGGAAGGGAACCCTTGAAGCAGCCATGTAGCTTCGATACGTAAGGGAGGGACGGCGTAGTGGTCGCTGTCAAAGCCGTGCGGAACAGCGGCCAATGGCAATGTCCGGTCCACAGACCTTCTTGGGCGTCGCATGCTCGTCGCGGACGTTGAACTCGACGCCTTTTCCCCCATTGGTTAGCTCAGGTGCGTGCGCATTGCATATAGCGTTATGTCCGTCGCTAAAAGGCACTTTTTAACGTCATATATGGCATTTGCAGCCGCCCTCGGCTCGCTCGACAAGACCATCTCCGTACTATGTATACGGTGCCATACATCGAGCATAAATCCAGGCGTATCCATACGAGGGGACGGAGGCTCGGACAGACCGGCGGCGACAGGATATATGCGCTATGAATCAGCGGGCGACATGTACAATACTGGCGGGGGTTTGGGAGGCGCCTGGCGGGTTGCCAGTGGTTTCTCTTGGAGGTGAGTATACAAGGATCAAATAGCGACCCTGATGCGGGGCCGATTCAAATCCCGAGATTAATCAGGCGAAATAACCGGTTTATAGCCGAAGTCCGGAGGAAAAGGGAGAAAAGCGCCCTCCAGGGTTCAAGTTAGGCTCGATGGCTAACGACTTTACCCTCTAGCTCGTCAAGCTTTCAAGTGCTGGTCCGAGGTCGACGCTGATGACCGTACGATGCTCATGAGGCTTCCGGCCTTTCTGGCTGCCATCTGGATTCTGTGCTATTATGAGGCTGTCTTCTCCATATCCATGACCCTGGACTTTACTCACGGGCGTCATCCACGCACCTCTATCGTAGGTTCCACTTCCAGCTTACAATGTCAGCTAAGGTCCCACGGCCTACTTCATCAGGGTACCGCCGTTCTCCTGTGATCGCCGCTCCTCGTCTGGGTATTCGACTGATGTTGATTGATGTGGCCGTCCACGGGTACCCTAGGTGCTCAATAGAGCGACCTGATATACGCCTTGGATGTCCACATTAATGCCCACTCAGATCCAGGCAAGGTCTAACTCGTTATCAGCTGACTGGCCTCCATATATCCCTGTCCCCACTTGTCTCCGACCTCTGCTGTCAGGATTTTCGCAGCTCGGCGCTCTGGCAGTACCCATATCTTCTGATCGGTTATATCTTACCTAAATCACGACTTACCCACCCGCACGAACCGACGGCGGACGAGAATGCGAATGCTTACCTGGTGACGGACGAATCGGCTTGCAAGTGTTCTCCGTCCTTCGCAAACTCAGCTTCAGATCCCGACGATTCCTTTACGTCGCTCGTTCCTGATGCCGCAGCTCTGTTGAATATGAAGCTTTTGCAATACCTGCTCTGCGTTACTAGTAGCTGACGGCAATCCATCTGGAGAGATGGCGGTTTCTTGCGTAGTTCGTACCAAGGGTGATGTCGACGTCACTATGCTGAGCTATGTAGTAATCCGTTCACTCGATGTCTCTGCTCTTCTCATGTTCTAGTTTCTAGTGGCTTACAAATAATCTCAAATACACCATCCTATGGCCTGTCATGATGGAATGACCGATGCTCACACTCGTGGACGATGGACTTAGAGCTCGTATCAGATTCAGTACCAACTGAAGGTAAGATGGATTCGGTGATAGTTCCGTGATGAACCCCACGATAAGGATAAGTTTGTACACTGATTACTCGCGGTTTACGCAGACAGGTGGAGCCCACTGCCGCGTTCGGTGGCATTTCATGCCTAAAGCCTGGACAATGTGGCTGGTGACACAGGCAGTGTGCTATAGTTCGTTTTTAGGAGGTCACAAGCCCCGACTTCCGAGGGGATCCGCGGGCCCAATCAGTTCGTTTCATACATTCAGGTCATGGACAATCTGCGTTTCAGACGAGGCCGACGCTAACAGCCCGCTCTACAGCTAGGTGGTTGACGAGCTAACCCTGCAGCTTCTCATTGACAGACTTGCTATTACACCACGGAGCTTACCTAACCACCTCATTACCAGTGGGCGGCGCCCGGGGAGTCTGGATCGCTCGTCCTCATTCCTGAGGGGACCTCAGTCGCTCCGCCGCCGTCTTGCCATTGATTGGTGGGTTCCCTTGCTTTCTCTGCGCTTACGGAGAAGTCATGCATGGGGATTGATGCGGCGACTCATCATGCTTCCATTATATCGAGAAGCTAGGGCCGTACAAAATTGGATAGGGTCTGTTATCCAAGCCCTTTCATCCATCACTGTATCTTGTGCACAACACAGTCGCTAGGGTTTGGATCCTTAGGCCTTATAGCTCACGCTCGCCAGATTGCTGCCGGCCCGCTCAACGGTCCCGAAGGATAGTGCGACTGCCGCCTTAGGCCGACTCGAGGACAGGTAATGAGATACTTACGTTACATTCGATCATGAACGCCATCCTTTGCTCACGACAAAGCATCCGTCTTTTCGCTTCCTCACCCACCGTTTGTCGGGTCTCAGGGAAAGGCGTTTCCCGTGTAAAGGCGCAATGGAGCTCAGCGAATGCTTCCTCGATTTCGTGAGAACCCTCAGCTTTGCCCTGCGTGCAAGGCGCACTCGCACCCAATATTCCGAGCGAATATGTCGGTTTTGTGGCGTCCTTTTTCTGGCCGTCGCCGTCGGTCCCCGACCGCCTACGTTTCTGTATACCAGGCCTGTGTTATAACAACCGTATCGTCTGGTACATTAGATCCAATTTCCTCGACACCCTTGATGCCTCCGTCGTTAGCTGTACGACGGACATTTGGACAGGTATGGCTTGATTGTTTCCGTATCCGTCGACTTTCCGATTACTCCTGCAGGCTTAGCTCCCCTGCCCCAGGTTACGAGATATCCAAGATCTAGGTCTGCGCAACCCTGGAGTTTAGCGTCGGCTATCAGATTCGCCTGGGACCCACATTACCCCACATCTGGAGTTCTGAACCCGCTCGTCCCGCGTACATAATTGAGGCTGCGGAGACTCGTGTCTGCTGCTCTCGATCGTTCCTGACTGGATTTCCAACTAGTGTTCACCTACAACCCGCACAAATATCGGCCAAATCTGCGCTCTTCTCGGGTCTTTCCTCGGGTTTACTCGTTCCTGAACCATAGTGGACGACCTCAATCAAATTCTTGTTTCATTGGTGATGTCGGGCTTCGTGATTCTGGCTTTAAGGGGGGCCACGAGTCGTCCGCTGATTCATCGTCGCTCAGACCGGCTCTCTCGAAGGCACGTTCTTCTTCCTGAGCCAAACGTGTTTTCTGCATTGAAATGCTGCGTTGCGGCGGGAGAAGCTTGTGTACGCGTTGAGTCTTACGGCGACGTGCAAGCTTGTATCGGACTGGGTGCGTCTGAGAATGACCTAGGCCGAGCGTGAAGCGATTCGCGAACAAGGAGCACAGGTAGGTTTGCACCTCGATTATCTGCTTGTCTATCCTCTGGAGGACTTGGAGGATTTTAGTGCGCGTGGCGCTGTCCGCTGTCGTGGCAGGGCATGTGCGATTCACGTTCAGTGCTATGCACAATTCTCGATGCATATATTGCTTGTGTGCCGGACGCACGTTATAAGTTTCAGGCAAAGTATTTCATTTGACACGCCATGCACGTCACAGCACTTCCTCCCCTTGTCACTGACGATCGTGCGTGGAATTTGATGGATGATAGCTGCTGCCACGATCGGGGAGTGGAGTATATATGTCAAGGAATGCAAGCTGGTGTTCCCCCGAGTCGTGACAGCAATCCAAGTCTTTTGCGGTCTATGTCCGTCGCGGGATCTCCATATCTGTGAGCTGCGAAACATCACGCTCAATATCTGCAGTCTAGCTCCGGTCAGACTCTATCAGAGTCTCGAATACCTTGTTATGGAATGACTATTATGGCTTCATACTCAGGACAACCGCTCACGCCCGTCCTTGTTGATTCAGGACGTCGGTGCCTGCGTCGCGCTTCCGTTCGGCATTCACAGTAGTCACTTCTCGAATAATGGCGGACCAGGGCACTGTCAAGAATGCCGGTAGGAACGTGAGTACGAGATCGGATGCCTGATGCGTTGCTCGAAGTGGCTTGCATTAAGGCTACGAGACACCCTTCCTCGTGTCACATGAGCATGACATGAAAAATTGAATCTGCCTTTCCACTCGACGCTGCTGATTTCACTAATCTTGGTTTGACACGCAAAAGGCTTGGACCGGGAAAGAAGGCTGCGGTTCCGAACGCGGACATACGAGCAGGCGCAGATCCGCAAACCTGCGAGCCTTCCACGCGAACGGCAGCCAAGCTGGGGCGACGACGCCTTTCCCTGCTCGCTACTTCACCGGCACGCGCGATCACGAGCCCGCCGACTGCGTTAGTGAATGCCCGAACTTCGCTGCCGGACATTTGTGAGGGTGCACGTCGCCCGATCGAAGACGTTTGTGGCGTGAGCAAACCTGTGATGCGGATTGTTGCCATTTATGGAGACCCCCCTACCGAAGTTGGCACGGGATTGACTTGTTCTTCTTCGTTCATCCCAGTCCTCACTTCACCTCACGCTCGATGCCCGACGCCTATAAAATGCTTGCGCCCCCGTCCGTCGCTCTCTACCCCCAACCATCATCGCTTGCTTGCCGATATGCAGTATTCCTCGCCCCCCTCATCGTTCTCCCAAAGGTCTCTGGGATCGCGTTCCACCAGCTCCTCCATATGGGCGCCCCAGCCGCAGCCGTCTGATAATACGTGGCCCAAGTCACTGGACTCGTTTAACAACGCCTTGGAAACTGACTATATGCGCCATCGGACGTCCTCATTATTAGGACCCACTGATCAAGACGTCTTTGGACCGCCCAGCTTCCCCCCCGTTGACCAGAAGAAGAATGTTGGCGCGGTCGGTGATGGTAGGAAGTCCACAGGCAACTCCGATTTCGATGACTCGGTAAGTTAATGCCCTTCCCCCGAAAACGCTCCCTGCTCTAACGCATACGTTCAATCCAAGCACGTCGAACAGCTTCTACGCACTCTCAATCTTCATTCTCCTGCGCCTTATATACAAACAACGTCGCTCTCTGCTCGAAACAACGACTCGCCTGATCTATCGCCCAGCTCTGCGCACTCTGCTCTTCTTACTCCCATTGATCTTTCCCCAGCTAGATCTTATGATTTTAAGCTTAATCCCGCTTACGATTTCCATTTACCCTATGTTTCCCAGCCACCGCCTCTCCATCGTGGAGAGCGTGATGGCCGCCGCAACAGTGTCGAAAGCTTTTATCCCTCGACTCATCGTGAAGGCCAATGCTACGATTCCAATTCGCCCCAGGTCAACACCCTCCCCTTCCTCGAATCCTTCCTGGGCCATCCTACCGCGCCCTCTCATATCCAACAGGCGTCGAACGGCAACGCCCTGAATGGCAGAGTGGACACGTCTAGGATGTCGCTCAGCTGGCGTCAGCCTTTCTCGGCTGCCGAAGATTGGTTGGGCACCGAGGAGCGACCGTTCGCAGACTATGGCTTGGGCCTATCCATCGAAGATCGTCCACTGCGCTCTTCCCTGCAATCAAATGTCCCTGCGGCCCCGTCCAGTCATCCACATGAGGTTAGTCCCCTTATTCTACCCTGGTAGATAGTGATTGACTCGAGGACATGCCAGCCCATCAACTTTTTATCGCTTCTTCATCCGTCCTCATCGCCCCCATATCACGTATTCGTTGCTCGTATAATCAAGTCTTCCGACCAGCAAGCCTCAATCTTTTTACAGCAGAAGCTCAAAGTCGCCGACGTGCAGGAGAGGGTGAAGATTGTTGACGCTATATGCGCTAGAGGGTTCGAAATGATGGCTCATAGGCATGTTTCCTGTAACGCGCGCTTTGTTTCGCTGCTAACGGTATGTTAGATTTGGGAACTGGGCCGTCCAAAGGTGCCTGGAAGCTGCGTCAAGTCCCGAGGAACGACGAAAGATCGTCGCCTGCATGAGGTGCGTGATCTTTACGGCTGCTATCGATATTCGCTCTCATCAAATTATATGAAGAGGTCGAGTCGTGGACCTTGCTACCAATTGCTACGGCTGCCATGTCCTCCAAAAAGCCCTCGATTGTGAGGAAGATATCAGGCTTTTGATCGTCTCCGAGCTGCTTCTCGGAGATCCAGCCCAGACTTTAGTGAACAAACATGCATCACACGTCTGGAGCAAGGTACGATCGCACGCTGTCTTAGGAGAATGAGATATTCAACACTGCCGTAGATCATGGAGTTAACGTGGACGCCACCTGCCCCTCCGATATTTGCTTAGTGAGTGGTGCCATAGTTTGTATGACGGTTGATAGTTGCTGATGCTCTGCTGCGCAGTGTCAACAAAGCTCTGAAAGGGAAATGGGCGGCGCTGGCGTGTCACGAGACAGGCTCGCTGGTGGTTCAGGTACGCCACATACAGTCACGCCTACTCAGAGTCTGTATGAACGGATGGACAGCATGCGTTCGAAAACCTAGAAGAATCTGCCAAGGATGATATCGTTAACGAGTTACTCAACCAAGGTCCCGCGACGTTTGGTCAGATAGCGAAGAATCAATGGGGATCGTATTGTATTCAGCATAGTGCGTATTTCGTGTCATACCCTTGACAGTCAATGTCTAACCGCTCGATAGTTCTCGAGCATGGACTGGCGAAGCACAAGCGGATGGCCCTTGACCATCTCCTATCTGGCCTTCTGGAATATGCCACCAACGAACAGGGCGCGAAGTCGGTCACGAAGGTATTGAAGGAAGGTGGCAAAGACACCTTGGATCAAATCATCAAGCGCATGTGTGAACCGGCCAAGGGGTACGTAGATGGTGCAAACCATAAGGCTATCTCTCTGACATTCGAGAAATAGCGCTCGTCGAGCAACGATCGTAGACTTGGCGCTATCTGCTACGGGTAGTCAGTTGATCGCCAGTGTCCTTCCGCACGTCAGTCCTAGTTCTTTGCTTCCTCTTACCCTAACTGACCCTCGCCTCGCACCTAGGCTGATAAGGACCAGAGATCCTTCTTATATGAAGCCATACGAGGACACATCGTGACGCTTCGCGGGTGCAAGACCGGTTCGAAGGTCATCTGGCTTTTGTGAGTTCTTCTGACCGATTTTGGGCGGGGCGATGACTCATGCACTTACAGTGATAGAATGGTAAATTGCACAATAGTTCCCCTGACTGTTTGCTCATTATACTTGCAGCGCGCATACTACGGCTACTAAGGCAGCTTGGAACCAGCCCTCCCGATACGCTTTGCGTCAGATATATTCAAGGGAATCTCATCCATCAATTCAAGTCAAAATTTGAAAACCAATACTGCTCACTAAGTCGCTCAGCCATTTCGGAACTGCAATATCAAGTACCCACAAGCATCATCAAGTTCAAGTTCAAGACCGCGTTTGCATCGACATGTACCATTCAGCATCTCAACAGCATAGAAGCTCGTATCTCGCATATCCACGCCGCATTCACAATAGGTCACGGTAAAGTCGCATTCGTCCTACGGTTTCTAGACGCACATACTTCAAGACATTGACATATTTCGCAATTTCGTTCGCCATCGCTCAGCTTTACTCTCCAGAAGAATAGATAGACATGGACTATTATTATTAACATACTATCTGCCCCCTCTTTTTTGCGTAACCCATCTGTATTATTTTACCTACAACTCGATGTGCCCGCCTTGCCCTGTTATACATACATACATACATAATATCACCAGCCGTCAGCGACACATTCATCCAACGTTTCGTGGGCATAGCAGTGGACCTGCAGTCAGGGATCATGATAAAATCGTAGATAGATGCAGATCGTGCCCAGATCTTGAGACGCCCGGGTTAGGTCTAAGTACGAAGTACACCGGAGGTATCACAACGAGTTCTGCCTACATCATCTTGGCCGCACATACGATACACAGTATAACGTACGCAAGCTACGACAAGGGTTCCGTTCACTCAGGCGTGGGTCCAAATGCACCAACCAAGGTCGGAAATTGGCATGTACGGTGCTGCAGAGGTAGCTTTACTGCGCCCCCGTGCAAACATGTACAAAGATACCATATCGAGAAGAAAGTCATGTGACGCCGGCAAACGCGGACTTCCCTCCGGGCGCATGTCCGACTAGTTAGAGTAACCACTAGGGACTAAGTGGCTCGTATAGATAGGAAAACAAAATTTTGTATTCAAATCTGTAGACCTGTGATACATATAGTTGACAAAGATACTACAGAAAGGCAATAGTGCATAAAGGTAGTTGATAAACCCTAACCCTGCCAAGGAGGAGAAAACGCTTGCACAACTATGAATTGAACCTAACACCTCCGGCACACGCGGACGCCATTCTAACCACTAGACTACAGGAGCACAAGGGTGCTCGGAAATAATATAAATAGTATAGCTCAGGCATAGCCAGCTTACGCAATGCGTTTACATTCTTTATTTTTAGTGACGTGGCCGGAGGCGTCGGAGGTCACATGATAAAATTCTCGAAAAGGTAATATTTGGCCATGTTTGCACGGGGGCGCAATAGCAAAGACGGTGCTGCAGCTGCGCATGCGACGCATCGAGGGGAGTACCGCCCAAGTCAGGCGATCCTAAGCAAGGACAAACAAGTTGTGGCTGAGGGGTTTATGATAGCACCGTACGCAGCTTCCGTACGTTCACCCTCGTTTCGAGCCTCATATCAGTCGTCATGCGGTCCTCAGCGCTGCTGTCGCTGATTTCTCTCGTCCCCTTTGTAGCTGCTGTCCCTGCGAGTGAAACGCAGCTTATCCTTGAAGACATAACTGGCTACGCAGACCTCGCGTCTTCGGTCTTCGGTAGCCTGGCCAAGGGCATAGAACATGCTGTCCACGAGGCAGAGAAGGCTATCTTCAAGGGAGAAGAGGAAGTGGAAAGGTGGCTTCATAATGGCAGAGAGTATATCAAGCAACACGACATGACCTGTGCGTTGCGACTTGCCGACTGCGCAGGCGAATGTACTCACAGCCAGACCAGACGAGCTTGTCACGAATCCCTTCTTCTCTGAACACCAGCTGAGAGTAACGGAGCCGACGCTGTGTGATCCCAGTGTCCAGCAGTACTCGGGGTATCTCGATATAACGGACGGCAAGCACCTGTTTTTCTGGTAATGTTAGGTATATGCACAATCAACGTCGTCTGTTTACACGTCCATTCAGGTTCTTCGAGTCGCGGACATCGCCCGAGACTGCCCCCCTGGTTCTGTGGCTAAATGGAGGGCCCGGTTGCAGCTCCACGACCGGTCTGCTGTTCGAACTTGGGCCCTGTCGGATTGCGGATGAGGGCAAGAACACCACTTTCAACGAGTACAGCTGGAATACGCACGCGAACATTATCTTCTTGGACCAGCCCGTCGGAGTTGGCTACTCGTACTCGTCTGATGGGTCGACCGTTAACACGAGTCCCGTTGCTGGGCTGGACGTATACGCTTTCCTGGAGCTGTTCCTCCAGAGGTATCCCCAGTACGCTGATGCTCCCTTCCACTTGGCTGCGGAGAGCTACGGTGGAACCTATGCGCCCAATATTGCCTCCATCATCTACAAGAAGAACAAGGAATTGGCTTTGGCGCCTACCGCAGAGTTGATTCCCATCAATCTTGCTTCTGTCGTTCTGGCCAATGGGCTCACGGATCCATACTATCAAATGGCTTCTGTTCCTGACTACGCATGCGATGGCCCCTATCCCATTTATGATGACCCTGAAGGACCGCAGTGCCAGGCCCTCCGATCCCGAGTGCCTACTTGCCAGCGTTTAATCAAGTCTTGCTACGAGTACAACTCGAGACTGACTTGTGTCCCTGCCGCCCTGTACTGCTGGGGACAACTTTTCGGCCCCTTGCAACGTAAGTTCATGTTTCCGAGGACTGGACTGTGCTTATACCGTCTTTGCGGTACTATCAGAGACCGGCTTGAACCTGTACGACGTCCGCAAGACGTGCGACAGGCAAAGGGACGGCCCGCTCTGCTACAAGCAGATGGAGTGGATTGAAACCTGGATGAACGACGATGCGAACAAGAAGGCGCTTGGTGTAAACCCCAGTCTTGACTTCGAATCCTGCAACACGGAGATCAACCAGGCCTTTATGATGCAAGGGGATGGCATGCACAACAGTGCTGCCTTGTTGCCTGACTTGATCAACGACGGCGTCAGACTGTTGGTCTACGCTGGTAATGCAGGTGAGTTGGGATATTCCTTCGTCCGCAGAAAGATGCTTGCCTTCCGTCAATAGATGCAATGTGCAACTACATTGTTCGTGATTCTCGTTTAGCACATTATGCAAGCCACTAAATATGGTATATTATTCAGGGTAACGAGCGTTGGTTCACTGCGCTGGAGCACAACTTCCATGAGGAGCTCGTCTCCGCCAAGTCGCTGCCCTGGGTCACATCGGAGTCTGGCAGAGTGGCCGGTGAGGTGCGCAGTGCCGGCGGCGGTGGTTTCACGGCTGGCAATGTTACTTTTGTCAACGTCTACGAGGCCGGGTCAGTTGATTAATCTTGCTCTATCAAGTTGGCGCTGCTGACATGACTCCCTTCATCAGACACATGGTTCCGTTCGACCAGGACGAGGCTGCTCTTGTAAGTAGCTCCTGACTTGATACACTCCTCGCTCCGCTCATCGGGCACGTTATAGGATTTGATCACGAAGTGGATCATGAATATCCCGCTTTCCCTGAAGTTCGCTGCTTGAGAGGATATCTGCCCCCTTCAGGCAATGGAGCGGGATTGATTTGAATAGATCCATACGCTCCCAGCATATTCATTCGGAGCGTTCGTTACTTGTACATTTATACATGGCCTGTAATATAAGCACTAGAAATATCGCTTGTCGATTGTGTGCGCACAACGCGCATTCCAGACGGCTGAACTAACTTCAACCAGCGAGGACACGGGTCAGGATGTGAATTGCCTTCATGACCTGCGTTCTGCCGTCATAGATGACTGCACTGCTTGCAATAGTATGTCTCGCTCTGCTACCTGCTAGGCCATCGTGACTTTGTGTATACAAAGCCCCTTATCTTCCTATCCGAAATTAATGAGTTCACTATCTATGGCTGCCTGTCGGCTTGAGGCGCATGTCGTGCTTCAGGAACCTGCGAAGCACAACCTTCAGGCAAGGTGAATTCTTGGAGTGTCTATATATAAAGAGATGCAGACTGCGGTTCAGGCTCGTCGACTCCCGTCTTCCTACAGCCCTGCACGTAGAAGTACACTGAAGCGTACCTTCGCTACTTTGCACCAACCAAGGCACAGAGAATGGCGAAGGAAAGCAAGCGGTCCATTAGGAATATCTTGACCTCGCGGATGGCGAGTCCGTTCCAGGTCAGTACGGCGTATGCAGGCCCCTAAACAAATCTCATGTGTACAACCGCAGCGTACGCCTGAGGAATATGAAGACATGTCTTCTCTCTTGCCTCCGAGCAACAGTGGAGAAGACGGGGTATCGGTATGTGTATTGATGCTCCGTGGTGGACGAATCCTAGACCGCTCTATCAGGGTGACGCTGCGTCTGAGAATGCGGAGAGTATCGAGGCAGAGGTGCGTACCATGGCGGGTGCAACAGACCACACATCTTCTGCCACCGCCGCATCATAGGTTGGCCACAGCGACGTCGAAGCATCGCGGAGAGCAATCGGCCAGGGAGAATCGATGTCCAGCATAGGAGCGTCTAAACCAAGCCAAACAAATACCAAGGATGTCAAGATGTATGCCGCACCGAAGAAACGTCCGCTATTCTCAATGCGGCGGAAATCATCCGCTGCGTCATCAAGTACTTGAGTGATGGGGTGTCGCACGACGCAGATTAGACATTGGCGATGCTACCGCGCACGATAGTCATACGCTCACTACGATCACAACGCATGTATGCCTGAATATGTAGTATACACTCACCGGCTAGCCGGTGACATAGATGCATGGGACTTATCGCAGCATCTCTCTGGCAGGTTGGACTAGCCAAATCGCTCCTGGGCCATCCTCTTGAACATATCCATGGTCGCCTTATCCTTCTCTCGTATGGCACTCTGTCTCTCTTGTGTCTCGGATACTCTCTCCTCTCGGTGTGACTGACGCTTCTCATTGAAGCGCCTCCGAGCAGCATCGCGTTGAGCGAGACTGCACGGAGGATTACGAGACAAGACGAATATGAGATCGCTGGCGAGAACGTGGAGAAACATGGCGCACCGTTCTCGAAAGCTATCGCCACCACCCATCAAAGTCGATTCATCGGCTTCCACAATACCATCATCACCACGGTCTCTAAAGGCCCTGTCATTCTCCCTCTTTGCTTTTTTCTTCTCCAGCATCGCCTCTCGTCCTACCTCCTTAGGACCAACCATATCTTCTATTCGCTCCTTCGCCTCCTGACGTTCGCGTTTCCGCTTATACTGCCGTTCCGCAGTCTGACTCTCCTCGGCCGCTTCGCGTGCAAGAATCAGGTCTTCTCTGGAGGGCAGGGTAGGGCCTTGGCGACGGCCTGCGCTGGGCCTTTGACGGACGTCGCGGCCATAATTCGATTCTCCCACCTCTCTGCGGACAGCCTCGAGAGCTTCACGTTCTTTTCGGTCTGCCTTCGAAGCAAAAGACCATTTATACGCGGTATTTTGTTGAGAGGCTTGGTCGACACCGTGATAGAGGGATGCTAGCAGAGAATTAGCTCGTGCATATGTACACGACGATTGACACGTACTCGACAACTTTCCCCGATTCCACGCCTGAGTTGAATATGAGCGCTCTACTGTAATAATGTTAAGAGACTGGACACGAACCTTTACGAACTTGCGAAAGTAGCTGCAGACAATTTAGCAAACACAAGGTGCGCGACAGACGCCACCTACCTTCTTGCTTTCTCACTTGATAGTTCGTCGAAGTACTAGACGTACTGGCCTTAGCTTGATGCCAGTCGGAACCCGAGCCGAGGACAAACCTTTCCCTTCTCATCCTTCAGCCAGACTTTGAACTCTGCGTTCTTCAGATAATAGTCAGACTCCGAGATCTCGTTGACACCTTCTGGTAGACGCGAACGACTTTCAGGCGACCTCGACCGGCGACGTTCCCCGGAAGGAGACCTGGAACGCGACCGGCGGGAGGGCATGCTTCTGGTTCGTATGCAAGATGTGGACACGGAACCAAACTCCAACGCTGTGCTGCAATGCTAAGCTCAAATAGGGGCTATCAACTAATAGGCTTGATACTCGCCTCCTAAATAAGACTTAGTAGACGAGCAACTGTCTACTATCAACTAGTCTCCCAAAGGCGACCGATTAAATGCCTCCCTTATAAGGCAGGTGGAGGGCAGTCGGCATATAACGGTCTGCCGCGGATCGCGCCCCCTTAGTACGGGTACGCATATTCAATATCACGTGACTATTCCCACGGCCACCTCGACAGACTCACCGTTTCGTACCCATGCCATCTCCATGTAGCGAGGGAAGAATATATGATATGGCAGGAGTACCTGCTGGTCCTGATGCAACTTGAGTAGTCTCAGATTTTTTGGCGCTCTCTTTCCGCTGTAGGAGCATTAACTTCGTTCGGTACATGCTGCTGACATCAGCAGCTCTGGCCGTCCCAAAAGGGGAACATGTTGAAGCTCTACCCTTCAGAGCTCATTTAGAAGACACCACGCTTGGCAGCATACCTCAATATGACTTAAAAACATATATGTATTGCTACTCATTACTTCTACCAGCCCATGGGGGGGATGGATTATTATCAATATACACTGGAGCCTATCATGGTACAGAATAGGCTTTATCGGTCGATACGGCACCCAAAACAGACACTAATTGAGCACAACTGTGGTGTCACTTCAAACTATGTACCTGAAGCTCATTAATTCTTGCTAGAGGGTTGCAACACGCTGGGGAACGCGGTTAATCTGAAGATTCCTCAACGCTAATGAGGTCACGTGATCGGAATATGCGCACCACGCCAAATGCCGCGCGACTAGATGCAGCCTAACTATCAACGGCTGCAGCCTATGGCCAGTGGCCACTCGCCGAAATGTCCTTTGGTTCAGTCTACACACTTACCCCGCAGTGAGTCTCATATCGTTTTCGTCGGGAGCACTCCTTATCTGAGAATATATCCAGATACCTCTCGCTTGAATCCACATAAATGCGAAGAAATTCCAGGGCCGCAGGGGTAGGAACTTCGGAGTCACTCACATAGACAGACTTGAATTCGAGTATATCGACCCGATTGAGGAGACCTTCCTCGCTCGTATCGTTGAAAGTATGAGTCTTGATGACAGTGAGAGCATATTAATACGAGAAGATGGTCCCTCGAACCCAAGTCTCTCATGTCCAATCGCCACTATACCCCTGGAGCTCCTGGCCGACATTCTCGAGATTTGCTACTCCCGTCTATCTGGAAAGAACAAGTTCCACTTTCCACTCCGAGTTTCTCTGGTATCAAAGTCGTGGCGAGATTTGCTGCAGAGCACGTCCGCCTTGTGGACCACAATTCGAGCCTCCTCCGTGCGGACCGATGGTCTGAGGGAGTACCTGGATCGCGCGGAATCGCAGAGCCTAGATGTCACACTCGATGTCAAACATAGTCATGGCGAGCCCAGGATCACAGCTCTCCTCAGCATCCTTATCTCGAAGATCCATCAATGGCGCCAGCTCAATATTTACGCCGATGAGGGGCCTGTCCTGGGCATGATTGCTCCCCGCCTTCTTAACGCGCCGGCACACAGACTGGAAACATTGCACGTGCTGGTCTTGGGAGATGATCGACACTTGGGGCAGCCATGGATGTTTCATATGGATGCTCCGCGCCTGACGAGAGTGCATATCAGCAAATCGCCTCTATGCTACCGTACCTCCAACATCTTCCACGGCCTAAGCACTTTACGCCTGGAATGCCTGTCATCCGACGGAGTGCCACACCTCACCTTGACCGACCTGCGAGCAATCGCGGAGAGCTCTCCGCAATTGCGAGAGCTGGCTGTGCAGCTCCCGCTTCTGAAAGAGGGTACAGGGAACGCTGCTTCCTCCACTGTCCGACTGCCTGCCCTGAGGTCGCTGGAACTGTCCAGCTGCCCAAGCTTGCTCGACGGGTCCATACGCGCCGATGACTTCTGGGCATTCTCTGCCCCGTCTTTGGAGAGGCTCTCTTTGCAGTTGCCGTGGCATGCCTGGCGAACATTTATCATGTCTCTCATGTTGAAACGCTTCCAGCGTTGCTTTGCGCATGTCGTAGCGATCAAGCTGAAGAACATCCCTTTCATGGCCAACATTCCTCGCAGCCGGCAGGCGCCGAGCAACGCCCCCCGCGCGATGTGCGAACTCTTCATCTCGGCCTTTCCTTCCCTGCAGCGCCTGGAATGCTTCGACACCGATCCCACCGCTCTCGTAAAAACTCTGACAGCACACCTCCTCGGCGACAAGGAGTCCTGGCCACATCTGGCGTGCGTGACGACTAACAAGGGCGACTGGTCCGACCTCGTTACCCTCGCGCGGCTGCGTGCGCAACACAAGAGGCCGTTGCGGGTGATACACTTGCCGGCTGTGCAGGGCTTATCCCGGCGCGCGCGAGAGCTCCTCGAGGAGCTAGAGCAGCATACAAATGTGGAATACTATAGCCCTGAAGATGATGATGGTGGGAGGATGGATCTTTATCGATGACGATATGGAGATGCATCGCGCATACTTGCTCGTCTGTCTCCCTCTTCCCCCCGGTCCTGTTTCTTGCTGTTCTTGATTTCCTTGCGCGGTCGTTCTCAAGCTCCCATGCGTTCAGATATGTGAGTGCGCCCCCGAAGTTACAGATGGGTCACTCGTACACCTGCTCTCGTGTTTCCCTAGCTGGTCAGTCTCTTTCTTGTTGATTATGCCCACCTCGTTTGTCCCATGAATTGCTGCTCTGTCATTCCTAGTATGCTCTCGCCGCTTTGCACTTTTGCTTTACTATTTATCGTTGCGCGCATGTTGTGATCACATCCAACAGTTCCCTCGTGTACAGTAGTAGCTCGTCGTTTCTCTGTATGTACCGGTATATGTATCTATTATTACACTGTTGCCCCTGTCTCGGCGCCTCTATGATCTATCTCAAACCCCACCCATGATTCTCCCCCACACATCCCCGCCAGTCACCTCCCAAATGATCTGTGCCGACAAACCCACAATTAACCCCCATGTCACCCGCGAAAAAGATAACCACTTACCCCAGACCGCACCCACCCATCCGCGAACAACACGCCCGTATTCAGCAACACCAACAGCGTCCACAGCTTCCCCACATAACCATCATACGACCTCTCCTTCCCCTCGCCAGCCCTAACAGCATACACCCCCCTCCGCACCGCCTCCTCCACAAGCACGCCCACGCCATTCAGCAGAAAGAACCAAAACTCCCCGCCCACCTTGCCCGCCCCCGCGCCCCCGAAACGGCGGAGCGCGGCGAACTCGCCGACGGTGTGCACCGCCCCGCTGATGGCGAACGCGCCGAGGACCTTGCCCCACTCGCCCGCGGGCGGGGCGGGGAGACGCGAGTGGGTGGTGGTGCGGCGGGGGTAGGGGTAGGGGGGTTTGTTGTTGGCGGAGGGGTTGGGTGGGGAGGGAGAGGGAGAGGGCGAGGGGATGATAGAGCGGAGGAGGCGCTCGATGGTGAGTGCCATGATGTGGCCGGGCCATACGCCGTACACCAAGCTGCGCGACCGTCAACACCCAGCGCAGGTGGAATCAAGGCAGGAGCACTCTACTCACAAGTAGCGCGCGAACAGCCGGTGCCACCCGCGCCCCCACCAGTCGCGCAGGGAGGCGACGCGCGCGAGCGGCGCGGTGTACAGCGGCGGGAAGGAGAGCAGGGAGTTGTAGATCGTCTTGCGGTCGCGCAGGTGCGTGTGCGGGATTAACAGGCCCTGTTCACGCATGCACCCCCGTCATTTTCTACTCTACGCGAGTGGTTAGAGAAAGGGAGACGCACGACGAGCAGCGCGGCGGAGGTGTAGCCGACGTCGAAGAGCGTGTAGAGGGCGATGCCGAGGGACGCGACGAAGGCCCACTGCTGGAGGAGTGGCAGCTCGTAGATCGATTGCGCGGGGGCGGGGTGGAGGTACCGCAGGCACGCAAGGGCGAGGAACAAAGTCGGAAGGAGGGTGGTGGAAAGGCGGTAAAGCTGGGTTCCCGGGGCCGGGTGCCAGCGCGAGGGGGAGTGCCTGGGGATATACGAGGCGAGTTAGGAGAGAGCGGACGGAGGTTAGAGAGATAAAGGCAGACCGGACGTCGGCAGTCGCCCAGTCCCAGCCGACGCCGCGCATCGCGGTCATCAAGTCGAGCGCCCACACCGCACGCTCCCACCACCCCCGCTGCGCTCGCACGTCCTCGACCTCGGGCTCCGCGTCCATGTCCTTGAACGTCCGCTCGGGGACATCTGGCAGGGGCACGGTAGCCGACGCCGGAGACACGGGCGGGGTGTCGGACTGGTAGCGCATGTGCGCGGGGGGGCGCAGCGGGAGGAGCGGCGCAAGGACGAAGAGCTCGAAGACGCGGCCGGCGCCGAACCAGCCGACGAGGCCGAGCTGGTAGGTGAAGGCGGCGGAGGCGGGGACGTAGTACCGGAAGGGCAGCGCGAGGAAGGTGAGGAAGCTCCAGAGCGCCAGGGCGGACCGGAGGAGCGATACGGCGGCGGTGGACTTGGGGCCCGGCGGGAGGAGGGCGAGGGCGAGGAAGTAGCACACTGGCGGCGTCAGCGCGCCCAGGACAGTCAGAGGCCGCCGGGTGAGCCAGGCAGCGAGCATCGCGGTCAGCATCGTCGTCTGCATAGAGCGACGGCGGGGGCCCGGCGAGGTCTCCCCTTCTTGTGTGGCTGGCGATGTGCTTCCGCTGCTGCCAGCCAGCGCGGATCGCTGTCATCCCGTGAAGAGCGACCACTTCACAGTGCGCACTGTATCGAATTCGATCACATACCTTTCACGCAAGGAGCGTGCCCAGGGAGTCGCCATGCAATCCTGGACAGCGGACTCGGCTTCAAGGTGAAAGAATTCAGCTATACCGCCGGCTATGACGCACCGCTCTTCACATTCGACGCGTCTCCCTTCACATCACCCTAGTCAATCGGGCTTCGTGAAATCGCGTCCCATTCATTTGCGGCGGAAATCCACGAGACATGGGCCATTTCGAGTGTGGAGGTCGTCAAAGCCGCAAGAAGGTGCGCAACGAATTTGTATTGACGAAGACGGCACATACACTGAGGCTGAGCGGAAGAGGGCACGCGCCCTCCGTCCTTGATTCCACATCTTGTTGTCACTTCTACCCCCGCCCAACTCCACACGCACCTCTATACTACACCTTTGCTCCGAATCGTTAGATCCCAACCGCGTGTCGTAGTAGCAGGTTCTTCAGCAATGATCCATGGTCGCTTCCCGTGGTTGAAGCGGGCATAAATGCGCCGCCCAGATTGTATAGCACATCACCAAGTTTCGATCTCACTCTATCCACAGAAAGACCGCAGTTCGAGCTCGCAAAGGCCGGTGGGATGAGCGCATTGGAGTTGGCTCTGAGGTCTCGTTCCACCTACTTAGCGGGATTGCCGCCAGGTAACAAAAAGCCGCGGCTACGCCCCACCCACCGAAAACACCCGGAACGACGACGACCCCTCCACCGGCCCTCCACCACTCGCAAAGAACCCCTCCGGCGGATCCACCGTCCACACATCCCACAGCGGCAACAGCGCCATCCGCACCTCCACCAAATGCGGGTAGCGCAGCACCGTCTCAACGTTCTTCCGGAACTTCTCCACCGCGTTCGCGATCGCGAAGAACGGGTGCGCGGCACACTCGAGCTTGGGGAAGTTCGGGAAGGGGGGGTGGTGCAACGTGTAGGCGGCGGGAGCGGAGGGTGAGGTAGGGGGTTGGGATGAGGGGTCGAGGGAGCGCCGGTGGATGGTCACGTTCTGCGAGAGGAGCTTGAGTGGGACGAAGTCGTATGTCCAGGTTGCGGTGGCCGACTCGTGGGGAAATATCTGGACGCGAAGGGTATTTGTCAGTGTGACGGCAGTGAGCAGCATGGTATTTTACGCACATGGGCGCGTGGTGGCCTAGCACCGTCGTGCGCGAGCATGTAGTCGACCGTGTCCCTGTATATCCGTTTGATAGTATTGAGGTCGGGGAGGATGACGAACCCGCCGTCGTCGAACGAGCAACGGATATCCGCTCTCACTATCGCGCATGACACCCATCAGTAAAACAAGTCAAATCCGCAGTCAAGGAACGAAGACGTACAGTGTATCTTATTATCAGCACTCTCAAGATCCAGCGTACCAGCTTTATACCCCCACGCATACTCCAGCTGGCGAATCTACAAATCACCCTCTCGTCAACCATCCTTTCCGAACTCGCTACCACTCACCCTCGCACTCGGGGTGCCGTGCCCAAGCAAATAACACTTCCCGATCGTCTCGGGCGGCTCGTGCTCCAGCGTCACCAGGCAGCGCGTCACCGGCGGGGGTTGTTGCTGCCGTCGTGCTGCGGTTCTGCGACGCTTCCTGGCAGGCGGGGCGGGGAGCGGCTCGGGAGTCGCACTGCCAGCAGAAGCCTCGGGAGGGAGGGGATCGTACTCGTACTGGGGGAGCGGCTCGGGCTCGGGCTCGGGGCTGCTCCCGAACAGGTCGTCCGGCGTAGTAGCAGACGGGGGTGCAGGTGCTGGCCGGGCTGGACGCACAGAGGCCCGCTCCCGCTCCCGCTCGCGCGCCCGGGCCTGCGCGCGCAGCGCGTCCTGCGTCGCCTTCGGGACGAACTGCTTGCTCGTGATCTGGCCGCTCAGCCCGAGCGCCCGCCGCCGGCGCGAGACGGTCGTGTCACTGGGGCGGACAGTGAACAGGCGTCTTCGCACGCGCGGGGGAGAGGGCACACCTCATGATGATCCCGTACTCGCTCTTCAGCAGCTGGCTGATGAGCTTCCGGTTCGTGATCGCCTGCGCGTGGAACTCGCGCAGGATGCGCTCGATCTCGGCGTCGCCTGGTCGTGCTGCACGTACGATATGTTCGTTGTAGGAATTTGACAGAGGTGGGGAGCCAGGACGTACGGCAGTGCGGGTGCTGGTTGACCCCAGCGGGATTGCGGTTGTAGAATTGCGGGTCTGCGCGGGTACTGTCAATGGTGTCCTGGTCTGCCATGCTGTGGACGATTATTGAGGAAACAAGGCAGGCTTATAGGACCCAGACAAGAGTTATGCAGAGTGTGGCTCGAGGCTGAGCGCTGAGCAACAAGGAGTTAGAGGACAACTTGCAAGCCGAAAAGCACCGGACCATTTTGCCACAGGTCCGATCAACTTGAATAGGATCGTCTGCTACACGCACATAATGCATATATACTGTCCATCGTTGTTGAAACAATAATAATGATAAGGTAGGATACAGCGTGTTGTACATTCCATCTGAGTTCGTATTACAGGGAATACACCTCCGCCCGACATCAACCCTAGAGCTAGAACAAGAGAGCACTGCCGATAGCAAGTGGGAAGACAGCCTGAGGGGGCTGTATTCACGCGTACTTCCTGACATCCTCCGGAGAGGGGCCAGCCGGATCGTCCGAAGCGGCGAGGTTGCACTGGTGGAACGCGCGGACTTGATCCTTGCTGAAGGTGCCCACGACGGAGTGAAGGACGCCCCGGTTGTGAAACAATACCAAATCGCGCTCACGCCTGCCCCACAATATAAAAGAGAGAGGGCCGGAAAGACAGCGAATTCCTCACCAATCATGAGGGTAAACCAACGCAGGCGCGATGGCAGGCCTCTGCATCTTGTACAGCAGCTCCCGGACCTCCTTGAGATCTTTCAGATGCGCGCCGTCAGGGAAGAGCGCGCCTTCCCGCTTTGCGCCCTCTGGCAGAGGGTCGATGAGGAGCTCGCAGAAAGCGCTCGGGTGGACCTGGAAATGGAGGTGGCCAGTGACAGGATTCTTCCAGGTCTAACGGTGACCGACGGGATTAGTATCTAGATGCCTCGATACACCAGAAGGATACCCTTACCATGGGCAGTATCTTGATCTTGGAATCCTCCCAAGGTGGGAGCTCGTCCCAGGGCAACTCCCGACCCTCGCTCTCGAGTCCCAAACCCGATGTCCTCACCCGCGCGGGCGCCATCCACACGTACGGGTGTGGCGCATACTTGACTCTCGTCCGCACGGCCACGCTCTTCAGCTCGTCCGGCAGCATTTCAAACATCGTCTTGCCCGACGCGAACGCGGTGGTGCCGAGCGGGACCTCCAGCTCGTCTCCGGTACCGTCATCGTACCGAACCTTCTGCCTGGGCCCGTCAGGCACTCTGATAGCGTAGAGCGTCGTGACCTTGGGTGGAGAAAGGTCGTACAGTGCAGCATCGATGTGCCAGCGGTAGAATCTGGTAATACCTCTTGCCTCGTCAGTCTCAGAGACGCGGGTTTTATGGCAGATTTTATGAGATGGATGCTTCAACACCGCTTCCGCGAGGCCCTCGTGGTTGTACACGGTACCGTTGCCGATGAGCTGGACCTGGGGCTGGTGGGGAATGGTCTTGAGGTCGGGATGGAGGATGGACTTCTTCTCGCTCCCGGTCTTGTTATTACCGTGACCGTAGCTCTCGGACTTGGGGTCGAACAGCTATAGCAGGTGAGTACCGCCATGATGAGTCAACAAAAGGAGCGAACCTTTGTTAAACGATACTGTTGTGCCGGCGTCAGGGTGACATCGCGGAACAAGAGTGCGCCGTGCTACAGGGTTCATTAGACATGTATCTCAGGCGATTACAATTGCAGCACGCCTTGTATAAGAGATCACTAATAGCCTCGAACTCTTGACCTGTAAGCTCGCCCGGGTTGACGCCCTTGACCTCCCGACCGAAGTCCTTGAACTTCGTAGGATCCGCAGAGGCAGGGAGAGGCAAGGGGTGGACTTCGATAGCCATAGTATGGACTGAACGGCGGGGCTTAAGAAGGGGTCGAACGATTCGTTTAGACACTGAAGCGGCTGGTGGTCCACATAAGTACGTTGCCAGCATGGCGCGGGATGGAAACATTCGCCTGATAGCGCAGCAAGCAGACCGCTTGAGCAATCCGTACCGTATAAGGCTAGCATCCTATCGAAGAATGGTTTCCATTGGTCGGTGCGTTAGCGAAGGCTTCTGTGGATGGGCTTCGGGAAGACTGATGTGATCTCCCACGACGCGTCGACGCGTGATACGGTCAGTTGCGCGGTTTCGACGCGTTAGGCTTGACCACACCCGGCACGTACTCTGCTCGACATGTACTCCAGTGCCGCCGTTCAGACAGCGAAGGGACAGAGCGCGCGAGTCCGAAGCCTACTGACAAGCAGCGATTAAAAAGGATGAGCCTCGCGGATTGGACGACCCAAGTCGACATATGGTTGACCGAGGAGCGCCTTAGTATATAATGCATGGGGAGAAGTGCCGGGCAACATACTCCGCTTGCAATGGAACTCGCATCCCCCAGATCAAAGGGCGGCGCTAGCTTGGTAGCGTCTCCCATGAGGTACTGTATATCTCTTTCACGCCCACTGCGTATCGACGAGATGACAACCATCATCCCCCCGACATGTCCCTTTCTAGCCCGATCAGCATAGGGAACAGCGAGGCTCCTGATGCACGCCTCATATGCCGGTATGGATGCTATCAGATGCTGGGGTTGCACTCCTGACTGAACGAGCAAGTTCTCCGCTTGCAATAGCCCAAGTAAATCACGAACCTTGAAAGATTGAGCTCCGTATCTTGTCTTCTAGTATAAGCGGCCGAGGCAATTGCGATTGCCCGTCGCCTACATACTATTCACGAGCCGATATATTGTAGGAAGCCAGGGCTAATCCCACTTGATACTGAGGTTGTTGTACTGAATCAGAACAGGAGACTGAGGAGTGGCAGTGGAAGGGGTCAACTCGTGACATGTACGTGACATTCCTTAAAGGTCACGTGAATTCTCCACTCGCGACGTCACGTCACCTTTGTTCATAGTAACGAGGTGCAGCGCCGCATGGAACGTACTCTTTCTCAGGCATGCGCGCTGTATTATTCCTGCTAACTCAACTACGTGTCTTGACATTGTGTTGCTCGTTAGAGCAATTACCGGCTGCATGCACCCCGTACTTATTTCACTGGCTTTACGCTTTTCCTTCTTAACTGGAGGGATACTTCCTAGAAGTCTTGGGCCTAGAATACGCGAAGCTTGCTTGTCCGTCCGACGAATGGCATGCACCGTGCGATGAGGACACCGACCTATGCCTCAGAGAAGAGCGCCGCGGACGTCACGAATTGTACCACTCACTGGCGAGCGCGCGCTGTTTCGCAACGGAGAACCATTCGTACTTGGGGGTGCGTTCTCCCGCTCCCTTATGTGTGTGTACTCACCCAGGTGTTCACGGTCACTTGGACAGCGACAAGCGCTCCGGACGAAGCCGAGGTCCACTTGGATAACATCCCCGATGATAAGTCGTCCATCCGACTATGGGCGAGAGGAATGACGAGCCAGGGCGGCTATTTCTTCAACGCCGCTGAAGGCGTACCGGTTGATACCCCTGATGGATACGTCCTCAGCGCTATATCCACCCCTGGCCTGGCAACCTTTGGTTCGTTGTGTCCTGACATGCGGAGTCAATGAGATATCACTGGCCGGAAACTTCGCCGCTGAGAGCGTTCGGCGTGGGGAGGAATGTACGGACTGATACACTACCCTGGATCTGCAGGGCATGTCATATGCAGACATGTCCAAACTGAAGCCCCATTTGACTTCTTGGTACCCACCAGGCCTCGACCAAACCCGAATGACATTGTGAATTTGTGGTTGCCACCGCTCGGCCATTCAAGCTTCTCCCGCTGTGGCCTAAAAGGGCTTCATGAGCATGTAGTATACAGTGTTTCGTACATTCCAGGTTGTTTTAGTTCCACTATCCCAAGAAATACCCCACTGCTTGACGTCAACCCCAGAACACAAAAACATGGCTGAAGACTGGTAATCAACTTCAGGCATACTTCTTTACGTCTTCCGGGGTAGGCCCAGCTGGGTCATCCGAGGCAGCGAGATTGCACTGGTGGAATGCACGGACTTGCTCTTTCGTGAATGCACCCACGACCGAGTGTAGGACACCCCTGTTGTGGAAGAGTACCAAATCCCGCTCACGCCTACGAATAAGCACGGTCAGAATAAGACTCTGGGAGATCATGTTCAGCAAACAGCGAAAGCCTCACCAATCGTGCGGGTAGACCAGCGGGGGCGCAATGGCAGGCCTCTGCATCTTGTACAGCAGCTCTCGAACCTCCTTGAGATCTTTCAGGTGCGCGCCGTCGGGGAAGAGCGCGCCTTCTCTCTTTGCACCCTCTGGCAGAGGGTCGATGAGGAGTTCGCAGACGCCACAAGGGTGTACCTGGAAGTGGAGATTGCCAGTAACAGGGTTCTTCCATGTCTAGTGAAGGCAGGTTTTTAGTATACGGATTCCTAGCTACATTGCACACATGATCCTCACCATAGGCAATATCTTGATCCTGGACTCTTCCCAAGGTGGGAGCTCATCCCAGGGCAACTCCCGACCCTCGCTCTCGATGCCCAAGCCTGTCGACATCGCCCGCGCAGGTGCCATCCACACGTACGGGTGCGGCGCATACTTGACTCTCGTCCGCACCGCCACGCTCTTCAGCTCGTCTGGCAGTATGTCGAACATTGTCTTGCCCGATACGAACGCGGTCGTGCCGAGCGGAACCTCCAGCTCGTCCCCGGTGCCGTCATCGTACCGCACCTTCTGTCTGGGTCCATGAGGAACGTGGATACCATATAGCGTCGTGACCTTCGGTGGAGAGAGGTCGTACAGCGCGGCATCAATGTGCCAGCGGTAGAACCTAGTGATGCCGTTTGCCTCGTCGATCTCAGAGACGCGGGTCTTGTGGAAGGTTGTATGAGATGGGTGTTTCAGCATGGCCTCCGCGAGCCCCTCGTGGTTGTACACGGTACCATTGCCGATAAGCTGAACTTGAGGTTGTCTCGGGATGGTCTTTAGGTCGGGATGGAGGATAGATTTCTTCTCGCTGCCCGTCTTGTTATTGCCGTGACCGTAACTCTCGGATTTGGGGTCGAACAACTACAGCAGCTGAGTATCACCATGGGATAGGCACCCAAAGGAAGCGCACCTTCGTCAAGCGGTACTGCTGCTCCGGGGTAAGGGTGACATCCCGGAATAAGAGCGTATCATGCTGGAAGGATCTCTCAGAAGCATATCTTCAGAAGCGACTGCTCAGACGCACCTTGTAGAGAAGATCCCTGATAGTCTCAAACTCCTGATCAGTGAGCTCGCCCGGGTTGACGCCCTTGACCTCTCGGCCAAAGTCCTTGAACTTGGACGGATCTGCGGAAGCAGGAAGCGGCAAGGGGCTGACTTCAATGGCCATGCTGTGGGCGGAGCGGTAGGTTTGGAGAAGAGGCTTGGAAAGCTGCTTAAACGCTGTCGTAGCTAACGGTCTGTATAAATACTTCGCCAGCATGTTGCTGCGATGGATGTACTCACAAGATAGCGTAGGCTAGTGCTGGAGCAAGCAGGCCATATAAACTATCGCCGTGCTGCACGGAGCCGAAGACCGATAAGCCTAGTCGAGTATATTTCTCGGGGACCGGCTCTTATTGGCCGGTCATTTGGCGGGCGATAACTCTAGAATAGTCTCCGGGGAGACCGGAGTGATCTCCGGATTGCCTCCGAGAGACGACGCGTCGACGCGTGACGTGGAAAGTCGCGTGCGCTTTCGACGCGTTCAGCTTGACCACACCCGCCACATACTCTCCTCCTCACCATGTACTCCAGCGCCGCCGTTCAAAAAGCGAAGAGACGGACACACGCGCGTCCAGAGCTCACCGATGAGCAGAAGCAGGAGATCAAAGAGGCCTTCGAGCTGTTCGACACCGACAAGGATGGCTGCGTTGACTATCATGAGCTCAAGGTTGCGATGCGCGCGTTGGGCTTTGACCTCAAGAAAGCCGAAGTCCTAAAGCTGTTGAGAGATCATGATAAGACGGGGCATGGGCTGATGGACTTTGAGGACTTTGCAAAAATCAGTGAGTTTCCGCACGTCGACGTATCTCAATACCCTACGTCTCAGCGGCCTTTCGATTGTCCGAAACTGTGAACGGATATACTCATGATACTCGCCTTGACAGTGAGTGAGCGCATTCTAGCACGAGATCCAATGGAGGAGATTCGGAGGGCGTTTCAACTTTTTGACGACGATAACACCGGCAAGATCAGTCTACGAAACCTGCGACGAGTGGCCAAGGAGATTGGAGACAGGTTAGAAGACGATGAACTGTAAGTCTTCCATGCCCTGTCTCTCCCAAAGTTCCTCTCTTTCCATGCGCCTATCACCCCCCTCCCCGGCTATGCGCCTGAATCCAAGTTTCACCACCACATGCTGACACGGTACGCATGCACACAGGCAAGCCATGATAGACGAATTCGATCTCGACCAGGACGGGGAAATCAATGAGCAAGAGTTCTTCGCCATCATGACAGACGACGCATAGCGTCCCTGCCCAAGGCGCCGTCTGCCCAACCTCTGCCTATTGATACCCGAACACCTCCGCCGCTCTTCCCCCTTTCGTTCATTCCGTAGGTTGTCATGGTTCGAAAACGCACTACGTCATCGTGAACCCCTTCAATGCCTCTTGAGACACCCGAGCGTCCCTGATCGGATGCCTCCATCCGTGTGTATCGTACGACCATATCGCAAACCGAGCTGGTCATCGGCACGATCAGGCTCTTCCTTGCACCTGCGCCTATCCATATACTGTACGCCCATATGCATGTCCATCTCAAACTCTCCCCCATGGTCACATTCGACAACCGTCTTTTTGATCTTTGTGCATTCTTCGGTCTCTTGTATGATACAAATCGCATGTACCGCTATTTCTCTGGGGCTCTCACGCTGCTAGATACACATCTGCATTATCTGTACCCTAATCCTACAACCATCCACACCGTGCATATGCTAGGGGTGTCGCTATGTGCATATTCTTCAATCATTCTTGCCGTGTTTCACAAGCGCCCGTGTGGCAGCCACGCTTATGCCCGCGGACTCGCCCGAACAGGCGACGAGCCAACCAGCGGCAGCTCAACTCTCCGCGAAATTGCCGCGGCCCTAGCCCAAGGTTCAGCAAGTTCATACAAAGCAGCCTCGGTCGTCGTGCCTCGCTGTCTAACGAAAGACATTGCATCACATCGCCCGCTGCACTCGCAGACATAAGACCATAACCGCGCGCCTCCGTCCGTCCCGCTTGGGGAACTTGGGGAACTTGGCAGGACGCACTTTGCCCTTCGACACGGATGCCGAAGGCGCCTGAGGCTAGCGGGTTCCCGATCCCTGGTTCGGGCACCATTCAAGCGCTGCACCGACAGCATTTTCCTGCTCGGTGGGCATGGGACCATGCGCTGCTAGGCACGGCACGCCAGCGTGATCCGTTGTGGCATGCCGGAGCTGCTCCGGAATGAATGCGCGCTGGGTGCGGCCTACGTATGTTCCCAGGTACCACATACTTGTCTTTCCAGGGTGTCGGAGCCCTGCCCATTGTTCTGCTAAATCGGGGACGCGGGCAATTGTTTCAAGGGTGCTAAGGCCATGCCCACAGCGTCATATGTCCCAGCCGTCCGACTCGGAGTCGGCATTCATTCAAAGGACATTGTGGCTAGTCCGTGGCTAGGCTGGCGATCGTATTCTTTAGTATTTTCCTCGCGGACAGAATGCCTTCAATTGAGCGCCGCAACGATGTCATTCAATGAGGCCAAGTCCAGGCTCGACGAAGAGCGAGAATCGGGTGATTGAATATTTTTACGTTGCTTTCCATGTTAGTAAAGCGCACATTGTACACCAACAGTGCCTATTGCATTGCATCGAGTAGTGTACAAGCAGAGAGATGGAAAGAAACAGTTCGGGGGCCACATTACTCGACCATACCGTACCCGTTAATAGTGCATACTCTATCGCAAACCCGGGAAGCAGAGAAACCAACTAAAACAACAGCGGAAATAAGAACACACCTCCCTATCGACTCCCGCCTGACTGCTATGTATATACTGTAAGATGCGGGGGATCAAAGTCCAGGAGACGACGACGGGGTGCGAATGGGGTAAGGTAGGCGGGTCGAACAGAACCGAAAGAGTGTCTGAACGAGAGAGGGGGCGGGACCGGGACAGGAAAAGAGTACGAATACAGTTGGGTAGGCATGGATACACAAATCCGGACACGGAGAAAACCACTGGAGAGATTGCACGGAAAGAAAAACGTCGTCGTTCGTAACTTGTCGGCGCGTCTGATGTTGTCTTGATATTGAGTAAGATAGATGAGAAGAATGGGCGCGCGAGAGCAATGGTGGTGTATCTTCTCGGACCATTCATCCGACGAGATTCCCCTTCCGTGTATGAGGGAACCCCGGGGGCGCGTCCGAGTTCTTGAGGATTGAATCAAGCCCAGAGCATAAGCGTTCGTCGTCGTGAAAGAAAAAAGGTCGTCAGGGGTCGTAAACAAAGACACGGGGTATATGCGTTCCCGAGAGCCTCGAGGCGGCGTTGTGGCGTTAATGCGGTGCAGCTTCTGAGCCGCACCGGCGAGTCCCTCTCACCCTCCCGTCCTTAGGCGCCGAAAAATCCTTGTGGACGCGCATATGTTGCCCAAGGTTGTCGTGCCTGCTAAAGTCCTTGCCGCATCCAGGATAAGGGCATTTATGCGCTATGAGATGATCCCCGTCAGCGTTTTGCCCAAACAAGCCGAAGAACTAGACTCACGCTTCTCCCAAGTGTGAATGCTCCGCACATGTCTCTTCAAGTGCTCGCCTCTCGCGAAGCACTTCCCGCATCCCTCAACCACGCATGCATACCCTCTGACGTTCTTCGTGACGCCGCCCTGCACCACCAGCACCGGACTCGTCGGGACCCGCCGTCCGCGGCTCTTCTTCGTCAAGTTCGGCACCGGGATCGGCGTCGTCGGAGGCCGCCTCGATGCCGGAGCGAGCAAGCCAGTGGTAGAGCTACGCCGTGTTGAGCGGCGGAGCGAGGAGCCCGACGAGGACGTCGTCGTAGGCGAGGGCATCGACGCGGGGGACTTGCGCGGCCGCCCGCGAGTCGGGTTGGTAGCGATGCTGGTGGACCGCGTCCCGGACGTTCGCTTCCTCGCCCCGAGCACAAACTCTCCGTCGTCGTCGTCGTCGTCCGCCTCCCCGTCGTCTTCCTCACCCTCCGCATCGAGATACTCGTCGTAATCCTCGCCCTCGGCGTCCACATCCCTGTCATCCTCTGCGGCAATCTCGCTCTCTCCGCTGTCGTGGTCCTCCATGGCGTATAACATCTCCATGTCGCTCGGTGCACCCGCTACCATGCCCATGTTGATGTTCATCGTCTGCCCTTGGCTCTGCTCGTACTCGTATTCGTACTCGCCGTCCATCTCGAATGTGTCCTGGTAGGATCCGGTGACCATGCCACCAGGCACAGGCGAGCCGCTGCCGATGCTAGAATGGTCTCCGTCGGCGTGCACATCTGCCAGGTTAACGTACCGAGCCTGAGTCTGCGAGTGCTGTATGAGCGGCGAATGGGCGTGCTGCAGCTGAGGGGAGCCGTTCCCCGGGTCGCTGGCAAAGTCAGCGTCGTAGCTGTAGTTCAGACCGCCTGGTACGCCGCTCGAGACGGGTGCCGAGGCGGAGAGGAACGGGGAGCCGTAGATGGGCTCCTGCTTGATCTGGATGGGGTGCTGGAGCGGCGAGGACGCATGCACCTGGTGCTGCCCGGCGGACATGGAGAGCGAGTAGCTCTGCTGGGCGGCGTAGATGCTGGAGCTCTTGAGCGCGGCGGCGCTGGCCATCTGCTGGTGGTGCATGCGCAGCGGGGACTCGAGGACGGAGACCGGGGGCATGGCCTGGCCTCTGTCGGGCCAGGGCGACGACAGCGGCATGGATACGGATACGGGGTTGTAGTGGTGATTGTGGTTACCGGTGGGCAGGACGTGATTGGCATGCTGATACGCCGAAGCGGGAGCAGAGGTTGACGTGCTGTCGAAGATAGACTGGCAAGAGTCTGCTGAGCCGTACCCGCTGCTTCCATATACGTCGCGGCCGGCCATCGCCTGGGGCTGGACCAGGGCGTAGTGCTGCTGCTGCTGCTGCTGTGTCGACGACGAGGGCCCGTGCGCCATGCGGGTCGTCGACGGGTGGTCGTAGAGCGGTGGATGCGACGGGTGCAGGTAGTCCAGGGCCGGGTCGGACAGCGGGGACTCGCCTGTGCCGTCGGAAGCGTACGTCGACGAGTGCGAGTAGAGATAGCTGGGAGAGTAGTAGGGCTTCTGCCTGACGGCAGAGGGGGAGTTGGAGAGCTGGGTGCGGTCGTGGAAGACGGGTGCGGTCGGGGGGTGGCGTGCGGAGAAGAGCATGTTAGCGTCCATTGTGGGGCGTGGCCGGTGTGGCAGGGAAGATATAAGCCGGCGGAAGGCAAACGGACGGAGGGCGGAAATATAAAGGACGGGTGTGGCCTGGAGTGTGGCAGTGGATACGGAGGAAGGTGAGAGAGAGGACGGAGAGAGTCAGGCACGGACTGGGCGGAAGTGATCGCGACGAGCGACGGTGGACCGGGTAAAAAATTATAATAAATGGAAACAAGTGGATGGGTCGGCGTGATCAGACGACAGCAGCGAGCCAGCCCCGGGCGACCCTGGCGACGACAGACCACAGCCCGGCAATGTACTAGTCAACTGCTGCCAGTCGCCAATCTCCCCCAGCCTAAAGTAGCCAGGTGCTTCGCCTGTGTATCCCTGTTTGGCCCCCGCAGACGCACCGGGCCCCCCCTTCCGCTTCCGTCGCCCTCTCCCCATCCGCCGCCGCCGCCCTCCGCCTTCGCACCGTCCTCGCCGTTCCACGAGGCCGTCCCCGGGTCTTCCCCGTCCGCCGCTGTGGGCGTCCACCGTCACATCCCATCGCTGATCGCTCTGCCCATCTTGCATCCCCCGATATGGCAACTGTGGATCCAGCCACAATTTGACTTTTCCATCGCAGATCTCGCGCACAACCCCGGATCTCACCATCCCATATCTGTCCTCCGAAGTCCCGGCCCCGGTCCGCTTCTTCTCCTGCCTTCTTTCTGCCGAGCGAGCCTGCTCGCTATTCGGTTCGCCCGGGCGCTTCGCCATCGCACGCAGACCTGACCACGTCGGCCCTCGTCAAACGTGTTATCGTCCCCGGCCCTGTCCCCGACCCGACTCCGCCCAGACCCTTATCGCCCCGGCCTCCCGCGGCCCTTCCTTTCTTCATGACACGAACTGTCATCCGCCTCCAGCCGTGTCCTCTGCTACTCCCACTCCAGTATATGCGGCACCGTTAATCTATCATGTTTTCATTAATTTCGGTCCGGGGCTTGGCTGAGAATCGTTTCATCCCAGCCACATGTCCTACTCAACCTCGTTACGCCACAACTCCAGCCCAGTGCCCAACTTGCATCATCCACCCTTTACCACATCCCTTAGCCGACGCCCAACTCTAATGCTGCGCCCTCCATACCCACTCGTGATCCTTCCCTTCTCTCCTCCCACCGGCCCAGCATCTTCGAGAGTCTGTCTGATTGATTACGATGATTAAAGTTAAGGTTCCACCCAGCCAACAATGTATCGATCCGTCCAATCCAGACGTTAGAACGAAGCGCGCCCGGCACCCAGGCGCTTGGCGTAGATCGCCATGGGAAGCCCTTTAATCGGGCAAGTGCGCCCCGGGCCTTTTCAGTATTCATTTACAGGTTCGGATATTGGCTGGTCGCTCGCTATTATAGCGTCCAGGGTGAGAAACAGTAGCGATTACTGTGGGAGGGACGCGGCTCCGAATGGGTCTGACTCCCGGATGTGAGCAGAAGCTAACGCCGTTGATGCAGACCGCGTATTGCGTCTGTTCACCATTGAGCTTGTTCGACGTATCCTGGATCGCAGTCCTTACCCGGAACACCTCAGGATTTGTAGGTCCACAGGATCAACGACGTACAGCAAATCAATGTACGGAACTGGGACGCCATTGATCGCACCACAGCGTGCCTTCGCTGACATCCTCCGCAGCACCGGAGTCATATCCCGCATAAACCAGCCCAAGGTATCGTACTGGTAAGGTCCTCTACGATACCTCGGGCCTGGCGAGGAATTTACGGCACCGCGCCTCATTGTCCCGAGCTTAACTCTCTTCTATGAAGTCCATTCATCCGGAAATGCCGGGAAGAGGTGAGCAGATCCCTCCGTACATTAACTGCTGCTGCGAATCTAGCTTCAGAATTAACTAATGCATCGCTATAGCAACCCGCACGGAAAGCCGTTGGTGGCGTTTGTGCGGTCTCGTCCGAGCTGAAGCTCTGAGTGGCCGTCTTGCGTTTGCTAAGTCCCCCCAGGCGAACGACGGGGCAAACTGAAGAGGGCCGTTCGGCAGCTTTGGTAGTTTGGCCATGCCATTTATCCGGAACATCAGCCGACATATACGTTCGAGATCAAGGTGAATTGCAAGTGCAAGTCGAACCTCAGTGCCAATGAGAGCTGTCCGTTCTCAATTCGTAGGTCATTCGTCTCACACCTCACACTGTATCAGCAAGCAGTGAAAGACACACCGCAGAAATATCAATCACGGAAATCGCCGTTTATGCCGGTCCTCAAAGGGCAAGTATTGTATCTCATATATCAGATTGTGCGTGGAATCGCACCCGCAGAATAGGCTTGGTTTAGCGCCGACTACCTATGTGGTCTGCAAAAAGTCGCTGTCCTGCTGCCATTCGGCAACCTCAGTCTTCTGGTTTTGCATTTTTTCGCGGCCGGAAACCGCGGTACACATCGAAGCATACTGTGAAAATCAAGTGCAACTCGAACCAGTGATGTGGGGACCCGTACGTCCTTCAGTCGTAGGTCCTTTGCCACCTTCTATTGTAATCAGCGAGCAGTGAAGGACATACAGCATGTGTATCCGCACGAAAACATTATTACGGAAACCGCTGTCATACACAGCGATCAAGGAGCAAGTACTCCATGTCACATGTCAAATCGCGTGCGGAATCGTATCAGAATACGGTCGTTGAGCAGTGGGCGGACTGCCTACGTGATCTGAAAGAAATCGCGGGCCTGCTGCGTCTCGAGCGCCGCCGACGAATCTTGGAAAGTTACACCCAAGCTGCGGTGACGACAACCAATGTCAGTAAAGTCGACTTTACGGAAGCTTCACCCTCACGTTATTGTTTCGACCCAGACAGGCAACTCCTCAGGCTGCCCTCCCGAATTGACACACACGCTAGGTAGGTATTTCCCCGTGCGTCGTCACGAAGCTGATTCTAACGTATTCGCATCGCCGCCCACCGACAGATCATATTTGCTTTGCTGTTCATGCGTGCAGGACATGGCTAGACCCGAGAAACATACACCCAATGGTATAGGTGATCGCCATTCCATATGTTGTATGACCATATATTCCAAGGTGAGAACAAGCCGAATAAAATCGTCGCTCCCACAGGTAATTGACTCACCTCGGACGTGTTGGCCGTGAGGACTCGTTGGAACAGCAGGTTCAATACGCATGCTACGTGCTGTGATCCTGCTTCGATTCTGATTCTGCCTGAAGCATCGATTAATCATAGATGGGCCGGGTGTGCCCATGTACAGCATGGGGAGCCACAGGCGATTATGCCGTCGGATTGATCGCATAATGAATCGGATTGTCCGAGGTGACTCGTACGTCCGGCGTTCTAAGACACGCAGCTGATATTATGCTGCGACAGATACTCACGGTCACTCCCTAAGCTGTGCAAGCAGCGCAGTCTACAGTCAGGCGCTGTCAATGAAACCTCGAGCTTGCGATCGATGGTCCGGACGATTATGAGCCGCAAGGCGGATGTTACAGTCCTGTCGACTGCAGTCGCGGAAGATCAAGACCGCGTCCTCTCACCCAGCGGCTTCAACCTGTGCGATCGAGATGTACCAAGAAATGTTCCGAAAATCTCTGCGCAGTGAGTCGTGCCCTTGCTCCGCTTCCGTTCTATATCGCGTTCACTCCATGTCGATCCGCAGACATCGCTCTTATTTCGCCGCGAACATGCGGGCTGCTATTCGGGAGCATCGCCACAAATTGGCACTCCGATCGTTCTATTGCGAGACAAAACGACGGACGTCCATGCTGGACATCGAGTCGACGACACATGAGCCTCATTGCTAGGACGCGCAGCTTGCTGCCAGATGCCGTCGGGTCTTCTCGCGTCCTCGGACATATGCAGACTATTCCGGTGATCTCGGGTGAGAGGAACCTTCGTCCGCATGTTTTCATCGTTCAGGTGTGTTGATGTTTCTCTGAATTTGAACAGCCATATTCTGAGCCTATGGAAGACAGTACCCCCGGTACATTAATTCACCAAAGCTGTGGTCCTAGAGTGCGAAGCGGATGAAGGTTTGCACCAGGTGATTATCGGATCCTAAACGCAGCAGATAGACTCAACCAGACCACTGGATCTATGACACCCGAGTGGTCATTGTCCCCGTCATGTCATAATTACTCTGGATACTCGATGGCAGGGCGCAGCAATGCAAAGCCGAGATTCCACCGCTGGGATGGTGGTAGGCTAGCTTACACTGCGCCTAGAACGTTTGTATGCTACGGTGCACAAACTTTGCTGAGAAAGAGCTTCCATCCGTTGATTATGCAGCATTGTCTAGCGGAGGGAAGTTGAGGCTTTCTTCCTCACTAATGAGCCATGTATCAAACGGCGCATCTGACCTCATACCAGCTCCACGCGTTCACAGTGAGCGGCGCAAGGGACGTCTGGTCTTAAGGTATCAGCCTAGGTCCTTGCAGAATGCGGTTAACCACCCGCGAAGTATAAGAGAGCCGCGTTCTCCAGATCTGTTCCCAGCCGGCATGCCATAGGGCGACGGGAGAGACCACTTGCTTTCCTGAGGTCCTGAGCTCAATACGCTTGTACACAGCGCTGAGCAGAGACTAAATCTAGAAGGGTCCGTCACCGTTGGCGAATCCCTCACTATTGTAAATCGTGCTTGTTGGATGTGATGATCCACCCTGGGATTTTCTGGTGAATCGATGCCGGCTTCGGGAACCCTTCTCCTTCGGAGCATAAGCTCGAGGCTAGTCAGACCTTCCCAATGGGATCAAATAAAGGTGATGGCGACCTCCATGCCAAAGCATTCCGCCTGCCTTAAGCGATGGCAGCTTGCATAGATCGCTCAAAAAGAGTTGGACATGCTTCCAGCCGACACGGCTGGAGCCATTGAAGTCACCGATTGCAGAATCGAGACGTAAAACCGCCGTATGTGTGATATGCGACGGACGTGGAGGCAGCGAGTGACTTGGTCGACATATCGCAAACAGCCCAATATCAGCCATGCACACTGGTCGTGGAGGCTTCTTCCCTACATTTATCAGATTCTTGTACTGCGGGGCACAACGGCTTGAGGTGTCAGGTCCGCAGTAGTGCCAGTCAGGTTATACCTGCACTGCTCATACTTTCAGCATCCCAATCATAACAGCGGGCCTTCCAAATGAGGTATCGCACAGGAATGTTCCACAGACGTTGAAAACGATGGCTACGTTGGTGAGGAGAAATAGGCAAGTTGGCACCTCGCGAAGGCATTTTCTGCTGGTGACCGACCGACCTTCGATGTCCTCAAACGTAGCTTTACACTTCTCGTCTTGCGAACCTACTCTACCGCTTAGATCTCTCTGAGCATTCGGTGACGGAAGTACGGGACGCACATACCGGATACGGATACAAACCTTAACTACTCCTCCGCAATAGCCAGATCCAGTAGGCAGATGCAGGATGCCCAGAATACAAGCAGGAAGGCCTCGGAACGTCGTGGAGAGTTTTCGGACTAAACCGGCAGAACGTGCAAAGTTGCATCTCCATTAGACCAACAGAGCCAACATGCGGGGCCAGCATTGCCGTTCTGGGCCACTACGGTCCTCGAGGCTCGCAATGATAGAGCGGGAGCATATCGCACTCATCCCCGAACTTGAAAGGTCGCCCCATTATGCTTCAGGACAGTAGTTTACGATCCGCCGTACTTGCTCCTCCCGTATCTTCTTCAGAAGCAATCCATTCGCCCATCGATAGCTCCAGAGTCAAAGATGATGCGACTGAATCCGGACGTGATACAGAATCCAAGGACTCGGAGGACATCCAGCCTATCGAGGTTTAGCCCGGGGAAGAGACCCGTGTCCTTGTGTTCGCTGGTAGCTCGTGAGTCGACTTCTGCCCGACTCATCCACAAACAGTTCAGCCAGGGTCGAGACAGCGTGGCGCAAAGTCGCCCCGGCTTTCTTAGTTTTCACCATTAAAAGAGGATGGGGAATTCCGAGATGGGAGTCCGACACGGTAGGCACGAAACCACAACCAACCAGGACGATGCCAGAATTAGCGGATCAAAGTTGCATGAACAGAGGTGGTCGTTCACCTAAGAAGGCAGAATTGTTCTTATTGCAAGAGGCACGGGAGAGAAGCAAGTTTCGGGGAGCGAGAACTGCGAGAAGAATGAGCATGAGAAATGAGATAGGTAGAGCAGTCCGAACATCGCATTGCAAGGCGCAAAGCCGTGCCCGGGACCAGATGTCGAGACAACTCGAGTACTCGCCTACCGCAAGCAGCATACATTGTCCCGACATCAAAGTTGATTCAGGTTAGCTCTTAGCTCTCATGATGTCGGGGATCGGATGTGGATCCGTGAAGAGGACAATGACCGCCACGGAAGCAAATTGGAGTAAGGTGCATGTGAGATTATAGTCGGCGGCAGCTGACAAAAGCAAAAGCAATGAACTGTCCAGAGTGTAGGGTATATCTTCCCTCTTCCATGTAGTCAGACCTGGCTCGACTCGGGTCTTCTATACGCTTGCGGCCGGGAAAGAAGAAGAATCCGGATCGAGCATCACATGCAAGGGCAGTGGACATACCGGGAAATTGATGCTTCGGCCGAAGTGCATTCATTTACATAGTACCAATGCTGAGAGAAGAGAGATAAGGTGAATTGGAAGAAACGACCAAGGCTCGAATGGGATACCGGCGAAGGTAAACGGAACGGTACTCGCACGATACCAGGCAGCCTGTGATGGCCGATCCGTATGTTCAGCACATTACGATCCACGAGACGTCACATCAACAACCTAGAGTAAAAGACTCAGTGTATCTTTCAGAAACATTACTTGCCTGATAAAAAACGTGACACAACTGAATTCTTCTAAAGATGACGCAAGAACTAGGCCCACTTCCGGAATTTCAGGGCGAAGGGTGATACGGAAATGCGCAGTGCGAATAAGCCAGGCCCCGATGAGGACAAGTGAACCTATCTTGAGAGGCGGACCGCTGTGCAGATAGCCTCTGACGTCTTTCACCGTTGCCACGATTGACGGGTTCGCAGACCAAGACTGCGTTGACGTGGTCTCTGTAGGACGTTGACAGCCGTGTATTTCCGCGCGATAAGGACCGGTACTGAGTACCGAGTCATCGTAGGGCCTGAAGAAAGCATCATGGGAAGCTACGATCGAGTCACCGTCCTATGACCCACTCCCAGGGCAAGAGGCGCATTATCCCAAGATGGCTGGGCTAGTTGTATGCCTAGGTCCGTCGCCGACGGTACGGAGCGACCTGGGGCTCGAGGAGGAATTCAATCACCAGCCCACAGGCCATGTTCGATGACACGAGTAAACCAAATTTATCTTGGAGTGTACATGATAGCTGACTTGAGGGCATCCAGCGAAGTACTAGCATCATTGTCGCCCGGCGAGTCAGTATCAGCCTAAGACATTGTCAGATACGGTAGATGAAAATCCTCTAGACATACTCTGCAATGTTTGGTGCTGCAAACAGCTGGTGCATGTGCCCATATGGTGGCAAGATCACGTTCCTCCGCGGAGCTGACCTTATACTCGGCATCCTTTCGACTGGTGTTGATACTCGTTACAACATGCATCTACATGTTGCGATCTGGCAACCTTATTCTGAGTCAGAGCGAGGCGTTGTAAATCGCAGCAAACGCGCTATAGCGGAACGAAACATATTGTGAATCCTTCGCCGAACGCCAGTACGCGGTGAGCCGCCAACGACAGGTCCTGGTGATGAAGGCGCCGACGCAACTTGAAGAAGGCTGCGAAGCGTTGAAGTAATAGAAAAGCACGTGGGAGTGTGGGAACAACCTACGTATGCGAAAATTAGTTCCGTGTTCGCAGAACAGGGGCTCGCCGTATGCGCATTCCTACCTTGACCTCCGTTCACTACGTCCGCGCCCCGGAAGCGAACCTAGCGACAGTGAAAGTACATATTAAATAGGTAAATTCTCATGCATCAGAAATTGCTGGGTTTCGATGCTAATCATCAGTGCAAAATAAGGCAGGAACTGTGGCACTTGGTTATACCGAAGTCTGAACTAGTTGTCAAAATGGAAGCGGCAGAGGACAAGAATACGCCTAAGCAAACTGAGATAGATGCCCCATTGAGAGACCCACATAGTGAAGCTGTATGTGAATCTACCGCGTCGCTGTATGGCAGAACACCCCTCACGTGTTCTGACCGCAGACACAAGCAGAGGGTCGGCCTGGCTCTTCAGAGTCTGCTGTGAATACGAATCGTCGCCGAGTTACGCGCTCCCAGACTGCACGTCTACCAGCCAGCTCCCAAGGTACCGATAACCGCCCGGCGAAGAAACGCAAGGCGAAGGATGACCCGCCTCCTCCATCGCCAGAAGCTTCCACTTCCTCCGCACCATTCCCCCTAGACCCGCAGCTATCCGAAGAGTTCAATCAACCTGCCTCAGTGCCCATAGAGGCCCAGCCTGAAGCATCTCCCCCAACCCTGCAAAGGTCCACGTCTGCTAACTACACGTTCCTCGAACAGCCCACCTTCCCTGACCCGCCTTTCCAAAGCGAGCGTCGTGGGCCAAGGACGCGCATCGCACCTCCCGTCCCAGTTCCAAACCTCACCAAGCGAAGCCGGGGCCGGCGTGTTCCGGTAGGTGCAGCCGCACCCGAGAGAGATCGCTCTCAGAATGGCCGTATGTATATTTGCAAAGTCCAGGATTGTGGCAAGCGTTTCAACAGAGGCGAACATTTGAAGCGACACGTCCGGTCTATACATACCCATGACAAACGTGAGTCGATCTCTTACTCGTATTCCCTGTTATCTGTCTTACCTTCATTTAGCATTTCAATGCACGTACCCGTCGTGCGAAAAGTTCTTCAGTCGACACGATAATCTCCTCCAGCATCAGAAGATCCACCGTGATTACAACTTCTCCCAAGATCCAGACCCACTGGGTGGGACGTTGCACCGCGTCCGCCAGAGTCCCCGAGTCGATGATATACCCATGGTGTCCAGCATGAGCGTCATTCTCCCGCATCCCATCGCTACTATCACTACTTTCCCCCCCTCTGCCGAGCCCATCGGCTTTTCGGCACATATGGCAGTCTCTTCCTTACGGACAGAACTGCCGGCGGCTCCAGATGATACTCAGGGACATATGCATACGATGCAGACGGAAGCGCACTTCGCGCATATATTTCCCGCCCATTTTGAACCACAGCCACCTCCACCACCTCCTCACGCCGATTCTAACGCCCCCGTCCTAGACTTCCAGTCTTAACATATCTTGTGTTGATCTTGCTTTCTCCGACGCCTGCCCTTCCTTATCATTATCTAACTCCTTGATCTCATTCCACGACTGTTGTCGACGTATACTGTACTGATCGTTAACTGATATAACATATGTAGCATCCTATTCCTTTGGTGTATACCTGTACATGAAACCTAATTTCATTTCAGTATTGTTGTGGGTGACACATGGCGGCCACGCTTCTTCCGACCTGCCCTTGAATTGGCTCATGAAGATTTCAATACACGACATCAGTCTCTATTATTCCGCGAAGATACAAAGACAACACTGCTTTTTTGCTTCCTTCTCTCGTCCCCAGTGATAGCTATACAATGACAATTTTACTTCTTGAGCAGAGCCGGAGGGGTGAGGCCAGCGGAGAGACCCTTGATGCCGGCGTAGGTAGCGCCAGAGCCCGCCAGTTCCTCCCTAGTGTATTCGTCAATATAACGAAACCGTTAACAAACGGAGGAGAACTTACTCAATGCGCAGGAGCTGGTTGTACTTGGCCACACGCTCGCTCCTAGCCGGAGCACCTGTCTTGATTTGACCGACGCCGAGGGCGACAGCAAGGTCAGCAATGAGCGTGTTCTCGGTCTCACCGCTGCGGTGGGAGATCATGACACCCCAGCCGTCAGACTGAGCAAGCTGCGCACTGTAAAACGTTCAAGACGTCAATGGAATATCTTCAGAACCACGATCAAGACACTGACGCTTGGATGGACTCGGAGATAGTACCAATCTGGTTGACCTTGAGCAGAAGACCATTGCAGGCCTTCTTCTCAATGGCGGTCTTGATCCGGAGGGGGTTGGTCACCGTCAGGTCGTCACCGACAATTTGGATACCGCTCTGCTTGGTGAAGTGGGTCCAGGCCTCCCAGTCATCCTGGTCGAAGGGGTCCTCAATGGAGACGATCGGGTACTTCTTGGTGTAGCTGATGTACAAATCGGCGAGCTCGGTACCCGAGATCCACTTAGAGGGGTCCGAGTTGGGGTTCTTGAAGTCCAGGTCGTACTTGCCCTCCTTATAGAACTCGGACGAGGCGACGTCGAGGGCAATCTTGATTTTACCCTCGTAACCGGCCTTCTTGATGGCCTCCGTGAGGAGCTCAAGGGACTCCTCCGCGCCAGAGACGTTGGGGGCGAATCCACCCTCGTCGCCGACGTTGACGGCTGTGAAGGCGTACCCGGTGTCAACGAATGCAGTAAACCATCCACAGAAAGATGTATACATACCATCAATGCCATACTTAGCACTGATAACCTTCTTTAGGGTGTGGTACGTCTCGGTACCAATCTTCATAGCCTCCGCGAACGAAGAGGCACCGGTGGGCAGAAGCATGAATTCCTGGAAGGCGAGCTTGTTACCAGCGTGCGATCCACCGTTGATGACGTTGAATGCGGGAGTAGGAAGGACATAGGGGGGCTTGACACCCGCAAGGTCGGCGAGGTGCTGGTAGAGGGGGACACCCTTCTCGGCGGCAGCAGCATAGGCAACTGCAATACTGACACCGAGGATGGCGTTAGCACCAAGCTTGCCCTTGTTCGGGGTGCCGTCGAGCTTGATGAGGAAGTCGTCGATCTCCTTCTGAGACGTGACCTTCAAGCCGGCCTTGATAAGCTCGGGCGCGATGATGTCGTTGACGTTGGCGACGGCCTTGGAAACGCCTGCGGCACGTCTGAGTAAGTTCCTATCTGTCGGTGATTGTGCGGATACGCACCCTTTCCGACGTAGTTGGCCTTGTCTCCGTCCCGAAGCTCTACGGCTTCATGGATACCAGTGGATGCACCAGACGGCACAGAGGCACGGAAGAGGCCTGGAAGTCCCGATTCGTTCAACCGTCCTGCTTTACCACGATGATTACTGCCTACCTTTGGCGGTGTGAAGGTCGACCTCGACGGTGGGGTTGCCGCGAGAGTCGAAGATCTAGAAGACGGTGAGAGCGCTGCTTTGGCGAGCACGTCGGCAGCAACATACCTGGCGGGCGTGGATCTTGGTAATGGACATGATGAGGTCGACGATGGGAGTGGTGAGGAGGAGGGACAATGGTGAGCGACGCGTCTATATAAAGGGGTGTCCCGCCGAGATTGATTGCATTCGTCGTTTCTCACACTGATTATCCAGAGCGGCCGACACCCCCAAGGTCCTCGATTCTCGTCATCGCAAGCTCGCTCCGGTCCTGTTCTGCCTCGACTGCCACCATTTGTATCTCGCCGTGGCCCAGGCCGCGCAACGATGGCGAAGCAGTGCGCGACTGTCGTTGGCGGGCCCACATCACTCGTATAGGCTGCCGGTCTTCATCGATGGCGGGACGACCAGCATGCGGCGCTGCATCTCGCTTAGGTGCCCTGTAAGCCAGTACGAGTGGGTCCGGTTGCGAACGGTGACAACAGCGCAGGTTGTTATCGATAACGACGCGTACACCGTGCGTACCGGCCAATGACACTGGTCTAATTCCCGTATGTCAGAGATCGCCCATCTTGTCCCAATGTTAGGTCTTTGGTGCTGGACGGTCGTTCTCTGCCGTATGAGCGAGTTGGTAACTGAACACGCACCGAATTCTACCAGCAAGTGTGTCTGCAGATCCTGTACGAGGAAGGGTTCGTCCGAGAATACAATCCATATATCATAGCTAACGTGAATGCTTCGTGTATTGTGGATAGTCTATCTAGTTGTTACATTGTATCAGCGTGGCTACAAGCAATGAAATGACATATAGAAGCAATTGCGAGCAGCATGTCGAAGCATGAAGCAGCTAACGCTGCGATAGTGGGCGAATAGATAGAGCTGGCAATGATACATGTCCTCGTAGAAAGAACCATGGTCCAGATCAGCTTTATATGCGAGAATAAATGCAGCAGCAGCAAGTTATACACTTGCGATTAAATCATAAACATCGTCCTCCCATCATGATGCTCGCGCCTTTCCCAGCAGCTCGTTCAGCTTCACGGCTGCCGCCCCGCCTCGCAGGCCAGGATCCTTCCTCTCAGACGCCTCAACAGCGCCCCCGCTCTTCCCGTTGACCTCCGATGGGTTGTCATGTTGCCCATGGTGCCCGTGGTGGGCGAACTGGACGTGATGGTGGTGCGTGCTATGAACATGGCCGTGATGCCCATGCCCGTGGGCATGACTGCTCCGCCCATTGAGCACTAGTGAGAACCGCTTCGACTTCGGGTCCTCAGTCGGCCGCGCCGTCACCGCAGTCGTCTGCAGCGCGACCACAGGCAACGAGAACCGCTTATGCCGCCTCGCCGTATCCTCCTTCCTCGGCGAAGTCGGCGCGCTGCCCGTGCCAGCCGTGGACATCACTTCTTCGTCTCCCGCTCGGATGTCTTGCTCATTCTCTGCCAACGACATCGTTGAGTCTTCTGGTCCTGGACGAGGACCAGTTGAAGTCAGAGGTGAGGCGGCCATGCCCTGCTCCTGGAAGTCCTCCAGTATCTGGACATAACTCTTTGGTCGATTCGAAGCCCTACTTCTGAGCCTCGACAGCGGGGGCACGACGACCTCACTCCCATCGTCCAGCGTCACCACGCCTGATTCACCTTCCGCGACCGCTTCCAAGGGTCGTTTGGGACTACCCAAATCGATAGCCATCAGAGCCGACGCTCGCGCGCCGACACCGGATAGAGCGAGAGACGGCATCGAAATGGACTGCCACGATGGAAAACCAGAGAGCGTTCCGATCGTCTGTGCGGGAGGCATGGCGTTGGTGGGTGAAGAGTCGTTCTCGAGGATAGGGAAGACAGTCTCGTAACACGCGCCACAGGCTCTTGCAGGCTTATTGGAGTCCTTGGCGTTAGGGTCGGAGATGAAGAAGGTCTGTATATGCAGAGGTCATGTATTAGGCCAACGAAAGGAGCGGGAGAGAATCACTCACGCTTCCTGAACACGCCCCGCATACGCACCTCCCGCACAGCCTACAATGATGCCTTCGCCTTCTCCACCCGAACGTCCTCCCGCACCGCATACAGCTCTCCGTCTTCCCGTCAGGTATCCATATCGCCGGAACGAAATGCTCGACCTTTCCTCTCCTCGGCTTGTTATGGCCGTCTTCCGGCAGATGCGGAAGAGCCTGGAGAGTCCGTCGCAAATGCTGCGTGGAGGAGGATGAAGTGAGGGTCGAATTCGGATGCATGACGTTAAGCGATACGAGCAAGGATGATTTGGCGTTGCGGATGGCGGCGGCCCAGTCGTCTCGTTCTTCTTCACTGCCTGCAAGAATGATTAGCCTATATTGGGTGAGCGGCTGTCGTACTTACTCGCATAGACAGCGAATGACGCCTCGGGACTCAACACCTCGAATCTCCTCTCATCCCCCACATCCCTCGTCGGACTAACCACCACATCCAGATCCACCAAGTCCACATGGCCCTTGTACACCCACTTCTCCTCCATTCCGCTACTTGCATGCCGCGCGACCTTCCTCTTACTCGGGCTCGGCGAGATCGCTGAGCCAGGACTGGACGACAGCTGGGGCGACGACTTCATCGTCGGCAGCTCTGCCTCGCTTTTGCTCCGTGAGCGCAGCATGCGCGGGCGCGTGAGGGCGCTCTTGCTGCCGGCGTTCGAGTTTGAATGCGAGATGCCCAGTCCCCAGTCGTCCACTTGTCCGTCGCCTCGCTCGGCGGAGGCAAGCCATACGAGGACGTCGGAGAATAGCAGAAACTCGCGTTCTTTAGGAGAGGAAGAGCGGTCCAGCTGGAGAAGGGGTGCCCTTTTGAGGAACGTACGACCAGGGCTGATAAGCTGGAAGTTGGGGGGAAGGTTGGGAGTGCTGCGCTGAAGGGCGAGGAGGGCGAGCGTTTGAGCATGAGTGTGCAGGGAGGTATTCAAGGACACGGTGACTGAGAAACGTCAGTCAGCACGATAATCGTGGAAACGGGTCGAAAAACTCACTTTTGGACACGAGAGTATGCACAGCCGTCAGAGAATTGTACTCCGGATCGTCTCGGTCGGTGCATCCAATGAGATCCTTGAGCAGCAGGAGGTAGCGTGGGCATCTTTGCACGACGGTCAGTAGCCAATCCCGCAGCTTCAGCCTACCGCAACGTTCATGGGCTTCCTGCTGGGCAACAAACGCAGCGAAGGCTGGCTTAGAGGAAAGAAGTGTGTTCAAGGATGCTATAGCCGTGGAGAAGGAGGTGACAAAGGGGGTATACATGGACAAGTAGGGGAAGTGGGACAGGAGGATGGGCGATATCGGAGGTGGGGATGGAGAACCCTGGGAGGTGTTGAGGTACGCAGACAGCGAGGAGAAGAAGGCGCGGTGGAGGTTCCATATGTCTATGAAGTTTGAAAACACGGACGTCAATTCGACGCGATCTAGCAGGGGGTGCGATGTCTCCAGAGATTCGATGATCGGTGTCAAGAAATGCTGGAACGAAAGATGAATTAGCACGTAAACACTGACAGGAGGCATTGCGACGTACGGCATAAATGAGATCCAAGCCATCGACGTACGAGCGCTCGGTCTCATAAAATTCATGGATAATCTTCCTCCTCTTTGCCTCCCTAGCTTCGTCAACGCGGCTATCCTTGTCCTTCTTCCGGCTCTTCCGCTGTACCTCGAGGGACGTCGGCCTCGACTTGCTCTTCTTCACGACATTCTTGACAAGAGAAGGCATAGACGCACCAGGCGCGTTCTGCTCCTCCGGCAACGAGTCAAACGACGCTAAGCTTCCGACCGACTGTCGGTTGAGCAGGCTCGGAGATGATGGCAGGGAAATCCGGCGGAACGGAAGATGGGGCGGACGATGAAGATAGCTTGACGGAGGGGGGGAATACGGAGAGTTGGGCTCCGTTGAAGGAAAGCTCACGGTCGAAGGAGGGGCACTGGCTGAGAAGTGAATCATATACGCCGTCAGTGAATATTCCGGCTGAATTCTGGTACACATTGGAGCGTGCTCACCGATAGCCATGGTCAGTTGATGCAGGGCAGACTAGGAGGAGTGAAACAAGACTGTCGGTCCCCTATAAAAGGTTTCGCAAACGGCTAAGCGCTAGGCAAGGCGGTCGCTGTGCTGTGGACGCGTCGGGGCGGGACGACGACGAGTCGATCGCACGTCTCAGCGCGATGATACACTGAGCCGTCACAGAAGCCCCTATATCCGGCCTTTGCCGTCGGCACTCGGGCGTCTCTCCCGCCCCGACATATCCTCTTTTGGATCCTGTGGCGTCCACTGCTTCAAGCACCGAGCAACGCATTCAGCGGGTAGCACCGTGGCGGACAGCTTGAATACAAGCCATACCACATGATGCTAGTATCTAATGAGTGCTCCACTGCCTGCGCTTACATGCACACCATGACCGGAAGTTTCATTCGCTCTTTGACCGGTCACCGGTCCAGTGGCAGAACAGTGTTGGCCCGTTTGACAGCAAGCCTGGAACTTCGTTTCTTGGTACAGCTTGAGTCACCGAGAAGTCAACCCTTCGACCAGTAGTAATTATTTGAGTACCTCAGTGTTGGTACATGCACAGAAGGTGTGAAGAGCACTTGGATGGTACTTTCACCGGTGTGGCCCCGATTCGGCATTAGTGTGACATTTGTGACGCGACGCGTTCTGGTCGTGATATAACTTGCCACAATTCTCACGCTCTGTGTTTCCCATCTATCCTCTTACTATCAGCACAACTTGGCGCCGTCCCATCAAGTCTACTGATATGCACGCCGCACTAGCGATCGACGAAATCCTCTCCAAAATCATAGCGTTTACATTAAGGCGCAAGTCCGTCCAAGACGACGCGGCGTCCCTCGACGCGTCATCCCGACACGGTCTGTTACAAGTGGCTCTGGTCTGCAAGGCCTTCTGGGAGCCGGCTATGTCTATGCTCTGGCGAACTCTGGACTCGCTTGAACCCTTACTTCTTCTGGTCCCTGGCCTCCAGATCCACGATGATTCTTGTGTACGCTAGGCCAGTCCACCCCGCAGGACTCTTACTCAACTTCTGCCCTTGCAGGTTTTGGATCAAGATCTGGTTATTGAGGACATTTCGACTCTCCGGAAGTACGCACGACATGTACGGACAGTCGCCCTCAAGCGCAATATAACGGTGCCTACTCCGATACTGGCGAAGATTCGCGTGGCCACGGGGGCAGAATCTCTCTTACCTCGTCTCAGGGTCTTATATTGCGTCAAAGAGGGATTCTCGCATGAAATATCTCTCTGCCTCTCGTCCACCGTGGAGCAACTCACTGTCATTCTCTCCAAGGATTCTCGTGAGGGTACCGACCGGGAAGCGTTGGCCGCGTTCCTCAGTGGCCTGCTGTCCATGAAAGATCCAGAGGCCAGACTGACTCTGCTACATATAACCGGGCGCTTATTGGAAGGAACTATGAAGATGGTGTCGGCCTTCCCGAAACTACGAGAGGTTGGTTTATCGCTTCACAGCTCGACTGATCCGGATTCTTCAAATTCTGGGGGCGTTGGCAAGAGTCTCCTTCCGGCTCTATCGCAAATGGAATACCTTACACGTCTGGACCTGGATGTAGCCGGATCCGACCCCTTCGTCTTACCGCTCGCCTTGCCCTCTCTGCAACATCTTCGACTAATCGGGCTCTGCTCGGTGATATTGAGCGCTTTGCATGGTTCCTCCTTGCCTAGCCTGGTCGAGTTGAACATCGTGGTCCTTCGCCAGCAATCCGGCTCGCTAGACGGTATACTGTCCTCTCGGATCTCCTACTTCAACCTTCGGATCCTTGTCATACGTCTGGTAGGATCGCAGACCGACAGCCCTCTCCGCGGGCGAGATCTACTTGCACCACTCCTCCGCCTGCGGGCGCTCCAAGTATTTCGCCTTAACTCGAGGAACATACGCGTCGACCTCGACAACGAAGACATGGCGCTCATCGCCAAAGCCTGGCCGGAGCTCTTCCTCCTAAACATATTCACGCCCTTGCCAACGGATTGCAAGGCTCCAAACCTTCTGGGGCTGATACCGTTCGCTGAGCACTGTCCTCACCTTAGCTATCTAACGGTGCCCGTCAACGCTAACTGCGCACTCCCGTCTCAGCCCCCGGTTTTCCTCCATGAGCTGCGGCACATCGATCTCATGGATTCGCCAGTGACGGTTGCGCCGCACGTGGTAGCCAGGTTTCTACACTGCCTTTTCCCAATGTGTGCGGGGCCGCGTCCGAGTGGACACAAGTACCGCTACCCTTGGCCCCGGGTTTACTGGTTTCTGGGAATGATACATACTATCCTGACGGACAACAGTCGGAGGATAAAGGTGTCATTGGCTGCGCGGACCCTCAGCGGCTCCGTGGACGATGCGGTCGATGACCATGAACCATCTCACCACGTATCTGGCCTTTGAACCTGAATACTGGACGTTGGATTCGGTTGGAAGGAATCTACAGAGATATAGGGGCGCTTGCTTTATTTGGCTCTAATGCCGCCGACCCAAATTTTTGGTACTGTACATAACTGTGGTCATTTGTGCGTCCTTGTTGATGGCGATGCTCTCCTTTATTTTGGATTCCGATATGTTCACATAGTCATCCAACTAGTCATCGGCCGCTGCATTTACTGGAGTCCTGTGGTGCTGGATTGTTAGAATATTTCGTCGCACCTGTCGAAACAAACCGCACGCATTCACAGGAAACTTGGTTCAATATTGATGGCCACGAGTGTGCACCTTCTACGCTTGGCAGTGGTATCGTTAGATACCATGGACCATCCGCAGATGGCGGAGACTCGGTGGTTGTCGCTTTCACTGCTACTGGCGTACTCTGCTCCGCGATTGTGAGGACGTATCGTGCTTTCATATACTCTGCAACACCCTGGTTCTTGGGCTCCTAAAAGGCAGCCTCACTCTTTCCCGACCTGATCATGGTCTCGGAGGGCATCTATACAAAATCATAGGTATGTGTATATCATGTTACATGGTCATAGGGGCGTTAACTTGTACATTGCTATTAGTTGTATCTCTGCATTATCATCAGTCCATTATCCTCCCGATCCTGTCCTCCCTCCGGTCAATCGTCCAAGATTATCTGAAGTCCCATACCATAGATGAGTCCATCCGCGTTGACTACTGCCAGGCGGCCCCTGCTTCTGCATGAATATGAATGTGATTTACTGCGATTGCGACACCACCTGGGCGTAGGAAGGAGCATTGGCCTTCGCATCCTCGTCCTCGACGCTGAGGATGTGTTCCCAAGGTTCGTCAGGACCCGCGTTGGACGTTTCCTCTTCAATAAGGAAGGTGTCGTCGAGGACGATGACGGACGGGACGTGGGGTATCATCTCGAAGTCAGAGTCTGCAGATGCTACGCGTCAACGAGAAGGTCCTGATAAGTACTCCGCTGCCCTCACCTCGGGGCCTGGACGACTTGCGGTTCGCACTGATCAAGTCCGCAAGCTTGACTTCCGTCTTCTCGGGCCTTATCAGGTTCGCAGCCCACGACTTCGCAGGCGAAGACACGACGGTTGCGTCCTCAGCGCCGACCACCACGTCCGCTTCGTCCCACGTGCCGATAGGCTTTGTCTTCCTCGACCCCTTCCCCCCCGCGCCTGCCTTGCCACCGGTGCTCTTCACAGGCTCGGGCAGGATCTTGCTCCTCTCCTTCTTCACCTTGGTTCTGGCATGGTCCTCTGCTTTCTTCGCTCGCTGGCGGTTATGCTCGAAGGCCCGCACCGCCTTGAGGATCGAGGACACGTCCCTGTCGACGTCGGCTGCTGGATTACTCTGGTTGTGGTGAACGGTGCTAGGCTGGGTGCTTGACTGAACGGCAACGGATTGGATACGGGTAGAAGGCATGGAGGGCAGGAAGTCTACGGACGACGAGTAGTTATAGGAAAGGTGAGTGGCAGTGGCGGTATAGAGCAGGCTGGGTAAGCGTATGCGCTGGCAGCGGTGGCGGAGAGATAGGCAAGAAGGGGTACCTCTCGCGTCACCGGTACCGCCATAATGGATAGCGTCGCGGTGTCACTCACAATGACATGGCGATAACACCCGTACATAGGAGCTTTCCTAATCCGGACGCTTGCTAGCCACGTGCGTCGCTCCTTCACGTTCGTCGCAGACTCGCAGCAGACCTTCAACTTCAAGCTTCACTTGCGATGCCGGTCGCTAATGGTTTCATCCAAGATTTTGGTTTTGAAGAAACCCAGAGTCCAGGGAAGACTCAACGAAGTAGTCCATGGGCTTTCCCGGCCATTTATATTACATGAAGTTTGTTCCTATCACAATACGGGAGTCCTTCAGAATCCAAGCGACTTAGCAGTGTCTACTAGCGACTTCTCCAAGCTTATCCATCCACCGAGAGCTTTCGTCGCCACCGAGTTGTCGATCTTCTGACGATCTGGCTCGCCCTGCGCCCCAGGAACTTCTGGCGGCAGCTGCGCCTTCGGGAACTCCTTGCGTAGGATGTGGATAATCTTGTTCCACCCGTATGGCTCGGCTGCGGCCCAGATGCGCTTGCCAGCAAGCGAGGGATCAGTCAAGGCGAGTACATGCAATCGACCGTCGTCGCGAACATCAATGAACCATTCTGTCGAATTGTGCGATTAGCGAAAGGTTAAGCCTGGTAATAGGCGAAGTGGCTACGTACGCGGAGGGACCTGTTGTGTCCATGTTCCGTCACCATTCAGTATCGTCCAAATCCAACCAACCGTCGATCGAGGGCTGCCAAACAGGACCGGGCCGAAGTTTGCGTTCGGTAGGATTGTTACAATGTCGAATGAAGGCTGTTTGAATGGTGTGAGCGTGTACTTCCACAGTAAGCCAACAAGTGCCTACCTTATTTTCCTCCACCCACTTCCAAGCAGCTTTCTCTGATAGTATCTTTGATGCCGCATACCTCCACATGGGCCAATCAGGCTTCTTCTTGTCTTCCTCCGTGGCATTATCCCACTTCTGCTGGCCAAAGTCATTCCAATCCTTGTCCGTCAACGGCTCTTCCTTGAAGTTGGGCGGCGAGATTACCGCAACAGAGCTGGAAGTGAGCACGACCCTCTTGATCGAAGGCTCCTTTGCAGCAGCGCGTAACAGCGCAAGCGTGGATTCCACGGCCTGCTTGGGATTCTCGTCAGAATCCCCGGGTACGCTGCCCGGGATCGCTACATGCGCGACTCCCTCCGCACCCTTGATAACTTTGGCGAATTGGGCCTCGCTCGTGAGGTCGTCGAGTTCGGCGAACTCGAGCTTGCTCACGTCGGCTCCCTGCTTGGCGTATGCCTGCTTGACTTCCTCAGTCCGTCCGAGGGAGCGGACGGTACCACGGACGCGGTAGCCGGCTTTCAGAGCCTCCAAGCCAACATGGCTGGCGACGTAGCCGGTAATACCAGTAACAACGATGAGTCCGTTAGGAGCGACGGTAGGCATGTCGGGATATCGTACGGGATAACTGAGATGTCTACCTGAGGACCCGCTATATAAATGATGATTGAAGCAACCGCGGCCGCATTTAAGATGATGGAATTGAACGTAATTGGAATACCTTGCTGAACGCAGTACCTTCTCTTATGGGGCTAAGTGAGAGGGCAAGTCATTCGTGCTGATTCAAATTGTTCCGGTGAGTTCTAGCAATTTCGACGACATGGCAAGCTGATCAATACTGAGCATTCGCGATGACTGGTATACTATGTGATCCAGCTTTGTTGATCTTTTCCGTGTCAAACATGCTAGCTTTTTTTATTCTATAAAGGAACTGGGATGAAAACTGCTTTTTTGCGACACTAGACACTGAGACAGCGGGTAGCTATGGTAGGCAACACGACTAATGTCCATCTACATGGATACGATATCAGATAGCAATGAAAAAACGAACGGATGGACTAGATCCGAAATAAATAATACATGATAGTGAATAACCCCAACCAACCTGCGCAATGAATGAACAGATTAGTTGCTGGGTAAATAATACGGGTGACTCGGATAAATTAGGCTATAAACAAGAAAGAATGTGCTTTGGATCAAGAAAGAATGCATTCATGAGGACTGGCCGTAGTCCGCCTTGATGATATCGGCGGCCTGCTCGGCGATAGCGTAGGCCGTGCCCATCAGGTGAGTACCAAGTTGCTGTGGACCGGAGTCAATACTTGGTAATCCAGGAGATAAAGCGAATGCTTACCAATGGAAGGATAGAAACATCGGCAACGCGCAGGTTAGCAGTGCCGTACACCTTGAGCTTGCTGTCCACAACACCATCGAATTCCTTAGGAAGCATGGCGTTTGTGCCTGCGAAAGTCATGAGAGTCATAAGTTTAAATGGAGAACTGGGTCTAGAGGGATGACTTACAGCAAGGGTGGAACGGCGTCATGACGGTCTCCGCCACGAACTGTTCCCATTGCTCATCCGTCGTGACATCCGGCCCCGGGTAGCTGTACTCCTGAATGAGATCCTTAATAGGCTCGGTGTCTGCAATGGTGCGGCACCACTTGGCACTGGCGGCCATTAGGTGCTTATCTGTATCGCAATAGTTAGACGCTGAAGAACATCGCGTAGAGATCCTACCTACCAATGTCGAATGCCCATGCGTTGAGATCAATAGCGGGCTTGTCCGTGGGGTTTGAGGACGTCACGTGGATGGAGCCACGGGAGAATGGGTGGGAGGGGACAGATGAGATTTGGATGTACGAAGTGTTCAACTGGAAGTGGTTGGCGTATGCGTTGAAGGGGGCAGCGTAGACCCTATTCCAATTACGTCAGACATGTTCGATAAAAATCTGGATTTTACTCACTCAATAGAAGCTTCGTCGCTGTTCGGCAGCAACCGCTTCCTCTCGATCTCATACATAGCGCGCCGACCAGGAGACGGGTTGGAGGCATTGAACTGCGCGTCGAGCTCCGCAAGCCATTGCAGCAGGAGGGTATCGTTGTTGACGACTTTGGCTGCGCTCTGGTAGGAGATGACAGTCACAGAGGACGTGTAAGGGCCGGTCTTGTTCACGAGGCTGGATACACGTGCGTAAGTAACGTGGGTGCGAAGGTGATGCAGTAAGGCTACTCACTATTCCTGCCAGACCGTGGCGTTCCTGTCCGGGTTGTCCTCGACGTCCCACGTCTCAATGTAGTCAGGGACGATGAACTGCTCGTAGTTCACCAGGTGATCCTGGTAATTCTCGCCCACGCCCGGCAGGTCGATCTTGCTCTGAATGCCGAGGCTCTCCAGAAGAGTCTTGTTGCCGATACCGGACAACTCAAGAATCTGCGGAGACTGGATGGAGCCGCCGCTAACCACAATGTCCTTGCTAACCGATGCAGTGTATGTCTGACCACCGGAGACGTATGTCACGCCCGTAGCGCGGAGGTTGCCATTGCTGTCCGGGGTGTCGGACAGCTCGATCTTCGTCACCTGGGCGCCGGTCAAGACGTGGAAGTTGGGCCGGTCGGCGTTCTTGCCATAGTACTCAATACCAGAGTAAGACCGGGTCTTGGTGTCCTGGTTAATGGCGAGAGGAGGGTTCCAGACGCTGCCGGCATCCCGACCGTCGCTCTGCATAGAGTATGTCAGTCGTCATATGGCGCATAGATGCGACGTGAACCTACCCCATCATATACCGGGTCATAGCCAAGGTTGACCATCGCATCGTACAGTGGAGGCATTGCCTGGCTGAACCATCCAGAGAAGGATGCGTGGATAGGCTAATGGGAGCCAATCAGATTGCGTTCGATCCAGGAACGATCATAAGAACTTACACCGCTGTCACCGTGATACTTGGGATCGAAGGTGGCATGCTCCTGTTCCTGAAGATCTTTGGGTGCAACGGACATGTTGGTCGCCTTCTTGAAGTACTTCAGGGTGTTCTCATAATTCCATCCGTCGTTTCCTAACTGGCCGATTTCTGATGACCATGTATCAGTACCGCGAAGTCTTGCGTTGTGGATACTTCACTTACGATCGTACTCCACGGCTCCAGCCAGGAACACACCCATTAAGTTAACAGCAGAACTACCGCCCAAGACTTTTCCGCGGACAATCTGAATCTCCCGGTTGGCTAGGTTCTTCTGGGGAGTGGTGTAGAAGCCTGAGAAATATAAAATCGTCAACATCGGTGCTTGAGATGTCGCATTGCACGTTGACATACCCCAGTCATAGGTAGGGTCACCCCATGTTTTCCCTGTATGCCATCCTTGCGGCACAAGGATCTTCTCGTCGTCTGGCCGGTATTCTCCGGCCTCAATCAGCCCAACAGTCCAGTCTGAAACTTCAGAAAGCCTGAGGTGATGTTAGCAGGGCAATTCTGAGTAAGTCAGTAAGGAGGATCATACCTTGCTGCAACGGCGGTTCCGGCAGTGCCGCCTCCCGCGACAATGAAGTCAAATTTGGTGCTCGCAAATGTCGCTGGATCGACGATTGCGGCACTTACGAGCGTCGAAGAGAGCAGAAGACTCAAGACCGACCTTGAGGAGATCATTGGGCTGGCGACCTACGACGAGGATGACGGGCGGCGCGCCCTCGTATTTGTACCCAACCGGCACCTGTCCTGCGCTTCATGTCCTGACGTCTTTGGTGACTCGTCATCTCGTAGAAGGTGCCGGAGCAACAGTCCAGTCCGCCCGTTCAGTATACTTCCGGGGAAATAGAGAGCAGCCGGAATGATGGTTGTTTGATTCTCTGTGTCGGACAAAGTGCAAAGGCGCGCGGTGCAGTCCTTCTTGTGACGACGTCGGGAGTACTCTCTTGGGAAAAGAGACTAGAATGTCTTGACCGACTGGGTAATACATCATAGAGCTGCTATAATTAGTATGGAGTATGATGGGGAATCACGAGTATGTGAGTTCCGCACTAGAAAACGAGCATCTCTTGACCAGAACGCCGAGCTCTCTCAGGCACGTGTGGGTCAAGGCCTCAGGAACATACAACCTTCGGTACCGCAAGTGCACAGCAGGTCGAATATTCTAGAGATGACGCGCTATCAATCTGCAGTTAGAGTGCATCGTAGTACACTTGGAGACTCCCCAGATTTCGACGCACGGTTGCGGGCACTGATTTGCCCAGCTGTCCGGCGAAATAATCAATTATTGTGGTACACCTGCTAGAATATTGCGAATATCGGTGGCCAGCTATAGCTAGGGAATGTGCTCGAATATCAGACGGATTATCATGGACGTCGGGGAAAGTCGTCGGTGCATCAGTGATTGGCATTGCACCTTACCGCATTTGGCAGGAGAGCCAGAGGAAGCCCGCGAAGCAGCACAGCATTCACTTTGCCCCCGCGTCATCGATCACATTCCAAAATGATCACGATTGAACGCGGACGCAAATCATTAGCAGGCCCTCTCGCGCGTTCGTGAATATTCTAATCCTGATTATGGTAGGCGCCGTGTACGCTGAGTTGTCTTCTACTGACCAGCGCAGCTTCCGTTCAGCATTGCACGATCCTTTCGTTTGCTTTACTGGGTCTCAATGACTTGCGCAACGGTTGAAACTTGCGTTGCGTGCAATGATGTCCGACAATCTACGAAGAAGACCTAGAATCTCGCTCTGAAGGCTTAAAAGCGTTGCGTATTGCAGTCCTTCTCCTCGTCCAGCGCCCTCTGACGCCTGTCAATCAGCACTTGAAGCAGGACTTCCTTCAACGCTTGCGTGGCACAAATGCTGAAGTTCTTCCAGGATCGCCTCTTCCCCAAGGTACGTTCTCACACTCTATACCGTATTGCAGGAGGTCCTGACTTTGTCTGACAGGTCCCCCTCATCCCCATGAAGATGGATGATGAGGGATATTATGTGCAATTTGGTGGGGCGCGCCGACATAAAACCATCAAAATGAGCGACGATGAGTACATATTCCGCTGCGAATACGACCCGAAAGACCCATTCACCGGCGCCGGCCGTGAAACTGGTACGTTATTTTCTCTACTCTCGGAGCCAAAACCCTTCTCACACTCCGCTGGACAGGTGCCTTCCCCCTTCTACAGTGAGTGCGGAGTCCTCTGCTGTTAGCAGCAGACCACTTAATGATGTTGCAGCTGGCACCGTAACCAAGATGAGTGGTTCAAAGTTATTCAAGGAAGAGTAGGATACGTGCTCGACGGTAAGTCGGGCTTCGTCGAGAAGGGGACCGAGGTTGCGTTACCCTCAGGCGTTATCCACACAGTATGGTGCATTATTGTGATTTATTGCATACCCGACGCTGACGGCTGTCCCGTAGTTCTGGGTCGATCCGAACAGTCCAGAGAAGGTAATCATGGAGTTTACCGTCCGACCAGGCAGAGGGTGAGTGCTTCAGCACGTTCTCGTTGCGACCTTCTCTCACACTTCTTTCACAGTCTGGACGAGGAGTGGATTGACAGCTTCTACGGCGTCCTGAACTCTTGCTACGAGGCGAAGAAGCCCCTCAGCTTCCTGCAAGCCATGGTCTTCTGCGACGAGGCAATCTCGGCGCCAGGGCACTTCCCCAAACCGATCGGCATCTTCATGGCATGGTTCTTCGGTAAGCTTGTGACCTCCTCGTGCCAGCGTAGGCGTAGCTGACGATCTTGTCCCAGGGCGTATCATTGGTCGTCTTGCGGGCTACCGGGGAACATACCCACAATACGTCAATCAGAGGAAGGACAAGAAGTTCGTCGATCCCAAGGGGCGCACGGAGGTTCTGTAAAGGTAGTCAAATTCTATCTTCGACTGGAGTGCTGAGCATCTTAACGATTCGGCTGTGGGACTGTTGTCAAATGTAAATACGTGTATTTATTGGCCTTGTATTCTTTGTTTAATTAATGTAATTTCTTAATCACTTCCCTGTATAAACATATAGTTGGTAATCACATTTGAGGATCTAACCGCACAATCAGTTGAACAAGCGTCTTGCCGTGATATTCCCACAGGAAGAGCTTGGATTTTGACTTGACTGAGAAATCGGATACCCGGCCCCAGAGAAAGCCCCATCCGCCTTAACGGTGTTCCAGAAGTAAACGGTTTCGAATTGCGAGAAGTTGCTGCGGCTACCGGCGCCACCTGCCAGCCATTTCGTCCGGAACCAAGCCGACATCAGTATACATTGCTATATCCTCCCGCTTCTGGGAAACTTGAACGATATCGATACCACATTCCTCTGTACAAGGTGCGATTCAGTAGATAGATGTGTCAGCTTCCAGTTACAACCACCTCCGCTCAGCTCATAACTATCAGAGCCGAGCACCTGACCTTAACTAATCATCCCCAGAGCCAAAGCTGTAGTCGTATTCCTCTTGGTCGTCCTCCAGCCGGTAATACTTCACCCTCGTGTATTCTTCGATGGCCTCGACAGAAGTATCCCTCAATTGTCTGTAAACGATCGGTAACTGAACAAGCGACAAAGGCTTCTGGCACTGGGCTCGTAGCCTGACAAATGTCAGAAGCGCGGAGAAGTCGCACTTATCTACAGTGAGGCCCTCCAGCTCTGGCCAAGAACACTGCCCACATTCGAGATGGTAGGACAAAGTCCTGACAATACGTGTGACATCTGTATCACGGCATTGGAGGTGCTTGAGTGAGGGGAAAGAATCGATGAAACGGACTCCGATCCTGCCATTTTCGCCCTCTCTATGTCCGTAGCCGGTGATGTCCCCATGAATTCTGACGGAATTTAGCTTCAAATCCCGTACACGCGCATACCGTGGCTGAGGCTCAACGAACAGAGATCGCAGAAATGCAGTCCACGATTGTGATCCTAGGCGTGTCAGGGTAAAGACTTCCAAAGAAGGAGCGAACAGAACCCAAAAGACCGTATTCGCGTTGGGGATCCTCTGGTCCGGCGACCTGCAAGAGACTTCTAGCGAACGAAGCGCTGGTAATTCGATGGTAGCGAGAGGAGGATCCGTCAATTGCGGAGGACGGATGGGCAGCTCCACAGCCAGCTCGCGCAACTGCGGAGAAGCCGCGAGGACGGCTTGAAGGTCCGTCGACGAAAGAGGAGGTAACCCGTCAGCAACGGGACCTTCCAGACGAAGCACTCTTAGGCCTCGGAAGAATGCGGATTTCCGACAGTCAATAGGCGACTTGCTGAGATGCACCGTATGCAAACGAAGCGCATCCATATGGAAAGCGTAGCGTCCCTGCGTGTACATTCCGTCGCCCAAAAGGGAGACACTGAATATCTCCAATCGATGAGCGGGTGCATCGAGTAGTTGGGGTATCATCATTCCAAAGACACGACCGCCGTCAGTGTAGATGTGCAATCGCCGCCATTGCTTGATCTTTGACACCAGCATACCGAGAGCAGTTGTGATCCTCAGCTCGCCGTGGGCGCACTTTCCTATGAATGTGATATCAAGGGGTTGGGCTCCAGAGTATTGGAGATAGTTGACCAAACGGTTCAAATGTGCAGGAGAGGCTCGGATAGTCGCCCACAATGAGGATGTGCTCTGCACGAGGCTTCTCCATTGCTTCGATACGAGAGAAACGTGGACCGGGAAGTAGAACTTATTCTTCTCAGAAAGAGTCGAGTGGCACGTTTCGAGTATGTCAGCGATGAGTTCCCCAGGCAATGTGCGGATTGGGCAAGGCATGCTGGAATTGGCCGTGACCTCGACTTGCTTCAGACGAGTCAGAGCAATGTTCCTGTCGACTTCGTATAGTCTAGCCTTCAAAACATTCCGAGTAGCAAGGAGATCGTCTAACTTCTGATTTAGTTTGTCCAGAGTCGCCTTCGAGCCCTTGCCTTTGCGGCCCATATATCGTTATTGAGCTGGTGTATAGTATGTTCAATGCCACGAATTACTGACATGAGGAACAACTATGCAACTGCCTCTTTTGCTCACCTCTCAGATATCAATTGACTGAATGTCGCTGATCTCAGGTTGCCCGGAGTCCGAGCTGTCCAATGTTCGAAGTCGCTGTTCGCTCTGGCAGGAGTCGCGGTTGGGGACGGGACTTGAGAAGATGTACTGGGAGATTCAGATATAGATCAGGTACCAAACACTCGGGTTTCTTCACGTCAAGATGCAGCTGTATGTGATCTACCCCAATATTATACCTCATAATAAGTCTCAAATTCAAGCTGCCACGACACTGGAGACCATACTAGACGAATTCCACTCCCGTCCAACCGGAAAACGTCTCTTCCTCTCGCCACGCCGGCCTCATCTGAAGCACTACTTACTAGTACTTGCTTTTCATGGCAGACTCGTCAGCTTTGATGGGTGGTTGTGACGGTCGCGTCCACAAGGGAGTCAGATGTAAGGTCACGAAGCGACTCCGCTGGTACGGCCCGGCTCCATCTATGCAGAACTAAAACATTATATTCGTGCAGATGCTACTATATACACGTTACAGACATGAAAGCCATTCCCAAATTACATACGCCAGGACTATCTTCTCTATAAATTAGCTTTTGACAACGAATGCTAGTCGATCCAAAACTGTCCGAAAGCACTTCCAAGCAGGTGAACTTAGTTAGACCATGCCTGGGTCAAAACATCGACGTCAATAGCGCGACGGGGCTTCAGGACAACGTCGAAAGTGTCCGGCTCGCTTTAAGGGTAGTCAGCTTCTGAGAAGATCTACCAGCATCAGTCAGATACTTACGCAGTCAGCCCCTTGCGCACAGCGGTCGGGTCAGGGAGGATGGGCTTGCCATTCACGTCAGTGGGAGGCAGGATATCGAATGCCCAAAGGAGGGACACCACACCCATCCAGACGGACTTGCTAGCCAGGTATTGGCCGGGGCAGACACTGCATGCGGCGAGTATTAGATATATCCAGATAGCCACAAAAATTACAGTGCTTACCGTCTGCCGAAGCCGAAGCCGCAGTGTCCCTCGTTCAAAGCCTCAGTGCCGAGTTTGCTACCGTCCTTAGGCATGAAACGCTCGGGCTTGAACGTGAATGGGTCAGGGTAGCGCTTCTCGTTGTGGTGAATAGCCCAGATGTTCGGAACAACAGTGGTGCCGGCAGGGATGAAGTAGCCCTTGTAGACATCGTCCTGTAGGCTCAGATGGGGCGCTGAGACAGGTGCGACGGGGCTCCAGCTGCATTTTTCCAGTTGGTTCCTTGTATAGGCTGGAAAATCGAATCTGAACTTACCGGAATACTTCCTTCACGAGGGCGGTACAGTAAGTGAGGTCCTCGAAGTTCTTGAACGACGGGGGCATGTTCGAGTCAGGACCCAGAACACGGTCAATCTCCGCTTGCGCCTTCTTCATCTCCTCGGGGTACAAGAGCATAGCCACGAGAGCCCACAGAACAGTACCAGCAGTGTTGTCTGTGCCAGCCTCGAAGGCAGAGCCAGCAACTAGAGAAACGAATGATAAGTATAAATAGAGCAAGAACAGACGACCGACTTACGATAAGCCATAGAGACCTCGTCAAGACCGTTCTTCTGCTCGTCTTCAATCAGGCGAGCGGCGAAGCATTCAAGGTTCTCTCCATTCTCCATCCTCTGCCGAACCTCGTTCAGCAACCGCTTATAGAACTATTGAAGCGATATTAGCATCGTTGTCCAGGTACCGCTGTACAATGCAACTTACGCCGAACTCATAGTCGTGCTTTTGCTTCGCCTCCACACGCCACTTCGCCAGCGAATCTGGGAGCCAATCCAGGATCGGGAAGGTGTCGACCGGGTACTTCGCGGGGTGCATGTCCTGGATGAACGTCTCAAGGATGTGAAGAAGCGTCCTAAGGTCCTTGCCGTCGTCGCTGAAGCGCTTGGCGTAGACGAGAGTCTGGAGGGTCTCAGCAGTGTACCACTTGATGCTGATGTACGCCTTGGTGGGCTGCTTGAGGATATCGCAGATAAGCTTCATGGCACCACGCTCCTGGATTCCTTCGTAGGCACCGACGGCACGGGAGTTGAGCATCTGAAAGGCAGCGGCGCGCTGCTTCTTCAGGAGCGGTCCATAGGGTAGGAGAACAAGACGCTGGGCCATACGTCAGGACCTGCTGAAGTCGCACCAGAGTATGAGTGACATACCTTGTCAGTCGAGCGGTATTTGCCAGCGTAGACGAGCTGCTTGCGTGAAGAGTAGTTTCCGGAGCGCTTTCCGAGCTGCGAGAACAGTCGATCACCAGATCAATCGACCTCAGTCGATGATAATACTTACCAGTTCTTCAACGTCCTCCAGCTCGTCCAGGATGAGCATCTCACTTCCTGCCATGTTCAATCTGACAATGGGACCTGCAGCGACAGAAATGAGCCAACGTCGGGTGGGAGCTAGGCCGACCACTTACCATATTTCTTGCACAGTTCGTGGAAGAAGAGCCAAGTCTTCTCTGTAGGTACCCTGTTGCCAATGATGGGTAAAGGAGTGGGACCCGGAGCGTAGTGGCGAGACTTCTGGCGGAAATACAAGGCGACGTAGTAGGCTACCACAAGGCCAACAATGGCCAGTGTAAGCCTGTCTGCTTTGAGGCTCTGAACGAGAAGCGCTTCGTTAGCAGGGAAGCCCTTGGAGAAGTCAAAGTGGGAGGACATCGTTGATCGCTGATCGCGGACGCTACAGTGCGCTGGACGCTGAAGTGAGGAAGGCGAAGAGGACGCGGAACGAAACTCCAAATGCTCGTCTTAAAATACCCATCTCGAGCTCGCTATGCGCAACGGACCGGGTCATTGCATGCGACTCAGAAGGATAAGGTCCCAACCCGCTTCTGCGGACCTGGCGAGCGTATGGTGAGGTGGATCATACCAGCATTCAGTGGAACCGGCTCGCACTGCGGCTGTACTCGCTGCCTACCCCCACAAGGGAATACCAAGTGCGGCCGAGGAATATGCATTGGCAGTATTTGCCAATTGTAGGCCCTTATGTGACCTTCAGGATGGACGGAATTGACAGACAGAGGTCTATATATGGAAACTGGTAAGGTTAGGTGCAGCGCGCAATTGACCTCCGCATTCGATTGGCAGCCATCAATCTGTGGAGCGTGTCTGCAACTACGATCAAACTGCAAAGGTGAACGCTTCCTTCGTTGATGCAGATAGGCTGATTTCAACTCGAATGAGGGTCTCGGAGCCGGAGCGCGGTCGGTCCCATGTAATACCTAACATTCGTGACAGGTGTCGATCTTTCTGCTCTGTGGCAGCCCGCGAACGCGTATCTACCCGCCTGCTGCAGCCTGGATGGGCAATACAATTGAATGTCGGAAAGACGAGAACTGTAGCCTGGTCAGATTCCTATCCGATTCGTCCACGGTCAGGACGTGCGGCCTCGTTTTCCGACCGCAAATAGTTGTCTGTCAGAGCAAGTGACGCAATCATTCCCAGAGCTTGCCATGTTTGCACTTGCGTTCACAGCCAATCTTGAGTGAGTCGTCCATCCATAGCAAATCTTGAACAGTGGACCATAATTGGTTAATCTCTCTACCTGACTTCAATTTCGTATGCTAGGAGCATTCTGACTATCGTTTGCGTCTATCATTTCTATCCAATCGTATTGACTTACGGCAATGCTGACTTGTGCTTGTATCATCCAGTGTTTTCGAGGTTTCTCCGACCTGGAGACACATTAAAAGGGCCAGGAATTCCGTCGTCGTCGTCGACTCCACCCGCAGCAGCCTCACAAAGAACAATGTCTTCTGCCTCTGTCGCCAGCCAGGAGAAGCAGTCGCTCCTCAGCGGTACCGTCAATGCTAGCCCCAAGCCTTTGCAGCCATGGTGGCGAGGCTACTGGGAGTTAGCCCGGATGCACAAGTTCCCCGCTGGCTCTATGCTGGTCTTCTGGCCGACCGGTAAGTTAATCGATCCCTGCGTTTCTCTGTAGTGGCATCATTCTGACTCTCAATTAGCATGGGGATATGTTATGGCTCTTCGTGACAACAGACCTGAGCCACTTCAGTTGGCATATATAATGGCGGTCTTCTTCGTTGCCAGTACCCTACTTCACAGCGCTGCTTGCACCATTAATGATATCTGCGACCGTGACTTCGACGCTAAAGTCGGTAAGTAATGGATCGATATAGCAAAAGATAAAGCGGATTTCTGAAGACACGCCACAGAGCGCTGCAAGAACCGTCCTCTCGTCGCTGGTACCGTCTCGATGTTCGGGGCTTGGGTGTTCCTTTTCCTTCAGGTTGCTGCTTTCTTCTGGATGCTGTCATACACTAACAAGGAAGCGTAAGTGTCTATAATGTCTGGAATTGACGGTATTCGCACACTCTTTCTTTTATAGGTTCCTCTGTGGTACATTCGGCGTCTTCCCACTGCATGCTTTCTACCCTTTGATGAAGAGATGGACCAACTGGCCTCAGGCTTGGCTCGGTACGCACTTCAGTGGAAATCCCGCTAACTTGATACTTACCACGACATGCAGGTTTCGCCATGAACTGGGGTCTGCCGACTGCGTGGCTGATGGCCGCTCCAAATGACTGGCAGTTCGCTCCCATGTGGGCCTTTACCATCGGCACCGTCAGCTGGACCATTGTTTACGATACCATCTATGCCTGCCAGGTAAGTACACTAGCTCCTCCCTTGGTCCGATGTTCACTTTTAACAACGGCAATACAGGATCGCAAGGACGATGTCAAGGCGGGTGTGAAGTCGACTGCCGTTCTCTTCGGTGACTACGTCAAGCCCATCCTGTCCTGCTTCGCTGCCGCGTTCATCGCCTCCCTCATCTACGCCGGCGTTACCACTGGTCAGGGTTGGATCTATTATGCTGTCTCCGTGGCTGGTTGCGCGGGTCACCTCCTGTGGCAGCTTATTACCCTGGACACTGAAGATCCTCAGGATTGCTGGAACAAGTTCGATGTGAGTATGTTTCTCCACTACTACAGTGCCCATACATGATACTAAGTGATATCACAGTCGAACGGATATCTGGGATATGTTGTTTTCGCCGGTTTGTTGGGCGGGTGGTACATCTACTAAACTGTAATGTCTCCCAACGCACACGTCCTCAAAGAGGAAGCTGTGATTCAGAGGAGTACGCTCGATGCATGTGACGATTGTTGTCGAATGCTTTGCCACAATATTTATGGACTGCAGATCATGTCATTGCCGTAGAGATGATTAGTCTGTATGTCGTTTATATCCTATTAATAATATGTAGAGTTTCTACCTACCGGGGTGAATGGCGTTGCGTTTCGGATCTGGATGAAGAATGTGCGATGTTATAGAATTTCGGCAGGTTTGATGCCTTCATCCTAACAGAAGACTCCTCAACGTCACTCCAATCATCTTGCTGTGATCCGTGGGTAATCAGAGGGTAAAGTACAAGAGTGTACACCTCCGGAGATTTGTGCCACAAATACTGACAGCTTAGTCTACAGTTCAGGAGCCCAAGGCTCCGTAAAGACATACCTCGCCAGAACAATTGAATCTATGAAAGGCGTCATTACTAGGTATACACCTGCCCTCGAAACGCGACAACGACTCGCTAAGCTTACGCGTCTGGAGAGATTGGACACATACTCTACTGGTATGTACTGAAGGTCTCCGGAGCGTTACACGCTCAATTGGACCTGGACAAAGCATCGGACCCCCCGCTACGCGTTACAACCGGCCACATAGGCCTGCGGCCGGGCCGCAAAATTTGGCTCGTCTGAGGGGCTCCGGAGGACTGTTGCGGACATCAAGTAGGGGACCAGAGGCTTCGTTACGCGTTAAGAAGCAGATTTTGGCAACGAAAGAAGGCTGCGTTAGGCTGCGTTACGCCTTGCGTTGCTACAGTACATACCGGACAGTAATGAGAGGCACCTGCCACAGCTTCCGTATCAGGTTATTTGCGTCTGCTTGGACACTGTACTGTATAGCTGAATCCCACGCGTCTCTCCTCGCACTCTCGTCCTAGATCAGTCCAAGTACACCAAAGCACCCTCACCATGTCGGCCGATCTCCAATGGCTCCTTCTCCGTGTCAGTTGCACTAGTCTCAGTATTCCAAGGTGGTTGGCATGCTGATGCGGCGATTTCTGGTCTACAGAATTACAACTCCTTCATCGTGAAGAAGGTGCCGGAGGGCCCCATCTTTTCGAGGGAGCCGGTATGTATTGGTCTTGAGTACTACGAAGATGATATTGACCGGGATTTCTGCTTAGGGCAACTTGCCTAGCCTCCACAGCTACAAGTACTCTGGCCTGGCCAACCAGAAGGTATGTCGATATTCCTATGGTACTGGGCAGGACTCGCGCTGACCAGTTACCCATCGTCAGACTGTCGCGGTTACCGACACGGGCTCCAACATCCAAATTTCCTACACCAAGAAGGGCGCTTCTCCCCATGCCGTCAAGCCCGCTCGTGCTACCATCAACATCCGGAGCCGCTCTGGACCCAGAAGATCGTTGGGTGTCGCTGCTAAGCTCTCCAAGCGGGGCTACAGGCCCGACCTCCGACCGGTGAGTGTCCTCCATCTTTTGATTTGGTCCCTTTTCTGTGGCGAATCAGAAGTTGGTCGTTGCAAACGCACATAAAATGCTAGAACCCACTAGATTGGCCCTCGGGTCGTTGAAATGGATGGGTGTGGACGTGTGTGCAAGAGTAACCCCCTCCAGCTGGAGTGATCAAGCCGGTTGGATAACTCGCCTGTCGCTATCGGTCACCGTTCATTAGACGCGGCAAGTCCGACGTAATGGCGATAACATCCCATCACTTTCTGCATTCCTTCGTAATTAGGCGGAAGCAGAATACTGACAGTTATGCCTAGGTACTGCTCGCTCGTGTGTCTGCTCTTGCCGCCTCGAAGAAGGAGCCCAAATCCCGGCCAGTCAAGAAGCCTCGGGGAAAGAAGGCTAAGAAGGCTACGGCATAAGTCCTAGTGCTAGTGTATGCTTGACTTCCTGTTCTTCCCCTCTACCACCCGCTTTGCCTGTATGCCCTATATACAAGTATACTTGTATGCCTCACATGAAAACGGCATGGGACCTCATTATGATCGGTTGATCGTCGTGCGGTAATATGCTGTCTTTATGGGCTGGTGTTGTCCTCGAATTTGCTATAATACACTGGTTCTGGTGCTACAAGCTACTCATACAATTGCGCCGCTTCTGCCTTCAATGTCCTTTCAAATCGCCACACCCTTCCCCGCAGGTTGTGCAATTCTGCCGCCCCTCGCGCCGTCCTTCCCGCCAAAGCCAATGTCCTTGCTGGGTCTGTTCATTTCTGCCTTTCTGCGGGCGTTTTCGCGTATCTTCAGTTCTTTTTCGGTATTGTTATGCCCTTGCCTCTTCTCACGCCGAGGAATCTCCTCTTCATTATGGTGATGGGCGCCGTCGTGGTCACCAGACTGGCCATTTGGCCGAGGATAGTCAGCGGGTGGGTCGTGGGTCGTTACCCCTGGATCTATAGGTTCGCTGGCGCTGTTGCGAATTAGTGGCAGACGCTCTGGAAGGACACTGACTGCTACGTACGAAGTCTTCCGCAGCCTAGGTCTGTTCGTATTTGAATTGAGGGAGAGGCGGCGACCGCCAACCTTCACTACAGGCTGCTTAGGAACATAGTTTCGTAGCCGCAAAACACTCACTTGCGGGTGCGTGCTGGTCAAGAGCCATTGCTGTGGTCGTTCGGATTGCGGGGAGTGGGGAGCCATGGCGGCATGGATGGGATTTATACTCGACCTTGGAGCATCTACGAACCCGCTGATCAGAGAAACTGGCTGGATGTGGACGTCAATACAATCTGTAGTGTCACGTGCGGGTGACTAGTGCCATCCCAGACGCGTCGGGCCTTTCCTTTCAACCACGCCGCCGACCTTGGACGCGCTCCAGTTCTGCTTTCCGTACTGATTTCGACTTGCGAGTCGTGTCTAATACCAACTGGCAGTTATATTTTGACCCTATCAATCAACATTCTACGGTATCTCGGAAGAAAGCGGCTCTTGAAGGCCTCCCTTTCAAGTTCTAGCCGCGCCACATTGAGCTGGAAGTCAGTGCGCAGTATGGCTTCGACGTCGATGCCCTTGCCGGATTTCATACCTCTGGATGACGGTGTCTCTCATCGTGCTCCTCCAAAGCACAAACTACCAGACAAGCCCGCCACGGAAACAGCTAGGAAGAAGAGACGGCGAACGTCGGCTGAACCGGGATCCTTTGACGACCACTCTCACACGCCATGGATCGACGCTCTGGGAATCACCGAATACGAAAGCAAGGAACAGAGGTCAGCTAATCCTGCTTGATAGTCCATGTTTTACATCAAACCGATGTATCAAGGTTACACGATGAGATTGTGGCATTCGTGAAATATGTAGACCCAACACCCCAAGAAACCTCGGCTCGTAAACTGGTCATTGGGCGAATCTCCGAAATCGTCAGGGAACGCTTTCGTAACAGCCGAGTCGAAGTCTTCGGTAGCATCGCTCAGAATCTTTGTCTTCCTGACAGGTATGTGGACAGGCATGCGCGTGCTGTATTATTTTGACGACTAAGGGATTTAGCGACATAGATCTTGTACTACTATCATCAAGCATACCAGGCGATAAGAAGGAAGCTAACCGGGCCCTCTTTCAGCTTCGAAATCGCTTCAAGGATGCTGGGATATCCGAAGATGCTTTCGTAGTGTCGAGAGCACGGGTGCCCATCATCAATATGTCCACTACGCCGGCATTTGGTAGGTCGTGCAAGGTTTGTTTATGTCGCATGGCTCAATAATGGACATCCAGGCTCTTTCAAGATAGATTTAAGTGTCAATAATAATACAGGCCTGCACGTAATTGAGGTCCTCAAGGGATATCTCGAGAAGATGCCCGCTCTTCGACCTTTGATTCTTGTCTTGAAGGGATTTTTGACACAGCGTAAGCTGAACTCAGCGGCGGACGCGGGGCTTGGGAGCTTCGCATTAATAAGCATGATCATAAGTTTCCTGCAAGTACGTCTTTCCTTGTACTTCCTTACCAGGTGCCTAGAGCTGTTTTGTTCGCACAGTTGAACCCGAGCAAGCTACCTCGCGATATCATAGACCAGCCAATACAGAATGAATCGCTGGGTCGGCTCCTCCTCGACTTTTTCTATTACTATGGATACACGTTCCCCTACAGAACGTCATATATATCTGTCACTGACGCAAAGTTGGACCTCAAGGAAACCAAAGGCTGGTTCCGTACAGAATCACCAGAGGCGCTATCCATACAGTCGATGATTGACCCAGGTGAACTTGTCTCGCGCTTCTTATTAGCACTCGTTGAAATCTCATATGTCCCATAGACAGGGACATTGGCTCAGGAACGACCCGCATTGAGGCCATTCGCGTTGCATTCAGACAGGCTTTCAACACATTGAACAACTTTCCCTTTACAATTAGTTCTGCGAACGTCCTTGGCAATGTTCTCGGCTTCTCAGGAAAAGCAAGTTCGCGAGTAATACCTGTCCTATGCTGTACTAACCTCTTCGTTTAGACGATTGCGCAACGGGAACATCTCCGTCAGATGATTGACAGTGGTGCCTTGCAACGGGCCATCAAGCCTCCGAATGCAAGTAGGTCGCGATACCCTCCTCGGGGCTCAAGAGGCAGATCTCCCGCATATGCCCCACGGGACTATCTCGCTCCTCCGCCGCAAGCTGATTATGGCCACCGCCCATACTATGGGCCCCCATCCCCTGCTTACGATGACTACTACCGTTATCCTCCGCCTCAGTACGGCCCGGAACTGCCGCCTCACCCGTACGGCGACTACGGATATAATTCCAGGCCTTCACATACTGTTTCCAGAGATGACTATCGCCGCAACAGACGCCAACGATAATGAGCTACCTATCAATCATTCGATGCATGGAGTCTTAGCACTTGTAGCATATCATCGATTTGTTTTTATAATGGCCGTCGTGTAATCATGATAGAGGCTCGCGGTGGACCCAATTGATAGCACCTGCTAGGCTTGAGCTGGAAGACCAGACGAGGTCGAATGTACATGGAAGGTCATAAGCATAGAAATATCGATCATAAGATCTACATGACCTAAAACTACGATGTGAAAGGGAGCGTTTACTCCTCTTCCTCCTCCTCGCCACCCTCTTCCTTCTTCTGAGCAGCGAGAGCGCGCTTGCGCTTGACACGACCGGGGCGGCCTCCACCGTAGGGAGAAGTGAGAGCAAAATCGATGTGCTTTTGGGAGTCAAGACGGACGACGAATGATGGGACGTTGACAATCTGCTTGCCGACGCTACGAAACAGATGAATCCTGAAGGCAGCCGCTGAATGAATAACAGGTACATACCGGATGTGCCGTTGCCTGATAAGAACACGAGCGTGGTGGATGGACTTCGCCAAACCACTCTTGAAGACCTGCGTCTGCAACCGTCTCTCCAAGAAATCCTCGATCTTCAAGGCCAGCACGTAATCGAGCCTCATGCGGGTCTCGTCCAGCACACCGATGCGAACCAGCCGACGAATAAGGGCGTTACCCTCGAAAAGACGCTTGGGGTCCTTCTCATCGAGCTTAAGGAGCTCACGGGCAGCACGACGGATTTTGGACAGGATAAGGGCGATACGCCAGATCTCGCGCTTGTTGCGCAGACCGTATTCACCGGCAAGCTGGTGATGCCATAACACATCAGGGCGATCCTGCATCGGAGAACACGACACTCACCTTCAGCTCGGCATCGAGACGAGCTGATTCGAAAGGTCGACGAGGGACCTTGTAACTGTATCACGAAGGATAATGGCAATGGGGCAGGGCTAATCAGCACAACTGCATCCCTCCACTAAGTGGATCTTGAAGGAAAAACGCTCACGTCTTCGAATGATTCCGCGGGGCCCTGCATCGCGCGTCGTTAGTACGTTCCGACTGCTGCACACAGCTGCGACGACGTACCTGGGCATTTCTTTTGAGGAGGACGGACCAGACGCCTGACTTGCGGACTGAGATACCTAAAGGTGTATGCAAATGTATGCATATAAGGAAGGTTCAAGGCGCGCCACAACTGTGCAGTACCAAATCTCAGCCACCCGGCTAATACCGACGTAAGGCTAACTGTACTCAACACCCACACCGACGCCAACGCCGACGACCGTCAGTATATTATTACAATCGTTGCTGGGCGTGACGCTGACCGTTGTGGACAGTCCTCAAGATGCCTCACTCATTCGGTTACCGTGCGCGTACGCGCGACATGTTCAAGCGGGGGTTCAAGGGTACGTGACTCCGTGCATGCAGGATGCGATAGCTCGCTCAATGTACCGCTCCAGAGCACGGTCAGATCCGGCTATCCACCTACCTCGTCCCCTTCCATGTCGGAGACATCGTCGACATCAAGGCGAACGCCGCTCAGCAGAAGGGTATGCCTCACAAATACTACCATGGGTACGCTTCCCAGCCGGCTGCTTACTGGATCGAATTTCACCGCATGCTTTCAGACGGACTGGTATCGTCTACAATGTGACCCCCCATGCCGTCGGTGTTATTGTCTACAAGGTCGTCGGCAACCGTTACCTCGAAAAGCGGGTGAACATCCGTGTTGAGCACATCAAGCACTCAAAATGCCGTCAGGAGTTCTTGGACCGTGTCAAGCGGAATCACGAAGCGCATGTGAAGACAAAGGAGACTGGTGGTACGTGATCAGCATCATCTTTCCGTGTCGAGCATGGCTTCATATCCTTATCAGAGCGCGTGCAGCTGAAGCGTCTCCCTGCTTTACCACGGGAAGCGCGCACTGTCTCCACCGCCGACAACGCACCCCAGACCATCACTCCCGTTCCTTACGAGACGACCATCTGATTGTCGTTGTTGGCTATCCCATTTTCGATACTCCCCATGACCATCCCGCATGTCCCTCCATCTGTTATTTTACCTTATGTCCATGCAATGATTAGGCAGAGCATGAAAAGGGTCGACAGCGTCCCACTATGAGTGGAGGTGAAAGCCCTTGTGGGTGTAATGAATTGGAATCCGACGGATGCCACAAATCGAGCAATCCCTCATGATATACATGAGGTCTCTACGCGCTTCCTGGTGGAGGGGTTTAGCCGACCTGGACTCTTGTGTCACTAACCATTAAGCCGATGAGTTCGTTTCGACATGCTATCACAGGCGCGACTGATGGCAGCACCGGCATATATCGTCGGAGCCACAGTGGCGGCTATGTGGCGTTGTTTGGCTTGATGTAACCGAAATATACGTCGGTCCCATCTTTTCTCACTCAACAACCGCCACGACCAACGTCGTTGCCTACACCCCCAGCAATCGCGACAACCTTCAAGACTTTCAGCAATGGATGATGGTACGTCCTCCAACATCAACCCTGCGCGCCGGCGACGAACAGTTGCTACACTTTCCTGGCTTTCCCATCCACCCAGCGCGTCACGGTAGTGGCATCGGCACAGTCGTCATCTTTCCTGTCGCGTTCTCAGTGCGACGGTGTAATCGCCATATTCACTAGTCGACGTGTGGTGTGGTTCGGGTACGACCATTGGTCCGTGGGGTGATGCTTCGACACTTCGGCTTCCCGCTGTTTCGCCCATAGCCAGTCCACTATTCGTGTCGGCGTGATCCTTCGGTTGGCTTAAGGCCAGTTTCGCCTCTATTCGACCTTTCTTTCATTCGGGTAACAAATATGTCGCTACTATCATCGTCGGTTCGGTACCCGTGGACCGACGACTGCTCATCACCCGTCCGCCGTTCGTCGTTCTTCCCTATTCCACCTAATCCGCCCTCGACGTGATCCAACCTGACCTGCCTTCCTCCCTGTTGCACCATTTCTCCGCATCACAGCCTGGCAAAACCAAGACATGGCTCCTTCAAACAGTGGGGCGATTAGCATTCCGACGAATGACATCTCGATGTCCTCCATTTCGAACGGGAATGGCCAGGAGCAGGGTTGGAGCAACGGCGGTGGTCGCTCGCCTGGCAGAGACCAGAATACAGAGCCACCGAGGAGATCAAGCCGGAGCAGGAGTCCGGGTCCTCGGGGAGACGACAGGGGGTGCGTGTATTCGTTTAGTGCTGTTATCATGAAGCTTATGTGGACCGTGCAGGCGTAATGATGGCCAGGGCGGAGGTGGTGGTGTTAACCCAGGAAACAATCTTCATGTCTCCGGACTGAGCTACAAGGTTGATACCCGTGAGCTGGAGCAGGCGTTTGCCAAAGTCGGCCGAGTAAGTTTGATGTCATTCGTGCGTCTGTTGAGTCTGACCCTTTTGCAGGTTCAAAAAGCCCAGGTCATGTACGATCCTCATACCCGCGAATCCCGTGGGTTCGGGTTCGTGACTATGGAGACTGCTGAGGAGGCTGAAGCCGCCATCACTGCGTTGAATGCTACTGATCTGATGGGTAAGACTATTACTGTTGAAAAGGTGAATACGCCCTGGCTACTCCGTACATGTCATGAATAACGTTTTCGTCTAGGCTCGTCGTGGTCGCGCTAGGACGCCCACCCCCGGACGGTACTACGGACCTCCCAAACGCGGCCAATGTACGATTCATACACGGAGTCCTCCCTGTGTATCCCCTCTGCTCACTGAATTTTCCTTAGCCGAACGTCCCTACGACCCACGGCCGTATGATAGTCGCTATGCTCGTGACTATGATGAGCGCCGAGGGGGTCGTGGTGGGCGTCATGATGACCACCGTGGAGGCAGGGGCTACGACCGTGACTATGGAAGGGACGACTATGATCGTGGTTATCGTGATTATGACCGCAGGTACGATGAGAGACGTGGAGGCGGGTATGATGACAGGAGGTACGATGAGAGAAGGTATGACGAAAGGCGTTACTAGGCGTCCGAAGCGCTATGCACCTATGTGGTGATAAAAGTTGATTGCTGGCCTGGTACTGATCGGCAGGTCCTCTTTTCTGTTGTCTGTCATTACTCCTATGTCATGTCTATAGTTATTATGTATTTCAGTTAAAGTTGATCTCAATGCTTATCGTGTCCAGTTTTGGCGTTCAGGATGCGCTACCATGAAGAGCTGGGCATAGTTCGCGACCACGCATTGTCTGGTGAAGCTGCTCAGCCATGGGGTACATGTCCGCGACGTCTGCGCATGGTGCGGCGAAGATACTAGCTTTCGTTAGTTGGTGATACATTACAGACAGGCAGCGACGCGGAACATGTCCGAATAATCTAGGGAATGAGCGTTGTTGCTGGTTCGGTTCACCACTGCAACTGCAGGACGAGAAAAATCGTGAGGACGATATGTCAGGTACTCGAGATTTTAACCCACTCTATCGCCAGAACGAGGACATTTTATGATGAGGAATATAACTCCTCTTTTGTCTCAATGCCTATCAGACGTTGAGCTCGAGGTCCTTCAGCCTCTAAAGGGCGACTTACCAAGTTCCTCCCTGACGGGCTTCAGCTCATCTAAGTACGCCTGGTACTGCTGCTTGTTCTCCACCTTCTCTTTGATCCCCTCGAATATCCTCACCGCGGTCGCATAGTCGTTGACGCGACGCGCTGCCCGAAGAGCAGCCTCGACAACGGATGGGGCGGGCACCAAGTCGTGAGCGAAGCAGTTGTTCAGGCCTCGCTGGACCTCGAACAAGTCTTGCGCTGACTTGAAGAACTCGACGTATCGCTCGGTGAAGGACTCGAACGTCTCCTGGCCGTGCGCGCTGGACGAATAGCGGGTAAAGATGGAGGTGCCAGGCGCAGCGGCACGGAATGCGGCCGCGGGGCGTGCCCTGAGGGCGGTAGTGAGCATTCTACTGGCCATGGAGAAAGAGAGGCTGCTGCCGGTGACGAAAAGCGAATATCTGGCGGAGGCGCTCAGGCGGACGTTTGGCGATGGCGGTTGCTATTTCAGGCCTCGGAATGAACCGGCAAGGGCCGCCTCCTGCCAGTGGCCGTGGCGAGGCCTCTCCAGACGTGCAATATCAGAAGGCGACCGCAGTGAATTCGTATTTACTTGACAGAGACGTGCACAACCTGTCTTCTAGTTGCGACTACTGCACGACCGTACCAGACGAAGTATGTTATTGTACTATACGCATTGACGCCCAGCCGCTCCAGAGTGCGTACGGCAGTTCTTGCCTATCCGAGAAAGGGTCACAGCAATGCCTCCCATCCGGAGTCTAAGCCCTCGCTGATCCGCCAGGAGTTGCCTGCTAACCACCGCTTCACCCTCGTCTCATCGTCCAAAGCCGCGCCCCGGTCAAGGACATCAACATTACCCTCACCGCATAAAGCTAGAACCGACCAACCGACAACAATCATGCCCGGAGGTCGCTGCTCACCAGCACTCTCCAGAGCGGCAGCAATCCCGTCCAAGGTAGAGCATATACTCCTTTGATCAGGCATGGACGCTCGCTCAATCACCGCGATGGGTAGGGATGGCGGGTAAGCAGGCCCCTCCCTGCTATCGGTCGCCTCGACGTTGGTGAGCGCCTTGAGCACCTGGGGAAGTCGTGCGACGCCCATCAGTATGAGCAACGTCCGTCCCCGCTCATAGCCGGGGAGCATGACCTGCGTCCCCTGCCGGCCAACTCCAGTGCAGACGATGAAAGACTCGGCGACGCCGCGCTGAGTGACCGGGATACCAGCGAGGGTAGGGCCTGCCAGGGCGGAGGAAACGCCTGGGACAACGAGCGGCTCAAATCCATGTGCGCGGAAATACAGTACTTCCTCGCCTGCACGGCCGTACACAGTCGGATCTCCTTGCTTCAACTGAAAAGATTCGTCTTTGTCAGCACTGCGATTTCATCCAGGATGCACGAATGGCAACCTACTCTGACAACAGTCAAACCACGCTTTGCTGCCTCCACAGCCGCTTCCATCATCTCGATCTGCGCCCCCTCCGCGTTGCCAGGAAACTTACGAGCAATGCGCACTTCAACATGCATAGGGATGAGCGATAGCACGGCAGCAGGGACGAGCTTGTCAGACAGAACTAAGTCTGCATGTTTCGTCAGAGCTGCATGCGTCGCGACGGTTAAGAGTGAGGGGTGGCCAGGGCCAGAGCCGACAAGGAGGATCCGGCCTTTCCTAGCGGTCGGAAGAGGACACATGCATAAGGCATGGCGGGACCGTGAGCTACCCACCGCAAGGGGGGTATTGGAAACGCCGCTAGTAGTCGGCACCCTCATGTCCTCACCCCCGTGTAACAAGGTTGACATGTCTTCGTCCGTCATGTTCGCGAGCCGATCTATAGGCCAGTATTCGCTGACTTGAGCTACCCACTTCATCCGGCGCCTAGCAGCCTCTGCCTCATTTTCCACCGTATTCGTCTGCCTCTGCGGAACGGGTCGATTCGGCGTAGAGATTACTGTTTCCTCGTTCAGCTCCTGCTCGACGTCATCCTCCGTCTCAGCAGGGACGTCCAATGCCTTAGCCAATCCTCTTAGGAGACCCATTTTTTTGACAGCACAGCCAACCCCTTTCGGCAGCGATGCAACGATATCTCTGCGGATTCTCCCAGCCAGGCGGCATCCTTGACCATTAGTGGTCACGGCAATTTGTAACGGTGTCGGCTCGCTGGTACATGGATCGTTGAACCGGTGCGTAGACGCGAAAGAAAAGTCGCAGAGCTCCGGCATGTCGGTAATATTGACTGGGATATTACGCGCCTGGCATACGCCGTAAATTTCTTGCGCCGACTCCTTACTCCGTCGTAGGCTTTCATCAGAGCCAAGGACAGTGTCAGTAACGCAGATCAAGCTGATTTGGTGACGAGAATTCGTGATGTAGGCGTCCAGGGCAGCTGCGTCAGAGCTAGACGAAGATCTCGGGAGTGTCGACAAGTCTAGGAGTGTAATCTCGCCCTCCTGCGCTCGGTATTGTAATTCCTCGCAGGCCACTTGCGCTCCTCCTTTTGATAGCACGATGACGTCTGCTTCAGATTCCAGGGCAGCAAATGCACGGGCGGCGGCGATGGTATTCGAGCCCAGGATGAGAACCGTCTGGGGCCGAAATGAAAGCATGAGGGACGCCCCGCCTTTCGGAGCTGGGTAGTTATATGACACCATGGTGGTCGTCCGTCCTGAACGGCGCAGCGAGTGAGGTTAGGGGGATAAAGAGTGGTCTGTGTCATCTTTTAGGCCGAGTAGGCAATTTGAAGCAACTATTCGAGTCGGCCTCTCTGTGTTATCAGTCATAGACTCGCGATAATGAGGAATCGGGCCTGGGAACGCGACTGTGACCCGCTAGTGAAGTCGAAGCGACCCTGCAGTACTGTGCTGACGTAATAAAGTACCACAAACGCCTTGCTCCTCGTGTGCAGGACAGTTGACTTGCCACCAGCTCTGCCACCATCCTCATGCAGCTGGTGGACCACGATACAGTGCGTTTGTTAACTGAGTGGCGGTTTTGGGATGCTCATTCTGTCTATAATAGTTCCTGAGCAGATTATCGGAGTTGTTCGAGTCCACCAAAACCTCCGGATCTGTATGGCTCACGCATAAACGGCGTACGTGCCTTTGAGCGGATAGGCTCTGGAAATCACTGACGTTCTCAAGTCAATAGTCACACATGATGGGGAGGACGCGACTATGGGTGAGGCTGGGGCTGTTGGAGATGACAGAGAGTATCCCTGTCTGGTTAGGGTGACAAATGGTGATCAAACATTCTCAACTCGGGTGAGTCATCTCGTGTCACATCAATGGCTCTCGAATGTCATCAGTCGATCGTTCGCTCTGCGACACATATGTTGTCCACAGGTGGGACCCGGCCAACTTGACAAATTCCATTCTGCGTATGGTGCCTTGCTGAAGTCATCTATGACCACACTCCGGAAACGAGACAAGCAGCGCGAGAAGCAGAAAGCGGACAAGTTGGCGAAACGGAAGCAACGATTAGCCGAACCGATCCCAATCGAAGGGCCGAAGAGGGGAAATGGCAGGAAGAAGAGGCAACGTCGAATAAAAGCCGCCATGAAGCAGGAACAGGCACGGAAAAAGGCAGAAGAGCGGGAAGAAGGCCGTTCGAAAGTCAAGACTCAAGTCGTTCCCTGATGTGACAACTAGGAAGTTCGCTCCGTTGTATACCTAGAGGTACTGGTACACTTAATGCTCGCTACGTCCGGCTATATTGAATAGCTTGCTTGTGGTGTTTCTTGTTTCTTCTGGGTCTCTGCTGGGCTTCATAGACACCTTCGAAGGAGTGCAATCTTCATATGTGCATCTCAGTGGTGTAGTCTTAGTTCGACAGTGATGTGAAACGTAGAGATTTTATGCAAGGTTAAGGTTAGCCGTCCTGGAGCCCCCTGGGAATATCAGCCAAGCAACTGGAGCGCAGTGGCCCGTAGCTACTTCACGTTTACCTTGCCATCAGCCTGAGCAGAGGTTCCTGGAGGCTGTAACTCACGCCACCCTCTCTTGGAGTGCTTCACCGGAGTCCGAGTACTTACATGTGTTCCTGTCTTGGACCTTGACCCGCCATGCCTGTCGCGGCCCACCAACCTGAGCCTGACTTGTTCGACGACGACGATGAAGGATGGCAGGACATGCCTGTTGTCAGAGAGTCTGACGAGTTCGCTGACGGGCTAGACGAGGAGGATCAGAAGAGATACCATTACGTCCCTTCAGCAAAGAAAGCCAATCCGACTGGAGGCGCTAGCAATGCAACGGGGAATGTTTTGGACGTAGACGACCGCGGGCAGGAGTGGCGATCCAAGATCGACCAGAATGAGAGCGAGTACACACGGCTACGACTCAATGAAGAGGACGAGAGTGATGAAGTGCACCTGCGCACGCGCTACTTGTTCGATGAGGACAAGGCCATGACGCCCCTCAGCCAGATGCAGGCGACGAAGAACTTGCTCACAGAGGCACAACGCATTGCCTACGTCGGCTTGTGCGCATTGACAACCCGGGAGATGGCGCAGCGGCTGAAGAGCATCAATACGAAGGAGGTCAAGCCCGCGGTACAGAGCATGGAGCTTTGGGCGTTGAAAATTATGGGTCGGTTGTATTATCATATGGAGCTCGAGACGGAAGGTGAATAACGATCATTCTCTTTCGGTGCTAGGTGCTTGCGCGCTAAATCGCCAACTTCAACAGAACAGAAGATGATCGATAGTCTGGGTTTGCATGGCGTGATGCCAGAGGACCTAGTACCTGCGCTGATGACCACACATACCGTCGCAAATCCCGAGTATGATCCTGCAGAGGCACGGCGGCAGGCTGAGGAGCGGGATCGCCAAGCGGAGCCTGAACCTGAACATCCAGGGGACGACGATATTACCGAAGCTGACCACGCGCCGCCGTCTCAGCCCACGACTCCTAACCCTGATGGCTCCACTACGCCTGGTACGGCTGCAGTTAAGACTTTTCAAACAACCCACCGAGTGTTGGAGGAAACTTCGACTGCACCGCTCGCAGGTGTCACTACGCAGCTCTCCGCAGCCGATAAGGATGTGACTCTGGACATCCGATGGACGGTTTTATGCGATTTGTTCCTGATTATTGTGGCTGACAGTGTGTACGATGCGCGCTCACGTGTGCTACTCGAGCAGGTGGCACTGAAGCTTGGGCTCGGCTGGCTTGATGTGGTCAAGTTCGAGAAGCGAGTAACGGAGGCGCTCGAGATACAAGAAGGTGTCGAGAAGTTGGAGCAGAAAGATGTTGTCGAGGGCAGGCAGAAGAGTTCGAAGAAGAGGAGGTATATGATGATGGGCCTTGCGACCCTTGGTATGTTTTGTTTCTGTACGGGTACCGCCCTCCAGACATCGGACTCTGACACGGCGCGAGTGCCCCGCAGGCGGAGGTCTAGTCATCGGTCTCTCGGCTGGTTTACTGGCCCCTGTCATTGGGGCAGGTCTTGGGGCCGCTTTCACGACTATCGGGATTTCAGGGACTACTGGATTTTTAGCGGGCACCGGCGGCGCTGCTGTTATAACAACCGGCGGCGTTTTGACTGGAAGTGGAATTGCTGCTAGAGGTATGGCAAGACGGACTATGCACGTTCGCACGTTCGAACTATTGCCATTGCATAACAACAAGAGGGTTAATTGTATATTGACTGTACCTGGGTACGCTCAACTGACTATCAGGATCGTAACTTTGTTTACTGAAATCCGCACGATCTCAGGTTCATGACTGGCCCGCTCGACGACCCCCGGTTGCCGTTCAGTGTCCTTGATCCTATTGTCGGAGACGTATTCAGCGTGCTCTGGGAACCTGAAATGATCCAGGAAACTGGTAGTGCACTGAAGATCCTTACCTCAGAAGTGCTGTCACAGATTGGCCAAACAGTTCTACAGGCAACGGTCATGGCTACGTTGATGACTGCGTTACAGTGGCCCATTAGTGCGTCTCTCTGCCTTTTCCCCTTCCAAACATCTGACTGGCGGTGCTCTGCTACTTATATCTTTAGTTCTTACGAAGTTAGGCTATTTAATAGACAACCCGTGGAACAACGCTCTCGACCGAGCTAAAGCCGCTGGCAGCGTCCTGGCAGACGTATTAATGCAGAGGCATCTGGGCGTTCGACCCGTAACGTTGATCGGCTTTTCTCTCGGTGCCCGTATGATCTTCTATTGCTTGCTCGAGCTCGCCCGTCACAAAGCGTATGGCATTGTTCAGGATGTATTCCTGCTTGGAACCACAGTGACTGCTTCTACTCGCACGTGGATAGAGGCACGATCTGTGGTATCAGGGAGATTCGTGAATGCCTATGCGCGGAACGACTGGGTGCTGAATTACCTATTTCGGGCGACCAGTGGAGGTTTGAATACGGTTGCTGGACTGCGACCAGTGATGAACGTGCCAGGTCTGGAGAACGTCGATGTTACGGACAAGATTGCGGGGCATATGAGTTACAGGGCATTTATGCCTCTTATCCTGGACCAACTGGGATTCCCTGTGTCTGCGGACTACTTCGATGAGCCTGAGGTATGTGATCTAAGTCATTCTGCGACGATCCCCGATTAAGTACGCCATGTATTGCAGGAACCCGATTTTGAAGGTGAACGTGTGGTCATTCGGGAGGAAGATGAGGCTGCTAAGAAGAAGAGAGGCTGGTTTTCGCGCAACAAGAAGAAACCGCCCTCTCCTACGCAGCATGTCTCGCGCCCCCCATCTGCTGCTTCATTCGGTACATTCCAGAAGAAGAGATCAACAGACACGGCTCGTACAAGTGCAGACGATGACTTACCACCACGGGAGGGGCCTGTTCCAGAGAAGCCTACGTCACCTCCTCCACCGTATACTGAAAAGGAGGCCCCTTCCCGCGTCGACGAGGGCCAATCTACATCTAATCAAGCTGCGCCCAATCTTCCGCCAGCTCGCGCAGGCTTCAACTTCGATGCCATCAAAGATGTTATTGGCAAGAGTGAGCTGAAGCCGGAAGAGGTACATGTCCAGCAACGCAACCCCTTCCGAGCCCCTCTCATACCTCCGCCTACACAACGGTCAGAGTCCACACCTCTTCCTGCCCCGCACGAATCCCGGTCACCCACTCCTACGCCTGTCACGAAATTGCCTTCCCCACCTCTGTCGAGTGAAGAGAGCGGCCCTCCTATTCCGCCGAAATCTGCTCCTCGAAGCGATCTGACGTCGACGTTCCAGCGATCCCTGTCGCTTAATCATGCTCAACATGTATCCGAGGGAGAGGGCGACGTGACATCATCCCAACGTTCGGCCCCTTACATGCAGCAGGCCTTCGGAGCGTCCTCGAGTTCACTGCGGCTGGACGACGCGCCTACGTCAAGACCGTCTACGGTGCCTACACTGTCCTTCGGTGCTGATGACGGCTCAATCTGGAATCCGGAGCCCAATCCACCGTCCGACACTATTTTCGGCTACCGAGGATTTACCAACGACGCCTCACATGCTAGTACCTTCGGTCAGACAGGGTTGAAATCCCAAAATCCCATGTCATCATCTGTTTCGCTATCATTCGGTGGAACGAATGGATCGATAGCTAGTTTGGGGAACGGGACGCTGCCGTACGCTACCGAACGACAGAATCCGTTTTCGTCTTCCGCCACGTCGTTAACAAGCCCCGGACTCTCTTTTGGGAGTGCAGACGGATCGATAATGGTTGACCCTCTGTATACCGCATCCGGTTCTTCGCCCCTTGCGGACCGGGATCCTTGGAAGAGTACGAGCTTCAATCCAAATCCTTGGCAGAGTTGATGATGCGTGCAGTGGGTCCTTGGCCGTTGTTTAGGCACTCTACTTCCTCTCATGCATGGACACGTTCATCGCAATCCATTTTGTACTCCTTGCGTCCTATGGATACGTTGGCTACTCATGACTAGCCATATTTGCATCTTCATCTTGGTATTTGTCACGGGCGAACCATCCGTTAAGGTTTTCTACCCCTTGACGCCTGCCATGACCCATGATAATCAGGTATGCTCGTACGTACATTGCGCCCCGTACAGTGCCTTCCTCTGCTATCGATAGAGGAGATGAATGTCTATTTCGAGCGTATATGCGTCGGGTTCTAGACCCCGCAATACGGCGTAATGAGCACTCTGCGTTACGTCCCGACCGTCGTTCGCGATATAAACGTTACTCGCGACTTAGATGCGAGTTCCTGTCCGCCCCGCGATGTTTCTGAGCACGTCGCAGGTCCCCACTGACTGTCCGTCGTCGCACACGACGTTCGCAGGCGTCTCGTGGGCAATCGATGGCTGAGTTTATCCCTGGATGCCGTGGAGCCGAAGATGAGGCTGCTAAGCGGTCCTCCGTGGCGCTGAGATGCAACCCAATCATGAGCACAAGGAAGAGAATTCTAGTGTGCTCTCCATCTTTGTGATTTGGCTCTTCTGAACGTGTGCTCCTAGGGTGGAGTCTTAACTGCTTTCGGGGTGAATCGCGTCCTCACTATCCGATCTTGTCAACGTTCGGAGTTGCTTTCCCTGGACGCCTACAGCCTGTTATATACTTGCAGCCGCCCGCTGCCCGAGCCGCAGAGAGTTTTCTTTGAGCTGCCGCATACCCCGTGTTGCTAGCTCACGGCTACTCTATCGCCTGCTCGTAGGAGGCTACAGCTCTATCCGTTCGTGCACCCACCTGTCAGCCATCGGACAGGTGTCGCTATCCTTGAGCCACCATGTCGCCACGACCTATCCTCAAAAGAGATCCGCCCTCCATCATCCCGTCCAACCCCCTTCCTTTTGCGACATGTCCAACTCTATTCTCCCCCAAAGTCCACTTCCCCCCTACGCCGACGATGACTTCCACACATCCCGCCTTCTCGCCACTGACTTACGATAGGGCGCCCATAGTGGTATCGCCCAACGTATGCGCGTTACCTGAGCGGGGGGAGAGGGACGTCTATGCTCCTGCCGATGGCGAACCGTCAGGTTCCAGTGCGGAGAGGCCCCGAGGACGGTCACGAACCAAGAAGGCAGTCAGCATCAAGGGGAGCTACTTCAATCCTCGAGCATACGAGGCTTGCGAGGTGGAACCACCTGCTGGTCACATCGGCGGAGACGACGCTGACTATGACGTCGAGTCAATACCCCTTCCCCCCGCCGCGATTCCCCTCCCGCCACCGCTGGTCCAGGACATCTCCTCTTCTGAGTCCGATGAGTCCGACGTCACAACACCTCCCGATATTCATTTGCAGCCGCCACCACTATCATCCTCACGCAAACCCCAACACCCCAATGCTCACTATCACCCGCCTTCTATACGCCCGCTCAACACAGCGTTCGCTTCGAAAGCGGACATGAACTCCGCCTTGTCGTTCCTGCCCCATCCTCCTACTTCCCCCGCAAGGGAAAAAGTACCAATCCTTAAAGAGGATCGGAGGAAGCGAGATTCTACCCCCGCAAGGCCGTGTAGACCCTCGTTGAAGCGCACCACCAGTGCGTTTGCGGAGCCTCCACTGGAAGGCTGTCTGGGCGGCTTCTGACTGGAGACAATCGTTTTCCGTAGAGGTCATTGATCTAGGTATTGTAGGATTGTTGGTTGTTTGCTGTATTTTTACCTTTCTTATTGGCTATACCCCCGGTTTTTGGTATTACCTTACGCTCGTCAGCCTGCCCTGACTGCCAGAATGCCATGGGATGGAGGTCACCTTGAATTCCGAGTCCCTTACGACCGTCTTACGACCTTCCCTCCACACTTCGACCATTTATTTGTTGCTGCTCTGACACGAACGGATAACAGCATGGATCATGGCCGTCATCACATCTAATGACCCCCCTCCCTGTTATCGTTTGCAGTAGTTACAGTACCGTCTCTGCATTCGTTACATAGCATGTCCTTCTCTAGTTGCAATGAAAGTCGTATACCTTCGCATGCGCAGCATTGTCCTGTAAGTAGCACGTGGTTCTGTTGGGGACGGATGTCCGAGTCCGCCCACGCCAGCCTGACATCCCGTGTTATCATTGACAACGTGTTATACCCTGCAGTTACCCCGCCCAGGGTACGTATACATCTGATCTGGATGCCCTTGGACCCTCATCTCGACTGACGCGTCTTTTGATTAACCTTGGTTGTGGATCCTCATCCCATCTCAGCCAGGCACTTAGATCTTCCTTCCCGATACCGGGACGGGGTATAAACGAGATTCACGATATACAAGGCGTGTTGCGGGGGAGTGCGAAGTACATATATAAGAACGAAGTGCTGTCGGTCCCGGCGTTCTTGCCTCGAGGCTATCGCGACTAGGGTTCGTGCCATAGTTGCAGAGGATCGATGCTGTTCTGAGTAGACTGTCTTCCCAGGTGTCCTCAACCACTCCTATTAAATTTCTGGCACTTTCCTCGCCCAGTCATAAGGCTTGCCCTGTGACCCGACCAATGACTATCGTCGAAGCTACATTCGCTGCATCTGATCCGTCTGATCATATGGATGCGGATAAAGAGGTGTTGACCCGCCAACTGGAAGAAATCAACCTGATCAAATATTCCGTTCTTCCCGACGAACTACTCGCGTTCGTACTAGACGCCGACAAGTGGACATCCCTGCTTGAGGAATATCCCTGCTCCGTGCCTACCGGAAAGTGGCCAGAGGAGCTCTCAAACGCGAGATTTCAGGTGAAGGTCGATAGTGCAAGGCTCTGGTTTGAGGTTAATGTACCTAGAGAATACCCCCATGGTATCCATGAAGGAAAGAACATCCCCGTCATCTCGGTTAAATGCGAAGACGTCAATAGAGAAGAGCAAGAGAAATGGCAGAAGATAGTTGAAGAACGTTGGCGAGAAGTGATTGACAGCGAGGCCCAGTGAGTATGTTGCGTACCTACAATCAATGTATAAACTTGCTCTCTGCCTAACAGTTGGCGGTGACTTAGATATCCACTGCATGTGCTCATCTGCCTTCATCTTCTGCCCGAGCTACACGATGCTCATGACTCCGGTATACTTTCGGAAGCGTCGGACGACCCTCGGCATCCTACGGGCGACAATAACCCTGCGTCCGGGTCTACCGCGCCCTCTACATACCATGTCTTGTTCACTTCGCACCACCTGATCTCACCTCAAAAGCGGCGGTCCTTACAGCAATGGAGCTCCCTTCTCTCCCTCGCAGGCTTCGCTAAACTAGGCTACCCAGGGGTCATATATGCCGAAGGGCCGCGCGAGAACCTCCAGGAGTTCGTAAGTAATGTGAAGTCCATGCAGTGGCTAGCACTGCGATTGCGCTTTATTGAACCGCTGCTGGCCGAGGATACCCCTGTTAAACCGGAAGAGAAACGGTGGGTTGAGTTCGAGAAAGTGGGCGAGGTCGTGCAGGAGATGAAAAGGCTGGGGAGAGAGAAGTACGTACTTGAGACGGGCATCGGGAGTGTCGGCGCGGGTGCTTCCATGTCAAAATGAATCCCAGTGAGTTTGCTGCTGGAGAGGGGAGGATGAGGCAGTTTCTCAAATTATCACGCTCTTCTTGAAAATAAATCCGCCGCGGCTCGAAGGTTTTCTTCGTGGCTGAATTGCAATACAGTCTTTACTGAGTAGGCCCGGGCGGCAAGTGGGTGCTATCCAGATGAACCATGCCCCAACCCCTTCAGAGCTGAAGCTGAATGTATCGCGGTGATATATATGTTCTTAGCACCTATGCAGTACTCGACAGTCCCGTATAGTGCATCTTGATGACAATTCTATCAGTGCTCAGACCTATAGCTATTATAGAAGGCCGATGTTTACCCTCAAGGCTGAACCCGGAGATGGCTTCGGGTACTTTGCTTGCGTCTGCAGATGAACGGCCTTAGAACTAGGGAGGGAGTTATGTGAGCAGCGGAGAGCTCTATCAAATTCTTCTGGGAACTTTCGTACCGTGGAATGTAATTGTCGTATTTACGACGTTCGCGTGAGCAAAAGGACGACTTTGCTGAGCTAAGAGCTTATCCTGTCAACTGGCGTGCATTCAGCAAATCTGTCCTATAATTATATTGCCGTGCTCTGAATAGAACGACTGGATGTTGTCAGATACTGACAATGAATATCAACTGTCACTAGTATGACCCTAACGGCTCGTGCACGTAAATATAACTGCACATCGCACTCATCGTAAGATTACAGCGCTATACGCAGTGTTACATGTGAGCCTCTCCGCAGCAGTCACTTTCGCTATACACTTCATTTCGCCCGTGAACTCGGGCGGAGGGAGAGTTCCGATTCTGGAAGTGACTAGGATCCGTCGCCCACAACGAGCAGAAATTCCGTCTGTTTTCCGAATATCTAGGAAAGCCAGTACTAGTACACGCAGCGAGCGTGATTGTATGACATGTATGCCGAACAGTCCGTATTGAAGGTTGAAGTTGGAAGGATGGAGATCGGTCGGCGGCCTCGGCGATACTGACATCAGGCAAGTATATCCTAAGTCGAAAAGCTTCAACGCTTCACTAGTAGTAGGGCTAGGGCTACAGAGTGAATGAGTACCCGACCAGTGGGAGAGCATGGGTCTGACCGGAAAGGCACAGTGTGACGCGGGGAAATGCGGGACGCATTCGAATGAATGACGTGCGAAGAGACGCCGAGCTTGTGGCTGGGCGAGCGCAGAGGCGTCGGAACGTAAGAGGCAACAGGAGGCGGACCATTCCTCCGTTTCCGACTTCTATACCGCTCTGCTGGGTTCGCGCTTTACGGTTTACCGGACCCTATGCATTCTCTCTGTCACCAACCACCACGATGACCATGCAGGGGACCACTCGCGATGTCAATCAGAGGGCTTCAACCGCGAGCAGGACCACGAGCAGACTCAAGTCTGCAGCACGGATCACTTGGCTTCACGCAACAAGGCACGTAGGCCCTGGAATAGTCTCCAGCGTTGCCTACTTTGATCCGTGAGTCATCGATAGTGGAGGCCACTTGCTGTCTGCTGACATTTCTAACCAGAGGCAACTGGGGAGTAGATCTTCAGGCCGGATCTCAATACGGATACAAACTGCTATTCATTGTCCTCCTCGCTGGAATCTTCGCTGTATTCTTCCAGGTACGCCTCCTTCAGATCCACTCGTCTAGGTGGTTCGTAACGTATCGATACGCCAGTCGCTAGCAAGCAAGCTAGGCTGTGTGACAGGATTGGGTATGTCTAGAACAATGAACCCAAAGGATTATACTAACTACTATAGCAGACCTGGCATCAAATTGCCGACTATTATTGTACAACCGTCCTAAGCACACAAAACTATACCGATGGCTCGTCCTGTATCCACTCTACGTGCTGGCTGAAATCGCCATAATCAGCACCGATCTCGCCGAGCTCCTGGGCTCAGCAATCGCGTTGTCACTGCTATTCCCATCATTACCCCTATGGGCAGGAGTCCTAATAACAGCTTCGGATGTCTTCATCCTGTTGATAATCGGGGATCCCCTCCGCGGTCGGCCTGTCAAAATGTTTGAATGGCTGATTGCCGTCCTGGTCAGTTGCTAGTGTGCCATTTATCGTCACCTTACCTGACCAGTATTATTCCAGGTGCTGGCAGTTTTCATTTCCATGGCCATGATAATTGCAAGGGTCCATATAGACTGGGGCACGACATTCCTCGGATTTGTCCCCTCCAAAACGGTCTTCCAGTCCGGAGGATTGTACACCTGTAAGTAATCACCCTCGTACATCGCCGTTTTATTCCCAATAACCTCGCTCTGCAAGCCATTGGTATCATTGGTGCAACAGTCATGCCGCATAGTCTCTTCCTTGGCTCGTTCCTGGCTACGCAAGATCGAGTGACCTCCTCCAAAGCTTCCATTGTATCAAATATGTCATCGGAATCTCTGCACGAGCCACCACAGGCTACTTTCGGTTTCCGCAATGTATTTAAGAAATTCATCACGAGCTGTATCAATACCTTTCGTGTCGTGCCTGTAGAGGAGGTCGATCCCCCAAAGTCCCACTCCGATCATCCCAACAACGCGTTAGGCTTTGTGCGGGCGCATCTATGGCACAGCATCATTGACGTATGTGTCAGCTTAATCGGGTTCGCTGTCTTAATAAATGCATTGTGAGTCCTTTCCTCATTTCTTTGAGTTGGTAACTGATAGCCTTGCATAGTATTCTCATTCTGGCGAGTGCCGTATTCTACTACGGCAGTGGACGGACAGGCTCCGAAGTACCGGCAAGCCTTTTCGACGCGCATGATCTCATTCTATCACTTGTTGGTAAACGTACGTTACATAATTCCTCCCGCAATGCCTCCTTGGCTCACTGTCTCCTGTGAAGCGGCTGCTTTCTTGTTCGCCTTAGCCTTGCTATGCGCAGGTCAGAGCTCATCTATCATAGCGACTGTGGCGGGACAGGTGGTCTGCGAAGGTTTTATCCGGTGGCGGGTATCGGTTGGTGCAAATGTCCTCTGTGAAGAGTCCCTCGGACTGACGTTGTCGTAGCCTGTGTTACGACGCCTGATTACGAGATCCCTGGGTCTCATTCCCTCGATGATCGTCGCTGTTGCAGTCGGGAAACCGGGCATCGATACCCTCCTCGTAGCATCGCAAGTCGCCCTCTCCATAGTGCTACCCTTCGTCGTCTTCCCACTGGTCTGGCTGACATCGTCCAAGAACGTCATGGCGGTGGAAGAGCCGAGGGATGCGTCTCTTCAAGCCCCGGTCAACTTGGAGACATTAACGAGAGCGACAACCGACATCGAAAGCCCCGGCGAGGGGCAAGTATATTTCAATAACAGCAGGATAACGGCAGGCATAGGCTACGCTGTCTGGCTCTTGATATTAATCGCCAATGTGTATGTCATAGTAACACTGGCTATGGGCGATAGCTCGTAAATAGATATTGGGACTATAGGGAGATGAGAATGTCGCGACAGCAGCGGATGCGAGGGTTCGTAGCGCCCGCTATGCGCCATGGTTGGAGAAGGGCGTATCATACCAACGAGGAGAGATATCTATGGCGGGAGAAGCGGCTCGGAATGGCCATGGACAACTTGAGTGCAGCGTCGCCCCTTGACCGTTTATGAGACCTTCTCCAAGGGTCGAATGATGGAACCCATCTGAAATAGACAGGCGTAAATTTCGAAACACGGACGGGACTAGGCGGGAGCTTACCTTCTTGGTGACCTTAGGAAGAGTACTGCGCTGGAAGCCTAACCGCGTGTTCCATTCCGTCCCAACAGGTGTATCCATACGCCGCTCGTATTGGGCTTTGCTAGTATATGGATGGGGCAGATCTTTTACCATGTACTTAGCCGCTTTCTTGTCTCGCTTCTCGGATATGATGATATGGGACTTTTTGTAATCCGCCCTGGACTTGGGGTCTATACCCGCGATCTTCTTGATTAGGTGAGGCTTGGGCGCCTTCTTTCGCGAACCTTTGCCCCCCCAAGCTCCCTAGATGCAATCGATTAGGAGTTCGTATGGATGACCGCCTGAACATGCTTACCCATCCGGGCAATGTGGTGTCGACCTCGTGAGGAGCATCCTCCTCCATCTCTTTACGCTTGGCTGCCTCGAATTCCTGAGCAAGTAAGTGTCAGTATTCGGACGAGTCTAGGAATCATCGATCCTTGCTCACCTGCACGACGTTATCCCCGGCGAAAGCAAGAGCAACCAGATCACGCTGCTCGAATGCCTGAACACCTTTGCGTCTGCCAGCCGCCTTCTTCTCAAGAGCCTCCTCTTGCTCACTGACTTCGCTATTTGCATCTGAATCGTCAGCGATGTCTTCGCGCGCCGAGGTCTGGGCATGTTGTGATGTCCCTTTGGAGGCGCTGCCGTCAGGCAGTATAAGCGCGTTGTCCAAAGAGATTTCAACCACTGAATCGTCAAGCGCCTTGTCCTTGGTCTCGGCCTGATTCAACTTCCCCTTCTGAATTTTATGTCGGGACTTGTCGATAGCCTTACTGTTCTTCGAGACGATCACTTCGTTTTTCTTACGAGGACCCTTAATTGCAGCTTCCTGGACGGACAACCACGGATTGTGGGTCGGCGTAGATGCAGAAATCTCCGCCATGTCCTCGGCACGATCCTGAGAGTCTCCAGCGGCGGGTACCTCTAAGGGGAAGTCCATCGATTTGAGGGTAGCGCTCGAGGTGTCAGAGGCTAGCGAGCCCATCGGCCTCATTGAGGAGCGATTTGGCTATGAAGAAGACCTGAATCACACGATGGTATTGTATAAGATTCGAAATCCTCACCACTGCACCAGGCCGATACTGCATACGTCCCCCAGTTCGCTGTATCGCGACGTTAGACGGACCAGGTATGGCCTCATCGTGCCCTTGCTCGTCTTCTGTCGACGGATGACCTCCCATCTCCCGGACGAAGTCGTCCGCATCCTCGTTGACTCTTTGCTGTTCCCGAGCCGCAGCGTCTTTCATGAACTTCATCTTGAAAATGCCCTTGTGCTTGCCATCGACATCTTCTGGCGGATCATCTCGCTTCAGCGCTGCCAACTCCTCGAAGGCATTGGCCTTCAACTCTTCGAGATCGTCGTCGGACGCTTCGTCGTTGTCTTCCTCGCTACTTTCCGCTGTACCACGTATCTTTGTCCTGAGAGCATCCCCGCGGTCCAGCATCTCCGCAATTTCGCGCCGCTGGTCGATGTCCAGCTCATTCCTAGCCCTCATGGCCTTCGCCCACTTCCCCGTATTTTTGTGCTTCAGAGTCGCCCTCTCTCTAGCACGCTCCACTTCACGCTTCATCCGAGCTTCTTCAGTGTCCTCAGCATCGCCATCGTCCAGCTGGGCCATCAACTTCTCCTTTTCTTTCTTCTTGATCTTCCTAAACGTCTTGCTCTTGATTTTAGCAATCCGTTTGGCCTTGATGTCGGCCCGAAATACCAAGTCGCGCATTTTGCGCAACTCGGCCCGCCGGGCCGCCACCTCTTCGACGGAGAGGTCGTTCATCATGAGATCCTCTGTCTGCTGTAGGTCTTCCTCCCTCATCTTCGCACTCTTAAGTAATGTGTCCACGGACGTCTCGAGCTCCGTCGTTGGCTGTTATCCAGTGAGTTAAGAGCGCTCTTTGAATGTGACGATATGTTACCTTGAACTTTGCAGTCAATTCCAGATTGGACGGCCGAGACGATGACGGGGCTTGCAGCGGAAAACTCAGGTGCTCCGCCTGTAAACCATCATGAGTAATGAACACGTATATGTCGACTAGAAAACGTGCCTCCTTGATTCGTTTCATAGTAGCCTTCCATTTGTCCACCTCTTCCTTCGTCTGCTCATATGCGGCTTCACGATCGACTCTTTCTTGTGTCCGTGTGGGTAGAGGAGCGTCTAAAGCTCCTTTGGACGTCGATACCAGAGGTTTAGCTGCCTTCTTAAGCGACAACAACGTAGACGAATGTGCCGCCAATGGATTGAGCAAGTCATCTAGTTGCAACTTCCCTTGGTCTGAATGCAAGGCATGAGCGTAAATGGAAATACTGAGGACGGGGTTAGACGCGCGTACCGATAGTAGCATTGAATTCGCCCTCGACGCCTGCCGTAGTCTGCTCTTGCACAAAACGGCGCTTTCTTGGACGGGTACTGTCCTCGCGAGATTTCTCGTCCGACTTGCGTTTCTGTGACGGATTGAGGTTTGTGATAAATTTTTCCAGTTTCTCGAGAGCCTTGGGATTTTGGTCCGCCGCGTCATCTTCGGACAATACGGACTGTTCCTCCTCGGAGTAACCACCCTCCTCCTCCTCCTCCTCACCTTCTTCATCACTCTCATCATCCTTCCGGACCCCGGAAGCTCCTTCATTATCCATCGACTCATGTTCCGCCGATCCCTCGTCACTGCTGGCAATGTCCGGATCTCCCCTCCCGTCCAAGACATCGAGGACATCGATAAACTCATCAGGGTCACCTTCCTCCTCTTCGTCTTCTTCCTCTCCAGAGCTTAGATTAGGCTCCCCGAGTCCCTGAGTACCGATCTCTCCCTCATCGTCTTCATTCAAATCGACGTCCGCAAATCGGACGCTTCGGGGCCTCGCGGACGACCGCGTCTCCGACACATTCTTCTTTGCCTTTCGCTTCGAAGTATGCGTGTTAGCAAGCTTTCTGCTCTGCTCAGAAATTGCATTGGCGGACAGTGCTCACCTTCGAATTAGACGCGAATGTAAATCCAGCGAAACGTTCTTCGTCGCTCTCTTCGAACGCCTCGTCACTATCGATCTCCTCGTCATCCTCCGGGTCGATCCCTTCGTCGTCCTCATTTTCTCCCACCAGCCTGGGGCGCTTCATGTACTCGGACATAGACATGCGACTCCCACCTGGATTCTCGCCCTCATATTCTCCATCCTCGTTCACACCGTACTCTGCAGCTTCATCCTTATCCAATGTGAGAGAGACCTTCGATCTGCGCGACCTTTCTTGCTCGTACTCGTACACATCGGTTACTCCGCCCGCGAAAGCTTTCGCTTTCCCCTTGGCTGATTTGCGTTTTGAGTACCCTGCCGCGTTAGCTTTACGCGAGGAAGGCAGGGTCTTGGGTGAACCGGCTTTGTTATTTGCTCTAGCCATGACACCCGCAGCAACCGATGGTAGAACCTGTCAGCGTCCAGGAAGACACAGTGAAGCGCAAGCTACCTCGAAGATACTCCTGATTCCTGAAAAGTTATGATCGAGCGCGTGCACGTGTGTCCACGTGCAAATCTCCTCGTGCGGGGAAACCCAGGATTGCGGAATGGTCTTCTGACTCTTCAAAAGTGCTACAACCTGAATGTTTTACCAGGTACATACGCCACGACAGGAGAAAGTGCTTTGACGAGGGCGAGCATCATGCATCATGCATCAGAGGAGACTCAGGCACACGCCATCGGGATGCGGTAAGTGAGCAACTATGGCATACAGCATGTCGCATCAGAGCTGGTCAAAACACTTCTACAGCAGTGACACGCAGGACTATGGGTGTATGGCATATCATCGCGCGAAACGAAATGGAATACATAATCAGAAGTCAACATGCACCATACGCAACCCTACAACTTCAACCCCACACAAGAGGGCAAACCACTACTTCAGCTTCTTCTTGCTAGAGACCGAAAATAAGATCAGCGGGCGATAAATGGCGTAGAGTGCATGGGCACTCACGGACGGAGCTGAGATGAGTGACCACAACTCCGCTTGCGGCAGTTGGTGGCCCGGGGAGGGAGACGAGCATAGCATTTGCGGCAGATCTGCTTGTCGCAGTTGTACTTGGATGCGAGCACCTTCAGTGAAGGCTCAATGATACCGCCACGTAGACTATTTTATTAAGTCAGTCTACCGGTCAAACGAGAGGGACATTGCAGTTACCGAAGGACCAGGTGAAGTGTCGATTCCTTCTGAATGTTGTAGTCGCTTAGCGTACGGCCATCCTCGAGCTGCTTGCCGGCGAAAATTAATCGCTGTTGGTCAGGCGGGATTCTGAAGAGGTGACAAAGATCAACCCAAATGATCTCGCCAACCGGACGAAGCACGGTTCTCACCCTTCCTTGTCCTGGATTTTGGCCTTGACGTTGTCGATGGTGTCGGAAGACTCCACCTCAAGGGTGATAGTCTTGCCCGTGAGGGTCTTGACGAAGATCTGCATCTTCTAAGGCCGTCTTAGTTGATGATTTACACAGAATACAGGACAACTGGGCTCACGATGCTGTCGATTGAGGACGAGGAGAAACTTACAGTCGCCGTCCTGTATAGTCGCTGACTAAGCGCCGCTTTAGGGCAGGCGTTCACGCACATGCAAGCAGTATGCAAGCGCCGGATTGAAATTGAACTGCTTCCGAGCTAGTGTTGCTCCTGCAGTGAGGTGACTTTGCAGACTGTCTCACTTCACTTCAAGTTTGACGTACTTCACCCACTGCACAGTCGTCATGAATTGCCTTTGAAGACTGCATTGAAGTCTGATCATGGCCACGTGCTGACCGTTAATGGCAGCGTGCGCCACCAGACACGCTCGCCCTGCGTCCAAGTGGTGTCTGAGTCACAGAGTTGCATCTACTCCGCGTCATACCCTGTGCAGACATAACAATAGAATGGCTGTGGCAGATAACCTCCATGATATGCTGGCAGTTTGCACTGGGCTCAAGAAATTCGTCAGGAGTCCATATGACAAGGTGTCGACTTGACTTTTGGTATTGTACATCCTGGCAGATGGTATGGGCATTATTAGTGTATTTTAGAGTACAATGTATATGCAGATATCACTGAGTTCGTCCTACGAGGACAAGTCAGTGCCTTCACCACGCGTATGTGGGAATATTACGGGATATTCCGTGGCTGATCTGCCCACTTCAATGAAGACATTGAAGCGCCTTCAACTTCACTTCACTCGGGTTGAAGTGTCAAAAACTCCACTGTGCAACACTGCAACTTCACTGCAGGAGCAACACTATTCCGAGCAACTTCCGAGTCCATAGCACACTACAGTGCTTTGCATAAAAGTCCGGAAACTGCGTTTCGCGCGTCTCTGTTTGTCCCAGCCAAACAATACCTTATAGGGTAACACCTGACCGAGGGCGCGACGGTCCTCGAGTCAGCCTATATCACTCCTGGGACACAAATGCCCGTCTCAAGGCTGAATAACGTTCATATCTGTATCTCTTCAGGATATCGAGCACGCAGAGGTCAAAATCCCCCAAGAACGACCCTCATACATGGATGTCGAAGCGCCCCGCCAACCAGTCAACAGCCCGCGCTACGGTGATCGACTACCCCATATAGGTTTGTTTGGCTGGCACAAACAACATTTCGCGAATCGCGGTTTCCGGACTTTTATGCAAAGCACTGTAGTACTCTACACTCCTTTCTGATCTTTATCGGAATTCGTTGTTTAAGGTGACGCGCCCCAGTCTTCCCCCGCCAACCCGGACGAGGCGTAGCGGAAGCAACGGTACGCCTCACCTTATGTGGACGGGAACTGCGTTTGTGGTATTGTTGCCGAAGTCATGGACTTGGAACTATGCCATAGAACAGGTCGCATTTCACGACATTCCAGGGGATTCGGGCATGTGCTTGTCGTCGCCGCGGCTAAAGTATTCCAAGAGGGACGGACTAATCCCGCGGGGGGCTCCGTAAGGATGACTTCATACGCAACGTCTCTGCTATGAACTACTCATCGCCTCTATAAATCTCGGTCTCCCGTCGCCGACCCTCTCATTAATATCTGCTGCTGCTTCGATCGCCCCCATCGCCAGTCGCCGATACGCATGACATCCGGGCAGATGAAAGCGATTTACTTCCCCGAGCCCGGCCCTGCGTCCGTTCTCTCCCTGACCGAAGTCCCAATTCCCGCCCTCGAAACTCCTTACGACATCCTTGTTCAGATTAAAGCATGCGCTCTCAACCCTGTCGATACTAAGATTCGCAGCGGCAAGTTCCCCGCTCATCCTATTCTCGGATTCGATGCCGCTGGTGTAGTGGAGAAGGCGGGGCAGCAAGCATTGTACAAACCGGGGGACGAAGTTATGTACTCGGGTGCGCTGGGCCGCTCCGGCACGAATGCGCAGTACAGCGTAGTTGACTCCAGGATTGTCGGACGCAAGCCGAAGGGGTGGGGTTGGGCGGAGACCGCGGGTCTTCCTCTCGTGGGATTAACGGCTTGGGAAATGCTCGAAGGGCACTTCAACTTGAAGCCGTTCCAGAGTCCCAGTAAAGAAGAAACGTTACTAATCGTCAACGGCGCGGGTGGGGTAGGATCGATTGCAACTCAGCTTGCAGCCAGAGTGAGTAGGACAAACAAATTGCTATCAGTTTGATAGAAGTTCGTTCATCACGCTTCTTTCCGCAAAGGTCTTCAAGATAAAAAGTGTTATTGTCACGGCGTCTCGTAAAGAGACCCGTGTGTGGGCAAAGCGCAACGGGGCGACGCATGTCATTAATCATCACGAGGCTCTAGGTGAGATCCTGGGATAGTGGTCATGTAGATTGATCTCATCAAGTCTCCAGGTCCCCAACTGGAACAGTTGGGTCTCAAGCCGACCCTGGCGTTCATATGTCATGATACTCAGAAATATTTGGAACCGATTGTGAAACTGATGAGTCCGTGGGGTCGTATCGGTTCAATCGTGGAAACAGATAGCCCGCTCAACTTCCATACTATGGACGCGTTCGGCAAGGCTTTGTCCTTCCACTGGGAGTTTATGCTCGCCAAGCCTGCTAACCAGTTCGACTTGGCAACGCAAGGGCGGATGCTTAACGATTTGACGAAAGCCGTCGAGGATGGAGACGTGACCAGTCTGGTTACCGTCAAAGAAGTGTTAAGTCAGGACAGCTTGCAGAGAATGCACCGATTGATCGAGGGAGGCGTCAGCATGGGCAAGGTTGTATTCGAAGTTCAGGACACCATCCGGGAGATGTAATGTATCGATCCTGTCATTCCCTATTTCAGGGTTGAGCAGGTCTTAGAGAGTCCATTTGTGAGTCTTCCTGTGCCCGTACAGCCGCAAGCTCCTCCTGACATTGGACGGTGCGACTCTTTCATATGTACTTGACACGCTTCATTCATGCGCAGTCTTCTATATCCCGCTTTCTTGTCTACATTTACGTAACGTAGGGGGATTTTGCCGAATCACTTAACTGTCCTTGAGCCTGATATATCAGATATGCAGTACGATACTAGTACTGCGAAGGTTTCATGGCAGGAATCCGAAGAAATCGGCGCCTGCTGTCCGTTTGCCATGCATATGGCCCAATGCATCACCACGATATACGGATACCCCATCTCTTACGCAGAAGGTGTAGAGGCAGAAATCGTGACACCACGCGATTGAAGGAGTATAATATCCATACACACGTCGGTACACTGCGCTATCAGCAAAGTAAGCTTGCGATCTAGATCGTCCAGGTCGTCTCTAACTTCAGGACTGCAAAATCTCGACCCCTCTGTTAGCACGCCAGCTTTCAGGTCCCTAGATGCCTCGTTAAGCTCTGGCCCACAACAGCCAAGAAGAAAGGGGACTCACGGTCCTATTCTTAATCCTGTGGTACTTGATTCTCCTGGATACCCATTCTCCCGCGGTTTCCCCTGTGGCGTATTTACCAGGGGGTGCCTTAGACGCCGCTTCTGCGATCAAAGGACTTTCGCCGACCAACGCCTTCAGGTCGATGTTGTACCCCGGTCGGGTGAAATACACGACCGACCATCTCTCCAGACCGCTCTGGGCGCCGGGCGGTGGGCTATACAGAGGGCATCAGAATGCCGAAATTATGGGTTCAGTGGCAGCAATGACGACCCACACGACACGATGCAGATTAGATCGGAGGATGCCAGCACTGAAGATTGTAAGGGTATCGCCGATGTTGCAAATGGCATGACCTGGTAGCGGCTAGCGGACGTGGTGTCATCCTCCCGAGTGTTCTGTTTAGGTATCGCGCTTACTTTCACATATAGCCACCTATCGCTTCCCGGCATAAGAACTTGCAGACCTCCTAGACGGTTGTGGAGGATAGTCTGGGGCAGCGACAAGATGAGAGCTGAATCGCGAGTGATATCTTCGGCTACCTACTAAGGAACCGAAGTCGGTGTGGGCCCCTATAGCAGCCTTTGTTTCCATCGTCGGTTCTGCTCTCGGCTGGCTCCTGATGCACCTTGCTTCGCTTCCACCCCATTCCGTGAGGGAATGGCGATTGACCAAGGCTCCGTCAGGCAGACCCAGCTTTGACTCCAGGACATTCATCAGCTTGAAGTTGATGTTAATGGACTTCCGCACGAATGGCAGTATGGAAAACTCCATTCGAGCATTGACTGTCGGGAAATACGTGCGATGTACAGGCACTGGCCATGCGAGGGCATCGTCTTGCGAGACGTTGAAAAATTCTACCGTGTCGCGTGTTCCCGCCTCGTCAACCGCGATGGTGCCGGCAGCCTTATATCTGAAGCAGGATATAAGATCGTCGCGAAGGGAAGCGGAGGAATGACCAACCCGAAGGAGGCACCGTTGTCGCCTTGCTCGTACTTCATCTTTTCTTCGAGAGGTAAGTTGGCCGTGTCCATTCCGACGTCGAACATCTGGTTGACTTCGGCGTCCGTTCCATGGTTCTTAAGGCTATTGGTCGCATGTCGCAAAGTCGTAACAATTTCTACCGGCGGGAAGAAGGCTGCAGACTTACTACCAGAATCCCAACTCCGTCGCTGCCTTCCACATTCTGTCGATCTCATCCTGCTGCCCTTGCTGTATCAGAGCGTAGTCAATGATGAGCAATGGAGCAGTTGGGATGCTTTCAGGGAAAGGGGGGAATGTGACACCGGGCATCTTGCGCGTCTGAATCTGCTTGTAAGAGGTGGTCCGTGTCTCACTCTTATATGTGCGACTCGTGTGGTGGACTGCGGGCTTGTATACCATGGATTCTGGACGTTCCTGGTTCCCCGAATAGGGCACGCCGGAACAACCACCCCAGCGATTTGGAAACTCTCGGAAACCGTAGACCTTTACGACAGAGCAACATCTGATCTCGCTGTTATGGCACAGATCCCCGTTTGCAGGTCCGTCGGGCTGATGAGTGATGAGTTGTGTGTCGCCGTGTGCTCATTAAAATGCATCCCACGAGGGTCGACCAACATAACCAGAAGTCCAGCTCGAACGTGGTAGGCATTTCCCCCACAGTTGGAATTGGCCTCTGCACCATAGGTGCGGCAGGAAGCGATTGGAATCATCCCCAATCGGACTGACAACGCGATGAGACATGATCGGGAAGTCCAACATGACCGAGGTGTTAATGGCTGTATTTAGGATGTCAGAAGCAGGCATCTGCGCGGCCTCACCTCAGAAGACCAGAGGATCAATCCTCACTTGGTATATTCCAATCTTCCTGAACAACGCCGCGTTGCCCCATAGATTCACTCCACAGTCATTAATCTGGACGGCCTAGGAGTATCCCACCCCGAGAGTTCTATTGCCATGCCCGATTACGTCCTGGGAGGCGTGGAGGCGGGCATGCAGGTTCAGACCTATGACTTCAATGCAGTATTTCCGACTCACTATGGGTACAGTACTATGTTCATGCGGAGAAGCCTAAGTGATAAGACTAGAGCCCGATAGGCACGTCTAAGATGAACGCTTGTCTCAACGAGATCCGCATTAAGATAATTGCATTCGACCGCCGAGCCTCTGGAATCCGCCAGCTGCTACAAACTCACTATCTTACAGTTTGGATCTCTTCCCTTTGTGATTTGGAGGAGATAGCCGAAAACGCGGGGCAAGTGAGACATTCTGGTAACTCCGTGCACCATCTATCAAAACGCCTATACCTTACCGAGCGGTACAGATAAGATATTGAATATCCTCCGATCATTTCTAATTATACCGCTTCAGGCCTGTGTTCCGTGCCCCGGCTGTCACGCCAGGTTTCGGGACCCTAAGAGAAGAAAGAATCTGTGCGGCAGAACAAGGCATTGCATACACGATACTCACCGTACGATTATTGACCCTCTGATTCTTCATCCTCCTGGTGAACCAGTCACCGGCAGTGGAGCCCATATGCTTGATCGGCGGGAAATTAACCGCAGCGTTCGCCACCATAGTGCTTTGCTCGGCCAGAGGTCGTAGGATTGAGGAGTTCCCCGGTCTGGTGAAGAACACGAGCGACCATCTCTCCAGTTCTGACTGAGTGCCCGGGGGCGGCCTGGAGAAGGGAAGGAGTCTCACCACACGTAGTGATAAGTAAAGAGCAGAACTCACACCACTCGATGCACATTGGAACGCAGGATGCCACCGCTGAATATCGCCAGAGCGTCGCCTACATTGCACACCGCCAGACCCGGCAGAGGCTAAATTACATATATGAATTCTGGGAGACCCTGGATTTCCATCTCACTAACCTTGATATAGTACCACTGATCCGACCCAGGAGGGAGCACCTGTAGTCCCCCGAGGCGATTGTGTAGGAAAGACTGCACATAATCTGTGAGCATCGGCCTTTTGAAGGAAGGCGTCAGCAGATGCTCACCAACGAGCCAAAATCAGTATGAGCTCCGATAGCAGTCTTCTGTTCTGCCATCCACCGAGGCTTGGGAGGGCTCTTGATGCATCGTGCCTCGCTGCCACTTGGTTCTTCCAGGGAGTGCAGATTCAGCAGAGCGCCTTGGGGCAATCCAAGTTTGGCGTTGAAGACTTCAAGGACCGTATGGTTTATCTCGAGCGACTTGCGCACAAAAGGCTTTATGGTAGACTCCATCCGGTTGTTCACAGTCTCCGGATAGGTGCGGTGGACCCGCCCTGGCCAAGCTAGAACATCATCTTTTGCGATGTTGAGGAACTCGACGGCATCAAGCGTGCCATGCTCATCAGTAGCCATCGCTCCGAGAGCTTTGTAACTACCGCAGTTGAAGGATAAACAGGTTAGGAATGCAAGCAGCCCATGGGTAAGGACATACCCAAAAGAAACCCCGTTGTCGCCTTGTTCGAACTTCAACTTCTCTTGCAATGGCAGATCCATGGTTTCTGTGCCCATATCAAACATGTCACCGACCTCGGCATCGGCCCCATGGTTCTTCAAGCTACACACGATGCGTCGCATGAGACACACAGTCATATCAAAGAAAGGGTACTTACTACCAAAAGCCGAGTTCCGTAGCGGCTTGCCACAACCTATTCATCTCCTGTTCGTCACCGACCCTCAACTGTGCGTAGTCTATGACTAGCAGAGGGTGGGTGGGAACGTCGTCGGGAAATGGAGGAAGCGTAAGGCCAGGCATGGGGGCTGTTCTTCTTGAAGATACAATTGGTTACGTGCATTCTTATATCCCTTGAACCTCTTATACTTGCCAGTCAGGCCGTCCTGACCGACGCTTTACCCGTATAGATAACTGGATGGCGGTGGCAGAATAGGGTTGGATCCATCACTTCGATCAATCAGACAAATATACAATGCCAATCGTGTACGGAACCATACTTATCTCTTCCTTTAGAGCCTCGTACATTTGGGGCCACATGGAGATACCTATGTCCAGACGCCTCTATGGAGAATCCGGGTGTCCCTCAGGTCCGATGGCTAGCATCGCACAGTATATCCACCGTTTATTAGGTTGCAGTTACCAAAGAGGATTAGGACAAGGCCGCTTAAGGACAGCTGACCGGAATGCATCCTGGAATGCGACTTCCCTATGACACTGCGCACGGAGACGCTTCCGAGCCATTATGCATACAGTTCGCGCTTGACGCCACTGAGAAATACAATAAAGTTCGTGCTGGCAGCTTCTGATTCGTGGTTGCGGCGGTCCTAACCATCAAGAGTAAGCAGCTACAGCCTACAGCGATCTCAGCCTGAGAGTTAGTTTGCTGGACAGTGGCGAATCTGAGCGTGTGCAAACAGATCTCGCTTCGGTAAGCCCACTCAGTTCAAATTTGCTTCCGTGTCGCCACCTCCGGTCCCGCGCGCGCTATTGCTAGCATCCATGTACGCCGGAAATCAGCCAAACGTACGAGCATAAAGGCGCGCTCGACATTGACCACGGGTCTACTCTTTCTGATGGAAAAGAGACTCGGTGAAATGTATGGGAGTCAAGGGGAAATAGCCCGACGCCGAAGGCAAACATGTCACTCTAATATACCAGGCCGTACCTTCAGATTCGGATCTAGGTACTTCTCCTGGTTGTTGGTTTGCGACATCGTGCAGATCTCAATCGTACAGCTTGCACTGCTCTATAAGTCGCGATCGACATCATAGGGCTGGGTACCCCCGACAAGGTAATCAGCGCAATCAAACGGAAAATCAAGAATATAATGTGACGGCCGCGATTCCATGCTACAAACGCGCAGGAGAGGTTGTAGCAGCAGTTTCCTGCGAATATGGCGGCCGAAGTAGAAGTAGAAATGAGGAGCAAGCCAGGGGATTAGTAGACGGGTACAGGGTAACCGGATAACCTTGTCACATAGGCGCTCCGTGTATATCCGGACGTAAGTTCGAACTGGATCCGGGGCGGAAATGCGAAGACTAACGTACGCATATCCGCTTCAGAGCGTTCGGTCCTCTCTCCCCGGAGCGCACAGGGGGCAGTTGGAACTTCTCTGGATGCTCAGGGATGCATGCCGCTTGGCCGGATCCTCAGACCAGGGCCGGCCATCCAGTAACGTGCATAAAGCGGCTCACCCAGTACCGAGGTTAGTAGGATGGATAAAGTATATACATCAGAGAATTGCGTGCCTTCTCCCATGACGGTTCGCTACTCGGGCATAACGAGAGAATCGGGCGCATGGCCGAATCGAAACTTAGTTCCATCTACGACTAAGACTGTATTGGACGGATAACAAGATTCGCGTCAATCGCACCAAAGTCGCACAGCTATAGTTCGAGTTATAGGAGGGGCGGTCGACCCTTGTCCCGCTCTACGCCCTGTGATTGTGTGAACCTGAGTTCGGCATCGACATAGCTGGCTTGGCACCCAGGAATAACTAGGGGTACGGAGGTTACTCTGTAAGAACTTTGACCGTTATCAGAAAGCAGGCTGACGTGGATGGGATAGGCGCAGATCCTACATCGTCTCAATCCTGTGCTGCCTCCGACGTCCGCAATTTTAGAGACCGTGTATCTTGAGCGAGGCAGCGCGTCCGAGTGTATATGGGGAGCCTTCAAGTTGTTGATATATTTCATCCTCAGGAGTGTATAGATTACCGTGTGTATTGTGTGAAGCGCGGGACAGGAGTTTCAACCTAGCCTGTGTCAGTGTAACAAGTGAGCCAACCCGTTCGGCACGAGCATTGTCTTGGTTCAGTGGGTCCCGCGAAGGGTTGATGTAAAGTCGGTTGTAAGGTAAAGGTGGTATAGTCTGTGATCGTCCTTCCCGTGATCCGATTGGATATACAATCCCAGGGTGCATAATGTATCGAGCTGAAATCTCGGTGGATGAGATAGGAGCTGAAGCAGCCTGTGCGTAAAGTAACCTCGAGATAGGAAGGCCGAGCTTGCCGAAGCCAACGTGACGTGTAGAGTAGAGCCCAGGAGTCTAACATGATTGATGCCAAAATAGCTTGTCAGTCAGACGTCTGGGATAGTTCAGCAGTGCATTACTGGCTTTGTCAGACAGCTCCCCGCGGTTTGTATGTGGCGCATCTCGTCTAAGCTAAGGACTGTATTGCTAAGTTGTTCGACCTGGTATCTGTCTCCGCACGTCAGGTGGTAGGACGCGTCGTCTAGAGCAGTCCGTTTCTCTGTGAGCATATGTCAGTAGTGTTCGTAGTCAGGTACGAAGGGAGGGAACGCCACGTACCTTCCGCTCAACGTGGATACCATAGCGTAAGTGCGTCAAGCGTCACCGAATCGAATGAAGATAAAGGGGAATCAAAGACGACAACTCCAGCTGTGACATTTACAACGTGAAAATTTGTTCGCCATGGGAGCAGTCTTTCGAAGACATCGGCGTTCGGCCGTGAACGGTACTGAGTGGTTGACAGTACCCCGAAAGCGCGAGAACATGGGGCTAACGGCGTGATATAATTGCTGGAAGCTATCTATTCAGTAGTCAATCCACAGGAAGCCCATCAGTATATGGCGCTGTCCTCGATGGTGCTATGCCCGTAGTTTGGTCGCAATGGTTTGGATGTAAACTGGCGGCGTATAATCGCATACCCGAGCCAGAACATCATCTACACTGCTGCGCAGCGGCTTCCCCAGGGCAGCTAAGGAGTTTTGCCAGAGTGATCAATAGTGTCCATGGCGGGGGAGGGGCAGAATCCGCACGGGTAATCGATTCGAGTTACAAGGCTCGAGGGGGTTTCGCAACCGGCAAAAGCATGGTGACTTCCTCATTAGAATAATGCAATAATCGCGTCAACGAGCTTTATTGTCAAAGCACAAGGATAACAGCCGAGAGAGACGGCCGTATGTATAAACGCGGCATGAGGGGAATTTTCATCCAGGAAAAGCACAAGCCCTTACGACGGCCATTCCCTGTAGGACCATTCGGTCCGAAAGGAAGCTAGCATAGCATCATAAACTTCAATATAGTCAATGTCTATTGCTACGATTAATCAGGACTGTGGTCGTTGTTCGTACCTGATAGACGGGCCCGGCCGGATAGTCGAGAGCTCGAAAAAATAACGCCGCATACTTGCTGTGTGAACTTGGGAGCACCTCTCGAGGAGTGAGTGATTCTGTGAATATGTTTAACCAATGAAATTGTACCGTACATACGAAAGATTGGCAAGAGTGCACGCGACCTCAGGTTCCTGGTTCCTCCCGTGCGCCGCCGGCTACAACATGCAAACTCGGGGTATTTTTCGAGTGTTCACAAACCGACAAAACGATCTCATATGGCTATATGACGGGCGAACTGGCTATCATACAGCGACCTGTTCTATTCCACGGCTGAAGAGCATCCAGACCGGTGGAGATCCGCCAGCTGGGGCCATGCAAGGATGTTGAGAAGAGCTATGTCGCACGCCAAATGTCTATGCATAACGCTCGGTTGGCCGAGGTACACATCAAGCGGTACAATGTCACCGAAAAACAGTACCTAGTCTGCCATCGCAATCGCACGGCATCCATAGGATAAATCTTAAGCGGCTTGATTCTAACTCTGGTCACTCAGGGCTACGGACTCACCTAATTATGCGCCAGCTTAGCCGATACGGCAAAAGACTAATGGGCCGTGCTGCCAAAGGTCGTAGGCTTACAAGAAAGCCCAGCCATGTTCGAGTCTAGCGATACATCAAGCAGTTCATGGCAACAGTGGCACTCCCACTACTCGAAGTGGCTAGTAAACTGCTCGGTTAGACGCCCGTGTACCATTAAGGGGCCGGCGCCACCACGCTTGCGCTCCGCTTGGGGTCATGCACCGGACGTTACCCTGTTGTCGATATTGTTCATGGTACATCGCTGCTAATACCATTGCATCAGTCTCATACACGGCTCATATACATCTATCCTCATCATACCTTCATTGGGGCTGTCTTGTGACGTTCTTTGTGTCGTGCATACACCTAGCCCAAGGCCCAGGCAGGGATGTGGGAACGTACACTTCAAGACCTGATTCGCGGCCTGCGGGCTAACAAGAAAGATGAAGCAAAATTCATTGCTCAGGCAGTCGATGAGATAAGGCAAGAGATCAAGAGCAAGGATATGGAGCTCAAAGCCGCTGCGGTGTTGAAGCTAACATACGTACGTTGAGGCAAATCCTCTCCAGAGCGTAGCAGGATTCAGCTATTCGACTTCCAGCTCGAGATGTTAGGGTATGACATGAGTTGGGCAGCCTTTCATATAGTGGAGGTTATGTCCTCTCCCAAAACCCATCTTAAAACTGTGGGCTATCTTGCAGCTGCCCAGTCCTTCGGACCAGACACGGACGTACTGATGCTGGCTACGAACCTGGTCAAAAAGGCGAGCTCTACAAAACCCGAGTAATGGTTAGTACTGAGACTTTGTTCTTGGTTAGGATTTGGGTTCATCGCCAGCAGACGTCGCAGTAACCCTCAATGGACTTGCATCCATTATGACCGCTGAGCTCGCCAGGGATATGTCATCAGATCTGATTGCCATGCTGAATCATTCACGACCTCACATACGAAAGAGAGCAATCCTCTTGATGTACAAGGTCCTCGTGAAACATCCGGAGGTCAAAGACAAGGCTATGTCGAGATTGAGGGAGAAACTTGAGGACACGGATGCAGGTTCAGTCCAAATCGCTTGAAGTCTGTGTTTAGACGCTGATTGCCATTGAAGGAGTTGTGGCAGCGACAGTAAATGTGATGTGTGAGCTTGCACGAAGGAATCCGCACGACTACCTCCCCTTAGCACCTCACTTCTTCCGTCTGCTGACGACTTCGTCCAATAATTGGATGCTGATCAAGCTCGTCAAAATCGTACGTAAAAACCTTTTGTACGGGGTCGCGAGCGTCAATAACGCCTCCGTAGTTTGGGTCCTTGTCACCTTTCGAGCCTCGTCTCGTCAAGAAACTTCAACCTCCCATTACCGAGCTCATCTCGACAACACCCGCGATATCACTCCTTTACGAATGTGTACATACCTGTATCATCGGAGGTATGTTGCAGGGCCCATCGGGGAACTCACTGGCACGACTATGTGTATCCAAACTTGCTACATTTTTGCAAGATTCGGACCAGAATTGTAAGTGATCCTCCTAGATAGGCCAATCCCTGTCATTGGTTTACCTGGAATCCAGTGAAATATATCGCTCTATTGGCTCTGACGAAAATAGTCCCGACTCATCCGTATCTGGTTGCAGAGTATCAAGACATGATCCTTGCTAGTGTTGCTGACCAGGATATCAGCATTCGCATGCGTGCGCTGGATCTTGTCTCCGCCATGGTACGCACATATTTCTCATGGCGGGCGGAATTGTACTCATCGTAAGATGTGTAGGTCAATCGTGACAATCTGCAGTCTATTGTCCAGCAGTTGCTATCTCATCTAGTTAGACCAGATCCCGCGGCTTCCAGTACTGCCTCAGAAAGTCTGGCGCAAGTTTCCGCTCCAGGGGCATCCACGAGCGCCGTTAGGCCATTGCAATCTCCCTACTATCGCTTGGCGCTCGCTCAACGCATTATCTCTATCTGCTCGGCTTCAACATACGAACACGTCACGGACTTCGAGTGGTATCTATCCGTCCTCATCGACCTAGCATACGTCGCCTCCGTGAACATCGGTGCAGAAATCCGGGACCAATTGATTGACGTAGTCGCCCGCGTAAAGGGCGCAAGGCGATATGCTGTGAGGCTCATGGCCAAGGTTTTGGCCGACAGCACATTCCTGATTAACGCCGGAGAAGACTGTAGTTGCTCCGAGATTCTTTGGGCAGCTGCTTGGGTCGCCGGGGAGTATTGCAGGTACCCTACCCACATTATGACCGTTACGTTTCCGCTGATGTGGTGTCAGTGAGATACCGCAGCCAGGCCAGCTGCTGCAGTATCTCGTGCAGCCGGGCATATCCTCTTTGACGAGTGAGATTATTGCGGTGTATTTGCACACAGCTGCCAAGGTCTTCGGTTACTGGGCGTCGGAGCTTGCTCAAGGATGGGACGATTCATATCTACCGGAGCTGAGGGATAACGTTGACATGATCGTTAGCCGCTCGAAAGAGTATGCCTCGAGTCATGATATCGAGGTACAAGAAAGAGTATGTAATCCTCCCGTGGTCGGATGGTTACCTATTTACATGATCTGCAGGCAGCTAATGTCTTGGGTCTGTTCACATTCATAAAAGCTGACTTGGCAACACACCGACCTTTAAAGGAGGATGATGCCGAATATAATGTAGACAGCAGTCCCGCCTTTGCCGACGTTCCGACCTCCGAGCCTCGTTATCCGAAGAGTTTATGGCTTCTTCGGCCACTATTTGGCGGATACGAGTTGAACCCTGTCGCTGCGTATGCGCAAGGCAGAGTCGAGCGGCCCAGCGGATTAGACCTTGACGTGTGGATAGTGGCTCCCCCCAAGGATCCGGTCTCAGAAGGGGTTATGTCGGATGGGCAAATTCCCGACAAGGTTAAAGTAAAGAAGGGCAAGAAGGGAAAGGCGAAGGGAAAGGGAAAGAGTGTGGAGCTTAATGCGGCGTCGAATGGAGTAGAGGCGGAAGAGACGCTAAGCTCTCAGTCCATGGAATCTCCAGAAGAAGCCGTGGAGCGTGCAAAAGTGAGAGTATTCCGTACTTCGATCTTCGTATCGTGTACTTACCTCTGACTTACAGAGGAAGGCTGAACGGCTTGAACGACTCCGAGATGATCCTTATTATCTGGTTGACGATCGGTCATCTCAGCAGGTCCCCGATGTCGACACGATTCCGGTGGTCAAGCTTAATGACGTGCCCCAAAGTAAGCGCCTTAAGAACTAATTCTTGTTTCCACCTCAAACTCTGGGCAGCAGCTGTCAATGAGCATCGGCTGACATCTCTCATGAGCATGGGAGTTGGGTCTCCGAACAAAACGTATGTCGTGGACAGGGTGGGGGAAGCGCCAACTAGTCTTGAGCCCCAGCCTTCCCAAGACACAGCCGAGGTTGTCGACGCGCCATCGAGCACCCCTGGATACAATATCGGGGATGAGGAGCCGAGTACAAGTACTCCGGCAACCATCCAGGTTACGAAAGTGAAGAAAGCAGGCCGCACCGGTAAAAAGAAAGGGACAACTAAAGTCCTTGATAGTGATAATACCGCAGTCCGCTGACATTACTTATGCTTTCTATACTATTATGCCGGGGTGGAGTGACTTTGGTATACATGACAGAAGCGTGGCAGATGGGATGCTAAAGGAACACAGGATTTGTGAGCATTCTTGATAGATGCATTACAGTGTTAAGAGAAAGACGAGAGGCTTGCATGATTGTGACGACAGAGTAATCGTGCAAAATCAGAGTCCATTGATACGGCCTACCGACAGCGTATAATTGCCAGGCCGCTCGTATGCACAAACGAGAAGGTCTTCAGTGATCATCTTCAACGTGCTCGACGGAGTCAACGATTTCATTAACCAGTTCGAGCGTAACCCCAGGAATTATGCGCTCGGCGTCTGTGAATGCTCGCTGGAGAGCGCTCAATGCGACGCGTGCCTCCTGAGATTGGACCCGGGGGAAGAGCTGCAAGCAACGGTCAGTCAAGGAGGAAACATAGATTGTATAGTCGCACCGAAGCAATTGCAGGCAAAACAACGGAGTCCAACATCGTGGTATCCGGCAGCTCATCTAACCGTCGATCAGTCTGCTGAATTTCATACGGATCAACCAGGTCGCCATCGTAATCTTCGTATTCATCTGAAGGTTCTCGTCGAGGTCCAACACCATTGGGAGCAACCTCTCCATTTCCATGCCGCACCGTAGCCTGACGGTCATATTTCCTCGGGGTATTGGGTGCTGACGGGGGCAAAGGTGGAAGTTCTCCTTTGTTCGTCGCGGTAACTGTGATAGAGGAGCTATGGGAGGAAGCCTCTGAGCCAGCGCTGCGTCGAGTAGTGCCCCTGTACGATCCGCTAGAATCAGACGACCCGGCGGAGCGCCTCGTGCCATTCTGACCCATCTCCCATGTTAAAGGAGGGCCAGAAACTTGGATGGGATTCGCCTGGCCTCGTCCTATAGTTGATCCAGCATGACGGACAGTACCAAAGTCCCAGAGGTCATCGGCATCGACATCACCAGGTCTACGGACGTGTAAGTACCTGAGAGGAACGATGATGCAGGAAGATCGCAACATGACATACATGTCTTCCGGACGTATCTGCTCATCGTCGTCCACTCGCTCTCCTCCCTCGGCTTTCCATCGTTCATGACGTTCGATGAGTTCTGTGAGGTAGCTGGTTTTCTTAGCCATGCGCACAAACTTGTGCTTCAAGAGTTCACGAGCAGTCGGCCGCTAAACAAGGATGAGTGTCTCCCGTCTACGTAAGAGCTGCGGGTGACCTACGTCGCGAGGATCTCGCTGCAGACAGTAAGATACAAAATCCTTGAATGGTTTTGAGAAGTTGCCCTCCAGAGTCGGAGGAGGGTTCTTAGGGATTAAGAATAGCACCTGCAAGGGTAGGCAGAAAAGCGGAGTTATTGAACATGATCTTCTTCAGCAAGCTCGTTCGAAACCCAGCAGAATTGGGCTCCTCTGGATACATACCTTCATCGGGTGCAATTCAGCGTAGGGCGGTTCACCTCTAGCCAGTTCAATGGCTGTAATGCCCAGACTCCAGATGTCAGCCTTGTGGTCATAACCGCTTTGTTTGATAACCTCCGGCGACATCCAATAGGGTGTTCCAACGAACGTGTTCTTCTTAGCAGACAAAGTACCGGACAGCTGTCCGGAAACTCCGAAATCAGCTAGTTTAACATCACCGTTTGCAGATAGAAGGATATTCGCGGCTATGTACCACGTCACATTGTCAGAAATCGAGGAGATTACGGAGTCTGCTGCGTGTACGAACCTTTGATATCGCGATGTAATTTGCCCTCGGTGTGCAGATAGTCCAGCCCTCGAAGGAGTTCGCGAACGATGATAGCGATATACTCCTCCCTAAACACGCCCGGTTTCATCTATAAGTCAAGTCAGTATCAATTATTATCTTATAGAGAAAGCATAGATCATACCAGGTCAGAACAAGAGCCTCCTGAACAGTACCTGCCGTAGCGCTAAATATCAATACCGAAACTGCATTGGGTGATAACGGGGCACTAACTCCATGACAATCCAAAGGTGAGATCCTTTTAGGAACGATCCATGGTATCTTGAGGTAGCATGCATCAGCACCATCGGCATAACATGATAGCTGCATCTGGGAACGGGGAAGAACTTACTTAGTAACATACGGCGAGTCCAGTTGGGAGAGGATCTGGATCTCCTGCTGGATATCTTCAATCTCATCTTCCGCACTCTCGAGGTCAATGATCTTGATCGCTACAGTCTTCTGGGTACGTTTATCGTATCTGACCCGATAATATCATCGACAGTCGGAACTTCCTGACACCGTAAGACAAACCCTTTGTATACTTCTCCAAAGGATCCTTTGCCTTTGTATTGCGTCGGTCACAGATACTTCGTAGTGCGTGGAAGGAAGTGACGCACCTATCCTATCTTGCTTGATGTAGAACTCCTCTGGGTCAGAGTGACGCGCATCCTTTGACAAAGCCGGGAATCATGAGATTTACGGCAATTTAGCTGTATTATCCAAGCACGAACCATGGCTGAAAAGCGCAACTACCAGCACAATCGTCCTAATCACAGCGTGATCCGAGTCGTGTCGTATCGTAAGGGTCGTAGACAGCCCGTAACTTCCAGCTTCGACTATAAAGTCACCAAAAGAAAGGGCTTGCCTATTGCCGTGAGTTATATTATAACAAGAGCAAAGAAAGCGACGATAGCAGAAAGGATAGCCTCGACGGGAAGCAGAACTGGCTTAGGTTGGACTCCTGTCTGTGCTTTGCCACCACGGTCACCACCTCGGCAGATCCCGACCCTTTTGCCTAATGCGACGGCGTGGGAGTGCTTTTGTGGCTCGCCTAGCAATCGCCTACGCTCACAAAGCAGGGTAAGTGGCAAGTGAGATAAAGAGAGGGCCGACCAAATATCAGCAATAGCTTTTGAAAGGATTTTATATAACTTATCAGCGTCGGAGTCAAATGATTCCCTTACGTGGGTAGTTCAGGCTCTCCTGGAACTTATGCTGAGTACATTGCACCGTTGCGCCTGTTTTTTCGCTTTTTTGAGACCACCTTGTAATTTTATTGAAGCGTTTTAAAGGCTTATGTGATTCTCTATCTATTTCTTGTTGTAAGCATGCCTGGCTATCGTGGAACGAGCTAGGTCACTTTGAATAGACGCGTGGGTGTAACAGATCACGTGAGATGTGACTCGTACAGTCCACACTGACCACAGCCATTCAGAATCGTTGAATCCTTGTACCGTACAACTACCAACTTCTGCTCCATTCGTCCGCAATATCTACTCGCGGCATGCCTCCGAGGAAACGACCTGGGTCCTCTGGTTGTTCCGAAACGAAAACCAAAAAGGCAAAACAAGAGTCGCCTTTGTCCGACCATGAAGATGACATAGAGACGATCCTCATGTTAATTCAACAACAAGAAGAAAGTGAGGCGCTAGCGAAACGTATGCAGGAAGAATGGAACAACGAAGACATGTCATTTGTGCCCGGAACCAGCCGTAATGGGCATGGAAATATGGCTACAGCCTCTGGGACCCCTGAGGTTATCGTGCTGGACTCCGATGACGGGCTTTCTGAACTGCCTCCTGACACACGGCCTTCCGTCAGTGGGGGCGTGAAGGGTTTAGGAAGTCGTCTTTCTGTGAAGCTACCTATAGGATCCTCTCAAGGAAAGGGGAAGTCCAAAGGAGTACTGTCCTCGAATAATCTGGAGGCTCGTGGAGGCTCAGCAGAGTGTTGCGAATCGCAGCAGAATGGATTCGATGTGCCTCCTGACCAGGCACTATCTAAGTATCGGGACATGTTCGCGGGATCACACCGATGCTCACAGTGCTCGGCTGTTATACCATCTCCTCTTGGCTACGTTCGTGAATCCTCTCCTAGCTGTGGACTCACCTTACTCTTTGCAATATTAGGTCAGTTTCTCCCCGACGATACCGCCTCCCAGCCTTCTGCACATTCTGCATTGTGCATGTCAGTCATGTGGAAGGAACCATTGTCGAGGCTGCCTAACGCCGATCGGCTGCTCCTCTACATGCAAAGGCAAGAACAAGAATCAAGATTGCCAGGTTTTGAAATGCTGCGCCAATGTACGCGCGATTGCTCTATTTGAGACCCTCACTGCATTTGACAGAGAATACATTAACGAACGCCTCAATTCCGACGAGCGCGCGAAAGCGTCCGTAGCTAGCGGACGTTCAGCTGTCCCGTCCGTTGGCCCCGGTGGCACGGGCTATTCCATGGGAAATTACAGTTCCTCTGGAGGCCCTGGCGGCCGAGGGCGAGGGCGAGGGCGAGGACGGAAGTCAAGCAACCCCAGCAACTGGATCACCGCCAATATTACAGCTCATTGGGAGGAAACGATAGCTCGCTTCCTGCTCACGGTGACAGAATTGCTTCCTTCTCCGTACGACGAGTCGGCGCAGACATACGATCTGATACCTCATCAATCCATACGATCCCTCTCATTGCTCTCCCGATTGCCCGACTTACTCGCAGACCTCCTGCGCAATGACTCCGTGAATGACTGGATCACCCGCGTGGACGTGTATAGCGCAATGCTGGGTCTCCTGAGAAGGTTGGCAGACTGCGAGTTAACAGTGGACATCCTTATCAACCACCGTTGGGAACGTACGCGCACTTGTTGCGGTTTAGGTGATTGGATGCGACAAGACGGCCAAATTGAATGGGAGATGGAGGGCTCCCGCATAGCCGTTGCACCTCCACTTTTCGATTATTTTATCAAACTCACAAAGCAGTGTGAAGCTTTTCTGGCAGGTGCATCGCAATTGATCGAAGGTCAATCTGAGGGCAGCGATGACGGCGACACGGAAGAAACGACTGTGAAAGCCATATCTCTGTGCGGTGATATCATTGCTGCCAGAGACGACATTCAGAGGGCCATGACGATTCTCGGCAAACACTCATCGAGCCCGCCCCCTGCAAGCAGAGCAGGCCCGAAGGCAATGGACGGCAAAGGAAAGGCCCGCGACTCTGCTGTGAATATGGAAAAAGAATATTCAACTGTGTGTGAAAAGCTGGCTCTTCGACACGTTGCTCTCGGCCGCGAAGTTAACGGTACCTTGCGCTACGAACACTTCAACTATGCGCAACTGCTGCAGCAGACCAACACAGGTACGAGGAACCCGAAGGACAGACTGCACCTCGTCAAAGAGCTCGCCGTCATGGCCACTTCGCTTCCGCCAGGCATCTGGGTGCGCGTCGACGAAGTCCGGAACGACGCCATGTGAGTACCGCCATTCGAGATTATTATTCGCAAAGCTGAGGGCTCGCAGTAAGGTCATGATTGCAGGCCCTGAGGGCACCCCATACGCGGGCGGCCTCTTCGAGTTTGACTGCTTCATGCCCTTGCAATATCCCCATACGCCTCCTCTCGTCCATCTGCGCACGACTGCCGGCGGTAAAGTGGGCTTCAACCCCAATCTATATAGCACTGGTAAGGTGTGCCTGTCTCTCTTGGGGACTTGGCCCGGGCGGTGAGGGTTTCCGCAGTGCATTCCGCATCTGATTCTCCGAAATTGAATTTTGCTGCAGGCCGGAAGAGCAGTGGTCCTCGAAGTCCACGCTCCTGCAAGTGTTGGTTAGTATCCAGAGTATGATAATGGTGGACACTCCATTTTTCAACGAGTGCGTATGACCTCCGTCTCGGCCTTTCACCCAAACATACATACGGTGCTCTTTTGTAGACCCGGTTACGGGAAAGCCAACGCCAATGACAAGCGGAGCATTCAATATAACCGCAACGTCGCACTCCAGACCGTGAGGTGGGCAATGGTGGAATGGATGAACGACGAATACAAGAGCAGTATATGGGCCGTAAGTGCCGCTTTGGTCGCGGATCATAATGAATCCTGAACCCGTTCCAAGGACGTCATCGCTCACCATTTCACTATCCGACATGCAAAGATACGAAAGTGGTGCGTCTACCAAGTCGTCTGCTGTGCTAACGGTTAGTGAGCCCGATCATATTACAGCATCGAGGAGTGGGCAAAGGACGATGCACGCATGCGGAACTATGATGCGCGTAGCACTCAAACTGCCGGCACCAGCGAGCGCTCGTATCCTGGAATGCATAACGTGCGAGCGTCAGGCGGTGTGGACCTGCTGGCGCGATACGACCAGGGCATCCCGAAGCTTCGCCGTTGGCTGTCATGCAGGATGGTGGAAATTGAATGCATCGAGTAATACAGGGTTAAATTAATCTACATTGTCCCTTGTGTAATTAGTATCAACCCTGCGTCCTGGCATAAAGGCGTTATCGACCACAGCAGCATCGACCCTTGGATCATTCGTGGAAAGAAACTGGTCTTGGAAAGAGGTGAAGATTGAAGACTTGTTTTTACAAAGCATGATCGCGGAGTCATTTTTCATCTTTCCTTTACTGGAACTTGCGGTGCTCCTGTTTCGTCGCCACAAGATAAGTACGTCAAACCCAGTTGAAATGTAATCAACGGAGGACGCACCGGCGTATGCGTCGTCTCGTGGTCGACGTGCACAAATGCCCTTTCCACCCCCGGCAGCACCTCGATCTTGTCCTGGAGCTGCTGGCTGATATCGTGCGCCTTCCACAGCGGCGTATTCGCGCTCATCACCACGTCAACCTCGACGAAGTAATCCTGCGAAGATCAGTGTCAATAAACCAACACCCACACTTCCGAATAAACTTTTACACACCGGTCCGCTCTATACTCCCCCGAGGTCAGTAGACGCAGAAAGGACAAGGACGCGGCACGTACATGATACGCCCGCACCGTGTCAATCTTCTCGATCTCGTCACTGAAGGTCATCGCCTTGTAGATCACGAGCTGCAGGAAGTCGTGCGGGGCGGATTTGCCCGCGAGCAGCTCGAACTCTTTGTAGATCGTGCGGCCCCAGAGGACGATCACGCCTGTTGCGATCTACGGCGGCGGGTGGGGTGAGTCTCGGCTGTGTGAGACGGGGGTGGGGCTTACAATAATGGCGCCCATCGGGTCAAGGACTGACGAAGCAGCCGTTAAAGCGCCGTACTCGGAAAGGGTATAGGTGGAAGCACGTACACCACCTGAGCTTACTCCCTCCCGCAGACATGAGCAGACCTGCGCGACGCAGTGAGCTACCATACACAAGCGACACACCCGATCACCCACCGAACCCGTTGACGAACAGATCGTTCCGGTGGTCCTCCCACAGGACGTGCACCTGGCTCGAGCTGCGGCGCAGCGTGTGGCAGTACACAAACAGCGCGAACTTCACCGCTATATGTATTTTCCAATCCTGTTGCATCAAAATAGGGGAAGGGGGAGGCGGGAGGGGGAGGACGCACCGAGCGCGGCTGCGACGGCGACGATCGAGGGGACGTGGAAGGCCTTGAGGTCGTCGCTGCTGTTGTGCGTGACGATGGACTGGACGGACTGGACGATGACGACGAGGTTGACGGAGCCCATCCTGGGGACCGTAGCGAATATGCTTTGTTCAGTACCTGCTGCATGTCAGGGCTCTGGGGTGGTTGCTTACAGGAATCCTATCACGCACTCGAGTCAGGGGCCAGGCATGAGACAGCGACGCTGCAACGCACCGTAGACGATGTTGCCGATAGTTTGGAGGCGCGCTCCGCCCACGGGCCATTTGTTGAGGTCCATGCGGCTGGCTTTCCAGTGGGCCCAGAGAAGGAGGACGTTGCTTCCGATGTCGAAGACCGAGTCGATACCGGTGGCCAGGAGGGACAGGGAGGCGGAGGAGATGGCCGCATATACTGGGCGCATGAGCGGTCAGATGGTGGCGACATGTAGAGGGATGATAGAGAGACTGACGTTGGAGTACGCAGAGACTGAGATTGGCTAGCAGACTCGCCCAGACGGCGATTTTGACCTGTAAGGAGCAGTGAGCCCTGTAGGGTTTGCACAGGCCCCCTCAAAGACACACCGGGAGCCGATTCGCAGCCTCCTCGTCCTCCGCCTGGCGCGTATGCTCATCCATCGGCTTCAGCAGCGCCATAATCAACTAGCTGCCCCCATCCGAGTGAGTCCCCGACAGTCATACATAAGGGGGGAATCACGCACGTCATTCTGCTGGCGCTGGTACTTTTCGAGGTGGCGGCCCTTGCGGCGGTTGCGCAGCTGGGAGAGCTGGTCCTCGTTGAGGAGGCCCTTGCGGAAGTCGAAGGGGTCGCGGTGGGCCATGTCGGGGGCGGCGAGGATGCTCTCGATGTCGCGGGTGCGCGCGGAGAGGCCGTCGCTGGATTGCTGCGGTAGAATGGTTGACTGGGGAGGTGCGGATAACAAATGTGATTGACACTAACCACGGGGAGGGCGGAGGAGGTAGCGACGGTGCTAACGCCGGGTCGTTTCGAGTCTAGGGACTCCCTTGGACCGACCATGACGGTGAGGCTGGAATCTTGGGCTGGTAGATCTGGTCCGGAGCAGTGGTAAGACGCAAGCTGGCTTCGATTGCCTGACAATGCTGTGCGGCTGATGCGGTTCTTATAAACAGGCAGAGGTGGTTACAGGCAGAGGAGGTTACAGGCAGAGGAGGTTACAGGCAGAGGAGGTTACAGGCAGAGGAGGTTACAGGCAGGTCTCAAGTTCAAGATTTTAGGTGTACAGTGCAGGTGGGTCGGTGCCACCCGTGGAGGTGACCGTCGCCACTCGTACGAAGTCCGCAGTCTCCGCGGCGTCCGCGCAGCTTCTGACCGTCCGCCCACCATGGCCCTCAGCAGCGACACCAACTCCCTCCTCCTCGTCCTCTTCATCTTCTCGCTCCTACTGTAAGCCCGCCCGCCCGTCTCTGCTCTGTACACCCATCTCACGTCTCACGCTCAAAGGTTCTGCGCCATCGGCTGGTGCATCCTCTCCTCGTGCATGGGCAAGCCGGTCCTCGACTTCTTCTCGGAAGTATGGCGCGCGGCGGTGTCGCCTGCGAGGGACGGGCGGGAGGGTTACCGGCCTATGAGGAGGACGGGCAGGGCGGATGGGGAGATGTGGGAGATGGAATACAGGAGCAGACTTGGGTGATCACTGCACTATGAGTTGAAGGTCGGGCTGTATATGTTCCTCTATCAGGTTCAGAGCATTTAACTGTACGGTCCGTGGCTCGCTCACTATTGCGGTACTCCTGTCAGAGAAGCTAGTGGGTGCGACGGTATTTGGCGGCATCTCAAGCTTTCTGCAGCCTACATGAATACGCGGGTATCCGCCTTCACACGGACCGATGGTGTAGTTGGTTATCACGCCTGTCTAACACTTCATGTGGTCACAGGCGGTCCTCAGTTCGAGTCTGGGTCGGTTCACTTTTGCCATGTCTTTCGGTGGATGATTAGCATACGTAGAACTCATGCCGCTCTGTAAGGATTGAGGTAGTGATCCCTACGTACAGTACGAGCTTCTAGGGTCATTCAGGCGTGAAGGTTCGCTTCATGAATTCATTTCTTTATGAGGACTGTATCAACTCAACCACCTCCTCCGCGGCACCCCACGAGCTCTGATACCCCGCCGGCCCAAACCCATACGCATGCACGACCCTCACCCTCCCCACCTCCCCAAGCTCCGCCCTCTTCGGCACCAGCCCTCCCCCTCTCTCCTCCTCCGGGGGCACCTCCACCCACTCCGCCTCGACCCTCGCCCCGCCCTCCCTCGCCGGCCGCAGCCCGACGCCGTGGTACAGCACCTGCACCCCGGGGCCGCGCAGCGCGGGCGCGAGCTCTGCGCACCGCGCGAGGATGCCCTGCGCGGTCGGGACGGAGAGCGAGGTGTCCCAGTTGTGCGGCTGGAAGGTGCCGCCGAGGAGGACGGTCCCCGCGGGGGAGGGGCGCGGGATGAGGTAGGTTGCGTGGCCCGTGGAGGTGGTGGGGTCGAGGTCTGCATGGCAGGGGGAAGAGGGGTTAGAGGGGGGGAGGGCAGGGGGACAGGAGGGGGCTGACGCGCCTGAGACGACTTCGACGCATTCGGTGACGCCGGGGGCGGAGACTACGGTCGTCTGCCCGCGGATGGGGTAGCACTTGGTGTCCTCCACGCCGATCAGCGAGCGCGCGCCTGTGCAATGCCACGTTCAGCGCGCCGAGAGATGAATGGAATGCAACCATACCCATCCCGGTGGCGTTAACCACAATACAGCCGGGCCCGCCGATGAGCGCGGCCTCGTACACGCTCTCGAGCGCGCGGCGCACGAAGCGGACGCCGCGCGCGGAGAGCTCGGAGTGGAGCCAGGGGAGGTAGACGAGCGGGTTGAGGCTGACGGTGGTGAATGTGATGCCGGCTTGCATGTTCAGCGGGAGGGGGGCGGTGGAGGGCATCACGCGGAACTGGGTTATATCATATTATGAGGGTAGTGCGGGTGATATGGACAGGGAGGGGGACGTACGTCCCGGCAGATGTCTTTGTACCAGATTTTGTCGAGTTCTTTGGGGTCGGCGAAGTACGCGCGGGTTGGGAGTTCCTGCGCCAGTTTGGTTGAATGGCCGCTACAGAGTGGTATCAGGAAGTACCTTGGTCAGACCGGTGGGGATCATGTCCCACAGCTTCTGGCTACATCAATAGTTATGTGGTTGGCCTCCAATGAATGAAGCTCAATGAACGAACGCACAAAGTCCGGCTCTCCCACTTGTACTTCCGCTCGTCATAATCCCCTATCGGGGACCAATTCGCACCCTAGCAAGTACGCCTATCATTGAGTCGATGCTTCGCAGCACTCGGTGAGCGACGATACAGACAGCCCAGGGACTCGCCCACGCCTGCGAGTGCATGTCATCTAGCGTGTCCCGCGCGACGACGGTGACATTGTACGGGTTGGCGGGGAGGGAGGTGAGGACGTGCGCGACGGTCAGGCCGATGACGCCGGATCCGATGATGACGATGGTTTTGCGAGGGGGGTCAGAGGAGGCCATCGTCGAGGGGGTTGGGTAGCTGGGAGTGTTATCGCCAGTCTGACTTTGCGGCGGTCCGGACAAGCGCCTTGAGTGATCGTGGCGGCCACGTGCAGGATTGTGCCATTGACGGAGGGCGCCTGTTTCGCGGTGGCACACTGTTGTAAACAGTGAACGAGATCACCAATGAAACCCTCGCCGGTGAGTGATTGTGGCAGTCTGCAGACAAGACCACCGCTCACAGCACCCGCCCCAGCTCCCCGACCTCCCCGACTGGCTCTGCCGCAACCACGTCCAGCGCATGCCGTCTACCCTCAAGGAGCAATACCGCCAGCAGATCGAGAACGAAATCCGCCCGCTCGAAAGCAGGCTCCTCCGCCTCCGCGCCGACATCAACGCGCTCGCCCCCGTCTCCTGCCTCCCCGTCGAGCTCCTCTCCCGCATCTTCCAGCTCGTCGTCGACTGGGAGCTCGACGATGTCCAGACCAACGACGAGCAGGTCCTCCGCAGGCGCCTCGGCCAGCACGCCCGCAAGGACCGCTACCGCCTCCAGTGGATCAGCATCTGCCATGTCTGCCGCGCCTGGCGCACCGTCGCCCTCACCTGCGCCGTCCTCTGGCGCCGCCCCTTCTTCTTCAACGCCGAACTCACCAAGCTCATGCTCGCCCGCTCCCGCGACGCCGAGCTCGACATCCTCGCCTGCTCCTACCACGGCTCCCTCACCCACACCGACACCCAGGCCCTGCGCCTCGTCGCCCCGCACATGCGCCGCGTCCGCAAGGTCGACATCGTCCTCTCCGACGTTGGCCTGCACGAGTTTCTCAACGGCGCGATCGACGTCCCCGCGCCGCGCCTGCGCTACTTGTCCCTGCAGTCCTTCCACAGCTTCCGCATCTCCGCGCGCAACCTCACCCTCCGCCTCCCCTCCGACATCTTCCAATCCAACGCCCCGAACCTGCGCACGCTCCGCCTCCGCGGGTGGGGCGTCGACTGGGACTCGCCGCTGCTCACCATGCTCACCCACCTCGAGCTCCAGAGCGTGCCCGCGCGCTGGCGCGCCACCGTCGACGAGATCGTCTCCGCGCTCGCCCGCCTGCCCTCACTCGAGCGCCTGGGCCTCGCCAGCGCGACGCGCGCGTCCGCCGACTCCGAGGCCCCGGGCGCGCCGCCCGCCGCGCTCCCGCGCCTCGCGAAGCTCATGCTGCGCGACGAGATCGGCGTGTGCCTCGCGCTGCTCGAGCGCCTCGCCGTCCCGCCGGGCATCCCGCTCTCCATCTCGTGCGTCTGGACGCCGGGCACGTCGCAGACCGTCGCGCGGCTCATGCAGGCCGTCGTGCGCCACTTCTCCGCCGACGGCGCGCGGCGCCCGCCGCTGCACACGGTGCACCTGTGGCTGCTCGAGGGGAAGGTCGGGCAGCTCAAGGCGTGGCGCGCGCGGGGGGCGGAGGCGGGCGAGGACGCGCCGGATACGGGCGCGCCGGCGGATCTGGCGGTGACGTTCCAGCGCGTGGTGGACCTGATGGAGTGCGGGATGCACCAGCTGCCGCTCGCGGCCGTGCGCAAGTTCACGCTCGTGGGCCTGCAGGACCCGCGCCGCCAGGAGATCTGGCCCGAGGAGGCGGAGGAGGCGGACGGGCGGCTCGACGAGGGGTGGGGCGTGCTCCTCACGTCGCTCACGGGCCTGCGCACGTTCGAGGTCGTCGGGACGGCCGTGCGGATGGAGGAGGTGTTCGAGAGCCTGCGCGGGTTCGTGCGCGGCGCGGAGGGGCTCCGGCGCGAGGACGACGAGCGCGTCGTCCTGCCCTGCCTGCAGCGCGTCGGCGTGAGCTTCGCGGTGATCGGGCACCGCGACTTTGCGTGCCTCCTGCGGATGTGCGAGGAAAGGAGGGAGCGCGGCGCGCCGCTGCGCGAGCTTGTCGTGCACCAGTGCGCGACGAAGGGGTGGGATATGCGCCTGGCGCAGGCGGAGGAGGTCGAGTGGGACGGGTGCCCGCTCACGGTCGACCAGGCGTTCTCGCGGTTTTATGAGGTGAAGGAGTGGGATTATCATCCGGTGTCGAGGCTGCATGAGGATTTTTTGGAGAATTGGTAGGCGAGGGTGAGTCGCTGTTTGCTATCCTCGGGAGCACAGTCTAACGACTCTGACAGGCAGGCCACTTAGATCATGATATCATGACATGTTGTACAAGCTCTCGGTGTGTAATATATTGTACATTATGTGACCGGCACTTTCAATAAGTTATGGTATAAGTGGTCCCTCCATCTCGTCCGGCGAGGTTGTCTTGGTATTATGCGCCCGCGCTAACTCATGTTCCAGGCCCCTGCACTTGCATTCACGCCCATAAAGTAAGCTTGCGGAACTCTACGCCGCCTGTTCCCGTTGGATTGACAACAAACAGGGCACCCAGTCGCGTCGCTGAATCTGATTATCAGAAGAATGGACAAAAGCCCAGCGTATGGAAGACCCACCGTGCTCGAACCCGCTCTCGCTGCACGGCGCGATCGCCAGGCCCGCAGCGGCGAGCGCGTTCACGACCTGCCCGTACGTCCCGCTGAACAGCGCCGCGCCGCGCCCCATGTCCGGCGCGCCGAACGACGACTGTCGGCGCTGATGGTCGACGTTGAGCCGGCGCCCCGCCTCCGCGAGCGGGTCCGCCTTCTGCTCGGCCGGCGTGTCCATCCCCGCGTCGAGCACCGCGCTCGCGATGACCTTGCGCAGCTTCAGCAGCCTGCTGCGCGACGTCTTCTTCGCGGGGAGCGACGGGAAGGGGATGCCGCCCGCGCCCTTTGAGGGCCACGCGGGGAAGTGGATGTACAGCCCGCCCGAGGCGTCGTCGGCGGTGGGCGAGAGGTCGAGCGAGGAGGAGGTGGAGAGGTAGGAGAGCCGGTTGTGCGTGAATTGTGGCGGGATGGGTTTGCGCTGGTGCTGGGAGCGAGATTTGCTGCTGGCGCTGCCGTGCCGGAAGGTGACGTTGGAGAATTCGACAAGGTAGGGGACGCCGTCGGGGGTGAAGCGGATCTCGGGGGCCATGCCTGTGGTCCCGGTGGAGGAGTTGAGGGAGGAAGTGGGTAACGCTGCCGACCCCGGCTGGGTTAGGCTGGGGTGTATATGGTGTGGACGGGCGGGTGGCTCATGGCTGGTACGGGTGCGTAGACGGCGTTGTCCGAACGTTGGGCGGAAAGTGTGGCCGGCAAAGGGGGGGTGGGTGCACGCGCGGGGCACGTTGTTGCGGTGCGTTGGTGAAGCGAGGCGCGCACTCTCAGTGTGATGGTCATGTTAGCCGTTCTCTGAAAACTGTAGTGAAGCGAACCGATAACTTGGGCGTAGGTCCCTATGTACGCCGAGGAAGGGGGATGTGACGGGAGCCGCGACGTTGGGACAAGAAGGCAGTATCGGTGAACCCTGAGACTTGTGATCAACGTTTAATGCTGCCGTTCAGACGGGATTTGCTAGGAACGTGTCGAAGTTATCACAGAGGATGCGTTCCGCTATTAAATATTAAATATCGAAGAACGGCTGGGATGCGCGGATCCATGCCTCGGCGATCCCTGGATGATGAATGACTGCAGTCCTTTCACCTTTCGCCATCATCTGCACGCCGTTCAGGAAACTCGTGGTGGACGCCTGTCGGGGTTGGTGGCCTCGTGAAAATGGGGCAGCCACCCCCGCGCTACTGGCCTGAGGGGTGTCGAGTTCAAGGCGATATTCATCCCGTCACCGATGAAGTTGCTGAACAAGGCAGCTCCGTATTCATGTTGGGGGTTCGGCAGCATCCACTAGGGTTGGCGTTGGTGAGTAGTTTAGCTGGTCTGAGAGTTCATCGTTATATCACCCTTGTCAGAAGGTCCGATATCGCAGAGGCAGGCAGAGAGTCACCATGGAAGTCCACCTCTGGAAACATACACCTGTCGGCCGCTTGGCGCATGCAGCGGGAGACTAGACTGCACGAGACGAAGCCAGGGGTAGTCGACGACTCAGAAGCTTTCCCAGGCTTAAGTTCGGCGTTGCAAAAGTTATAGTGAGCACCGCGATAACAGGCCGCTGCTCCTTTCTAGCAGTGAGCAATCAAAACCATGGCTAAGAGATGAGTGCTCCGAGCAGCGGCCAGGAGATGACGAATGTCATTGGTGCATAGGCGAGGGACCTCGCTTGCGCCCGCCGGCTGAGGGATTGTCGAATCAGACTTCGGCAGAACGCAGAAACGAGGACCGTAAATCAGCGGTCGTGGATCCTGGAGGACAGCGTGGAGGAACGGTGTCTCTATCGGGATTCGGCCGTATAGGCGCAGGCAAGTAAGTGTCCCTTGCTTTGTCTCGGACTCGGGTGAAAGCTGCAGACGAAGAGGCACTTCCGACGCCAATCTCCTACTTGCTGTACAGCTGCCTAGTGGAGAGACGGGGCACGGGGCGGATACATCTCGCGATAGCAAGGTTCAAGGCATGTTGGAGTAGGACCATTCGTAACCAGTTGGTGGAACTTGCTGCCACAATGGTTGTATGACTGGGAGTGGGGTCCAGTTCGCCCATCTCTCGCGCTGATCTTGCAGATCCGCTACGGCTTTTGGAAGTTGGCCTATATCGATGGTGAGTGTCGATGACCCGGGACGGACCAACAAGTCACAAGGGGTGAGCTCGGGAATTGAGAAACTTGAAATACGGGAGAAGGGTGTTATGTCCGGACCATAGACTTCAATACAATATTGATCAGTGACTTTGAAGAGCCCGGAGAAGGCTGGGTAAACTTGAAGCAAGTGAAATGATGCGGGTTATGGCGCGTCTGCGATGAGCAGATACCATGACGACTTGTTGAGATTACACGTTTATACCCGGACTCTGCAACTCCACATCCGTGCAGATCCTGGTTGCGGCGGCTGATGAGATAGCAGTGGTTTGATGGCCGGTTATCGAGAATCGGACGGGACATCGGACATCTTCAAGCAGCGAGCCTGGGAGTGCCTGCACCCGGAGCCAAGGGCCAACAGCAACACTAGACCAACGGAGAGAGAGCTATTTGGCGGAAACAGCGAGCGAATACGTACAAAGGCAATTCTTCTGATGAACGTGACCCTGCTGGGACTGAATGGGTGGGCTCAAGCAGCGAGAAGCTGCCTTTCATACAACACGTTCATGATCATATCCTGGAAGCATTTAGATAGGAAACTCTACAGGACAGGAATATAATCGCAAGGGATCCTTTTGACACGACTAGACTTGTAAGTAGGATCTCTCGAGCGATTTGTTCGGAGACAAATAATCGAGTGACGTCGAAATTAATGACGTTTGCCCAAAGTGGATTTCGGCCAGAAAGAGAGTAACTCTTCGAATCCAGGATCAGCTACTTGCACGATCCTCGGGAGAATGCAGCGACATAGGACATGACGCACCGGGATGTGAAAGGCTGTGAAAGGCTGTGAAATCTTGCTGAGAGCCACTTTCGAAGCAGCAGACAGAGGGTGACGTCATGGCGAGTGACGCACAGGGAAGTGCACCTTCCATAAGCGGCAGAGGAGGCGCGAAAGACAGACTGGCGAGGACCGATTAAAGAAAGAACTGGCAGCAGCGCTCTTCTCGAACGGCCCTTCACACTTTGCCAGCCGCCAGCTATAAAAGCCCGCGCCCGCGCCCATCCTTTTTATTCTCCAACCACCACCACCCCGTGCGTGCCGTACGACCCTCGCCGCTGCTTATCGCCGACTGATCTGTCCTTTGGTTTGATGGGTGGCAACAAAGATTACTTCCCGCCCACGCCTCCCGACGATTCCAAGCAGCATCCTGCAATCATGGCCACTCTCCACCCCAACGCCGCTGCCCCGCCTCCCAATGAGCCCACGTCCACCCAGAATCCGCCCTCCAAGATGACCCTCTCTCTGGGTCACTTGCCCAAAAAGCAGGACATCAAGGGGCCTTGGCCGCGCACCCCTTCGCGGGTATGCTTATTTTATCTCCACTTGTACCATAGACGCTCACCATCATCCAGGTCGATCCCAACAACCCTCCATGGCCCGCATACCGTGGATACCATGAGTATTCCTTCGCGCATGCCACCATGGGTGTCCGTCTGCCCACTATCTTGGGCAAGGCCATTGAGGATGCTATGAAGACCCTCAACGACGAGTCCTCGGAAGAATACGTTGTCGACCTCCTCGCTTGCATCGAGCGTATGGACGGCCTCATGACCGATCTCTCCGGCAACGCAAAGTTGAGACCCATCATCGACGACGGTGAGGCGGACGTCGCACTGTGGAACAAGGCAATTGCCAAGTATTTCCAAGGTGAGTTCTGCTCCCCGCTCCAGGTAGGCTCATACTTATAATGCGCAGGCAAGGATTTCATGAACGCGCCCTGGCTATTCGCTGAGGCGTACAAGTACCGCCGTCTGCGGGAATGCTTCAGTGTGAGCAAGCACTGGAGAGATTACGACGTTTTCTTCAGGCAGAAGGTGCGTGACTCAACATTTTGCTTTGGCCATGACTATATGCGAACATCTTCCCTAGTGTGATACGTTCTCCCGTTCTGCGGATGCCGTCTTCGAGCTTTCTATGCGTTTTGCGGAACCCTTTAAGCACTCTGACAACCTTTCGGACGCGGAGAAGCTCGAGGCCGAGAGATTGATGTTCCTCGAGTTGACGCAGAGTGAGCTACGCGTCTCCTCCAAGTCCTAGTCCATATGCTTACCGCTGCCGAAATAGTCTGTCTCTGGGGTAACTCCACCGACCTCTCCCTTCTGATCAATATGACGGAGGAACAAATCAAGTCTCTGCAGTCAACGGGTGGCGAGCACCTCGCCGCCACCGAGAAGAATATTCTCGGTAATCACTTGCCCCAGTTGTGGGAGACCGTGAAGGAGTTGAGAAGTAAGACCGGTGGTCGGATTGATTTCGTCCTCGACAACGCTGGCTTTGAGCTTTACTGTGATTGTGTATATGGTACGGTTGAGCTGATATCCACTCGTACTCATCCCGCTGTGCTGACTTGGTTCTTGGACAGCTGACTTCCTGATCCAAAGTGGTTTAGCGAAGCAGATCCGGTTCCACGGCAAGCGGTACCCCTGGTTCGTCTCGGACGTGACGAAAAAGGACTGGGAGTGGTTGTTAAACACTATGGTCTACGGTTATCTCTTCCCGAAAGCAACCGAGCAAGAGAGGGAATCCCTTAGGCGTATGGGTGTGCGGTGGAAGGTATGTTGCTCTCGGTGATTCAGTTTCGCCGTCAGTTCTCATGCGGTCTCCAGCAATACGAGAAAGAGGGCAAGTGGGTATACGAGCAGCACCCCTTCTGGTGCACTGGCTACACGTTCTGGGAGCTCCATGGCGAGGCGCCCGATCTCTTCCTCCACCTTTCTCGCTCCGACCTCGTCATCTTCAAGGGCGATCTGAACCACCGCAAGTTGACCTACGACTGCGCTGCACCCGCGTCGACACCGTTCGATGTAGCAATTGGACCTATGGCAAACGCTGCGGGTGCACCCAAGGTTTGCTCCATGAGGACAATCAAGAGTGATGTCGTCGTCGGTTTGGAGAGTGATGAAGTGGCCGAGAAGCTTGACAATGAAGAGCCGGGCTGGAAGATCAGCGGCAAATACGTGAGTTCTACCCAAAGGTCTTTGTTTGAGAGGCGTGCATTACTGACTGCCTTGTCTCCATAGGCCGTGGTGTTGCTCTCCGAAGGTCGACCTGGAGAGAAGGTTCGTTTCGCATAAAATTGCCCAAACCAGGGTAACAACTGTATGCACACGATTCGGAGCGCGTTGGTGAGGTTGGCTGTATGTTCCACCAAGCAATTGTATTACCTGACTTCAAAATGGGACGGTTCATCACTAGTTTTTAGACAACGGCCCTTCTATGTATTTCAACTTTGATGTGTCCTGTATTCCGTTCAGTATGTAGCATCAATATATTATTCTGTCATCTCCATTCAGCGGCGCGAGATGTTGGGGCATGTCATGTGAGTGCTTTGACCGTCCTGGAGCGTGCTCGTGCCTTTGGGGAACTCGCGCGAAGCGGAGTTAGCACTCACGATGCGTCGGAAGGAAGTACACTCAAGAGTAGCCCTAACTCCTTGGGAGCACTTCCGGAGGGCATCTATGTGACTGATGGAACGACGTCCACTTTCCCGGAGTCTGATGTACCGGTTGACCTCCCCTTGGCATCGCTCGTTAATTGGCAGGCTGTATACATACAGCCTTTCTCTGCGAGACAGTATTGCGGGCGTAAATTCAGGCTAATATTATTGCGTCCTGGAAGCATGTCAGTGACGTTCTCAACCACCAGTCCAGCGCGCTAGCGTAAACTGAGCTACTGCTTCAGATACACTGACCAGTAGTTTATACACAGAGATGCCGTGTGCCCAGAGGTTCTGCTTCATGGCCCACATGGGTCCGTGTCCCCGGTCTGATGTCTACATTCCTCACGTCTGCGCAAGGGGCGCGCGGGGAAATCCGAGAACCAACTGGCCCCGACGGGTCTCGTTGGCGGTCACGGGGTCCTGCTGGGATAAGCAGCTGCTGATTGGCTGAGAAGTGTGCTTTGCAGGCTGAAGTATGGGTATAAACCTTGTAGCAGCATGAAAAGGATTCTGAATCAGTACTGTATGGCATATTGCCCTTTGATGTGGATGTAAAATGCTATAGATTGTCCGATATCGACATTACTGTCCGCTGCTAGACCAGCCTCAGCGACTCACCATCCAATGAGAGGGCAGGACCCCGTGACTGCCAACCAGAGCCGTCGAGGCCAGTTGGTTCTCGGATTTCCCCGCGCGCCCCCCCTTGCGTCTGCGTACAGCATGCGGTCACACGCCCATCTTTCATCAGTCAGAAACGACAGTGTTGCGAGATCCTTCTGTGTCACTGGACTTCGCGCGATCAGAGAGATCCTGTCAGAATTGAATATATGATGCAGTTGCCAGTGGCATGTTCTTTTGTTCTCGCAGGAAATAGAGTGTAGATCATGGCCGATGAGGACGAGCTCAGTTGTCCCTGTAGGCAGGATGGTTGAGGAGACGTCGTTTACAAGTCTATTGCTATAGCGAAGTGCAGGATTGCAATTCGTGGCAGAGAGGGGCAGCGTTGCGGAGCTGACTTTAGGTTGGGCACGTTAATTTGCGTAGGTCCAGGCCTGTGAGTCTAAGCTTGGCAAGGTGAATACTGGTCGTCATACTTACTATTCAAGTGGCGCCCGACCACGACGGCTCCCCGAGTCGCCGGGGTAGCATGGGATCGCCTGGCACAAGGTGAGTTGTGGCGTTACTCACGATTATATGGAGGTAGATATCCCTGCGTGATTGGCAAAATTCGACCGGTAACGCAGCGAAGCAGCCACCGTCAAAGATGCGTGTCAAAAAATCTTACATACCGCGGAGGATCCAGGTACGGGGGAACAGTACCCTTGGCAACTAGTGAGACTTACGGTGCGCCGCGACGGGCGACAATGTCAGCTCGATAATACATGGACTCGACGCAACAATTCAGTTCTACGGTCCAGGCCAACGTGCAATTGGGCGTCGGGCAGCGTCAGGTATGATGTTGTACCGAGATCAACGAAGCAGGTCGAACACGATCGACTATTGACACAGCCATTGTCCACGCTCTCGTCTCGATCGACCATCACCCAACCGCACACAAAATAGAAATGTCGGTGAAGCCTCGACATACTTCCGTTCTGATATGTGGACGTCTTTTCCTGATTGGGATATGTCGCGCAGATGGTCGCAACTAAAGATGCCGATCGCTGCAGTCTAAACCGTATGTGGATTTGATATCGCTTAGGGCTTCCGCGAAGTTTCAATAAAAGTCAGTCTCTGCAGCTCTAACGCTAGTGATTTCTCCTTCCACCTGTGCAATATTGCGCTCCGCCCTACAGGGCCCGGACGGCCATGACCGTTCCTCAGCCAACCCCTGCTACGCTTCGGGGTAAGTACTCTTCCACGAAACCCATTAATTAGAGTATTCATAAGTTTGTCCTCAGCCGTGGTCACCACCTTCGCCGGCCTGGCTATAATATCGACGTTATTTAGGCTAGGCTACCGGTACCGGATCCGTCGGTTTTGGCTGGATGACGGTTGGGCAGCTGCGTCCGTCCTGGCGCAGTTCGTTCTCATCATCAACCTGTGGATCAGAACGGATACCCCAGGTATGCCATCCGAAGTCGCGCAATAAAAGCATGACTGACGCATGGCCCGCAAGATGTCGGCCCGTTGCATCAGTCAAGGGAGGCCCGGGTGGTAGCGTATTGGCTTGTCTCACTTTCCTTCACCTGTACGCTCTGGTTAGTGCATTACGTGTTATTCTTGTTATTCAAGTCTTGTCTGACTGACCATGTAGGGCGGCTCGGATGAGCCAACTATTTTCGGTCATTCGTATCATCCCCGCCATCATGAAGATGCGCAAAGTGGCGTATGCCCTTGCCGGCCTTTTCGGGGCCATGTGGGTGGCCTTGCTGATCCAGAAGGTAGTAATCTGCAGAAGAGACACCTCTTGGTATCATATGGCAAAACCGCAGTGCCATCTCGGCCATGCCGTAGCAAGCACCGAATTAACCAGTGAGCAGCGGAATTACACGCCGTCTATTCCGGCCGCTGATCTTCTCGTCTTGCTTCGATAGCCGACTTTATCTCCGACACGATGCTCGTCGTCGTTCCGCTGAAGCTGCTTTGGGGCCTTAGTATGGAGCACACGCACCTCAAACTGCTCATTGCCATATTCTCGGCTAGTATCCTGACGACCATTGTCAGTGCCATTCACGCCTACTTCGTGCTGGGGCCGTCAGGCTTGTTGGAAGCCACGACAGCCAACGTAGAGGTACAATTCAACGTCCTTGTGAGCGGAAACAGTTGTGCTCACGATGTCATTGGTCAGGCTTCGGTCTCCCTCATAGTAGCGAATCTAGCAGTCATAGTGACGTATCTCTACCGGCTCATCAAAGGCGAGCACACTATGGACAGCGCGGTCTACGTGTCGACCTCTTTGGCCGGATCTTCTGGTAACGGTAATGCCTTCGGCTTGAAGCGCCTAGGCAGGAAGTCGACGGGCACACAGGGTCAGATCTCGGCTTTGCGCTTCGGAAAGGATTCCCGCACCCTCGAAACTACAATCGATGATGGCGGGTTCGTTAAGTCCGTACATCCAATGGACGATGACCTGGAACGGAGTCCTGATCCCCAAAAAAGTGGCCCCCGTGTCTTCATCACGCGGGAGACGTTCATGTCTGTTGAAGCTAGAGATGTTAAATCTGGTCGGGAGCCGCTGTAAGGCGACTGCATTGTAACTTTCTTTTGGTCATTATGTTGTGCTTGGTTTTGCCGATAAATGTATCGTTCATGCTGTATGATTACGGGTGTGTTATCTTTGTAGATCATCGAATATTTATGGTATTCAAGGTTGACAACGTACACGGTCTACTGACGTTTGACCATGACAAGATAATTTCACTTCACATTCACATGCCACTCCCGTTCCTCCCTTCCACGACCTACGACGGGCCAGGCAAGCCGGCTAATACAGTCGTGGTAGTGAGGAAAACCCATTACAGTAACATCATCGAAGAAGTGCACCAAAGCAGCTACGAAGGGGTATCTACGTAATGTAGTCCAACAAGTCAAAGCCCGTTAAATTAGTCCGATAAATTAAGGTAACAAGAATATTTGGAATCAGATTGACCAGACCAGCCAACTGCAGTGCACAAGTCAGTATCAAGCCTCGGCGTATGTTACGATACACTTACCACATTGCCAGCAATCAAGGATTCCGAAAGGATCGCTGGAGACCGTGTCATCAGCACGCCCATGTCAGGCGAAGGCACTGAACTCACTATTTCTTCTTGATGGAGAGCAGCCGATCGTAGTTGGAACCCCAGTAGGATTCTATGGATTCACTGAGGAATCACGCGCAGTGGCATGAGGTAGAAGACGTACGCTGGTAGTCGGGTTCATAGACAAGACCCTCATTCATGTAGGCGCCGGAATCGGGGGCGATGGCACGGAAGGTCTTGACAATGTCGTTGCCCGCCTGATAGGCCGCCTTCTTCTCTTCAAGGGTACTGTCAAACTCGAAGGCGGTATGGAAGGATAACTATCAAGGAAGAATGAACCCCGATATAAGCATAACGTAGCAGGCATCAAGCCAATAATAACAAGCGCATCCACTCACATGCCACAGGGAGTCGTACCAGACAGGGTTTACGCTGGTCGCGCCGGCAGTCTCATTGTACAAAAAGGGTGTGCCTACAACAATGTACGGGTTCGCGACCGGAAGCATGTCGACGAGGGCGTCTAGTATTTTCTGCTTCCCGTCGTCGCTCTGAAAGAGCGCAGAGGGCATCAGGCGACTCCCGAGCAAATAGTCTTGGCCGACAGCCTACAAGGTGAAAGGTGAGGGGGACGGCGCGAGAAAGCAGGCGTTCTAATACTAACACTCTGGGCAGAGATGACATATTTGGAGAAGAACGCCCACCACGAAGGCAAGGTCTCAATAACGACCGTCCCTCCCTGAGACGTAACATAGTCGGAAGCCTCCTTTAACGAGTCCTTCGCTTCGTCAAGAGTAAGAAGGGGAGTCACGTTGATCAGGTTCGAGGGCTAAGTAATAAATAAGGGGAAGGTCACCAAAATCAGTACCCGTTAGTCGGACGAATGGTCTACACGTACTCCAATATGTCCACCCCAGCCCTCCGTGCCCCACTTATAGGTACTGTTCACAACGATACTCAACCAACCTTGAGTGTTGTTCGCGGTAGCGGTGAATTTCATGGAAGCACTAGAGAATAGCTGCAGGGACGTTTCCAGTAGGGACGTTTACAGTCACTCACACTTGGATTGGGACGGGATGGGGTTCGACAATGGACGTTGTCTCCATCACGACACCGAAGGTACCACCTCCACCACCTCGCAATGCCCAGAACAAATCTGTGTTCTGGCACTCGTTGGCGGTGCGGTAGATACCGTCGGGCGTAACGATCTTGAACTGAACCTGCAAGGCACACGGTTGGGTAGGATCAGCCAGCCCAAAATATTCTACTTACCACTCGATCAACTCCCAATCCGTAGACCGGTGTTAAGATTGAATGACCGCCGCCCTGTTGTCAACGTCAGCTCAGTACTCAATACAATGGAAGTAGATACTAACCATGACCCATCCACCGCTAACTCCGACAGTTTGATGGTAGCCCCCGATTACAGTGAAGTTGTTGGCATCAGCATACTCATACGCAGTTTGCCATCCCACGCCCGCCTACGTTGTGGGTAGTCAGTATCCGCTTAGCGCGCCCGATTATTAGGGGGTACATACGCCGGTTGTCATAGCGGCGTACTGCTTGGATTTGGGGCAACCCTGCGGCACGAACGTCTTCGACCACGAGATCTAAAGTTGGTTTAGCACGAAGGTTTCTTAAACTCAGCGACGTTTATTTACGCTTTGGAGATTATGAGTCTAAGGCGGACGCATTTAGTGAATATAACGGCAGACGAAATCGAACATAATTTACCCATAATGCGAGAGCGCCTTTCTGACTCGAGCGGCCCTTGTAGTCGTGTCCAGTATTCTTGATAACCAGTGGGGTTCCGGTTGCCGCGGAGAACGTATAGGCAGCTAGGACATCGGTAGGGTACCGGACGTCGATCTATGGACAATAATTATTATGATTGTTGGCATTGAAGTGCGGAGGACCACTGACGTAGTGCGGGGCAATGCTCCCTTGCGAACAATTGAATTCTTGCCACGCTTGGGGGTTGGAAGGATTGCTGGAGTCCAGGACACATTGCTCAGATGTGCTTTGGCAAGTTTCCCAGTGCGACTACATAATGATGGATATGTGAGAATCGGTATCACTTTGGGCGAGGGGGAGGGGGAGGGGGAGGGGCGAGATAAAGTACCCACCATCATGTAGTCGTTAAATCTAGAAACGCGGTAGGTGGGGGACGTATAACCGGCTTCCACCTGCGCACATTCACCATCGTTTCTCTGGACCGCTTGTCCCTCGTAATAGTGGAAGCACGGCAGAGCGACAGGTTTGGCTTCGCTCAGCCGGCCCCCAACCGTAACATTGAGACCCCAAAGCAAGTCGGAAACCAAATTCGCGCGAACGCAGGCGGTGGACAAAGCTAGAAAAGCGCTAAGGAACGTGAAGTGCCCGAGAGCCATGGCTAAGCTCTGGGCGACGAATAAATTAGAGAGCTGAAGGCGATGGAAAGTGTAAGAGCGAGGAGCATGTAAGACGCACAGGTTAAACCGCTGAGTGAGCCGCCCACGACGCCGATGCCGACAAGCGAACGCCAGGCAACATATGAGGCGTTCTATATGCTGGGATGTTTCTGACGAGAAGTGCATGTGCCGCCTCTGTGCCGCCGCCTTCGGCATCCCGCCAGTCTGATGGGTTCTCTGTACTAACCGCCAAGGTCCCGACCGGTGCCTGGCCCCTGGCTTTTCATTTACACCGGCACACACAACTGTTTCGGTCAAGAACTGTCCATGTCAATAAATATATTCCGAATTCTGGTGGGCTGCGTTTCTCAGAGCCAGCAAAGGCCAGCAACCGGTCTACGGAGAGATGTGGCCTCACTGGGTATCCGGTTCATCGACGGTCAACATACTGTAGTCATGAAGGAAAGCCAGGCAAAGCCTTGGCACTGCATGGGGAATTCGGGCTGTTCACAGATATTGGTCTTGATGACTCTCTTGCAGTGATGTGTTTCACGCTTACTCATGACGACTTTTGGTATATTCTGCTGTCAACGCTATCAGGGGGATGCAGTATATTGCATGCCTATCATTCTCTCTCCGAAGGAGCAATCTGTCATTTGCGGCATGGGTCAAAGCGTTTTATCTCGTCTTGCAATGATCCTCACTTCCGCGGACTGGGATCGTCCAACTTAGCAAGCTCAAGGAAGCTACCGGCGTTCAATTATCTGGGGTTAGGTCTCATGTCTGATCAATATCGATTGTTCGCTCACGGTACGCCGTTCAGTAGTATCTCTCCCAGTGGTCGTGGTGATGGTGCTGATACTTGCACGAATATCAGTGCCGACAAACGTCTCTGTACTATTATTTTAATATCAGGTTTCTTTCGTCCACGGAACCTTTAGGTGGAGCAAAATCCATGAGTGTCCTTGCTCTGGAGACCTTGGCCTGTGATGCGGTGGCGTTTGCTTCGGACCCCGCACGATGTTCCACTGTGACAGTCGACGCGATCGACGCCCTCAGGCTTACAGGCTGCTCTTCCGCCTCGATGCGACTACAGTAGGTTCTTTACACCGAACGTCTCATCATGGTCGTGCTAACAAGCTGCTCGTTTCGCGTTCTCAAAGGCTTTGATGTCACTCAGACTGACCCCGGCGCAAGCTACCTATTCCAATTTAAACGAGGGACAGTTGCTTTGACAAGTTCGGGTGTTCAATTCATCTCAACATATCCGGACCACTCCCCCTGGTTCCTTCGACTCCCCCCTTTTAGAATAGCCTATGCGCACTCGAACGCCTCGCAAGAGATATTACCCGCTTGGCTCAAAGTGAAGAGGTACTACCGAATTAAGCTCACATTTCCGTTGTCGGAGTCATCTCTGGCCAAACTCCTCGAGCTGGTAGCTGCATCCGTTGCGCATGCTTCTCACTGGCACATATACCGTTCTAATTTGCAGGCTCAGGTATCCCCTTGCGGTATATTCTGTTCCAAGACGAAGTGTTTCCGTCGGTTCACCATCGGTGCTAGCTTGTCAGCCCTGCGGCTCCTGCCAACTCAACGTTACTCCGTCCAGCATGTCGGGCCTCTGTTACCCTTCTTGACTGATCAGATATCACAATTGGTCATTAGCTGCTCAAGTGGACCTACAAAGACATATGGATGTTGCTCTCTTAGAATCTTGTCATTGGACGATTCGACTGCGATCTTACGATAATCTTCCCCTCTCTACGCTGGGTTCCTTTTGTCAAAGTACGTTGCCCAGCTCAGGCTGTTATACTCGTACGTGATATTCACAATTAACTAGGTTGTTATGTGTGTGCATGAGCCTCATCCACTTGTCATCGTTATCTTTATGCTCTCATTTAACTTCTCGGATGCTGGGTTGTACGTGAGGAGCATTCTACGTCAGAGAGGGGGAACTGTACGCTATCGTTTCCATTGCGATTTAGCGCTTTCCGCCCTAGCCGGAACAGGTCGTCACCGCAAGATACTTATTGGGCAAGTCATCACGGAGTAACCTGATTTCCCAGTGTTCAGCTTTCCTTCCGAGAGCTGTTATTAGGGTCAGTACAAATCTGAGCACAGGGCTGCTGATTTGGTCCGATCCTAGTGGCCACGAGTCATCCCCTGATATGTGCAGATAGAGCGGATAAACCGAAAAAATTGCTGCATAAATTCGAGGTTGCAGCTGCAGTATGAGGGTTACGGCATAGTCTAAATAGCGTAATAACAGCGCGAAAGATACAATCTACCCGTCCGAAATGAAGAAGGACGGCGTCGGTCGGACAAAGAATTCAGGTCGGAGCCTTTGTGCAGCGTGGGAAACTATGTCGATGCCAATACGGGTGCATTTGGAGGGATTTGGATTCGGATCCTCCGTCTCTAGGATCCGCCGTTCTTGGAGGGCCCCCTCATTGTTTCTCCTCTTTCCGTTTCCTTTTCTTTCTTTTTGCCATTTGTTCTTCACTCGCCTGTTATACACGCCGCTTGTACAACGAATCGCTAACGACACACCATGGATCAGCAACACCACCAGCCCATCCAGGACGACCAACACAATCCTAATCTCGCGCCGCCCTACGCGTTCTACCATCCCGATGATGAAGCGGGCTATAACATCCCTTATGGCCAAGCGATGCCTCAATATCAGGTCGTGCATCCTGCCCCCTCTCCTCGTGGGTGATCTGAATGTCGCACTCGTGTATCGCGTCTGACCTCGTGTTCTGTGATTATTACCTGTTTAATATGTCAATAGGCCAGCTTTCCGCGCAGGATTTGCAGAGCATGCAATTCAGACAGCTCAACCTCATGCCTCCTGGCCAGTACCCTGGGCCCGTGTATAATTCACCGCCACAAGGCATGAACATGCCGTTGTCTGGCTCCCCGCCCCCGCAATCGCCCAATATGTATGATCCGTTGTCCCCTCCCATTTCCGGATCAGATACCTCTGGGGGAGAGGGCATTTACATGTCGCGGAACAGCAGCGGTGCAGGCTCACCCAACCACTCCCGCGCTAACAGCCTCGTCCATAGGAACTCCTTACGTTATAACCCGACGCCCTCTCCCTCTACGTCATCTGGTAGAAGGAGCCGGGGACATTCAATTTCTGACGACGACGGCATGGGCCCCTCGATAGCCGAGACGTTGGCGAGCTCCAGGAAAGAGGCTACACGGAGGCAGAGGATAGAGGCGGAGCAGCGAAGACGTGACGAACTCCGGGACGGATATGCCAAGTTAAAGGACGTTCTCCCCGTGTCAAACCAGAAGAGCAGTAAAGTTTCACTCTTGGAGCGAGGTGCGTCCTTCTGCTCCAGTTTATCGAGCATCAGGCTCAAGTGAGGATATTTCTCCACTCGTCTAGCCACGAACCACATCGTTCTGTTGGAAAAGCAAAACCGGGAGCTCCAATCTCGTGTAAGCTCCATGGAGGCAGAAATCCGAAGACTGAGGGTTATCAGCGAGAAACTCTCCCTGAGCGGAGCCAGTGAGACGCCTTCTCCAGGCCAGTCGATGGCCGTGTCCACGCCCGTGGAGAGTAGGCCGTTGTCCCCCCCTCCAGAGGGCGCTCCCCCTGCCCACTCTCTCGCCCCCATAGGCGCTCGTACGCCTCCGGGGGAAGAGTCCGATGGATCTGACAAGGGCTTTTGACCGTCTTTGAGTACGGGAGTACGGTCAACAGCGTTCGCCTATTTTCTCTATTGTCCATGGACTATTCTACGTCGCATTCATCACGTCTCCCGTCTATTTCTTTTTTCTTCTATCGCCATTCCCATATTGTTTCCCTCCCATCTCTCCTCCCTCCTTCCAATTTCTATCTTGGACAACCCTCATCAACTGTGGGACACAAGAGATGCGTCCTGCTCGAAGAACGTGCCAATCGGCAGTCGCTGGGTCTCGAGGATAGCGGCTTGTGCTGGTGCACTCTGCCCGCTTTCCTCTGAAATCCCCGCTGCCGCCGGCCGCTGTAAGACAAGACGAGACTCCTGCGACTCGACGCCGTGGGCTGGTATGACGGAAGCTTGCTAGTATTGTCTCTCGAACGACCCTGGCCTCAAATCGCACGTCGCGCGCGAAAAAACCTTTTTCTGCTGCTGACGACCTGCGTACGAAGCTACATGACGGACCGCCGGACGGCTTGCGACTACTCTTGGCTTCTGCCCTCTCGCAGGCTCTTTACCCATTCGAACGCGTTCCCAGAGGACCACCGGGTTGCATCCTTTTATCCAGCCGACTTTGCAATGCTGCCTTCTCGTACCTTTTCTAGGCCCATCTCATTATCATCTCTCTCTCGACATCTCTTTTCGCGTCCCTTCTTGCTTCATCCTGATTCCTAATTCTCACCAGCCTCACCCCCTGCCGACCGGTATACAAGACGCCGAGAGAGGGCAAAACCGATGTGCTATATTTACGAAGGACGATGATCCACACGACTGACACGGACTAGTATCCACGACCACTCTATGACTCCCGCGAACGAATGGCATGAAGAACTGTGGAGATATCGGAGGCCCGGTACTTCTCGCTCTGGTTGAGAAGGGCTCCGTAGTTGCCCTATCCTGAAGCTACTTGGCATGCTATGCTTGCGGGACAAACTCGCCCTCAGCTGGTTTTCGACAAACTGGCTTCCTTGATGAAATGCAAGCACCTCGGTAACCGTTGTTCTCGTTGGGTATTGTGCGCTGAGTAGGACTGGGGTTTCTATGAGGACAATTGTCTCCGTGCTTTCTTCTTCAGCCAAGACGTTCGCGACGATATGCAACAACCTGTACACATACATAACGTAGCTAGAGTAGCCAGTAGAGATAGTGTGTTCAGCCAGGCAATCCTATGATTGTATCCTTCCATCAGTATGTATTGAATATATTGGTTTGGATATTTTGCGAGGCGAAGTTGGAAGCCGCATACACGTTGCATAAAGCATGACATGGAGGGTTGTAATCCCGACGAAGGGCATCCTTGTCCCGTCATCTCGGTTGTCCTGCCCCCGCCTGAGCGTATATCTAAGAATGCTATCGATGGGGGCGAACACGTGTATCTAATATATCAGTGCTGCATAGCCATTAAATACCACCCCTCGTGGGCATGGGCGCTCCCAGAGAATTGCAGGTGGCTGAAAGCTTTCTAATGGTATGGTAGACTGCTAACGCTCTAGACTGACCCATCATCCACGAGATGAGCCCGAAGCACCGTAGCATCGCCATGCGCAATGAGGGGGAACGTTCTGTCCATCAAAGAGGCGACGATTTTAGAGGCACCGAGACCGAACGAGTATAGTGGGAGTAACGCACCAATGACATCCCTGGAAATATACATAGCTTAGACTCTACAGGGTCGGAGCACTAGTAGAGTACCCGAAGAGTACCTAGACATGAGTCAGTATCGTCGTCAATGTTAGTGTCTCCGCCGGCTGTCACTCTGTAAAAGTGGCCTGTGGAACCTCCTTCCATGGAGATAGAATCGAAGTGAACCGAGTCTGGCTGCTATCGGTGTCATCATGCAAAAAAAGACGCTGAAGATCTTCGAAAACACTCTGCTAAGTGATGGATACTTCCCCAGCGACAGATGCTCCTCAGGGTACGCGGTAGAGAATGTGAGGGCGAGGGCGCTCGACGGGTGTGTAGCTGGAACCCGGGCGCCGTAGGGTTTCAGATACAAAACACCGCACGAACAAAGCTCTTGAAGTTACACGGATGATTCAATGGAGCACATTTGAATTACCAGGGTTTAAAGTCATCTGACGTATAAGAATCCCGCCTTACGAGATTAAACGGAGGCCGTTGGTTTCTTGCCTTCAGTACTTTCACATAACAATCGTTCTCCCGACTTTCTTTGAAGACTCCGTGGTCGTGACTCTTCCTACACATGAAACTCCTAACCCGATCCACCGCGGCGAAGTAAGAGGTTCCAAAGTATCTTCCTACCCAATGGCAGGAGAAGCAACGGCACCGAGCGCTGAAAGGTACGCCAGAATAGAGAACCAGGTGTCCAAATTATATTGATCGACGTACGCGTACTCATATGCTCCACTTGGGACCTGACGCGTGCACGACACAGAGATGGTCTGGGAGACGCCTACGTATAGCTGCCTTCACCGTCTTCCGGGTCATCCGAGTGTATGGCAAGACCACCGGGATATAGCACATCGTATTCCCAGTCCAACTTGCCGGATATACAGCAGTGGCATATGACCGTAATTTTTAGAGGCCGCATGAAGCTGCATGCATATTGGACAGACGCTCATGAAGATTTCAGGGAATGGCGGCAATCCAAACCCCGTATAGTATCGATGACCGACGAACGCATCACAGGCCGGGATAGAGCAAAGCATGCCGACAGGTGTCAGGAATAACGGACTGGCATGTTCGGAGCAACGAATCATTCCGGTCGGAGAGAGTACATTTGAGTTTCATAGGCCGCGAGGTCTGGGCGTAGCACGGCCAACACGAGGCAAGTCGAGCACCGATGTTACGGTACGGAGAGAGGTGATGGGGCAACAGAATGGGCAAACATGGACCCAGCTGACATTACACGGACGGATGAGCCTCGGATGATCAGTATCGAGAGGCACCGGGCAATTGCAGGAGTCGGATAACAATGAAATAAGACGCATGGGACATAGGCACATAGGTGTATTCAGTGAACCATGACCGCCCAGAGGCTTTCCAGAGGAAATGCAGGCAATGGAACGAGGAGATCTGGGTTCAGGACTACCAATCACGATTTTCTCATCTTGCGCGGCAAAGTCCAAGTCGAAGGGAAGTCAGACAAGATTTCATAAAGAGTATGAACGTTCCGAGAGCTGCTTAACCCTGTCGCAGAACCTCATAAACGCCAGTGTGCTCCTACGGATGAACGAAATCTGCTCCTGAATAGCCATCGCAGATCGTTAAAGCGGGAGAAGGTTAGGTTTCGTGAACCGGTCCATATAGTGCCGCGGGAACCAATATTCTGTAAACGAAAGTGCGCCACAGAAGCAGACGTGTACCAATCCACGGAGATACGCTGATGGTATCCGATACAGATTGGTGGTTAGGCTTTTGTTGACACTTCACACAGGCGAAGCAGAGAATCCCGGAGGCGGGTTATAGTCCGCAAGCCTCTCCGCCGGGGTGATCGACCTAGGCGTCCAGAGCAGATCCATGGAGGAAGCACTAATGGAACTTTCGAGCTGTATTTTTGCAGGTCATGGTATTTTGGATCGCTGGTAAACAGACCGGAGTACATGGCGCACCGAGAAAACAGCCGACAAAGCAGCAGAAAAACGCTTCGGAAACGATAGGGTTCAGATACTGAGGATAGCTCTGGCTCATGACAAAGGACGCGTACGCAAAACGCACGATCGTTTGCGAGCACGTTCGACAACGACACGCGGAGCCGCCTGCCCCCATCGTCATCCGCAGCGTCGAACAACTCAGGGAGAGTCTAGAGAACATCGCGGCCAAAAGTATGTCGTACCCAAGTCCCTGGCCATGGAGGGCGCACCGGACGAACGTCGGGATGTCGGTGTCACTGTCACCATGACATGCGCGCTGTCACAGACCTTCTGTAACTTCGCCTGAGGCGCACGTTCCCAGCCTAGGCAGCTTCAGCGTCCCACCACCGCTGCGCGACAGCGACACCCCCACCCTTCGTTGTTCTCCAGTCCGGACGAGTAGGCTCAAGGCAGGAAATTTATAGAGGAATTCGGAAGAAGTCGTTCGCCTGTTCTTGAACGTTTCGCGTAATTGCCTCCTATCTTTTCGCAAGTCCGACCCTTTCACAGTCTTACGAACACGATGTGGTACGTGATCGCGATGTTTTCGCGTAGCCGACGCAGTAATGGCTCACTAAGTGGTGCTTGATATAGGTGTGATAACTGTCTCCTCCTTTTGCCACTCGTATGTCCATGAATTTCCCGAGTAATGGCGTCAGGTTGTTAATGTCGGAAATTCAGAGAGGGGGCGCAATTGCGTGGGCTGTAGTCATTGCTGTACGTGTCTCACTGCGTAGGGAGCAGAATCTTCGTATTCACGGTTGTCGCGCAGGCCTACAGTCTTGCCGGTGGTTTGTTCCTGCTCATCGACGGCCAATATTTATTCTTCGAGTTCCCTGAATGGTAACGATTCCAACACCGAAGCAGGTCCAAGTTTTTGAGCTGCTATTGCCCCCTAGGCAGATTTACGGTGGTATTGGAGTCGGTGTGTGCGCCCTAGCCGTCATCAACATCTTCGCCCTCTCCAATGTCAGTGGTCATGGTTCATTTGGAGATGGTGGAACCTATAACCGAAGCTGACCCTGCCGCAGCGATCGTACATCTGGACACGAGTCTGCAAGTTCCTCTGGCCGTTTGTCATAGTGATCTGCGCGGTTCGCGCGATCCTGATGATCGTGGAACTGCAGCGCGGGTAAGTGAATCCTCTGCCCCGGTATTCATCCCGCGAACACGAGCTCATGTGTGACTGCTCTAACCTTGTCCCATCATCCATGTGCGTTCGGCACCGCAGCAAGGACAAGATCCAGTGGGAGTGCGCGAACGGGGGCCAAGTCTGGACTTCGAATGCGGACTATACTAGCAGCACATCGTCCTTCCCTGCCGGGTTCTGTACATCGGGATTCAACAGTCTGAATTGGGCGTTCATTTTTAGTCTGGTCATTGACCTTGCATTCCAGGTGGGTATCCAAGTTGCCTGTGGCACTCTTGATCCGCTGTCGACGTGCTCCCCCTCGTGATTGCTGAACTGACTGGAAAATTTCTTGTGCCGCTATACAGATGTACATGTTCTTCCTCACATGGCGATTCGAGAAACGGCTGGAGCACTACTCCGGTCTCAAGGGTCCGTTCTACGGAGGTACGTTCGCGGCGGCTCTTTGCTGTTATTATTCCGGGACCTATTCTTACGATGCGTGGTCCCTCAGGATACTACAACGCCTAACATGCCCCCACAATTGTCAACAGTGGACTTGTGCCTATGCGCACGTAATTGTGACGGGACCTATTGCTGACTCTCCATTCTTATTTATCTCGAAGACATTGACAACTTTACTTTCATTGCTTGGTTGTTGTTGCCCGTTGGCTATCATGTTACGACCCCTCACGACCTTACGAAATCCACTTACGTCCAGTTCTGCGCTTGCTTTCCAGATGACTGATTTTCTGATACTTAGTAGCTACTACATTTCACATGCTCCGCTCCAGATGTTGGCGTGGATCAGTCCCTGTAACTTTGGTTCGAGGCGCCCTGCAGGGGGCGCGGTACGGAGAATATTACCCCATGTCCCCTTTGCGCAGGATCATTTTGATGAACACCGCCTCAGGATAGTCGGTCGGTACCCTCGACTTCGAACCCTCATAAGCAAAGAGCAGCCATGGACAAGTTTGGCAGTAGGCGAGGAGGGAGCCGAGCAGGCGGAACCTTGCTGCGGTTTGGAATCGGGGAGACTCGCGAGAAACTGATGCTATTAAGGAAGATGAAGGTCGGGAAATGAAAGCAACGTTGCAGAGCGCATGCGGGTCGGTGAGAGATGAGAGCACTGGCGAGAAGGCGGGCAGGGCGGACGGGAAGGTTTCCGTTAAGGACGAGAATGCTCAGACAGGATTCGCGGACGTAACCGTAGAGAGTCGGATGCTCGGATCTTGATGGTGCTGGGTCAGATATGGGAATTCTGGGAGATCGATACCGGGGTTCGGGGCGGAGGATACCAGAGAGCTCAGAGTTGCCCTTTGGGCTGCGATCTGAGGACGCGTAAGCCTGCGTAAGGTTACTAGCGTTGGGTAATGGTCAGTAATACCGGGTACGGTGACTGGCAAAGGATACTCGCCGTGTGTTCTGGAAGACGTCTATCGTTTAATACTGCAGGGATCAGCTACGCTTTCACAGACAATGGGGAGGATAGGGATGGGCCGGAGCCCAATCTTCCATTGCAGGGCAAATTCGATATGGAGAGGCGTCATTTCCGAGAGCAGGCTCTGCCCGAAGCGTATTCGCGAGAACTGGAAGCGGGCGACTGGGTTAGAGCGGCGCCGTTGCACCGTCCCAGACTTGCCATTTGCTGGCGCGCTGTGTGAATGCGGAAAATAGAGGCGCGGGAGGTCAATCATATGGCCGGTTCATTTGGAGAAACGGGACGAGGACGGAGAGACTGGGACGCTCGGAGGGAGAACAGGCACGCCACGAGGCCGCGAGGTCTGGTCGACGCCGTCTATTTAGACCGCCCCGGCTTACGCTGCAGTCCCCATCCCCCCTCCGCCTTCTCCCACCCGACGCCTTCCTCGACGCGGCGAGATACCGTCCTTTGTCTCTTCTAGTTCTTGTTTTATTGTCCCCGCCGGCTCCCGCCTTTGTTCTCTGGTGCGTTCCGCGTCTTTGCGGCTTTGTACTGTCCGTAACTAACCCCGCGCTATATAGACGCGTTTACTTATTCCCAGTCTCTCTTGTACTAGTTTCTTTGCACGACTAGCTCGCGCTTTCTGATCTTACTCGGCCCACTCTTCGCCTTTCGCCTCTCAATGGAAGCCCACCTCGAACACGTCCTCGAGCACCCCAAGTCCCCGGCCTTCATGGACGCCACATCCAACTTCACGTATGACCCCATGCTCGGCCTCGACTACATCCAGTACCCTCCCAACTCGCCCTTTGGTCTCTCGTCCCAGAACCGTGAGTTCGTCTTCACAACTACCCGATGACGTCATCTCAACTTGTCCCCCTCCAGCATCGTCCCCAAGGATGGGCTTCACCGGTCTGAACCTTGCCAGTGGTCTCGGTGACTACCCGTACTCGTCGGGCACCTACACCACCCCGTCCCCGGGCCGCCCCTTCACGCCCTCGGACTCGGCCAGCATCTACCCTGCTGCTCTCTCCAACATGAGCGGCGGCGAGCTGTCCTCGGACGGTATGACCACCGGCAGGCGCAACAGTCGCGGCAGTGGCACCCACTCGCCCGCGTCCTCCGCTTCCCTCGCAGCAGTCCCGCGGTCGCACCGCTTCAACCCGTTGGGCGGTGCCATGCCCCCTGCTCGCACAACCTCGAGGAAGAGGCGCGCCAAGGTCGATGAGTTCGGGAGTGACGATGAGGACGACGGTGACTTTGTTCCCTCCTCCAACTCCAAGGACGCCGATGTGTGAGTGTCTCCTGCTTTATCCTCTGTTGCCCCGATTGAGGGTTTCTTTGCCTTTCTTCCTTTTGCTGACTCAGATCTGTTGCAAGCCGTCGCGAAGAAATTCGCCGCCAACGCATCGAGTCCGAGCAGAGGAGACGGGACGAACTCCGGGAGGGGTACCGCAGGCTCAAGGACGCTCTGCCAGTTTCGAACCAGAAGTCCAGCAAGGTCTGCTTACTGGATCGGGGTATGTCTTGGTTCAGCGCTAGTAAACAATCGTTACTGACCATGCCCCACAGCTACCACTCACATCAAGTACCTCGAGATGACGAACCAGCAACTCACGGCGAGAGTGCAACAGGCCGAGTCTGAGATGCAACGGCTACGACAGTGAGTTCCCTTTGTTTGCTGCGCCATCGTCCAATCCTGATAGACTTCATCAGGGTCAACGAGGCGTTGATGCTCGGGACCGCTGAGCAACGCCATGCCGCCGCTGCAGCTGCAGCAGCAGCCGTCGGCGCTCCCCAATCGCAAGGCTTCTAATTAGGCCTTGTGGTTTTGCCGTTGCCTCGGAGAAAAGCATCAGAAAATGCGCAATCACGCGAGCGCAGACGATTTTTATGAGACTGGATTGGGTTTACGAAGCCTGTAGCGGGTTTGCAGGTGTCACGGCATGCATCTTTCATGGACTAGAACACAAGCACGGACTATCTCTTAATTACCGCATTCATCATCCCGCACTCTTCCTCGTCTTGCATTTTTCATGACTCCCGTTCACGACCATTCCCCACTACCCCTTCCTCCGCTGCTGACTATCGGAGCGCTAGGTCGGAGGATGCACGTTTGCGACGCGCGTCGTTGTCTCTTCCGGGCACCCACATATCCTCCCCGCGGCTGTGCCGCACCGCTCTGCTTGTCGCGCTTTCTCGTCGACGCTCTGACCCGTGGTCATATATGCGCGATGGATCGCGCTCTACAGCGAGCACCACTGTCTACACGACACCGCCTTGAAGACTGGCCGTCAAGACGGATTCCAAGGACCCCGATCCATGACGCAGTGACCTGGCAACCCGAGCCGACTTTGGGACCCGCCGCTTGCCAGTCCGGCCGAGGCTTGCAGACGCTAAGCGTCTCGCCCGCCGCGACGACTTGCTGTGGCCCTCTGTTTAGTTTAAACCGTCGGAGTCCTCTCATGTGATCGCCTTCCGAGTCGATCTGTCTGCGCCGCTGATGCGGACCGCTTCAGTGCGGCTTCTGCTCGCGCGCGCCGATACACTGGCTGACGCTGTCTCGTCTTATCCGTCCATTCCCGCCGCTCGAAGAACAATATTCCGACCTTCCCTGGTCCGCTCTGTCAATCCTAGTCACCAGATTCGACATCCCCCTTCCCCCACGACGATTCATACATCGGCATATTGTTTATTGCTATCATCTACTTATAACGGATTTCTTGGTTGCTCTGCGCCTTAACGAATTGAACGCCTGGTTACGCTCAATCTCACGTCCACCCCCACCATCCTCCCCATTCAACCCGCGCCGTTGATCCGCTTTCTACCTTCTTCCGACGAGTTACCTGGATGGGTGCGCTTTTGCGTCCCTGACGAGGGTCGATCGTGTCTTTCGCGAGGCATACATCGGCCCAGGTGGCTGCATGTCTGGGAAAGGAGGTTGATTGCGGTATCGGCAAAGGATATCCCTGCAATCGTCCAACAGGTCCATCTGCTCTTCAATATGATTCCTTCTGATTTCCGCCCTCATCTACCAACCGATCGACACTCCCCGTCCAGTATTCATCATCGTTGACGCCGACCGTGGCCAGTCCACAACCGAGCTCCGAAGATTGAGTCACGACGCGACGAGCGCTGGTCACCTGGAAGAACGAAATGGCGTCCCGACACGCCTGCGGTTGCGAAGAAGTTGAGTCGAAGAAGACGCTGGATGCGCAGCTGTCGCGCGCGGTGGTCCCCGCTTGCGGGGGCTCGATCGAAGAAGACGGATTGCCCGACGGCTTGATGTGCTACCCCTCCGCCCCGCGCCCTCACGATCCCTACCTAGCTTGACTGGTGGCCTCGTCCCCTTTTACCTCGCCCATCTTCATTGACGTCTTTAATCTGCTCTTTTATCTGCGCTGCGCGGGAAGGGTAGCACAGTTATGATGCATTGGTCTTGTAGCTACTAGTTGGTGCAAGCCTTTGTGTATTCACGATGCTATACATTTATGAGACTGTATTTCTATGATTTGTCTGGAGCGAGCATCAAGGTTGGGAAGTGTCTGAATTACGACCAATAAGACGATATCCTTCGGAATGAGAGAAACACGAGGTCTACGGTTTCGTAGGACCCGAAGACTGGTATGATGTCAATTCTCTTTCGTATTCCTTCATTCTGTTGGCCGGCTCTCAGTAGACAGACAGTAGGCGGCATTGTGTTTTGTGAGGGTGAGCCAACATCCAGACGCACATTAAGTTAACCTGCCCGTCTCGATAAGGCACTAGGTATGTTAGCAGGCAGACCTAATCGTAGTATGAGCCCACGATGCGCGGCATTGGGAATTTGGATCCCCATTTTGCGTGATGTTCCTTCTCGAATTGCTGAAACAATTGTCCGATGTCCTCTCTGACGAAGCCACCCTCAGCAAGCTTTTCAAGAACAGTTGCGCACCAATGGCGGCACCCTTGTCCGTTCTCGTTGAACCTAAGACGATCATAGCATAAGCATTGAGTGTTACTGTGAGCTAGCTGGGAATGGCTCACTCGTATTGTTCGACATGATGTTCATCAAACAAGAAATGGCAAAGTGTAGCGGCTGTCACTTTGGATCGGACGTCGACGTCCAGAGGATCTAGAGCTCGGCTAACGGATTTCACGCTTTCATGATATTCCATCACCAAAACGCCTCGCATGAGATGGTTGGGATCCGTGTACGAGGGGCTGTTGTTCAAGGTGATGCAGCGTTCCTCCCCATGTTCGTCTTTCGGTGCCACCAAAGCCAGGATGAAGTGGAAGACTTCGCCGTCCGGTGTCTCAGTACCTCGAACGCTGATGCGGGAGACGGGCATCTGGAGCAAACCAGTGTCCTTCTTAATGGCACCGACCGGGAAAACGGTGGTTCGACTGGGTAGAGTGTAGGAGCTACGAGGTACTAGTTGACATTGTTAACCTGGATCAGTACTAGCAATAGCCTACATGTTCGACATTCCGACCAACTGGCAGGGTAAAGGGGCGAGATAGCCCTCACGTCAAGCGAGACAGTACTCGGGCCGAATGAAACAGCACTCAGACAGACTGAGATTGTTATGTGCAGTCTGGACCAGGTTACAGCAGTAATGCGAACCGAGTGCGAACTGCCAGTGCCACCCCCACATGTGCCAGGACTCATCACGTGGTGTGGTTCCTCAGGCCTCATCGCTTGAAAAGATATTCTGATTCACCAAAGACAGTTGCTCGTCTACTGAGGCTGTTTTATTAGGCGCAGGATCAAGCCTATTATTCACGAATCACGCGAACATCATCTCTGCCGACGTACTGCACTCCATACAACTCCCTTATGGGTCTCGTACTATTACTTGATACGGTGTGGACGGAGTTGGAGGGCTGCTTGTATGCTCTTCTTCGTCCTCTTCTGCTGTGTAACCGGAATGGTAATAAATATGTTCGTCATACATGGTTCATCTCTTCAACAGTGAATGACTTATTGTCTCACCACTACAGGCCCTTCCTCCCTCGGCTGAGTCTTGGAGTGATAAAGAGATCAATGACTTGATCTCAAGCTCACCGAGTGTCGATATGGACACTGTCTCTGTACCCGACTCAGATGGCTATAGCGGCGCCCGCAGGGTGATCAAGATCGCATGGGATACAGTTACAAAGAGCGCATTAAACTCAACCGCGCAGCAAGAACTGCTCTCAACGGAATTGGTCCGCACTGTGACCAATATTCCTGTTCCGAGGTGTGGACGTCTCGTCGAATGTCTTACCTACACTGGAGTCTATCTCCTGCAGCAATTCATTCCTGGCCGTACACTGCATGACGCCTGGCCAACCCTTAGCTGGTGGTATCGATTCCGTGTCTCTCTAACTCTCCGTTATTACATCTATCAGCTCAGGCAGATGTCGTGTCGCATCGGTTCTCCTCCATTTCCTGGTCCACCAAGTGACGACGGTCAACCGAAATATTGCAAGGGCCGTCTATTGAACAGTTTTGGCTGTGGACCCTTCCGCTCGTACCGTGAACTGTCCAGGTGGTACCAAAATCGCCTGTTAGTCATGCAGCGTTTTCGTAAACAGGGCTTAGGCGTGGCACCTTTCGACTCTACCGCACCCCTAGTTTTCACTCATATGGACTTACACCTCCGCAACCTCATCCTTGGCGACGATGGGCAGTTGTGGGTCATTGACTGGGAGGAGGCAGGATGGTATCCATCTTGGTTTGAAGCGGCAAGCATGTCTATATATGCCAAGATGCACCCAGGTAGTCATACGTCGTGGGCGAAGTGGATACCTTTCGTCGCGGGTTCCTGTGACAAGCCGGGCCAACTTCCTTTCATATTAGCCATCTCATACAGTTTGGAATGCATGCCCCCTAACATCATGAACTTGGTACGTCCCAAACTGTTGCGATATGCGGTGTCTCATTCTGGGATGCAGATTGACTCAGAATAACTCAGAATAGCCGTGATATCGCACCCTTTCCATAGTAAGGCGTGTCTGGTCGTACACCGAAATATTCCTCGTAACAATATCGTGCAGTAGCTGAAGTCAGTTCACTAGTAGAAGCATCCTTCAGTACGTGGCATTGGGAACCTAGATCCCAACTTCTTCGCCTGTTCCGCCTCATAGTGTCGGAATCGCTCTCCGACGTTGGCATCAACGACTCCTATCTCGGCAAGTTTCTCGAGTGCGAGCGCACACCAGTGACGGCACCCAGTGCCATTGTCGGCGAAACTATCGGAATAGTATGCAATGTCAATAACGTACTTCTTTCGCAGGGCCTGGAGCACTCACTCGTACTGATCAAAATGATTTTCTTCGACTAAGAATCGCAGAGCCGTGGCGGCTGTGGTCCCTGGTTTGACTGGGACGTCGAAGTCATCAGTACCCGCCGACAATGAGGTTCCATACTCCTTGTATTCAATCAGGAGCACGCCTCGCATGAGGTGGTTAGGGTCGGTGTAAGAGGGCCTCATGTCCAGCCGTATGGACGTCAATTTGCCTTCCCCATGAACCATTGACAGCCGGAAGTGATACATGCCATCCGGATTCTCCGTTCCCTTGAGCGAGATGTACGATATGGGTCTCTCGAGGCTGTCGATGTTCGCCTTCAACTCTGGTGTCAGCCATATAGTAGGTCGACTCGGCAGGGTGTACCTAGAGCACTTATAAAATGAGACTGAAACCCCAACAGGTACGAGCAAACCTACTTCGTAGACATGCTCTCGATTGCTGAGTGGATCGAAAATATTAGCGCCGCGAAGGACTGAAGGGAATGTGTTACAGAGCGCGCCTTTTATTCGCGAACGAGACGGCGAGCATTCTAGGTCCGCAGATTAATGCTCGTCAGTATTTTGCGTTTGCTTGAGATGCTGCACCTTTTTCGGAGACCAAACAAGGTGCTCCCATGCTGCCTTAGGTGAAGGTGATTTACCCTCATCAGTGATTTGGACAAACTAGGCGCTTCCATGCTGTCTTCAGTGAACAATCGATAGTAAGTCTGCTGGCTGTGCGTGCAAGCATAGTTCATCCCTGACATCGTGCTTCTTCCGAGGGGATATGTGGCCTGGTTTCCGCAACTAACCCTTCGGAAGACACCTCGATGGAAGAGCGGCGTCTCGGGAACAGCGGGATTCCACGAATGTGAGAGTCCTTTCGGTCCCGGTACGAGTCATAGCGAGACGTTCCACGACGTGTGTACGAACGCGCATCGCACGAAGTGATGGTGCGCCTATATAGTTCAAGTCCCGGCTCAGACACTGTCTTTAAGGTTCGTGGATTTTGGTCTTTCAATTGTGCTATTCGCTTCGAAAGTCAACAACGTATGAATCTACTACTTAGTCCGCGGCCCCTTTTACCCACTATACCTAACACACACCTGTGCTCTGATTATAGCATCGTCCACAGCGGACAATTTCAGCAATCTTAGTGGTCTATTATGCCTTATCCCTCCCGAGATGTGAAGCTATGAGGGGGGATTTTGGTTGAACGCGTACTCAGCGAGTTCAGTCCAAGCTAAGTCCAAGCGCATGTCATTCGTCCTGATCTATGGGGAAGGCACTATTAGCTTTTTGCACATGACGCTACTCGAGCTGCTAGGCTCGGTACGCTATTTCATTTGTATGTGGGATATGATCATTCTGCTTTCCGTCTCACCAGTCCGGTGGGCCGGATGGTTCCTGCTCTTTCCAACCCTGAGTAAATACACCAGGGAGTTTAGCGCCACAAGTCAACCCTAAATTGAGGTCACGTCGCCTCACATCCTTGCGCCAATTCTTATTTTCTTAGTGATCTGGATCCTGTAGATCATCTTCTGCTAGTCAATTCCGACAAGGACTGGCTGAAAGGCGTATTCGTAGGAGATACATACACAACCGAAATCGACCGAACCCAGTCTATCGCGGGCCAAACATGGCCCAGAAGTTGGAATTCACATTCTTATTCTCTTATCGATCCGGATCTCGTAGATCATCGCCTGGAAAGCTTATATTGACGCTAATGACCTCACTGATAACACTGCTATACCTGTGGCAATCCACTGGGACGTGGAGTCCACCGGACAGACTCGCATTGACATACACCACTACAACCGAAGATGAGTGACATTGCGACGATCAGACGACAGCTCAAAATCAAGACGGGTGCAGCGAAGAGGTGAGTCTGTTCATCCTTGTCACACTAGCCACTAAGGATCCGCGTAAGGTTGCTGAAGGAGCATGGGCTGTACAAGAAGGAGGCCGATGAGGGGAAGATGAAGGTGGACAAGCTGATCGCGGACGGTGCGGAGGGCTGGGAGGTGCGCAATTCGGTGAGTCGACCGGGGACATACTTCAGGGCAGACACCGTTTCTGACCGCTTGAGATAGCAAAACTTGCTGAGGGAGTCGGAGAAGATGGTCGCGGACACGTCGGAGCGGCTGGGAACGACGGTCCTCGAGCTCAGGGATCTCGTGGTGAGTATCGAGGTTCTAAGTGTCTTGATCCTGTTGCCGATGACGATGGATCTCGTAGGTCGCTGCGAAGAAGGAGCCGGAGCTGCAGCAAGACCCAGCGCTGTTAGAGGGCGAAGATGTCCTCGAGCAGGCGAACCTGTAACGCGATCTCTCTGACCAGGATTCATTCACATCAGGTATATTAGCTGAATATAGTACATACAAGGGGAAGGAGAGAAGATACGATACGTACTGTGCTCTATATACCTCGTATACCCCTACACCTGCATCTCGTCGTCCTTCTTCCGCCTATCCTCGTCCCGCGCTTGCTTGATCCGCGTGAGCGCGTCCAGGATGCCCTTCCACGCGTCGCGCTCGACGCGCTCTTCCTGGAAGCCGCGCGTCCGCGTCGGGTCGTGGTCGCTCGCGTCCGCGCCGCGCATACCGACACCGAGCGGCGGGGGGACAAATCCAGGGTCGGGAGCGTTGATCGTGGAGGGCGCGAAACGTGCCTGGCGGATGTGCGCGAGGGAGGAGCGTATGGCCATGTGTATCGCCTATGAGAGGTTAGGGTGCAAGTCAAAGGGGAGAGCCAGGAGACGTACGTCCAGCCGTTCGAAGTATTCGCTCACTTCCACAACAAACTGCTCGGAGCGCTCCTCGCCTTGGGGCATGTGGTCCTCCGGCTTGTCAGTCTGAGGAAGTGCCAGTAGTTGTATAGACGAGCCGGCCAGCTGGAGCAAGCGGCTGATGTCCTGCGTCGCGAATCAGCACTACGGGTTAACGACCGAGTACCTGAAACGCACTTTCTCCACCTCGCCCAGAGCATATATTTGTCTCGCGGTACGGCTAGACAACCACACCGGATCTATCTCTGAGGTTGCTTGCTCAGGCTTACCATTAGTCACAGCCGCCATGATTGAAGTCGAGCGTTTATAGTGTAGAAACTTGAAGTCAAGTTCTCGCGAAATGTTCCGCCACAATTGGAAGACAAGATGCTCCGGCGGTGCCGCCACCTGCTTACTGAACTGAACGACTCTTGAGTTCTGTCAGTTAAACAAATGATAGGCCCGAGGACACCCGCTCAACCGCGGGAAGAGAGAGAAACAGTCATGATCTAGTAACTCGCGTCCTCGCGGCAAGACCTGGTCCTCCGAGTCCGCAGCACCCTTCAGATGCGCAGTGCAGCTTGTGTCCGGCCGGTGCGTATACGTCTTACGATAGGTGTCAATGCATTTGCTCAACTCCCTGACGTCTCATCAGGTTCTGTGGTCATTCCCAAAGTGGCTGCGTCATCTCCCGGCACCGGGGACAGTTGTGCGTCTCCACATATAACAAGGCCGCCAGAGGACAGACCCCCACCATATCTACGATATGCGGATCATTATCATAGGTGCAGGTGTAGGCGGATGCGCCAGCTTCCTCTTCCTCCGCAAATACCTCCCCGCGGACAATCACTCTATCAAGCTCATTGAGGCACATGCCAACCCCCTCGAGACGTCAACTATCATTGGCGGAGGTCTCGGTCTCGCTCCCAACGGCCTCCGTACTCTCTCGCTCATCGACGAAGCCCTGCCGCGGAAGATTACCTCCCTGGGCTTCGAGGCCCCCATGGCAGAGTTCAGGACAGGGCCAAGGGATCAGTTCCTCGGCCTGTACGTCATGGGCAGGAAGGAGCGGTACGGCTGGTCGAACCTGATGGTGCAACGGGCTACTGTGCACGAGTGTATCCTGGAGGAAGCCATAAAAGCCGATGCTGGAGCAGGGGACGTGCAGTTCGGCCGCAAGGTCGCGTCAGTAGACTCTACCGGCACGGACCGCTGTATGAAAGTAACCTTCGAAGACGGATCCACCGAAGAGGCGGATCTAGTGATCGGCGCGGACGGTCGTCGTAGCACAATTCGCGATTTCGTGGCGGGCAAACACGTCGAGTCCGAATACTAGCGAGTATCTCTCCATTTTAACCTCAAATCCCACCATACTGACCCCCCTCCCACAGCGGCCTGAACGGCATCGGCGGCTTCGTGCCGCTCTCCTACATTGAGCCGTACGTCGAGCACACGCAGAGCCCGCTCATCATGACCTGGGGCTCGATGGGCTTCTTCGGCTTCAGCCCCATCGGCAGCGGGCCCGCGACCAAGTCCGCCGAGCGCAAGGCGATGTGGTGGTCCGTCTACGCGTCGGACACGCCCGCGACGCCCGACTCCCCGCGTGCGCCGATCAAGCAGCAGCTCCAGGCGCGCTTCCGGGGCTTTGAGGGCGCGATTCCGAAGATCATCGACGCGCTGTGCACGGGCGCGCCGGGCGTCAGCGATATCATCGTCTTCCCGCGCTACAGGCTGCCAGAGTTCCTGGAGCGCTGGGATCGCCCGGGTGCGGTCCTGGTTGGCGATGCAGGGCACATTGCCCTGCCCGAATCGGGCCAGGGCGTGTCCTTCGCTGTCGAGGACGCCGCAACGTTCGCGATGCTCCTTAAACGCTATCTCGAAGCAATCCCCGACGAAGCCAAGGCGGCCGAGTGCGCGGGACAGAGTTACTCGCAGATCCGCAAGCCGAGGGTCGAGAAGACGATCATAGCGGCGACCAGGAACGCCAATAACAAGAGGGGGATGGGCCCGTGGCAGCGGTGGATCCGCGACTGGTTCATCTGGATCTGGTGCAAGCTTGCGAGGGAGTCCTCTGGGGACGAGTTGTTTGCACACAAGGTGGAGGAAGCCGTCGACAAACATCTCACGGAGAAGGGGTACTGATTCTGACGGAACTCTTCGAAGCTCCTTTCTCGTCTTGATCTAGGTAGGCAAACGTAGGTAAGTAGTATAGTTTCTAAATCATCTTATCATTGCCACACTTCCCATGAAGGGAGAGGCATGCATCATGTACCCGCCCGCTGTATACCCTCAGCAACCATCTGTATCCAGTAGCCGCACGTATCGTTATTTCTGATTCATCTCTAGTTGTATTGTTACTGATTTGTTAGTCTCATTCTGTGGACAGTTTACGTAACCCGCGTTTCGGCGAACATTTTGGGACCATGGATTGTCAAATGCCTATAGATGCAGACTCGTAACGTGTACAAGGCAGTAGTAGAATCAAAGAAGTCATTAGTATCGTAAGGTCATGACAGGTCGTGACATATATGATAGATGGGAGCAACATAGATGAAAGAGATGCCAGGAAAACGGATAAATAACGAACAAAATTGAGAGAAAGACAACAGCCCGGGGAAGAGGGATGGAGGTCGCACAGAGCAGGGCATGAACAAGACAAGGAGCGTATATGCCGGAAGATAATCAACCAGAGCCAATGACGAGGAAAAGAGGGTCACCGGACCCCCCTCTTCATCCTCCTCACCAACGTCTTCAAGACAACCGCGCAAACACCAAGCCCCACAAGGAACACATACGAAGGCAAGTCTCCTACATCCATCTCCTGCTCCCTCCTCCCTTCCGCATTGACAGCAGGAGAGGACAGGCCAATTACTCTGAAGAGCCGGTTCACGAGGCACGTCGCCACGCCCACTCTTGACTTCGGGCGACGCGCGACCGTGGTGTCAGGGACAGTCACAGGAGGTTTCGATGCAGCGTGTATCACTGGAGCCTCTGTCTTCTCCATCTCCTCGATACCTTTCTCAACGCCCTCCAGCCTCTTCTTGAACTGCTCAATGACAGCCTTGCTCTCCTCGAGCTTCTTCTCCAGCTCCTGTATGACAGCCTCCGTGTTATCGTGATCCTCCGGAGATCCCTGAGACTGGACCTGGACATCGACCGTACGCACCACGGGTGATTGGACCTCCGCTTCCGCTGTCTGGACGATCGGCGACTGCACCTCGACGTCGGCGGTGAGGACGACAGGAGACTGCACCGCTGCATCCAAACTGGACGCAGCCTCGGACTGCACTTGCGCTTCAGTAGTCGCCACCAGCGGGGACTGCACCTCAGCGTCCCTAGACTTCGGCTCAAAGGGCTCCAGAACAGCGGTATCCTTCTCTAACTCGGCCGGCGCGGGCACGCTTTCCTCGCTCCCGCCACTCCCTTCCCTCGTCAGGCCCTGCCCATCCGCATCCACCCCCTGGAAAATACTCGTCACCACCCTCCCCCTTCCGCGCTCCTTCCCCGTCCCGCGACTAATCGTCCCCCGCATCCTCTCTCCGTCTACGCGGCCCATCGTCGCCGCTTCCGCCCCTTCCCCAGGTATATGCTTGACCGTCACGATCCCCGCGCCCGCGTCGATCTCCTCCCACGCGCGCGCGCCCCAGCTGCCCGTGCCGGAGCTCTGCGCCGCGAGCAGCGCCTCCATCGTCGGCTCCTCGCTCTCGTCCCCGTCAGTAAAGGAGAACGGCGGCTTCGGCAGCTGCCTTCGCGCCGAGGGACTCGGGGAGGGAGATCCGGTGGCAGACCCAGGGGCGGAATGCGTGGGCGGGATAGGTAGCGGGCGCGACTTGACGCGCTTTGCCCTCTGCATCTTCGCGCCCTCCCTCTCCCTGCTGCCACCCTCCTCGCTCTCGCTCGCGCTGACCTCGCTCGCGGAGCGCGACCGTGACCGCTCCTCGATGTGCCTCACGCGCTCTTTGACCTTCACCCTGCTACGCTTAGCCTTCGTGAACGGCGTCGCGACCAGGTCCTCCACCTGCCCCGCGCTGCTCAGGCTCGAGTCGCTCGACGCGTACATGGGGTTACCATACACCGAGTCCACGACTTTCGTGTCGAGGTCTGAGTCCGAGTTGATGGCGGTAGCAGTGGAATTATCAGGGTCGGGGGAAGAGGAGCCGGGCGAGGGCCAGATGCGGCCCTTCAGGATGTTCTGCCGGAGGTTGCGGGACGCGTTGAGGAGGGCGGCGCGCCAGAGCTTGTTCACGCCCATTCTGAGAGGTTTGGTGTCAGCATTCATCGCGTCCTCGGGTTTCATAGGGAGGAGCAAAGCCAGGAAAATATGAATGAATGAACGAGATGCGTAGAATATATGCGTGTACAAAGGTGTGCCACAAAGCCACCGCCGGGATGGTAATTACGGTTGTAGGTCTATATAGCACGCGTAGCAGGAACCGCGGATAAAAAGATTATCAGGTGTAAAGTAATGAATCCACTCACCCTTCAAGATCCGCCTCATTCAGTCTCAAAAACGCTCTGCCCCCAATTCTGGCCTGCCTGACGAAAGCAGCGACATCCTTCGCAACTCTGTCGGGTAGTCGCACGTCACTATCGCCCTCAGAGCCGCGCACACGGAGAGCACTGGTGAGGTACGCAGATAACTGTGCCGGCGTCCACAACTTGGGGTTCTCGGGCAGGTCTTCGAGATTGAACGCGGGCGGCGGGGGCGGGGGCGTGCTCGGTAGGACAGGGAGAGTCTCGGAGCGCTTTGTCCGACGCGGGGGAGTGGGGGACGTGCTCTCGAGGAGAAGGGAGGGCGTAGAGGCAGATGCGCTGCCAGGAGGAACGGGAAGGGGCCTCGAGTTCGCATTTCCGTTCCCGAGCGTACCAGGGGGCAAGACCGGGATGTCCTGTACGCCCGTCAGGCTCCTCGTGTACCGATGCCCGCCATTACTCCCTCCGCTGCTGTTATTATGGCGGTTGTGTGTAGGCGAGACCGGCCGCGCCGCGGACGGGGACGGGGGGACGTAAGTATGTCTCTGCGTGGAGACGTTGTGCGACGATGAGTTCGATCGCGCAAGCAAGGCTGTAGAGGTCGTCTTGATAGCATACGGGTGCGGGTTCGGCTCGAACTTGGGCTTGTTGTGCTGATAGGAAGGGGAGATGGTCGGCGACGTCAGGGGCGAGTGAGGCAGAGGCGCTTTAGACGGCGAGGGAGACGCCGGGAATATATGTTTGCTGGGAGACGTTACAGTCGGCAGGGGCTTTGAGGGACTACTGCCTGGCGTCGTCGGAAGGGGTATGCTGGTCGGTGGGATCGCGACTGGAGACGCGGTGGTCGTGGTCGCCATCGCGTCTTGAGGTTATCCTATCCACGGTCTGAAGAACAGTCAATAAAAGTTAGCGTCAGTCGTGCTAGTTGTCGCGGTCGTCGTCGCGGTCGTCGTTGACACGGAAGCAGAACCCGCGGACGGCGTCCGAGTTGGACTTTAGCTGGGATGAAGGACAGCTTCCAGCCAATCACGTCACGTCTACCGCACTACTGAGAATACCAATCACATGTCTACTAGTATACGGACTACAGAGTCGAGACTAATACACTGCTGATTCTGTCTACTCTAGTACTTAGAGCAGGCTACATTGTTACACTAGAAAGCGTACTTCTGGCTGTCTTCGTCTAATATCCGCTCTGATATTCGTTTCCGCCATAGCCACTCCCTTCCCTCCTACGACCATACCCACCTTCGCCCTCCTCATCCAGCCTCAGCCGTTCAGCACCAAACGTCTCCTGGCTATCCCCGCCATATCCTTCCCCGCCATATCCTCTGGCAGGACGATCGCCACCACCCCGTCCATACTCACTTTCACCGCCTCCCCGTCCGTATTCGCCCTCACCCGCAACTCTACCACCCTGGTAGCCCCGTTGCTCCTGCTCTCCGTATCCCGGACGGCCTCCATATCCTTGCTCGCCATACCCTCCTTCACGCCCTCCATACATGCGTGACTCCGTCTCCAGGGCAGCCTCGCGGCCATACCCCTCCTGCCTCTCATACCCGCCCCGCCCCTCAGAAGAGCGCTCATACGACGGCTGATACTCACCCTCATTATCATCACGACGCCCGCCGTAGGACTCCTCTTGCTGGTAGCCCGTGCGCTGGGAGGAGCCATACTCTTCTCCGCCGTACGAGTCTTCCTCCTTTCTGTGGTGATTCTTGTGGTGGTGGCCCTGAGGCTGCTCGTATGACTCTCCGCCGCCGTACGACTCCTGAGTACGACCGCCTGCATAGCCTTCGCCTTCGTATCCCTCTTGTTGGCGGCTAGCTCCGTACCCTTCCTGGCGGCCACCTCCATAACCTTCTTGCTGGCGGCCACCTCCATACCCTTCTCCCTCCCGCCCCCCTCCATACGTCGGCTCGTACCCACTATCCACATCCTGCCGGCGGCGCCCATAGCTCTCCCCGGGCGTCTCCTCGCTATAGCTGCTCCCATACGTCCGCGTCTCGCTCGACTGGTACGTATCTTCCTCCTGGCGCCGGGAGCTGTGTCTAGTATGCTCCGCAGTTTCGGCGCCGTAGGTAGGTGTACGCCGGCCTATAGGGCACACGTCAGTCCGAGTTTGGAGCACCTTATGTTCGACTTACCACTCTGTTGGCCGCCGTATCCACCTTGCTGGCCACCATATCCGCCTTGCTGGCCACCATACCCACTTTGCTGGCCACCGTACCCACTTTGCTGTTGCTGGCGTCCATATCCGCCTTGCTGCTGCTGTCCATACCCGCCGACCTGGCCGTCTCCGCCCACACCGTACGTCTGCGTCCCATCGTCCGAGCCTTGGCGCTTATTCCTCCCAGCCTTCACGCTCTCCTTCGTCAGCGCCTGGATGACCTGCTGGCCCTCCTCCGATCCCAGCGAGCCGAACCACTTGTCCATCGCCGTGAACATCGCGTGCTGGATCTCCGAGTTCTGGTTCCCGTAGTACGGATGGTGGAAGGCTTCGAGGATCTAGGTAGTATATGGTGAACACCCAAAGCCGTGAATATCAACCGGCAGTCAAACGTACCTTGCTGATGACCTGATCCGGGTCCTCGTTATCGTTATACCACGCCTGATAGCATAGTTAACATCGGACACTAATGGAACATTCCATTGGTCATTACCTGAACTATGAGGTTCACGGCGTATTGAACGACAACCTGGGCGACCTTGCCCGCAGGCTCGTTCAAGATCAGCTGGAAGTGGTCCTGGGTTGGAAGATGAGCACCGGAGCGGGGTGTAACACCAGAAAGTGGCCCACCTTGGATAGCAAACTATGCGAGGGATCAGAGGCGTCCGGGTTGTTGAAAACCTATATAGGATATCTGTTGTAATCGAGCTCAAATGAGGGAGTGAGAATAACCTCTTACCTCGTATTCGTCTGCCGAGTTAATGACAGCCTTGCTGCCCTCCCCCAAGACTGTGGTAACTTGCTGGACAATCGGCTAGGGGGCATTTTAGTTCAGAAACTGTCTTCCCGAATCCAAAGCCTTACCGTAAGCCAAGGCGCCAGAACCGTATACACATCTACCCAGCGCAAAACATCAGTCTTCCCCGTCTCTTCCTCACGGGAAAAAACAGTAAACCCACAGGCATTCAGCGCGTCCGTAAACCCATCGATCAACTCGCTCAGCCCGGGTATCATCTCGATCTTCTGCAAAATCTCGCGCATGATGTCGTCGCGCCACTTGAGCACCTCCCACAGCTGCTGCTGCACCTCAGGCGGCGCGATGTCGTCCGGGTTGAACTCGTATGCCTTCGACTTCGCCTGCAGGTCGTCCGCCTGCGACGCGCGCGAATCGGACGAGTCTGAGCCAAGGGAGAACTTGGAGAGGAGGTCCTTGAGCGGACCGATGGTGTCTTGCTTGCCTTGCGCCTGGAGGAATTTTTAGAAAGGAAGAAAGTGGAGGACGTGGTACAATACCTCGGACATCTTCGAGGTGAGGTCGACAACGCTGGTCTGACTCAGGTGGCTGCAGTTCACATGAAATTGAGTACACTGCCTTTCCTAGATGAAAAATCCATGCACTTACTCGGTAGCCTCACCCATGAGCGAGTGCAAGAAATCGGCGCCACCAAAGGTACCAGTGACGAGCGGCGGCGCAGGGCCGTTGGGGGTATTTACAGTAACTGCACCCAAACCATTGAAATCAGTATATCCTAGACGTCTTTGCCGGAGAATTACTTGCCGTTGTCACCAACGTGGCAAAACACCTCCTGATGCCCCATCTTCCTGAGTGTTAGCTCGCACCAGTTACTGTGTGCAAGCAAGTCCTCGAGAGTGTGCAAACCCGTCCCGAGCAGCCTGTAGGCTTCATACAACTCGGGGCCGTCGCGTCCCTGTGCCCGTCGGCCGTTCTCGATGCAGGCGCGGAAAACGCGTCGAATGTGTGCGGTGGAAGTGTCCCATCCGCCGTCTTCGGTCGCCATGTAGTTCTAAGGAGGAGAAGGTTAGACATGAATAGCGCTATATGAGCCAAGCTTACCTTCATGCCAGTCCGCTCGTCGATTTCGAGTTCGCGAGGGTCGACAGGAGGGCGAAGCTTGGGATGGTATTGGCGCGCATCTCCCTCCTTCTCAGCGTAACCCCTGCAGTATGCAAGTTAACCTGTGATCAGTGAAAGCGCAGATGACTTCATACTTGGGATTGTCAATGTGTTCCTGCGCAAGTCGCAATACCATCAACATCGAACCCTTTGAATTATGAGTAAGCCAGTAGGCTTACCACTGGTAAATATACGCCAAGGCGATCAGGGGTGACCTCAAACTCCTGCGTGGCAAAGCCGAAGGTCTGTAGACGGAGGTATCAATAAAGGATCGTGTACAAACAAGGACACTACCGCACCATAAATCCAAGAACAGCGATTATCAGAACCAGAGTATCAGCCGAAAGCTTGCTCAATCCTCCGATGTCCATAGCCTACAATAGATCAGTTTCGTGCATCCGCTACACGGAAGGGCAGAATGCATTCTACCTGAGAATAATCTCGCAACCAGTTTCCCTTGGAAATATCAAGTTCAGTAACATGATACTATCCGTACTGTGAGGCGGCCACTCACAAAGTACACTTTCTTTACATCGTTCTTTGAGAACTTCGAGCCACCAGCAGCGGTACTCAAGAGGTTCTGAGCCAAGCTGAGGAGGCCCCCGCCAGCAGCAGCCTGACCAGTAGTTTTGGCGAGTTCAGTGAGGATATTTTCAATATCTCCATGGCGGAAGGCCTTGTCTACGTTGCGATTGTATCAGATCTCGGTTTCCATATGGTATGAATGTCCATACCATTCAAGTACGCAAAGTCCGGGATATCGCCTGCACCGAAAGCATACGTCCCCGACGGCAAGGCCAGCAGCAAAACCGACAAAATCAAGAAAGTAGTCGTGACAGAGGGCGGCATGGCGGTCGTATTGTAGTTGTTAGGAGGGTCGCCACTCTGCGCAGCGATATAAAGGCTTCATCGGAATGCCAAGACCTTGCCTAGACATACTTGAAGTGGCAACACTGGCAAGCAGGCCGTGATGTCATCTCGATTGCAGATGGGCTTTAGGCGCGTAACAATCGCACAGCCGCCATCAATGCCACATCGATAAGATGCAAATGTGGCAACCTGTGGCAACGGTGTGTCGAGCTCAATAAGAGGTGTATGCAGCCGCGAATAAGATAGCAATACAAAAATACAACACTAGCATTACAATATACAGTACCAATAGTCCTTCGCCTTATGCAATCTTCGCCCGCTTGTTGACCGGCTGCGGCGTCGCGCTCCCCCCCTTAGTATCCGTCTCCTTTCTCTTCTTCGCCGCCTGCATCTTGACATTGGACAGCAGCTCCCTATACCGATTCCTGACCACCACGGCAATCTTGCCTACCTCAGAATCGGCACCGTTGAACGTGATTGCGTTCCGGATCATGAGGTCCAAGTCTGCCTCAAACGCTTCGATGGAATCGTACTTGTCCGCGTCGAGCTTCTGGCGGATAGTCCGCAGGTCTCGGGCTTGATGGCGCGGTATCACGTCGAAGTAGGTCGGTATACCGAGCTTCTCCGGGTCGACGGGCTCTCGGAACACCCAAGAGCTGAACGAAAGCTGTGTCAATCTTCACCTCAATTTGAGAACAGAAAGCACGCACACGTCCTCAGCGACCAGCTTATTCATGAAAGCCTGTAACGACCGTTTCTCTGACCAGCTCAGACGCTTCTCGGTGGCCTTTGCCCACTCCTTCTTGAACGCCCTTTCGACGGCATCGGCACAGTTCACCGGATAAGTCGTCGGCGGATTGAACTTCCGGCAGTTACTGAAAATAAGCTCCATATCCGCCTGGAACTCTTCCATGGTCAAATATTTCCCCTCCTTAAGCTTCTTCTCCATAGTACCCAGATCCATCGGATGCTCAATCTCGTCGTAGTACGTAGGGCACCCATCGAGCTCTGGGTCGACAGGGCGAGAGAAAATCAGCGCCTCCGGCATCCTGAGCAATGTCTTCAATATCTCTCGGCACCTCTTCTCGTTAATGGGCGTGGGCTGCGCCGGCGTCGCGGACGGCTTCTTTGTTTTGCTAGGCTTCGCTGGGGTTGCCGGAGCAGTAGTAGCCGCAGGCGTAGGTGTAGGTACAGCCTCCTTCGGCTTCTCCTTCTCCTTGCCCTTTGTAGAGGCTTTCGCAGGAGACGGTTCAGCCGGTGGAGGGGCAGGAGGGGCAGGCTTCTTGGTCTTTTTGACACTCAGAGTCAGCTTCGTGCCCGCATTCTTGGGCCTCTCGGTCACTTTCTCCGGCACAGGCGACAGCCCGGAAGCAGCCTCCTCGTTGGGAGACGACCGCTGCTTCTTCTCGGGCGTGGCCAGGGCCAACAGCTCTTCCTCCCCATCCTCCTCAGCAGCCGGGTGGGGTGCTTTCCGCTTGGACGACGAAGGCGTGGTCATCACCTCCGCCGGCGGCGGATGCCGCTCGCCCTTCTCCCGCTCGATCGCGATGACCTCCTCGAGCAGCTCGTCGTCGACATCAGGAGCTGAGGGTACTGGTGGAGCAGCGGGTACTTTGGGTTTCCGCCCCTTGACCTTTGGTGTAGGTGCGGCGGCAGGGGTCGAAGGCTCGCCCTGAGCCTTCGGCGCAGCACTACCTCCACCGACTTTCAGCTTGATGGTGGGTCTGGCTGGCACAGGAGGTGCAGCTGGTAGGTCAACGGGGCGTTTCACTGGCGGACGTAACGCCACAGGAGGGACGGCTGGTGGTTCCTCCGGTTCCACTTTGGACGGTTGCGCTTGGTGAGCCTTGTCAGCAGCCTCGAGCGTCTTATTGATTCTGGCCCATTCTATATAACAATATATCAGACACTTCTTACGCAACAAGCTAAAGAGTGTCTTACGTTTATCGAAGAAGGACTCCATAGCCACCGCTTCATTGTAGGCATATGACCCCTGGACGTTGTACGTTTTCGCATTCGAGATCATCAGCCGGAAGTCAGCCTCAAAGGCGAATCGATCGTGATACTGCCCCGCCTCCAGCTTGGCCCCCATGGTACTGAGATCCATTGGATTCTTGATAATCTCGAAATAACTACGATAGCAGTGTGAGATTTGGAAGGCCGCAAAGAATCAACATGACTTACTTAGGGGCCTTATCTCGCACTGGATCGACGGGCTGGAGGAACAGCGGCGCGTGCTTATATCCCCTAAGCTTCTGCAACGCGTTCCGGCACGCGCGGAGGTCGTTGATACTCATGCCAGCAGCTTGCGCTGCGGGTGCCTTCTTCTCCTTCTTTCCATTCACCACGGCGCCCTTCTTGCCCTTTACCGCAGGCTGGGCAAATATAGCTCGTTGACCGTTCACGCCAGCATTAGCAACCCTAGGAGTCTCAAGGCCAGGCGTGCTTGGGGACAACACAGCCTTGGTGGGCAGGGTAATCTTTGGAGCACTACTCGTCGTCTTCAGCGTGCGCTGGGATTTCAGAGGTACCCTGACTGTCGGGAGCGGAGGTGCTTGCTCCACGACCGGCGTCGGTGGCAGATAAATCGTAACTTTCGGCGGCGCCTCCTCCGCACCACGGACAAGTAGGTCAGCCATTTTTAGCAGGCACCATCGAACCTCTTGGTCCGCATCCGGCGCCCTGCAATGACGAGGTCAATAAAGCTGATAACCGCCATGGAAATGAGAGCTTACAAGGCAATCGGCATGAGGTATTCACGCAAAGCCTCGTTCTTCCCCACCTCCCTATCCTTCCGCAGGATCTTGATCATCAAATCAACCTCGCTCTTCTTTGCCTCTTTCACTTTCTCCGGCGTAGCCCCGTCCTCCTCGATTAGCAACGACTCTGTCTCCTTCAAGGACGACTTCATTTCACCCATAGCGACAAGCAAAGCCAGGCTCTGCACTGCATTTCTCGCCACATGCCGCCGAACGACACGGCAAGAGTCGTGCGCCATAACCGCCAGGATGTACGCCATGATCTTCGGCGTGTACCATTTGGTAAGGAATAATCCGTCGAACGCGGCAATGCGGACTTGGGTTCCGTTGCCTTCGCGAGTGAGCGGGAAGTACACCCGCGCATCGTTCGGAATGAGATTTGCCATGGCAAGCACCATATAGAACTACTATAATGTGAGAATGCGCTACAGCGAGAGAAATGGAATCACGGACCTCTAAAGCCGCGACAGTAACCACGTTATGAGGAGACGGAATCAGGCGATCCATACTCCGATAACGATCAACCTCCGCCACCGCATCCTTCATCAGACGAATGTCCTCCTCCGAATAGTCCTTCGACTCCGTCTGAAGAAGCTCCCCACGTTCCGGAGGCGCAACCGAAACCGTAGCACAAGCGAGTGCCGATATGATATTGCAAATGTAGAATGCGTCGTGGTACTACGCATTGTCAGAAGGGACCTCTCCCCACAGGCAATAATACGTACCGGGTTCGCCGTATTGTCGTTATAACGCAACTGGTCGGTCAGGAACTTCCTGATAATTGCCGGCGTCTTGCCATCCTCTAACCGGACCCTCGATATTGCGTTCAGGATGCTCTTGAGCGCTGTGTGAGATTACGACCATCCAGTACAAACCACCCGTACCCACCTTCCGCACGAAGTACTCTGCAATGTCAGAAAAGTCGTTTGGCTTCGGTACGTAAGTGTACTGGAAAAGATCCTGATTCTGATCTTCCGGTTCATAGCAATACCGCAAGAAAAGCTTCAACAGATGGAATAACCCCAAGAAATTCAATCTCGACACAGCACACTTGTATAATAGTGAGCCTCGCACCAAACGAAAAGGGCATACCAACTTACAGTAACCAAAGCCGCCGCCGCCTCGCACCGAATACGGAAGAAATAATTCGACACGAGCACCGTCTTCGTCAGCGTACTCGAAACAACAGCCGTAGGCTGCCGCGCGAGCGCCTCAACGGCCTACATCACCCACATCAACACCCTATCACCCATAACCAAACCAACACTCACCTCCAACTGCGCAACGACATCGCGGTCCCGCTGTAGCTGCGACACCCACATAAAATCGGGTTGCTCAAAAGCAATAGCCGCAATCCACTCAAAATCCGCGTCGATGCGTATCCACTCGTACGTCGCACCCGACATCTGCTGCTCGTCCTCCTCCGTCCAGTCTACAACTTTCCAGTTCTCTCTCTCATTCTCCTTTTCCCAAATCTCCAGGCCAAAGCCCATATCAATCAGCCCCATAGCTTCAGCCGCGTCCTGGTCGCCCTCCGCTGCAGCCTGCGCGGCCGCCTGCCTCGCGAGATACCGCTTGGTATTCCTCCGTACGCGCTTATACTTCGTATTAAATGGCACCTCATACCGCTTGAACGGGCTCCTAATATCCAACACATGTTCATACGGCGTCCCGTCCGCCTCATGTATGCGTATCGTCATTTGACCCTTCAAAAAAAGGTCAGTGATCACCCCTCGCAACTGCAACGCGAAGAGCACCGACCTCAAAAAACGGCACCGGCTTCATCAGCGTCTTCATCACCTCATTGTCGCCCGCCGCGAGGTACGCCGGCGCCTCCTGGCGCATGCTAATCTCCACCGCCATCTTCTTCCGGTTGAACGACGCCGAAAAACCAAACGTCGGGCACCCGCTCCCGTAGATCCACTGGTCCGCGAACGTGCGCGGCTCCATCCCGCTCACCTTGCGGCATATCCGCAGGAACGCGTGCGTCGACAGCGCGTTCGCCGCCATCTCGCCGCTGATCGCGGACAGAAAGAGTTTTGGCAGTACGCGCGACAGGCCGAGCGATGTGCCGGATTTGCAGAGGCGCCGGTCGAGGATGTGTAGAACCAGAGGGGCCTTGAGGTTGACGAAGGGCAGCAGGGCAGCATCGGGCGGATCAGGATTATTTGGCTGGCAAATTGGAGGCATAGACCCATTGTCATATTCGAGTACTCTCTGGCAATCCTTCTTCATGCGGAACCGGTACTCATTATTGCCCATCAGCTTCCGAAGGAAAAGCGCACAGATATACAACCCCAGGCCGTTCACAAGCCAAGTATCCGACCACGTCTTCTGGTGGATATTGATGCCGACCCATTGGCACGCCAAAGCATGGCTCAGCGAATGGCGAGTTTCGTATACTTGATCAATGGCGTCATCCCCATGGAGTAAGTCAACAGTAATAAGAGACAGCGTCGCGCTGTCTGATCGCGGCTGCGGCATGTCATCGACAAAAACCATCTTATACGAACCGAAAGGGTACGACCCGAACTCCGTGGAGTAGAAGTTCATCGCAGAGCGGATGAACGAGACGCTGTTGACCAGCTGCGATTCGTATCCGGGGAGGCAGAACGCATGCATGAGTGGTTGCGCAACGCCGGAAGGATCCTCAGAAGCGTTATGGTCGGCAGGAATGGGGTGCACGTGGAACGGGCCCGCTGCCCAGGCAATGTGCTGAACGGACGTGAGCACCGTCTGCGAGAACAGAAAGATGGTCTTGTTCGAGTTGTGCGGATGCGAGACCTAAAGAGAGAGTTAATGACAGGAGAAACATGACCACTAAGAGTACACGCACCTGTTCTGCCAGCTCTCCACTGCATACTACAACGGTAGGATGCTCTCCTTGAGACCCCTCTTGGCCGTCGTCTTCCGAACCAGACGTCGGCTCCTCCAGATATTTTGGAACCACGAATTCGAACTCCCAAGTGCACCGCTCCCAGAGGTTATCCACACAAGGCACCCAACACCTCGCCGCATCCGGGCACGTCGGAGAAGTATAAACGTGCGGCACGCGCTAAAGAGACGATTAGTTCAGCTGCATCGCGATTCATTGAGTGTGACGCTTACAAAGGGGTACGCATCGGATGGAAGAACGAACTGCAGACCCTCTGCGGGATTGCGCAGGCTGTAAAATATCTTCACGGTAAGGGGCGCGTACTCCTTAACGACATTGTTGGCGCGGTGAGCCGATGGCCCTGGAGTCTGCGGTTCTGGGGTTCCCACTATCCGCGCGTAAGTAAGCGAAGACAACTTCTAGCAAAAGGAACGTACCTTCGCTGACGACACCCCCATTGAGAGATGAATTTGACTTCCCTTCCCCAATCTTTATCCCAGCGGGAAGTGCGATGGAGAGTTCACCCTCATCGCCTTCTTGCAGGGCCGAGTACACCCTCCTCTTCAGCTCGGGGTGATTGTGGCAATCCGGGTTGGAAATGTTTAGGGAGGAGAGAGGATCATGATGGATGAAGTCCGCGGGTTGTGACGCGACAGTAACCGAATGAATATCTGCACGACATCGTATCAACCAAAAGCAGACAAATATCCAAGCTTACTCACAGCATTGCCGCGAATGAAGATGGATTGTCTTCAGATTCTCGCTGTAGGGCACAATGGTGATCTCTGTGTAGCCCTGTGCGCCCATGAGCAACGCCTATCGACAAACGACGTGGAAAGCACGCTACCCAAGCACCCCCAGAAAAGTCTATCTCGAGAACAACCTTTTGATGGCTAGTAGATACGGAAAACACGGTCAGGACGACAAAGACAGAGGGAATGTGAAGGGACGTATATCGTGAAGCCACGCCTGATGTATTCGCGCTGCATCTTTGCTACAGCATAGTCTCTCTGCCAGGTTCAAGAATATAGAGTACCCGCGCTTTTCTAATCAAAAACGGGCAGTATCGGGCAGCACCAGCTACGACGATGAGGACGTTCAGCGCCGTCAACAATGAGAGTGGCGACGGCAAGGGTGACACAGCTGGTGTGACTCGGCGTCACGGAGCGTCACGGCCACGGATCAAAGATTCGGATCTCGATTCACATGCAGGCCGACTTTTACACACACTTCGTTCCTGCGCACTGCAGGTCGTAGAAGTCTACCATGGCCCCTAAGAAATCGGTATTCAGGCAGCCTGGGGCGAGGCACTTTCAGCTTGTGCACAGGTCGCAGCGCGATCCGCTCATTCACGACCCCGAAGCAAGTCAGCATGTCCTGAAGCCATTCGAGCGGGAAAACGTCAAAAAGGTATATACATTCCATTCCACCATCTACTATACCTTCCCTCAACTATTTATTAGGGAAAATCCAGAGCAGAACTCGAATCCTACCTCTCCCCCTCCGACCTCGCCCATGACCTCCAGCGCCCCAACATCGGCGAGGCCGCCCTCTACGGCATCTACTACGACGACACCGAGTACGACTACATGCAGCACCTCAAGCAGGCCGGAGTCCAAGAAGAAGGCGTCGAGAGCGTCCTCATCGAGGCCCCGCAGCCGCCCAAGGCGAAGGGCAAGGGCAAGGTCCCTATCCAGCTGCGCGACCTCCCCGCGGAGGCGCTGCCCTCGACGTCGGAGCTGCCGAGGAACTATGATTCGTTGGCGGCCGTGCCGTCGAGCATTGCGGGCTTCCAGCCGGACATGGACCCGCATTTACGCCAGGCGCTCGAGGCGCTCGAGGACGATGCTTTTGTGGATGAAGGGTTGGAGGATGATTTCTTCGCGGAACTCGTGGCCGAGGGTGAGCGGGACGAAACAGAGCCATTCGAGTACGAGTTCAAAGAAGACGGCTTGGAAGAGGGAGAAGAGGTTGGGGAGGCAGAGGAGGAAGACCAGTCATGGGAAGCCCGGTTCAAGCAATTCAAGATCTCGCAAAAACAAGCTGGGCCTCCTACAGATCCCGCCTCTGAATTTGAGGACGAGGAAGACAGGGACACTGTCTCCGGACTGCCCCAGATCGCCGTGATTGGCGGTAAGCGCAGAAGAAAGAAGACATCAGATGCATCTGGTTACAGTATGAGCAGCTCCTCGATGTTCCGCAACGAGCACCTCTCCGTCCTGGACGAACGGTTCGACGCCGTGCGTATCTCTTCTACCCGTCCACACGCGCATTACTCAACAAGCACCGCAGATCGAGAGGGAATACGGCTCCGACGACGACTTCGACGACGCCGCCTCGCACTCCTCCTCCTCGGACGAAGCCCCGCAACTCATCACCTCCCGCGAAGACTTCGAGTCCATGCTCGACGAGTTCCTCACCGACTACGAAATCCTCGGCAACAAAATGAAACACGTGCTGTCCGGCGACACCGCCGCGGAGAAACTCGACACGCTCCGGCGGGCAATGGGTCAGGACGACCGCGTCAGAGTGGAGCAAGGAGCGGACGCAGAGGAGGAGGAGCCGCGCGAGTTTACGTGGTTCGCGGAGGAGAAGGAGGACAAGTGGGACTGCGAGACTATCCTTAGTACGTACTTTCTCCTGCTTACACGCGTCGCGTTGTTCACTTCATTGCAGGCACATATAGTAACCTCGAGAACCACCCCCGGATGATCAGCGCTCGGACCAAGTCGGTGCCCAAAATCCGCCTTGACCCTCGAACAGGACTTCCCTCCGTGCAAGAGAAACCCGAACGCAAAGCTAAACCTCCCAAGGAGGAAGTTGACGACGACTCGGATCTCACGGAGAACGAGAGAATAGGTAAGGCGTATATACAACATGCCCCCTCAGGTGCTCAGCCCCTTCTGGTGTAGGCCCTGTCAGAGTCACGGTAGTCAGGACCCGCAACGAATCCAAGGAAGAGAAAAAAGCCAGGAAACAAGCCGTCAAGGCTGAACGCCGGACTCGCCGCGCAGAGAAGAAATCCACGAAAGAGGAATTCTCCAACGAAATTAAGCAACAGACGAGCCGCATCGCACAAAAGGGGAATTCGGCGAGAATGCGGAAGCTATGATAGCGCGTGTTCCATTATAGAGTAGCAATACATACACTTGGCGAGACTACAAGAGGATTGAATGCGACAATATAATACAAGTACTGCATGGGTATCAATAGACAGGATATGATATGGTAGTGCTACTGGGAGTCCGAGATGCTCCAGAACGGGAAGATAAAGTCGCGAATGGCGGCGAGAAACCATGATAGCGCTCATGGGATGCATTACCAGTCAGGCCAGAGATCTAGAAGACTGTCGCCCTCCTCCTCAGGAGTGTCCTTCTGCTTCATCCACCTGTCGGGGACCTGAAAGCAAGTCGCAATTGTCACAACCACCAAAGTAGATGGAGAGAATGCAAGAGGACATACCAAGGGGAAGTACCTCTCCATGGCACTCAGGAAGCGCTGGCGATACTGCTTGGGAGTAATGATAGTTGGTTCACCCTTTCCAGCGGCGCCCAGATCCTTCACCCAGCTTTCCAGCTTCTTGTCCCAGGTGTAGGTTCGGATGTAATCTAGACAAGTATGATGAGAGGACCGTGGAGGCAGACGCAGGAGTACCTACCGACAATACCGACAACTAATTCCTTCCTCTCGCTGTCGACCCCCACCACGAGGGAGTAATCCATAACGTTAATGTCCGCCAGGAATTTACTGTCGTTATATAATGCGCCACGTAGTATCCGCTTTGAGTGCTCCCGCAAGTAGAATGGAACCAGATGGGCGACTAAATGGCCTCAGTCGCAGATATCAAGAACAGAATGCGGACTGTGCTCACCCTCGACTAGATTTTCATCTAGAAGAACTTCATTTTCCCGTCCAGTAGACTGGACGTGACGGTTGCGAGTGGAGCCCTTAAGATCATAGATCTAGGAATTATTCAATTACATGTCTGCACAAAGGGTAGCCTGATGCATACCTTCGAAAATCGACGATCATAAAACAGGTTCTCCATAACAAGGAGGTTCATCTGGAGCGACTTCGATCTCCCAGATCCGTTGTCCTTAGTTTTTCTGAACGCTATCTTGTAGCACCCAAACACTTTCGCAAGCAGGGTGGGACGCTAGGACAGGGAGTTGAGTCTTTGTCAGACGCACCATGCGGTGAACTCACCTTGGCAGTGACCGCAGATGACATGTAATCGAAATAAGCCGGTCCAAACGACTCCATGGTCTGCATCTCAGCCTTAGAGAGTTCTTTTGCGATGAAGCGGTCATCTATAACAGATAAATAACGATTTGGAATGGTATTGATAATAGGAAACTTACCTCTGGTCTTCAGGAACGCGGAACCTGATTTACCACCGCTTGCGTTCCATTTGATGCACCGCGCTAGAGATTCTATCATGCTCTTCTCGCAATCATAGGTTCGTCGCAGAGCGTCGAATTGTTCGGGATACAAAACAGTGCATGAGATGGTCAAGCCCCCGCTCTCGAACGCTGCACAGGACGTCAGTAACACAACGCAGATAAGAAACACTACTCACAGATTTGCCATGGTAGTTTCGAAGAGGGGACACGCATTTCTTCCGTTGGATTCGTTCCTTCAGCCACTTCTACGTTAACGACACCCCAGGTGGATGTAGATTCGGCCACGGAACGATCATCGGGCATGAACACCTCTCCACTTTCCGTCAACTTAGGCTCTCTCGCTTGTCGCTTCTCCGCGCGAGATTTGCCGAGCATCTCGCGATATTGCGGAGAACTATATAGAATATGAGGCAAAGAAATGTTATCTAGTCATTTGACTTACTTCAGAGCCAGTGCAATGATAGAAGTAGGCTCGTCGGTGCGCACAACCATTGATGATTCTCGAAAAATATGCTCAGGATCCGCCATAGGATCATCCGCGTCCATTTCCATGCGGGAGCGAGGTTGCGGGAATTGTTGCGGCCAGAAACCAGAAAGCGCTTTCAAAATAGAGTGACGCTCTGCACCTGGCGGGCCCATATCAAGTTCCGCAAAGGGGTGCGTAGGGGATGGCTGTTGTGTCATAGGAGTCCCCGACAGTATGGGCGACGGAGGGAAAGAAGGGAGATCCTGTGCGATATCACGAGCTCGTGGCACCTCGACGAGTTGGCCTGTGTGTTTCGCGCCGTCGACTCCGGCAGAGGGATCAGCAGAGGGCATCCCACCAGCCATTTCCCGTTCGACCACAACCGTAGGGGTTTCAACTGTCGTATCAACTTTCGTCTCAACTTCCGGAGGTTTGCGAACGTCTTCTTCGTCGCCGCCCCCTTCGTCGTCAGCCTCACTAGAAGAGTCTGAGCTTTCTGACTCATCCCTGATTACATCTTGTACGCTTTCGAGTACCTCAACCCGAGCTCGAGCAGAAGCGACAGGACGCGGTCTGCGACCTCGGATGACAGCATATCGCTGCCTACCGGATCGCTCGTTCTCTTTGCTAAGACGTTCAAAATGCTTCGCTATGTTGGAGACTTTGCTGCCCTGGCTGGGTGTTATGCGGCGGAGGGTCGACTTGGGGCCAGCTGCGGAGGTCGGGCGAGAGGGCGCTTTGTCTTTCGCGTTCCCTCTCACCGCTTTCAACCTGGAGCCTCTGCCGACGGCGAGGAACTGTGAGGTACTGCTACCAGAAGCGACTGGGGGCGGCGATGTACGTCCGGTTCGGAGGGTGGTATCGGTGGCGGTCCGGATGAAGGGCGGTCGCTTGTCGGGAGAAGTTCGACGGGAAGTAGGGCCTGATTCCAATGAGGATGCGAAGCCTCCTGGAGCTCGAGTACCTTGAGCAACATGACGTCGTGGACGCGCTAAGTACCGCGGGGCAATATTGGCGGCATAACTGTGCTCGAAATCTGAAGTTGAAGCCTTCCTGGCAAGCAAATTGCCGCGTGGTTTGGTCTTAATTACGGTCCGAATCGGTTGGCTAGTAAACTCTTGATCGCTTTCCGGATAGCGCGGAGGAAGAGCCGTCTTCGCTAGTTCTTGCACTCCCTGAGGTGGCAGATACTCTTGATATTTCTTGACTAGCTCAGCCACGCTGGGTTGTTGAGCAGAACGCCTAGGCAGCCTCGACACGCGTTGCGGAGGTGCCGGGTCAACCCTCACCGCACCTGCTTGACGCTTCATCATAATTAGTACCATTGTGGACACCATTGGGATACAACTCACGACAGTCGATGGTGACAGAGTCATTTCTACTTCGCCCGGTACAGCCCCGATAGTCGAATCGCTATCGGGATCGGACGTGCTCGCTTGTTCAGTCACAGGCGCGCTTGTAGTGTCTTCGGTCGAAACAAGTTCATTATCCGAGGGAAGTTGGCTGCGGCGCAAAGTGCCATCGCCGACATCCGACTCTGATGCCTCGGATGCAGAGGACGTCGATGTCAGCGAGTCCCCTGTTAATCTTCTGGGAGGCATGACTACTTCTTCAGCTTCTGAAACACTTGATGAAGGTGCGTGCTGATCGAAGGCTGTCGACAGTTCATGTTTCCTGGGCCACATAGCGCGTACTGTTCCAAAGGCAGACACTCTGCGCCCACCTTTCTCCCAGGGAACCTGTGAGACCCTTGGCTTAGGAAGCCCGTCAAACTCCTGCTGCCATGCGACAATCTTGTCCTGTCTGTAGGCGCGTACTTCGTTCAGGGCTAGCGTGTCCGTCGGGGACGACTCCTTGTACACTTTATTGATCCGTCGAGCGATCTCATTTCTCTCTGTTTCGGCTCTAACGATTAGTGCATTGATTTCAGCACTTTGTTGGGCGTCAGCTTCTTCATCGCCGGTGGCAGCATCAATCTCTGTCAACCTGAGGTCGTGAATAAGGGCTGTGTACCAAGTCGTGTTGCGATTCATTAGACGCTCGTAGTCGGTATTTTTCAGCTCCAGAAGAGTTTCCGGCCTGACGCGGATGCGCATCGGTGGGTACACGACTTCATGCAATGTAATAGGGTCAGCCTGGAACCGAACAGACATGCCGTTGAAGGCAAAGTATCGGACGTGATCCCGGTAGATGTTATGCTGACAACCAGCCCCTTGAACCAGCTGGACGTCCGCGGGATAGAAGTGCAATTCCAAGAACTTGGCAAAAGAATACCTTTGCATCTCCTGCGAAATTGGTATAAACGGTGTGACCGACCCGCACTTCCTGCAGACGCTCCAAGTAGTGATCAGGTCCGGTGAGGGTGCGTAAGCGGCCTGCCCTTTGATTTGGCCGTCCCACTGTTCTACTCCAACGAACAGCCGAGTCTCATTATGGACATAGACCTTGCAATGCCGTGCAAGAGGCTGATTGCAGCCCTTACCCGAGCAGACTGCTTTCGGATCCAGGAACTGACGGACGGTCTCCACGATAGATTTGTCTATGAATTGTCCCAAAGTACAATCGCCCTCCCCATAGAAGGTGACGTATTTGAGTTTTGGCGGAAAGCAGGCGCGGTGGCGTTCGTACTCAGCTATGGGTAAGGTGAACTCCCATAGACTGATACATTGATACTTCTCGACCACGAAGTCGTCGCGGTTCTTTCGAAGATACCATTCCCAGACCCTTCGTTGCTCCTCATGCTGCGCCTTTACTTGCCCATAATGGCTTTCTAGGGCGATGTCGGCAACCGACCTGAGCGGGATCCGGGTCTCGTCAGGTGCGACGGTCGATAAGGCTGGTGAAGCGGGTGCGGTCAGAGAGGTAGTGGCCATTGTGGACATGGACGAAGTCGATGTATGTTTACCGTCGAAGTAACTGGATGGAGTATCTGAACCCGATGAACCTTCAACGTCGCCGGGCTTCGGTGTTTTGGACAGATCATGCAATGCCGGTAACGCCTCTATCTGGGCTTTTAGTTCATCTTGGAAAGAAGCAGGCGTTATGGTCATCTCTTGTTGGTGCCCGTGGTTGACTTTCTCCTCTCGCCTGATAACTTCATCTTCCCAGGCCTGCTTAGCCCTGATGAGCTCATCATCTAGCTCTTTCATCCTCTTGATAGGATACGGCGGGGGGAAGCGCAAAGTCGCCGAAACGGATATGAACGTGTTCAAATATGGCTCTAAGGATTCTTGGATTCTTCTAGAGAGTTTCAACTGCTCTGCGTCTTCATCCACTACGCTTCTGGCATCACCCTCGCTGTCCATATCATCATTGTGAGCCGAAGAACTCCCAGTATCCCCTTGATTGTCAAAGGTAGCTGCGAAGTTGGCAAACGGATCATGTTCGGTGGACTCCGCGTTGGACGGAACTGCGAGGCTCGAGAGTGGCGGCAATGTTATGAGCGAGTCCTTCCATAGATGCGTCTCCAATTTCAAGTTCCGGACGATGAAGGCCAGGAATCTGGTGACCTTCTTAATCCTCCTCAACACCTCAATGTCACCCCCACGGACGATAATGGTGCATCCCATGTCCCGACTGCATCCCTCAAAGCGCATGAAGGTCTTACGCCGCCCTGGGATCAAAGGATGATCAAACGTCTGGATCCGGAAATTCGATGCGTGTCCTAATCGAGGCTCCAGAGCCAACTTGTCAATGGATGAGAACACATCCGCCTGCGTCATGCGTGCAACAAACTGGACCGCAGACCCCTTCACCGATCTCGCGACGGCTATCCGATGCTTCGCAAGCGCGTCCAGCGCGAGTCGCGAGACGGACTTCTCAACCAGCAGTACATGCGGCCTGAGCGCTGCAATTCGACTTGCAAGGTTGCCGAGATATTCCTTCTCCTGCCGCACGATCTGTCCGAAATGCATGTACTGCCCTTCCACTCGGTGGAACTCGAGTGGAAAGGTAACAAGCATCACCCGAGGGTTCCGCTGGGTCCGAGACATCTGCTTGTGCGCGACATTCTTGGTAATGACTGCACCGTCCACGTATTCAGAGTCTTGAGGAGTACCACCCGGAAGCTTCTTGATCTTAACATACCGGCGGACATCCATATCTGCGCCTTGTCGCTGGGGGTACGCAGTGAACGTCAATTCACGAGCAATACGAAGTGCCAACTTCAGCAGCGTCTCCTCCCACTCCTTGACATTTGGTATTTCTTCCTTGGTCAGCATCTGTCGCAACATAATCCGCAAATGGAACATCGAGATCAAGTTCAGCTCCTGTGCATAGGCTGTACTTTCTCTCCGCTGTCGCCAAGCGGGCTCCCCGGGAATCATGTATTCCGTCAATCGGCTCTGTACACGACTTCTGATAAATGGCGTGCCAGGATCGTCGTAGCCTGCATAAGAGTTATACCGTGACCTCAGAGCATTGTGCGGTCCCGGGCTGTCCACAATACCCGCTGAATACGCATTTTCTGGTGATGATCCTGGAAACTGAATTGAGCTAGTCCCATCGACATTCACGGGCACGGTTATCGGGAAGTCTACAGGAGTTTTAGTACCACCCCTTGGTGATTGGTCGGGACGCTCAGAGGACGCATCCTGGACATCGAACACGTCCTTCTCGTCTTCGTGAACACCGCGACGGAAAGGCGCTATACTCTTACGCATGGCGTCTCTGGTTACCAGATCGTCCGGGGACATAGATCGTGCAGGAGAGGAGAGACCGCTATCATCCGACCGGTTGGCCGCACGTCTATTCCTAGCCTCAGCTATCGAGAATAAGTTATAAGGTTCGTCGGACCGCCCGAACAGCTGTGCCGCCGCGAACGGAGACTGAGGGTGATGACCCAAGCCAAAGGACATAGCGTCCATTCCGAACTGATGAGCTGCAAAGGCTGCAGATGTAGGCGCAGATGTAACGGACCGTCGGTCATCTTCGTCCTCCTGGTCACCCTTTTGCAATTTCTCGAGGCAAAGATTACAGACACGAAGCATGCCGTCGTGGCCGAATCGGGAGCCTTTGATTATGTTGGAAGCACATCTCGAGCAAAAGATTTGCCCTATAGACTGATTAAAGGGCTGCATCCTATTGAACGAACCGACGCACCGCATATACGACAATGATGTTTCCGTCTCCAGGTCGTAAACACACTCTTGCAGTCATAACATTCCTTGCAGTTTTCATCATCCATCCAGTAATCCTTCGAGAGGCCTACAGATTGAGATCAGAAGGTGAGACGTCGAAGTAGCGGATGGGATGATTACCCTCCCCGCGTATCCTCCGCATGACCTTGGACACTGAATCTGACCTCCTCACGCTCATAGTGGTTCTTATACTCCGAGCGTCATCTTGTATTGGGAATCCAGGGATCGCAGTGCCGTATGCTCCCCCATCTGGAGTTTCCACTGCCGGTGAATTCATCAACCCACCCCGAGATGGTGGCCTATCATATTCGCCATTGAATGATGGCGCTTCGGATACTACCGGCGTAAGCGAAACAAGTGGAGGAGCAGTCTTGGGTAATAGAACAGTAAGAGGAGCATGACGATCCGTGGACGATCGGGAGGAGACGTTAGAGGTCTGGTGCTGAAGCACCGAGTTGGACGGCCGTCGTAGTTCAGTAGTACTGGATGACTTCGCAGTGCTCTCTTTCTGTCCATTACTGGTGATAGTCGGCGCTCCAGAAGCTACAGCTACCGCTTGCGACAGCGGATCGGTAAAGGTGCTCTTCAGCTTCGAAAACAAGGAAGACACCAGCGCGTAGGAAGATTGATCGTTCTCGTCCTCTTCCGAGAAGGGATTGAAAGACGTTAGACTCGTGACATCGTCGACCAGCTTCGTGTTGCTGCGAGATCGTGAAGATAGCCCGCTCTGGCTCGGTCCAGGGAGAGACGTAGGCGATTCCATGCGGTACACTCAATGTAAGGCAAGAGATTTAACGTGGTTGCATCTTTTGCTCGACGAGAGGGACGTCACCGATGGAGAATAACGGACGTAAAGTATGTTTCGGGAGGACGGGAAGCGAGTTCCGAGAGGTTCTGGGAACACAACAGATATCCTCCCAAGCCTGCGCTCGAGCAGCAGATATCAAGCAAAACTGAACCGTCTATCCAGTCCGGTATCCAACGTCGACAGCAGCGATGGCGGCCAGTAATCAAAGCTAATGTGCGGATAGGGAGTTCGGAGGCCAAGTTGGACTCGGACGCGGAGCGCAGGTAAAGCCACCGCGCGAGGAGCACGTGCCAAGGCGCCCACAATCTAGCCTAGTAGTAGTACGCGTCCCACCAGAGCAGACGCCACTGGCCAGGACCCGACTCAGACTCTTTCCGAACACATTTACTAAACCATGGATGAAGATGATGCCGACTATATGCAAGGGAGTGATGATGAGGCGAGTCACCCTCTTCACCCAAGTCATTACTTGGCTTGAACCCGGGCGCAGGACTATGGCTTTGAGTATTCGGACGATGATGAGGCGAACGAGTCTGGAACGGTGGACATCGAGAATATGTACTACACTGCAAAGTGTAAGATTTTTGTATGTGGCTGCCTTGGACCGACGGTAATGGCTCCGTTCAGCGAAGAAGGAAGACAATCCCGAGCAAGCACTGAAAGAGTTCCGGGCCATCGTCGATCAAGAGACGGAGAAAGGAGATTGGTTCGTATCATCCTCGTACCCCCTTAGCGCATCTGTACATTGATTACTTACAGGGGCTTTAAAGCTTTGAAGCAATCCACGAAGTTGCTCTTCCTTCACCTCCACCGACCAAACGATGCATTGAAGACTTATACCGAACTGCTCACCTACACCAAGTCTGCTGTGACTCGCAATTATTCCGAGAAGACGATCAACGGTATATTGGATTATGTCGGCGGTGGGAAGGGTGGTCCCGTGGAGGTCGATGTGTTAGAACGGTTCTATCAGGCAACAAAAGATGCCCTCGTGGAAGCGAAGAATGAGGTGAGTCACTCCCCTTCCTAAGAAGAGTCGTTAAAGATTGCTCTCAATACCTCAATAATAGCGTCTGTCTGTCAAGACAAATCTCAAGCTAGCCAAGCTATGGCTGGATCGTCGGGAATATGGCCGCCTATCAAAGGTACGATCCTTCCTGTAGCGTGTCACTGTGTCTCATCTACGCTTCCCTAGCTTATCAAAGAGCTGTACGATGCAACCGGAACCGGGTCAGACGGCGATGACCAGTCACAGCGTGGCACCCAGTTACTAGAAATCTACGCGCTCGAGATACAGATGCACAACGAGACCAGGAATCTCAAGAAGTTGAAGGTCTGGATCCATCTCTATATTCGTTACAGTAATGGCCTAAACAGTGTGGTTAGGAAATCTACAACGCCTCTAATAGCGTCCGTTCTGCCATTCCACATCCTCGCATCATGGGGGTAATCAAGGAATGCGGAGGGAAAATGTGGATGGGTGAACGTATGTAGTTGTCTCTAATTCAACTCCTGACTGTTTCCAGCTGATCGGCGACCCGTCCACCCAGGTCAATGGAACCGCGCAAGCGAAGATTTCTTCGAATCCTTCCGGAACTACGACGAGGCTGGATCGCCGCAGCGCATCCAAGTCCTGAAATACCTCGTGCTGGCGAACATGCTCACCGGGAGCGAGGTGAACCCCTTCGACAGTCAGGAGACGAAACCGTGAGTACCGGCCTGGGTCTGTGGCGGGTCTTCCGAAGTAACGTTGCGTTGTGCAGATACAAGAACGACCCGCAGATCAAGGCTATGACTGACCTTGTGGATGCCTACCAGCGACGAGAGGTCTTCGCTGCCGAGAAGATCATACGAGGTTACTCCGCTGATTTTGTTTTGATCATGTCGGCTGAAGGGATTAATCCAACAGACAACCGCTCGACGATCATGGACGATCCCTTCATCCGGCAGTATATCGGTGAACTGCTAAATAGCTTACGGACCCAATACCTCATTGACCTCATCAAACCGTATAATCGGCTTGAACTGTCCTTCCTTGCAAAAGTGGGGGGAGCAACACGTCGTCGTCCGGCTTGCCGTACTGATGTCATGTTTCTCTAGCAATTGAACGTTGATAAAGAGGAAGTGGAAGAACTACTCATCGGTCTCATATTGGAAGGCAAAGTCGATGGTCAGATAGACCAGGTTTCCATGAGACTGGAGCTTTCCCGAAAGTCAGCCCTTCACTTCATGATCTGTCACAACTTCCTCAGACCATGTATACTTTTATCTAGACACAACTTGGAAAAGAAGCGCTATACCGCTTTGGAGAAGTGGACGGAGGCTCTCGAAGGTGTGCACTCAGCAGTCATCGGGAAGAATGGGAGCACGCGAGGGGATCCTGCCATGGGTCTACCGCCGGAATCGTTTGGTGCTATGCGAGAGATGGATAGGTGGGGGTAGGTTTGTCGCAATTCATGTTCTCTCGCTTTGTGTAACCGCATCATTGAAATCTGTATGCATCGGTATCCATACCGTTCACGAGCTCATTGACCTCATATCTGCGAGTCTCAGCATGGTGGGGTGAAATGTGGTCCACTCGGACAAACTCCAGAGCACAGGCTATGACGAAAACCACATGTGTAACGAATGGTAGATGTAAACTCTGCAGAGGCCAAGTCAGCTTCAAGAACGGGCAGACATCAGAATACTCACATGAGGGTGACGTGGGTCGTATAGGTTGCCAATCGTAGTTCCAACCCAACCTCGACGGAGTGTCGGTCGGCACGCGCAATTCTCTGGGGAATAGACCACGAATCCGCGCCTCCATGGCCTTCCTCTCGGATCCCCTCAAGCCCTTTACAAGCTCAAGCTCCTTTGCACTCCGTGCCCTAGGGTCCTCTGGCCGATTCGCTTCAATGTACAGATGGTTGTCCAATTTGTAGAGCTCGTCCATAGCTTCCTTCATCTTCTCAAACTTCCTCTGCAGTTCGGCTTCCCTTTTCCGGCGCACATGTCGCTGATGAAGTAGCCACGCCCGCTCAATGGTCTCGTGTGCTTGCACAGAGGGTATGGCGTGCTGGAGAGCCCGGCCGACGTCCGAGCGCCATGTCCCAGTAGGAGTGGATTTGTTTCGTAGGTTAGAGGGATACAGCACGCGCCGGAGGATTTCTTTGCGCGGGTCCCCGGCAGGAGCGTCGCGACCAGCGTACCGCACGGAAGTCTGGCATATTCTGAGCGATGGCTTGATGCTCCTTGCCGGGAGCGAAGAGAAAGCTAGAGACATGCTCCGCGGACCTGGGGGTAGTTAGAAGATGGACAACATTATCATAGACTAATTTCAGTGCCGCTACAGAGGCACGTGACCACTTCTCCGTAAATTGAAGCGCGAAACTTTGCGAGGCCCTACTGCCCTCTCTAAGGACATGTTTGGTCTCGGTTCACTGTGTCGGCAATGCTATGGATCCATAACGTCGAGACCGGTGTGCTACGCAGACAATTTGTGGAATTTTGCCCAGGCTAACCTATCCATTTGTTCAGAATACCGTGTTGTCACGGCAGCTGTCCAGCAGTCCGGTCCTGCAGCTCCGGAAGGTCAAGACCAAGGTTCCGACCATCTCAAAGAAAGCGGCTGCCGCGAAAGCTCGTAGGAAGGAGGCTCTCAAGAAGAAGAGGAACATCTACGAGCATGAGAAGATGCCCTTAACGGAGGCCATTAACGTCCTGCGAGTACGTCCTCCGATCCATCCGGTGAAGGGTGTAATATTCACGTGGAGTAGGCGGTTGAAGTGGCCAGACCAAATGCAACCTACGAGCTCATAGTCAAGACCGAGATGAAGCAAGGCACTGCCATTCCGAAGGGGCGTATCAATTTACCCCGGGAGGCGAAGCAGAAAGCTCGCGACAAGATTCTTGTCTTTGCGGAGGGGAGGCAGGCGGACGAAGCCAAGAAAGCAGGTGCTGACATCGTGGGCGGTCCGGAGCTGATCGAGGGTGTAAGTTGCCCTTGATCCTTCCCCTGTGCTGACCGTGCTCACGGAGTGTTACGGGACCTTCACAGGTCATAAATGGTCGTCATCAAGCCACCATCTTTCTCTGTACGCCGAACCTCATCCGCACGATTACGCCAAAGCTGGGTCGTGTCCTTGGTCCTAGAGGTTTAATGCCGTCAGAGCGTCGCGGCACTGTCACGGATGATATAGCTGGGTACATCCGGAGACTCCAAGGGAGTGACGAATGGAAGGGCGACAAGGCTGGCACCATTCGCACACCCATCGCAAAGGTTTGTGCGATTCCGCTTCATGCCCTTCCTCGGCTGTTTCTCACTTTCTGCGACCCTCAGCTACAATGGCCCATAGACGACGTTATCAAGAACGTTCGACACTTCATCACAACTGTGAAGCGGGCGACGGGCATTCAGAAGGACGACGCAGAGTCTAAGAAGGGCAATAAGCCCTCGACCTCAATAACGAAGGTCGTCCTCAGTTCTAACCAAGGACCTGGCATACAGATAGCAGATGTATAATAATAATACAGCTTTCCTATGGTATATCTATAGCTACAGTGATTGAGTGGTGAACACGCTCGTAAGTAGGAGTTGAGAGTCTGATCCTAATCAAGATCATCGAACGAGTCGCGGTTCCGAACCCTTTGCTGACGCAGTTTATCCGCCCGCTCTTTCAGCTCACCATCGAGACTTGCGTAGCTGGCGGCCTGCTGTCTGTGCAAGTTCTTGCGTTTGCCGATGTCGCTGCCTTTGACGGGGGTTGTGTCACCAGCCCGTCTCGCGCGAGTGGGCTGGTGCCTTTCCTGAGGGGCATTCTTGGGTTCGTGCGGGAATATATCGCCCCAGCTCGATTTCCGAGCGTCGTAGAAAGGCTGCTTGCCTTGCGACTTCGGGATTGTCATGCGCATAATCTTGGCTGGGCGAAAGAACATATTAGAGCTAGATGCGCCTTCTAAAGCAGTGAATTACCTTCATGTGTGCATGCATCGATGATGACATGGCCGCTGCGTTTCAAAGGGGGGAACACTAAACGCGGCCAGCTGAAGGCTTCGAGACGTAACTGATCCTGTATCTCATCAAACGACCCTTCTACTTCAGTAAGCCTAGTAGGGCCAGTTATATGAACGTCTTCATGCTTTGCAGAAGGGTGTTCGTGATGTTCGCCAACGAGCCTGAGCTCTTTAAGCGGTTCAGGATTGAAGGCCAGCTTCTCCAGCACGCGAGCGCCGACAGAGCCTATCCGTCCCACTTTCTTCTCCGGCACCGCTGGACGCTCACCTCGCCGAATGACGACGTACGAGTATCCAACATCTTCGTGACCCGTTCCGGAGTGTTTCGTCCTGCGGATGAACTCAGGGCGTTGCAGCCGCTGCGAAAAGCCGCACACGAGTCGCGTCGATCCGGGGTGGTACAGAGGGCAGGTGCCGTCATGTGGACAAGGTGCAACCACATGAGCCCCTTTAATTTCGGACGGCCAGCTCGCCATGTCAGGGTTCTGGAGTTCTTTGCGTCCCATCGTGAGTATCTTTTGCCTGGCTTCTGCGATACTCTCAAAGCCTTCCGTCGTGCTGTGGTCAATCAAGATCTGGATCAAGGACTTTAGTATCTTTCGTGAGGATATATCAGTTGACCTACGATAACGCTGGCACCGCTCTCCCACATTTCCTTGACAAGCTCCTTCTTGGCCAGTGGATTAGGTAAAGAAGACAGCTGGAATGCGGATAATGCCACGAAGTCTCCCCCGCGTGCACGTTCCACTGTGTCCTCCTCGTGGAGTGATTTCCGCCAGGATACCTTTAAGTCGCCCATCTCGATATTTTGCAGTAAGCGTTTTCCGATGGAAACTAGTCCATCCCGCCTGTCGATCCCAACGTAATTGAAGACTGTAGACAATGCAAGCTGACGGTCGATAGCCGAATCTGCAGACTGGAAGCAATGTCCCGCAGCCCTGCAAGGAATGAATGATCAACGACACACAACGAAATGATGACAGACGTATGTACCATAGGCCACTTCCAGTCCCGGCACCCCAGTCGATGATTCGTCCCACTTTCCAGTCAGGACCCAGCCGGCGCTTCACATGATCCAATACCGAATAAATGGCAGAGTAGTGTGCTGGAAGGGCGACTGACGCGAATGCTGTACCGTCCCTCTCTCGATGTCGCCCAGCTTGTTGTCTCGACTTATACTTGGTGTCGTAGGATAAATGCCACTGATTCTCGGTTTCATCCATGAAGAGCCGTTTAGCGTCCTGGTGTAGCATTGATTTGTCGGACTCTATGACTGTAATGAACCTAAAATACTACCATTCTCAGGAAGCATCATACCTGCTATAAGTCGATCAATTGAATTTTGAAGTTCCAAAGGTATGACGACCTGCCCTATGCGTCGACTACCAAAGTGAGCGGCAGGAGACTTCTTGATGTCCCAGTGATGCACCCCATCCTCTGCAGACAAGTCATCTTCCAGCGAGTTCTCTTCGTCCTCCGGGACGCTGAAGACCTCCAGCTCTCGCACAGGCTTTAAGGGCGACGTGTTCTCGACCAGCGACGCGCCGCTCTTCGCACGCATGAGAGAGATGTCCACGTCTTTTAAAAGGGCCTGCAAGGAAGGGTCTAAATCCAACGGGCCGTTGGGTTGAGAGCAGACCAAGGGCGTTGAAGTGAATCTGGCGCTTTGCGACAAGCTAGGCCGCATGACCCGCAAAGACCACGCACAACGAGACTGTAACATTTTCGAGACCTAGCGAGCGAATGTCAAAGACAGAGTCTCCCGCGTCTCCCTACGAGAGCGGCCGGATAGAGACGCGCGAAATTATTTACATGTAAAGCCACTGGCACCGGGTCAATAATACTTAGAGTGTGCTTACGTAACCGCGGTCGCTTGCTGATCGACGCGTCGGCCACTAGCAGAGTCTAGCATCCTACGCGTGAGCTCGTCCGGAGTGTTTTTCACAAACAAATGGCCACTCGACGATCCGAGCCGTCTGACACTACAGCCACAGCAACCTCTGAACCGCCCAGAAAGAAGGCGCGGGTTGGAGACGACATCCAGGAAAGTGCATCGGAGGCAAATGGCGATAAGCAGGAGGTGCTAGAAGCGGACGGAGAATTAACAGACGAATATGAGTATGAGGAAACTGATGCAATCGAGAAGGCCGATGCACCTAGGGCATCCGACCTGTACCTCGATACGGTGCGTACCAACTGCTAGCCATGGTATTGTGCACGGCTATTCATACTGGAGTAGATCAACAGAGCGGTCCTGGACTTCGATTTCGAGAAATTGTGCTCGGTATCTCTCTCGAATATCAATGTATACGGCTGTCTAGTCTGCGGAAAATATTTTCAGGGCCGCGGGAAAAGCTCATACGCCTACGCCCATTCCATTCACGACGATCACCATGTATTTATAAATCTAGAAACAAACAAGGTGAGTCGCGTCTTATGCTTGGTGCGGGACCCCTATTTAATTCTGCTAGGTTTACGTCCTCCCTGATGGCTATGAAGTTGTAGATCCTTCACTAGAGGATATTGCTTTCTACCTGAAGCCGACTTTCACCCCCGCTTCCATATCCCAACTATCTTCCCCGGCTCACTTGAACAAACCATCTTACGACTTATCCTCGAAACCTTACATCCCCGGATATGTCGGCCTCAATAACATCAAAAGACATGATCACATGAACGTGATTATCCACACTCTACTTCACGTACCTCCACTACGAGACCATCTGCTATTGTCGAATTTCCGCGGTAAGGAAAGTGAGATGCTAAAGCGCTTTGCCGGCCTGGCTAAGAAAATATGGAATCCACGACTGTTCAAGGCTCAGGTCAGCCCTCACGAATTCTTGCAAGAGGTAGGAAGGGCTAGCGGTGGCAAGTTCAGGTTAGAAAATCAGGGTGACCCAGTCGAGTTCCTTGGCTGGTTGTTGAATCATCTACACAAGGACTTCGGCGGTACGAAGAAGAAGGACTCCAGTAAGTAGTGACGTCGAGGATCTCTGTTGTGTCGGCTCATTCGATGTCTAGGTATAATCTTCAAAACGTTCCAAGGCGAGGTGCGAATGGAAACCCAGCAAGTTGTCGTGGGTCGCGACCTGGATTCTGATCAAAAACCACGCTTTGCTATTGATCGGGGTTGGTGGTCTTCCTCATATACCCTCATAATCTACAGTGACATGTATGTAATCTGCAGAGATTAAAACAAGCGTTTCGCCCTTCCTCTTCCTCGCATTGGATCTGCCGCCACCCCCACTGTTCCAAGACGCCGTCGAGAAGAACATCATTCCCCAAGTCGGGATACACTCTGTCCTCGCCAAGTATGACGGAAAGACGACTCAGGCACGCTTATGGCATTCAGGTGTGGCCGCAGATGAATTGATTTTTGTTATCTGCATAGGAAATCCGGGGTCAGCTACGAAGGTACAAATGTCAACGCCTGCCTCCGTATATCATTTTGCACTTCAAACGGTTCACGAAGAACATGTTTGTGGAAGAGAAAAATCCCACTATTGTCAATTTCCCGCTCAGAGGACTTGATTTTCGAGATTGTTGGTCACGCTCTTACTTCATTCACGTCATTCTGACGAAACACTGACTCGGTGATTCTCCTGTGCCTGGCCCTTCAGATCTCGACGCCTCGCCTTCACACCCGTCAACGGCGTATGACCTCATCGCCAATGTGACCCACGAGTCTGTGGCCGGTACTACTCGTGATAAGGAAAATACGGTGTGGAAAGTCCACCTGCGGGCGGGCTCGGGCGGTGGCGATAAGGAGAAATGGTACCAAATACAAGACTTAATAGTTGAAGAGATTCGGAAGGAAATGATATTCCTAGGAGAGACTGTGTTGCAGGTGGGACACCCGATCTGACAGGCTCCCTTACTCATGCTGACCTCTTACAGGTTTGGGAAAGGCGGGAAGCTGCGGGAAAGCCTATGGATGTGGATTCCTGACGGCCACATCTATATCCGTGACCCCGACCTCCTCAAACGCAACTATGGCCCACCCGTTTGACATATGACATGGGTATGTATATAGAGTGCAAGGGACAGCGATGTTCGCGCATTGACATGTGTATCGCTGCGGTTGCCCCTCTAAACATCGTACTCAATAGTTGCACCGATTCTTCTACCCCGATATTGGTGATTTTGAATGCCCCATTGTATTATGTGAAACCCGGTCACCAATATCATCCCCCAACGCTATTTCGGAAGTTCTTAAGACACTTGTCGCATAACACGGCGTGATATCTCGAGAACAGTTTTAGAACATGATCAGGGTCAATCTTTCCAGCTGAAGTACTGGCAGCGGTTTAGGAAGATGGATTTTGGCATGCAATGTGGACGTGTGAGAGATGCATAGCCTCCCATTGGCATTGATACGGAGCCCTCAGTAACGACGGGTGGGGATTTCCTGCGTATGTCTTCTAAATCGCTGCCTTACTGGGGCCGTCCGGACGAGGCCGTCTTTGAACCAGAGTCTGAATGGTCGCCTGGACGAGGTTTCGAAATATTATCTGGATCCCGACTTCCCAGAGGGGTGTTAGCCTCTCCGCTTGCTGTCTGTGGAGGGGAGGTACTATTATAGCATGTCATCGCCGCGCGTCCTGAGAGTCTGGATCGTCCCCTGAACGTACGACTGATACTCTCGAGCTTGAGCCTCCAGGAGCGGCTTGAAAATGTATACTCCGGAAATAACACCTGATTTTGTTTTATTGAGAAAGGTACCATCACACCTAAATAATCGTTTACCGGTGAACGCAGCTACAAGGAGAGGAGTCAAGCGGCGGGACATAATACAAGTGTGCGATGAACTTGTAAGACGTCGGAAAGACTTTGCCCGCGGGAAGAATTCCCCCCGAAACCTTAAACTGGCCCGTTACTTGCCGTGACATGTCGACCAGTCGACTCTCTTTAGGTTCGGGCTATGGCACTTTTAGGGGGATTCATATCGTTGCTGAGCGTAGTTGATCATGCAGAGAAATCGGGGACTGGCATATCTAGCAGTACTGCATAGGTATAACGCTCGACCATCTACCCAATAGATCTCACGTATTCATTTCCCTCGGAGAACTTCTGCTGTCCTTGCCCTAGACTTCTTGGCCTAGGGCGACCAGAGCTTGTTTCGCAGCCTCTTCTCTTCCTACGCTCTTCTGTGCAGCAACAGCAGTGCCCTTTATTTCTCCGTTGACTGAAGGAATATACATGTCAAATTCGTGGCATTATTGCAGATGAATGTGGCGGCGCGGCGTACTTTTGCAGACAACCGTCCACTTTGCTTCATGCGATGGGCCAGTAGTAGACTCGGCCCAGCTAAGGGAATCCTCCATATGTTGAGACTGTAAGTCTATAAGTTATGTCAGAACGCTTTGAGAACGCATATTTGTGGCTGTACGTGCAGTTGTTCAGCCTGACTGTGTAGGCTGCGAAGGTGGTGAGTGAATACAACCGAGATAAATGATTAGCCTTACGAGTAGACATCTTACAGAGGACCTGAGCTGTTTGATGGAAGCGACGTCCGCTTGGTATATAAAGGGGACGGACTTAGGTAGAAAACAAACTCATAAAAAATATGGCAATTGTTTAGATTCCCAAGATATTCTAGGAAACGCAGCAGCAGGGTCTTCAGATGGACGGCGATCAAATATTCATGAGTCCGAACACTCACCTGACAGTTCCTCAGATACAAACAAGCCACGGAGCTCGAGACCATTCGGTGCGGAGTTTCCAGCCATAGCCTTTCCCGGAAGAGGAAGAATATGTCGCAGAGGTATTCTATAGTCGATGGGCGTTCTGTGGAGCCCGGCAACCTGCAACGAGCCCTATCGTCCTTGGGGCCACTAGAGTATAAGGCGGCGCCTACCTGGGGAAATGGGCCTCGCCTGAGCGGACAACACAGGTGGCGTTTCCGGTCTTATAATATGTTTCCCGGGATGTGAAGTGCGCATATAGACGGGTCTTGATCCGAAGATGGAAAGCAACTACAGGCTATCACATCTGTAAAACAGGCGAAAACAGGCGAAGGTCCCAAATTAGCAAACCCGTAATCCAGACATTGCAGCTTCAGGTCCGTCACTCACAGTAGCATGGAAGAGTGTCAGTGCATCAGAAATGATGAACTGCCTTAGACCGATGGCGGGGTTCTGACAATACTCGAGATGGATGTCAGTATCGTGGAAGAGCTAGCACCGATGGCTAACATTTACCAGCGCGACCTTACAAAGAGGGAATCTGCATTGAAGTGTAGTGGCACATCACTCGCAGCCCTTGGCCAATCCGATCTTAGAATTAGCGGAGCATCTGTGAAGTATGGACCTACGGGCAGGTCTTGCCTATATTAGATGCACTCTGGCAAAGAGAAGCCCTCGATGCTACTCGTTGACTAGCCAAAAAATAACTTAAGCATGCGGAATCAGCGAGTACCACGGAAGAGATGCTGAGGCAAGGGCGGGCATGAGCACTTGTCGAGGCCTACTCGTATGACCAGTATGTCCGTAACAGCCATTGAACTTGATCACTCGTAATCTCCGCCGCGGATTATCCCTATAACTGATTATAGGTAGTCAAGGCTACGTTTCCTGGCCGGCCGCAACAAACAATACGTAGACGGGGAAGTGCCAGAATGACAAGATGGCCCCATTCTAGCTGGGCTGGCTGGCGTGGCAGCCGTGCCACGAGGGAGTCACTGATCAGATGCCGGGGAATGAGATAAACCCGGGCAATTGTCTCTTATCATTATCTTCTCACCCGAATGGACGTGGAGACCCAGATGGCCGCTTGCTCGCAGTGACGGATATTGAGAATGGGCGCTTGCCAGTGCAACATTCCAATAACATTCTGAGGTCTGGCTGGCAAGAAGACAACCTATAACAATGTTTAAACACAGGTCTAAGAATTCCCATGTGCCACAACTTGCCTTGGGCGTCGAGTAAGCTTGTAATGCCAGCCTGATGCTGCTTAAGCTTGTCCAACCTGTTTTCGGCGTCTCATACTGTACACAGATATCTACGAAATCAGGATTCGAGTTCGGTCACTCAGGTCGAGCGTTAAGTTGGACCCTAGCTTGTGTGAATGCACAGCTGTGCAGGTGGGCTCTCCCGTCGTTAGATACTGACTTCGTCCTAAAGTCGGAACTGAACTTGGAGCGACGCCACCAAATTAGAAGCACGCGTGACGGTAACGCGGTTTTGTCACGATAGTTCGTCGATCTTGTTACAGCCGTTTGCAGATTGATAGACCACCAATTCAGAAAATCGCGTATAGTCGGAGTGGATCGGAGTGGGTATCAGGGACGTCGGAGGAAGGTGGGAAAGTCCAGATGGTCTGATTTCCGTCTCTCGGGGACCCACAATTGCTTGTCCGACGTGGTCCGACTGTAAATGACTTTTGAAAAGTGGGCCCATCAGTCTGCAAACGGCTGTAACTCCTTAGACATCATTTTTCGATGACTGGGAACTCCTTCACAGTATGAATACCGTATTATTCGCAGGTCTTAGGCGCCCGAGACGAGCACTCGATATGCATTCATCTCCTTGGCATGACACCACGCCCGTAATTACGCCAGCTTGGGAACACTCGGTGTCTCCATCAGTGCAGCATGTTCCGTCCTCCAAGAGAGGTCACCTTCCTGGTGCTTGTCTCGATTACTTACTTCCCGCCTTTCCCTCTGCGTTTGGAGCGGGAACTCTGACAGTTCACGGACATGAACACAAGCTCCCAGAAGCCGAACCACAGGCGCTAAGCAGCAGGATCAAGCTCAGCGATTTTCCAAGTATGGGTGAATAGAGCGCGGCGCCGAAGATTTCGAGCTATACCCTATTCACTCTTCCACTTCTCCGAGGACATCATCCATGGTTGCCGCGGCATTCACGACTGGGGGTGAGAGGCGGCGCCGTTGGTACAAGCTTCACACTGAACTCTATCCCGTGGATTCTCGAGCGACATGATGGATGCGCTGCTCCACACTCATCGTTTCTAAGCTTACCTGGACCTTTTCCCCGAGAAGGCTCAAAACGTTCTGAGATTCAATGTCAGCACTCTGAATAAATACCATCATGCTGGTCAAGTAAAGATCCCGCCTGAGTCGGTATTGTATCGACCAGCGCACAAAAGTAAATGCCTTCATACGCCGGATGGAATGTACAGGACCAAGCCAGGATCAGCCACTTCTAGTAGTCGGTGTCTGGTGGAATCAGTGTCTCCCCTTAGTGTGGGTGATATGGATCAGCTGGTCGAGCCTCACCAGATTCCATATTAATACAAACGATTCCCATTGGCAGCGATGATATTCAAGGTGTTTCGTGCAGCTTCTTCTCTCGCGTCTGTCACGGTGCGAGCAGTCCCAGTCCCATACTCTCTATCGTTAACTGTGCCAGCCGAATGCTTACTAACTCGCTGCAGATAGAATCATCTAGACAACTCACTATAGGCGACCACCGTCCACTCGGGGGCATGAGGCTCTCCCACTGCACGTTGCTCATACCTCAAGACATGAGTTCCATGGGTAGCCTGAATCAGGTTATTCAAGCGCATGCGGGGGTCTATAAGCGATAAGGTGAGTAGCTCATTTTCGAAAGGATATCTCCTTACGGTCAGTCATTTCGATGCTGCTTCGGTTGGGAAGGAAGTCTTCTAATGTGGGTGTCTCTTCGACAGACTGTCGTTGCTGTCTTTGCAGCAGACATTGTGCTCGGATTTATAGAGTCAGCTGCATCTCTGCTGTGAGGGGTGTTTCGTGCTGGACAGGCCCATCCTCAGCTACTTTGTTGTGTAAGCAGAGCAACGACGCTCCCAACGACGCATACCCATGGGACTTGGCAACTGAAACGAGTCGAGAAAATTATCCCAGAACCCGTGCGCCAAGAATCCGCCGAAGAGGACGCAAGAGAGTGGAGTCCCGAAAAGTCAGGGACTGCTATGCCTTGCAAGGACGATTCTGCAACGGACATATGGTAGTCTAGTCCTCGAGGTATGGAGAGGACGTATCAGTGCTCGGACTTTCCGTTTTGGCGAGCGGCAGCCATTACTTCTGTAGGGTCGTGCACGTTAGCGCTGCACCAGGATCCTCTACCCCTACACGCAACGCGAGAAGCAGTACGGACTGAGCTCCCTTCGAACCCGTATGCACCCAGACGGCAAGCAATGAACTACAAAATGGTGGGGTTCATCTTCGTGACGTCAAATATTCCAGCGGTTGTAGAACGTCTTCCGCGGTAAAAATCCCCTGCACGGCGACGCGACCACCCGAAGAAGTCGGATCTCTTCAAGCACGTCTTCGACTCTCGTTAGACGTCTTCCTGGCTAGAAGGAGACCGACGCGAGTTCGCACTAGCATCACGCGACAGACTTGAATCAATACTGGCGGAGGCGTGTCTAGTGATGGCCATGAAGTGGCAGCGGGGCATCGATGGATGAATTTTGAGCTGTCGTATCACAGCAATGGCAGATTCGTCATTGAGCATATCGGCTGTCGAATCCGGAGCAGCTCTTGAGACGTCCAAACACAGACTTTCCCAGCATAGCATCGATAAAATCTATCCACTGGAGGGTTACTGATGGCCTGAAGGATAGGGAGCGGATAATGTCGCTCTTGACTGAGTATGAAAAAATACTGCCATACTTCATGAACTCAGCGCTAATTGCGGGGATTTCGGAACGACGCACATCTTAGGAACAAACGTACATATCCTGGTCGAAGGGTCTGTATGAAGCTACCCAAGCATTATAGCATGCAAATCCTCGTGAATCTCTCGATATTACGATTGCTGGGAAGCAGACGGACCTACAGGCGCCAGAGCTGTGGTCCCTTTGGATAGGGAGATATGTGCTTTATGAATCAGAGCAGTCAGATCGGAAGAGAAGCGGTGGCACCCCTGGGGAGTAGTACGGTAGTACCAGCCAACACTTGACATGCGGACACGTCTGCGGTAAGTCGACGTACCTGAATCTGACAAGATGCTATAGGTAAGAGAAAATGCCACTTCGAATACCTCATTCAAGCACCAGGAATCCTTCCGACCATAACGGCTCACAATACGAATTCTGATACAGGAATTTATCATAACCACCCCTCCGGGCAAAGCGCTGGTTGGTACAATCGTCTACAGAAATACTGCAGCGGGTCTGGTCCGTACCCGACGCACTTTCATCATCTCCGATAGGCGTAGCGCAGCCTGCAATGTCGCCAGCCTATAGAGGCGGACCCACGACTGTCAAAAGTGCAGTGGATGCGCCGGTCTTCGGGATCAGACCATTGCGACACAGAGATCCATATATTAGTCAGACCGTAACCTCGAGCTCGGACTACCCAGAATCATGTATCGATGAGGCTCAAGGGACAGGGGCAGCAATGATAGCCATCGATCTGTCGTTACCATGATCTATCATCCAGGGTTCGCCGCTGAGACCCGAATGATCGCCGTCAACGAGCGGGTGGTTGACAGCTAATGTCCAGAAACAGAATGACAATGCCATACTCGAGGTGATTGGACTGCGCTATGGGTCCAGCGCTGAAAGGGAGCTGTAGCTCTCTCAGCCATACCGATAAGGAATGACACCATAGGGCACGAGACCTACGTACCTTGAGAAATAGAACTTCCGTTCTGTTTTCAAGACGCTGAAGGCTAACGCTCGCACTCAATTGCGGCGGCATTGTGATGTATGCCAAGTGACTGAGCGGAGCGCGGTAGTCCGCCACAGGGCAAACCGATATCTAAGAAATTAAGCAAGCGGGCAGAAGGAACATATCCCCGACTATGCTGCCTTGTGTGTTTTAAACAAGTCCGGTTCAAGCCTAGACTGTCCAGTCGTTCGAGCCGATATAAGGGACTATGAAGTGAAGATATGGTCCACGATGTCAGGTCGTTGATGTACTGCGAGCCCAGAGGGAACAACAGAATGACCGTGTCGTTAAGACCAGGAGGGATGGAATGCCGCAGTATTAGTGACGACACTTGCTAGCTCTGGTTTCGGGCGTTACTTTCCAGGTCCCGGAAGGAACAGGGCGGTGCGCGTACGAAGAGATTCAAGCTTCGAGCAAGGTATAGCCATTCATCGTGCAGTACGACTTTATCGACTTGAACGTCGATTAACCACATACTTCCCAGATAGAGGTAAAATTTCGAAACAAGCAGGCATACTTGAGGTCAACCAGGAGGCTTCCAGGCTGACTCGAAAACTTCGCTCTGCGAAATCCGGCCGCGGGGATGGCTATTCAGACAAGTAAGCGCCCGTTCAGCGCGAAGTTGATACATGCTGCGTAAACGGATGATCGGCTGGATTGTGTACAGCCGCTATTTTCGCCACTGACTCGTCCAACCAAGCCCAGCAGTGGATATGAAGTACAGCACCTTCGGACGCTAGGAGCTGAGACTCCTGTTCTCGGGTGAGTGATGACCAGAGCGGGAAGTCCACCTACACTGGAATTCTCTCCGAAATTCACGAAAGAAAAATGCAGCGGACGCAAGACCACCCCACCTCTGCAGAACATGGCTAGGCACACATGTAAGACTTGGATATGTGGAGCCTTCAAGACGAGTACAGTACTTACAGTGAGTTGTAGCCAAGTCTACGAACAAACCAATTGATTTGGGACAGAGCCGCCTAATTTAAGGCGGAGAACCAATATTCCGGCCACTGCCGACTGAGGGGGTAACGGTCCATCAGAGTGGGCCTCCCAGGCTGAGATCTGCTGTCGTCGCTCTGGCATTCGCCCTGAACGCCTCCTTCATCTCCCGCGCCGACGACGCCCTAGACACCGCTGTCGCTTGTCTTTATTGCTGAAGTCTCTGGAAGAGGGGCCTTCTCTTGTCCCTCCGTTCATCTTCTGCTCTTCCCACGCGGCGTTCGCCCATCAATAGGGACTTCTCTCATTTCCTCGTCCGACTCCTTTCGCCCCAGGTCAGCGCCCTCGTTATTTCCTGTTTAGCGCTACTCGCACCAGCGAGGAACTGAAAACCGGTTTTACATATTACTTAGCTCCCTTTAAGCCATGTCTCAATCCCAAGGTGATATCCAAGAGAGGATTGCGGCTGCGCGCCGTGAGGCCGAGAGTTTAAAAGAGAAAATTAGGGCCAAAAGAGAGTCCTCCGCTGATACTAGCCGTAGGTTCTATCTCCTCGAGACTCTGACTCAGTGCTGAGTGTTGCGCGCTAGTACGCGCTATGGCTGCGGAGGTTGATCCTCTGCCGCGTATTGTCATGCGCCCACGGCGCACGTTAAGGGGGCATTTGGCCAAGATTTATGCTATGCACTGGGCTACGGACCGCCGGCATCTCGTCTCCGCCTCGCAGGATGGGAAGTTGATCGTTTGGGACGCCTACACCATGAATAAAGTCCATGCCATCCCTTTGCGGTCCAGCTGGGTCATGACCTGCGCTTACGCCCCGTCAGGCAATTTTGTCGCATGTGGTGGCCTTGACAATATTTGCTCCATCTACAGCTTGAACAGCAAAGAGGGACATGGTGCGAAGGGCGCTCGCGAATTAAGCGCTCACTCTGGATATCTCAGTTGCTGCCGGTTCATCAACGACAGGCAAATCCTTACCAGCTCTGGCGATATGACTTGTATGCTCTGGGATATCGAGGCCGGTGTGCGCGTAGTAGAGTTCAGTGACCATACCGGCGACGTCATGAGGTACTGACATCCCTTCGCTGCTGTTAACTGGCTTCTCACATTCTCTGTTAGTTTGTCCCTGGCTCCTAATCAGAACACCTTCGTCTCTGGTGCTTGCGATGCGACAGCCAAGCTCTGGGACATCCGTAGCGGCAAGGCTACCCAGACATTCACCGGCCACGAGTCCGACATAAACGCAGTCTCGTAAGTATATCTGAGTCCTTCGGTGGTCCGCTTGACTCAGCAATACACAGCTTCTTCCCAAATGGCGACGCTTTCGCTACCGGTTCCGACGACGCCTCGTGCCGTCTCTTCGACATCCGCGCCGACCGCGAACTGAATTCTTTCACCCATGACAATATCCTCTGTGGTATCACGTCGGTTGCATTCTCCATCTCCGGCCGCATCCTCTTTGGCGGGTACGATGACTGGACGTGCAACGTCTGGGACACGTTGAAGGGCGAGCGTGTCGGCGTTTTGACTGGTCATGAAAACCGTGTCAGCTGCCTCGGTGTTAGTGTAGACGGCATGGCGCTGTGCACAGGGTCCTGGGACAGCACATTGAGGGTACGTTAGGTTACTTGCTCGCCGATCAGGGATGTCCTGACGCGTTTCCATAGGTCTGGGCATGATCGTACATTTCTTTGTATCCTTATAATATTCGTTGTCGTACATTACACATGCCCTTGCGTGCCCTCGCTGCCTTCCCGCTTCACTTCTTTCTCTAGGGTCTGCCTCTGTCTTTCTATATCCCTATTCCCTTTGTCTCCTGCGCGTATGCTCAGCACATGCCTGGCCGCGCCAGTCTGTCGTTACAGGTCATCTCTAGCACTCTTTAAACCTCGGTGCATTTCCTCTGTGGTATATTGCCTTGCTGCTATCAGTTTATCCATTGTTACCCCGCTAAATTTCCCTACTACTTGTTCTCTACGTCTGTGACTGTCTGGTCTGCATCTATATCGGATAAATAAGCATTAAAGCAGTATATGTCAGGGCGACAGGGGAATGTGACCTCTGGGAGAAAATCCGAATATGCTTCCGTCTGCACTGCGGGACCCAGCCAGTATAGATGGGTTTGACGTGACTGTTTACGGAAGGCCTGTGTATATCTTCCCTATACGCCCGGGCCTCGTACGCGACACATCTGGCAGCGGAGGTTATAGCCTTGCGCAATTGCGTTACTGCGCGAGCTGTTGTTCAGAGTCTATCCTCTTCGCCACCCTCGTACGCGTCAGGATGTCAGAGGACGACCGCGCAGCCAAAGCGGCGCGTGCCAAAGCACTCTTAGTATGTCCATGCAAATCGTGACGAGCATGCTCTGTTTTTCATAAACTGTGTTATAGGCAAAGAAACGTCAGCAGAAGAAGGTGGGGAATGCTCCTGTAGCTGCTAGTGTTGCCTCGTCGCGCCCTTCCAGCCCCGCCGTCGAATCGACGCGTGCCTTCTCCCCTGCGCCGTCGGAGGTTCACCACGAGGACGAGAAGAGTGCGTTGGGCGACGTGTAGGTACATCGTGCTACCTGGAAGGCTGCGGGAGACATAACGCTTAACTGCCCCTCCTAATCAATCCAGGTTCGGGGCTCATGGACAGGATGGAAAGGATTCTGGCTGGCTATCGTCTCTACCCCGGGTAGACACCTCTGCGCCAGCGGTTTCGCCACCCCCGACGCAAGCTGCGACTCATCCACAACCGCCAGCGCCGGTGGCTCCCAGATCGGTAAAGGAGCCCCAATCCGCCCAACCCCCATCCAAATACCTTGAGGAGTTCGCAGAGCTCGAGTCGCGTATACAGAACCAGCAGCAGACTATATCCCTGTTGGTGTCGGAGAAAGCCGCCCTAAACTCGTCGCTGGACCACCTTCGGGACATAGAGGCTAGTGAGTCTGACGTTGCTGCTCCTTGGTCTGGGATGTGATATTGATGCATGCCTTATCTAGGACTGCAGAACGCGGAGTCTCGTCTGCGCGACGAGAGTGCCAAGTCCCAAATTCTGCAAGAGCGTGTGACGGGCCTGGAGAGCGATGCGTCATCAACTACGCGAAGGTTAGAAGAGCTCGCATCCCGAGAGAAAGATCTGGCGGAGAGATGTCGAGAGCAAGTAAGTTCAATGTTGAAGCTACAGACCGGTTGTTGAGCATTGTCGTTTTCTACCCAGGACCGAGAGTTACAGCTCTTGAGGGGGACGGCAAGCGAGCTGCGAGCAGAGGTAGAGGCGCGCCAAAACACTATACGAGAGCTGCAGGAGCAAATTCAGAATGATGACACAGTGGAAAGACTGGAGGCGTCGCTAAAGAACACTCAAGACAGAGCAGACGAACTTGAGTTCCAGCTCACTAAGTTGAAGCAGGTGGGCGCTCAATAGTTGCCCTTTCCGGACTACACTAACGGTCTTGCAGGTCCACGCTACTCTGAAGACTGAGCGGGATGACATGGAAATCGAGCTGCAGCGGCGAAGCGAGGCTGAAGCAGCGTCAATAAAGCAGATCAACGAACTGCACGAGCGTCAGACAACCCTCGAGAATCAGTTATCATATATCTCCACTGAGAGGGACGCTGCGCTCGAGACCAAGGCGACCCTCCAAGGAGAAGTAGATCAAGCTCGCAAAACCATTAGCGATTTGGAACAACGGCTATCTCAGGCTGCCTCAGAAATGGCGTCCCTCAACCGGCAACTACAAACCGCTCAAAATGAGCTTCGGAGCACTCGTAGACGAGCAGAAGAAGCGGAGAAGATTCAAATGGACCTACAATCCGAAGGGAGCAACCTCATGCGCTCTCTGGACGAAATGCGCCCAAAGCTGGTTGAATTGACGAACGAGAAGCTTGAGCTTAGCGAAAGGATCGAGGGTCTCGAGAAACAGCTGAGAGCACGTGACTCGACCATCGAAGGGCTCGAGGTCTCTTCAGAGCAGTTGCGTCAAGAAAAGGAAGAAATTGACCGAAACCTCAAGAATCTAGAAGCGACGCTATCAAAAGAACAATCATCGAGGCAGGAAACCTTTTCTGAGTTGCAGGAAGCCTACAGCAATCTTCAGGCTGAGCTCGATGCGACTCGTCAGGAGCTACAGAATCTTCAATCTTCCAAGGCTGCTCTTGTTCGGACTACAGCCGAACAGAAGGAGGAGCTCTTCCGCGTCACGGCAGCATCACAAGCGAAGGATGAGCAGTTGTTATCTTTGCAGCGAGAGCTCGAAGAACGGACGGAAGCTCAAGCAGAAGATCAAGATTTCTTGGAACACGCTCGCACTGAATTGGAGAATTTGCGACGGGAAGTGACCACAAAAGACGAAGAAATCGAGCGATTACGAGACATTGCGACGTCCGTCTCTTCTCCAAGCACCAACTCTAATTCCCTTGACGAGGAGATGCTCAGTGCCTTGAAACAACAGCACGCGCTAGATCTGTCTAACGCTTACTCGCGCATTCGAGGTTTGGAGAACGACGCCTTCGAGGCTGAAGCCAAAGTGCACGCACTCCAGAAACAAGTCAGGGCCTTGGAAGACCAACTCTCGCAACATCGTTCAGCTTCACGGACGTTGCAGAGGCCTTTTTCGCCACCTGTCCCGTCTAGGCCTGCAAGTCGGCCGGTTCAATCCAGTGACGATCTCCGTCGGGCATCCTTCAACTCACGTCGACCGAGCGCCATGCCTTCCGCTTCTTCTAGATCGACTCTCGATCAGAATTTATCCCCCGAAACAAGGCACAAACGCAAAGTCAGTCTTAGCATGCTGAAGGCCAGGATCGACAGCGAAATGCACGTCAGCCAACCCACAAGCCGGCCTTCTTCCAGAGCATTATCACCAATACCTGCCTTGCGGCACAGTTCTTCTGGACTACACACTCTGAACGAACCTGCTGTCGACTCTATGTCGACGCCGGACCTCCATTTTCACCGGCGACCTCAGTTCCTGGATGAATCGCATATTTTCTGGTGCCATTGTTGCCGTGGAGATCTCGTTATTCTTTGAGATGTAGTCGTTGTTTCCTTGTTCTCTCTGAATGGTATAACTTGTTCAGGGCGCGTGGTCTTGAAGACGGATACGCTTATGGGCGAACGCCGAAATTGAGCCCCGGGTGAAAGATCTGCTAGCGCTTCAAGGAATTGATTGCATTGTCCATTACGCACCAAGATATTGCGTTACAGCAACGGAGCCACCCCGTGACTACATATACGTGCAATTAGGACTATAGACAAATTAAAATATGAAGGAAACTATGGCTACAGGTGGTAAGGTGTCTCTTGTGCTATGCTTACTCTAGATGACTCTATCTTCATGCTGTGTATAGCATAAGCAATTCTATCGCTTGGAATATCGAAGATAGCGAGCAGCCATGACCGTGGCTATGAAGTTGAAGGCTAAAGGGCAACATGTTAGCAGGTATATTTTTGCAAGGAGCACGAATCAACCTACCAAAGAATGCGAATAGAATAAACGCATCTCGCCATCTATTGTCGAACCTTATATTCAAGGGCAGGAAGTACTCGTCGCCGGACTATGATAATACACGTGAGCTCATATCGAGACATACGGACAACTGGCTTACCCTATACTGGCAGTAGCGGCAAGCAGACGTATCGTTAGGATTATCCAGGTAACCCCCGAAACCTTGCACAAATGTATTCGCCCAGCTCTGACAAGTCTCTCCTGATGGAGGATTGAATATCGCAAACTCATCGCTGCGACACGTAATGTTGAGCCCGCTATACGGAGAGGGAAGTCAGCACGGCCACAAAGAACGAAAATCAGGAAGCATACTGAAGTTCCGTGGATAGCATCGCACTGAGAACGCGAGTGTAAGGATCAAGCTGGTACAGCCATGATTTCCAGAACTTTGCAAGGGTAGGGTAGGGAATAGTGACACCGCTGAACTGGCCTAGCACGACGACTATAAACGGATTGACAAGAACCGCGACCTGACGAACATAAGATAAAATACAGCACAGACGCAACACCGGGTCGCTTACCTGTATACTCGGCGATAAGGCGGCTATCAATTGGCCAAGTGTTACACCGAATAACTCGAGGAAGATCAAGACCAGTAATTGAAAGCCGGTGCCATTCAAGCCCGTCGCACCCTGCCCAAAGCCTATAGGATATACCTACGCCGTGCCACTCTTCAATTAGCGATCTCTGAATCACATGGGGACACAGGCATACCATCAAGACCCAGTACACGACCCCGCATAAGATGGAGTACGGCACTTCACCCAACAGTTGAGCAATGGCGAATACCTCTGGTCCGTATATGCGACTGGAAGACTCTAGAATGCACATTCAGCAAGCATGGAATACAGAGCCTTCCGTAAACTTACCTCTGATGAAAATCCCTGTTGGGAACGTAAGCAACAATAGACGACATCAATATAAGGAAACTCACGTCTGTTTGCAAGATATACCGGTTGCAGCTGTGACATAATTATGGCCGGCAAGATGGACGTCCAAAAGCTAGTCGATCGCACATGAGCGGAGATGAAGTCTCCGAAAAGGAATGGACGTACATTGCAAAGACTCGGTATTGGAGCTCCCTGACGCTCGAACCCAGTTGTAAGAAAGAGAGCGATATGAATAGCGATATGGCAGCATGGACGAAAAGCCGTGTCCATAGGTAATCCGCGGATCTCCAGAGAGCGATGCTATTCCGCTTCACTACGACCTGGAGCTGATACCAGAATGGCGTGGCATCTAACTTGACATCAGCGGTGTAATCACGCTTAATGATCTATGTACTCACAGGTTGTCTGCTTCTGTTTCTCGGGAGGCGGTAAGGATAGAGCATGACTTTTGATCTCCTCAATTTCTTGCTTGATCTTCGCGCACTCCGGTGATTCACGCCATAGCTCGGCCCAGTCACGGTCTCCGACGCGAGGACTAACACCTGCCCCGATACTCTCTAGCATGTATTCCGCCTACAATGAACGAGTGCGTAAGTTCCTTCACTCCCCTGGATATTGGTTGTCGAACGTACCATGTTCACGTTGGGCGGACATACCGCACCATGACGAGCCCAGTACTCCCGAATTACGGATGCGTCACGACCGATATCACCGAAGTAGACAGTCTCCCCTCCGCGCTGCAGAAGGAGCAAACGATCGAAGCTCTCGAAAAGCAAAGAAGATGGCTGGTGGATTGTGCAGAGAATGGCTTGACCGTTATTAGCTAGTTTCCTCAAGAAACGTACAAGATTCCAAGCACTCTGACCGTCAAGGCCAGAAGTCGGCTCGTCTAAGAAGAGCAGCAACTCGGGCTTGCTAGCGAGCTCGACACCAATAGTAAGACGCTTGCGGGCCTCGACGCCGAGACTCATAACAAGAGCCTCGGACAGATCCTGTAGTTCAAGGAGTTCGATCATCTCCTCAACGTATTGATCTTTTTCTTCCCTGGGCACTGATGCTGGCTGCCGGAGATATGCAGAGAATCTCATCGCTTCCCGCACAGTCGCAGTGCCTTCATGGACATCCAGCTGTTCGGCTGAGGGATATTCAGTCTTGAAACGACCACTGACACAGGCTCAGGTCTACTCACCATACGCTGTGCCCCTGGCAAACGAGGAATCCAAGGGCCTGCCATCAACAAGGATGTCTCCAGTGATGACACCGATGTTCTTTCTTTGGGCGAGGACGTCCAGACAAGTGGTTTTCCCTGCGCCCGACGCGCCCATCAGGGCAGTCAAAGTCCCGGGCTTGACGTATCCATAGACATCGTGGAGCAATCGCCTTGAGCCACCTGCTACTGGTACATGGTAATTCAGCTTCTCCCAAGTGAAGGTCTTCCGGTGCTTCACGATCTCCTTGTTGCTGTAGTAGACGGCCGTTATGAACGATCCTTCACCGGAGGAGGCATATACACCTGCCTTTCTTTCTGCCCTTCGGAGGAGCTTGAAGGGTCCGCGAGAAGCTTCTCGTCTTCAGCTTTCTTTTGAGCACGCTCAGCCTTCCGTTGACGCAGGCGCTCATTGAGGCGCTTCGTCTCTTTGTCCTCCTTGGCATAGACGCTAATGGCGGACCCGCCCGCAGGTTGCTACTAAAGTTGAGATAGGGCTCGAACAGGAGGGAAATTTTGCACTCACTGGCCAATACTCAATGGCGAGGACCTGGGTCACTTGGAACAGGATGAAGAACCCGAGGACGACGAGGAAATTGCGACGCCAGATGTCACTGACGACCATCCCGTACCCGACGTCTAGATATGACCGTCCGGAAATCAAACTGTCTCCGCCGGACGAGCCGTACAGTGTACAGACTTGGTTAGAACCCAACCCGTTTCTGTTGTACGTATTGTTGATCACCCTGACCGACGATGAACGGTGATTCGGCAACTTACGGATAAGCGGAAGATCCTGGCGGGTTGCGGGGAGCGATGTAATTGCCGTCGCAGGTGAGCTAATGTACCGCAGTCAGTATCCGAATGTATGTAGGAACCGACTCGCGTATGGCCGCACCTGAATTCTCATGAATTCGTTCTCCATTAATCCCGCGAAAGCTAATAATTTGTTAGGCAACCTGGTGCAACGCTGCTCGTGAAATGCTTACCATAAGCCATCGGATTGCAGTAGTACTAAACAGCTCGTTTAGTGATTAAACAGCAAGGCGCCGGGAAAAGGACGTACAATCCAGAACAGCCACCGCTTCATGTCGAACACTGGGATCATGTAGCCGACATACTGCACCAAGTTCGTAACCAACGCCGCCGCTATCCGGAATGCGCTGTCAAAGTTCGAGCAGATCAGGCCGAATGTCCTGAAAAATCCCTGCATCGCGAGGAAAGCCGTGTAGATGAACAGATGGAAGACGAAGAAGCCACCGGCTGAGCGGTGGAGATTCGACATAAAGTAGATGATAATATTGTAGATCAAAATCCGGATGGCGGAGAAAGGGATGTCGCTCAGAGTGTTGGCCACGGCTATGGCAGCGGGGCGGTAGAAGCTGTAGGCGGTCTGCTTCTTCATGATAGGGCGGCCCATCATTTGTACGGGCATCTGCACCCGGAATCTTAGTGGTCACAAAGCCGAGAAGAATGCATCATAACGAACCTCGCCAAAGCAGTCTAGACAGACCGTCAACATAGCCGCGAACATCACGCTGCCCCGCGTGAACGCTCCAGCAGAAGTGGTCGGGAGATCGAAGTAAGCTGCACCTATGACTAGAGCCAAGATCTGACATTACGCGCGTCAGTTGAGCTGTATTTATCTTAATTTTGAGGCAGCCTACCGTAGACAGTGTGAAACTCGTCACGAGCTGGAACTTGTCCTGGAGTCTCATCTGGAACTGACGCTTGGTAAGAGCCATAACCTGGCCCCTGAAGCCGACGGTGTATGGGCTCTTCTTCGACACGCCCTTCTTTTTATCGGCGGCCACAGCAGCCCGGAACTCTTCCTGGTGGCGCTTCTCCTTTTCCATGTAAATCTTGTAGTCTTCAAGGGTCGCGCGTAAGTCTCTGCCATACTCCGATGCTAGGAAAGCTGCTTCGAGAGCCTCTGGCGTGGACGGTACGTCGGCCGCGGAGCGCCCGGGTGCATATAGCCGCTCGTTGGGATCCGTACATCCGGTCAAATAATCCGGAGTGCTCTGTCTCGGCAGAGGCGCATACCCCAGGCGCTCGAAGTACGCTCGCGCCTCGGAGGGAGGCCCGAAGAACACCTGTCTGCCCTTGTCCAGTACCATCACCTTGTCGAACAGGTCGTAGATGCCCTCTCCAGCCTGGTACAGCGTGACAAAGGTCGTCTGCCCGAGGATGTCGGTCATGATGCGCAGACACTTGACGAAATCGAGGGCGGTGGACGCGTCAAGACCTCGCGTGGAGTTGTCCCAGCACTGGACGCGCGCTCGGGTGGCCATCATCTCGGCGATACTGACACGTTTGCGTTCGCCGCCTGACACCCCGCGCACAAACTCGTTGCCGACAAGGGTCTGAGCGGTGTGGGATATGTTGAGCATTTTGAGCAGGGTATCTTGGACCTCCTTCTGGAACTCCTTCCTCGACATTCCGGGCAGCCGCCCGTGAGGTCCCGGCGTCTTGGTCGACAGCGCGAAAGAGATCGTCTGTGCCACCGTCAGGGTCGCAATATGGATATCGTCTGGTCAGGTTTGCTGTTAGTCCCTTTGCGCCATGGCCAATGCCAATGCGAATTTACCTTCTTCGTTGTAAACGACTTCTCCGCGGTACAGCTTGGACATTTCTTCCGCGTCTATCCCGGCATAGCGGACGTCACCAAGAACTTTACCGTATCCTTCCCTTTGGTTTGCGATCGTCTTCAGGAATGTGGTACAGCCGGCACCAGGGCACCCTAGGACAAGACACATCTGTCCAGGCTTCAAGACACCGGATTGTCTGTTGAATAACACTATGATTCAGTTATTGCGTCCATCCACGACGTTGGGTACACATACTTATGAATGATCGGCCGCTGCGGCGGCTCGTTTGCCTTCATTGGAAGCAAAGGCGCAATTAGACTCCATATTAATATGAACGGCCACGCAAAGAATTCCCAGACAGCCTCTGTAAGATGTCAGACGGCGCATTTGGAGAACGCATTGGAGACGACTCACGTCCAAAGGTCTTGACATAAATCTGTGCCAACGCAGCATGAGCCTCCTCGTTAAACAAGCCACAGTTAGATTCTTACCTTACTATCTTCTTGTCCAAACACCCTGACCTCTAGATCGTCCCATGTGACGCCGACGTGCTTGTGCCTGATGCCAGCTTGTTGATGGGCATCGTTCGAGGACGTCAGGTACTCCCGCAGATCAAACGCAGCCTTTCCCTTTTCTAAGTCTGCGTCCTTGGAAACCGACTTCTGGCTCAGCCGGCGCGAAAGTTCGTTGAATGTGGCTTCGGCGCGGTTAACGTCTACCAGTTGAACACGGAGGTCAGACAGGCCGAAGGCTTCCCTCTCTGCCTCGTCGCCATTGAGCGTCCTGTCATCTTCCACAACGTCGCGGGATGGATGCAACATTGCACGGACAAAGGTAGGGCACCCGGGCCAACCATGTTTTCATCTTATACGTCGCAGGTTCACGCCATTCTGCTGAGAAAGATTTGATAGAATTGATTGCTAAGCGCGGTGAATCATGGAGAGAATTCGAATGTGGTACCGCATACAACGTGTAATTGCCATGGAAGCCTGCACCGAAAGCTTACCGATTTTCCTCTTGCGGACAGGTCTTACTTTTGCGTCACCGATGGTCCTGGGCCCTGGCTGATATCCCGACCGCCCGGGGGACCCTGTCGCTGCGCCCATCCTGCCCGACGGCAGGCCAATCAGAGCCCCGAGATGGCAAGGCTGGACTCGTCTACGGTTTCCGGAATGTTCGGGGTAGCTGCCTTTTTTGGTCATTATATGCCCACCCGAAGACCGGGAACCAATCAATACCGATGCGATCAACGTCCTCGATAGCCCACTCCACTTCCCCCGGCCCCTATTGAAAGTCGAGTCAGGTTGCGATACATGTTAGCTATCAGGATTACCAAGCGAGTCAATTGCGGATGACGAAGGAGACTTGTATTCGCCCTTCGATCGAGGGCCTATATACCAACAAGATGAGGATCGCAGTACAATAGTATAAGATGCTTGGGTATGCCAGGTAACATGTAAGTTTCCGGTAATATACGTTGATAGATTACTAGCTTTCGGCAGCACTGGGTCATGAAATAACGTCGCGTTTCGTCCTGAGTCTTCGCAGTTTCGTCAACAAATCCTATTATTCGCCTCAGCTTTGCATGCCATCACAGGAATAGTGGCGTACGTACCTGTACTTCGTCGGGTTTCAATGTACCCTTGCCACCATCTTCCTGTACTTCCTTTTCGATGCTTTCGAGGACGTCGGAGATCAGATCCCGATAGTCCACCCCGAAAAAGCTTGTGAGCTTCGCGGCCTTGCGCCGCCGCAGCTGGAAGCTGGTCATTTCCGCGTCCGGGGAACCAATATTGTACTCCGAAGCCAGGGAGACCATGGATGTACGAGGGGGCAATGATCTACGCCGCTCCGAGCGCAAAGACGACGCATTCGACATCTTCCGTTCGGAGGGTTGCGGATCGCGAGTGAATGTCACCAACGGCTCCTCTTCCCCGTTCAAGTACTGGTGTAGCTGAGCGAGGGACTCCTTATCCTCCTACAATGAGTGGATTAGCACCAATCCGTCACTTCAAATATTTGCGACTCACCCTATCTATGATGTCAGTCAAGGAATTGAGCGAGTGGCGATAGTGCATATAAACGGCCGACAGTCGGTGATCCATAGACTGATCCTCAGGGGTATAGTCCACGCTCTCCGGCTTGAGCAGCCCCTTGGCGGACTCCGAGGTCCCGGGACGGTTGGACTTCTTGTTCTTGCCTTTACCTTTCTTGACATACGCGGACTGGTTCATATTGCGCCCAGTCGGTGAATGAGCGCTCGTCGGAGTAGACGACGACGAATGTCCAGTGCGGGCCAAATCAGTGTTGACCATCGTGGATGGTTTCCGGGTATGATAAAGGGACTGTGGCGGCTGCGCTCCGAACATCTAGTACATCAAAGGTCAGATACATGTGGCGGACGCGCAAAGGCAGTATCATACCTTCTCCATCTTTTGTGCCCTCCTTACAATTATTGCCTTCTCTCGCTCGTCTAGATCCTCCTTCAGGCGATCGACGTCGTCCGACCAGTGGGCAGGGAACGCAGCAGCGGAGCTACTGCGGCGCCTTCTTGCCCAGACCCGGATAGGCTGATCCTCTCCTTCCGAGTGCACGGTCTCCAGAGCTGGGGGAGGTAACGACATGGCAGGATCCTCGACTCCAAGAACCAAACCCACGGGCACACGAGAACCCAAGAAACGATGCAGCTTGGCTAGCCTCTCCCTCTTCCGACGGCGCTCTTCCTCGGACTGCTCTTCCGGAGAAAGCGTCTCCACGAGGGACGGTTCCGACGGCGACGGCCTCATGCGCCTGGGCGACTTCGGCGTATCAACATCTATAAAAGACATGATATCATCCGTTGCCTCTTCGTCCGAAAGGTCAATGAACGACGTGGGCGAATCAGGCGGCCCTGGCGCAGTTTCCTCTTCGTACCCGCTTTGCGCCTCCCCTTCTTCGGTTCCCACTTCAATGTAGTGGTCGCTCCGCGAAGGAACAGACCGCCGTTCGTCCATGTCGACACTCAGGAAGGAAAGCTGGTCAGGGCTCAATGGGGTCGAGAACCGACGGCCGTTAGGTGAGAGGTACTGCGTGGTTTCCGGGGGCGGCCAGATGGCTCGGGTGTGCGGGGCGTCACTGACCATAGAGACAGCGCCACGGTGATGGCCCCGTCTAGCCTGGGGGATCGACTGCGGTGCTAAGCCCAGGATAGGCGATTCAGGGTAGACAGCAGAAGCTGCAGGCGTCTTACCGAACACCTGCGTTAGCTTTCGGGTCTTCCTAATGAGCTCTGCGCGTTCTTGAGGGTTCAAGAGATTAGTTGTGGGAGGTAGAGGCTCGACCTTTCTCGAATCAGATGCCTCGGAACTCGACGATGATTTCGCGAGGCGTTTCGCACCCGAGGGTTGCGCAGAGATGGACCGCCTGAACTTGGGCTTCGGGGCAGTAGGAATGGGCGGCTTTGATGAACGTGAAGGGGACGCCGAAATGGTAAAAGATTGCGATGTCGGGGAACGCGCGGATAAACGGGGTCGACGGGCGACCGAGGGATCGGAATCAAGACTAGATTTGGAAGACATAGGTGAAGGTGAATTGTGTACAACGAATGTGGGCATGGCCGGGGAGGTTTCCCCCGAATGGATGCTGCTGGTGTCAATCGACGGTCGACGAGGAGTCGACGGAGAACCTAGGTCTATGAATGATTCGCGGTCACCGACCTTCGTAGACGCCGACGGCAGCGTCGGGCGACTTCTTTGGGCTCTCCCATGTCGATGACTGTCCATGGAGGAAGGGTACTGAGTGCTAGATATGCTGATACGGCTGTGTGTCATACTGGACGCAGGGATATGGCTTGACTCCGAAGAATGGGACGCATCCGACGACCTGTAAGCGTGCGAGACTCTGGGTTGTACGGATGCACTCCCTGCGTTCTCGGCGAACTGTCTCACCCGGGCATCATTATGGTCACCACCAACTGAAGCCATCTCTGCAACACAATCAGTACATTTTACGAGAGGTATCCACTGACACGTACTTTCTTTCTCCCGCGACGAAATCTTTGGTGGAGGCGGAAGGATACCGGCCTGGAGTAATCTTTCCTCGTAAGAAAGTTTGGGCTTTTTCGCGGATTTCCGGACGTCACTCTTTTCCGCTGTGAATGGTCGGTTGTCTTGTGTCTGCTCGCGCGTGGATTTGGGAGTCTGCGGCGCTCTGCCTAATATACGCTCTAGTGTACTTGGCCCTCGGTCAGAAGAAGAAGACGATTCGTTGTCGTAATGTGCCAATAAGGATCTGGGTCCTGGAGGAAGTGAGACACGGCGCCTTATTCCGAGAAGGGTATTGTGTGAGAACGCTCGTTTCGAAGGGCTCAAAGGACTGTGATGTCGCGTGCTATCATAAGATTCGTCGGAAGCGTCTGCGGTGTAATGAGAACCACTTGAGGGCAAGGACGCGGATGATCGTGAAGCAGTGGGCTGTAGGGACGGTCCAGGGGCTGGATTTAGATATGGGTTGTCGAGCGAAACGGAAGTGTCAAGAGCAGCAAGAACCAAAGAGACTCGGTCTTTAGTAGGAGTCGGTCGCGGACTTGCCTTACTCGAAGAAGCGTCTCCTTCACCCCTGGTCTCCGAGTGTACCGTGTCCTGCGCACTGGCAACCGGCGGACCGGCAGTACTGGGTTGTGATCTCCGTTTCCTAGGTGGGGGCGGTAAGCCTATAGACGGCGTCGGCTCACTGCTGAGAATAACAGGCTGTAGGGCTGGCGAGGCGCAGGCAGGGGAAGCAGGAGGAGAACGGACGCGCTCGTCGTGCTCTAGCAAAGCCTCTAAGTTTGGAGAGATGACAAGCTGCGCGAGGCGGCGCGCTACCCCGTCTCTCAATGGAAGATACCCGGCGGCATCAGCTGTTTGACAGCCCGTCTCGTGGCTGCTGCTCGAGTCAGAACTCGGCGTGCCCGTCATGAACCGTTGAACGTCGACCACTCCCGAGGCTACGGACGACGTTACGCTCAACAGCGCCTTAGGTATATATGAGGCCGGATTGTGCTAAACGACGGCGATGGTGTTCTGCCTCGCGTCGCTCGCCTGTTTGCCCCAATAATGCGAGTCCCTGAAATATTACATACATGACGTGACGCAGGGAACCAGCCCAGAAGACTCAGTAACGCCCACGCAACCGTTAGCATAGTCATGGCATGCCTAGCTTGAGTACAAAGCCTGCGGACGCCATAGCAATACCACATGAAACACAGACGTCGCAAGTCAAGCCTCGCCGTTCATACTGAAATACCTCAAACTTCCCTGCATCTTTCCACAAGTATGGCACAGCTGGTTGGCGCGGTGTATGAAGGCTCTCCTACCAGACTTTTCAGGCTGTCAGCAGCATCGAGGACGTCTAAGTTACTGGGAACGGACAGTCCGCGGACAGTACTCGGACAGTTCCCGGACACTTATCCGGACAGTACGCGGACAGTACGCGTCTTATTTTGGCACTGCCTCTGCAGACACGATCGGCGGGCCAAGAGAACGCTCTATGGCGTCCTCATCGTTGCTGGTGGTGTCCGATGCCCCCGCCATTCAAACATCTTACAAGTTGCATTGATAGTTGCACTGCTGAAGTGTATGGGCAGTGGACTTGAGTGGGCGGCAATTTTAAGTGTCAATTCTATCATAATAAATACCACAAGTAAATCCAAGGACGAAGTACGAGATAGCCGCTTGTCGAGGCACACGATGGGCGGATACAGCGCTAGAGGCGGGACCGCCTAATCAAGCAAATGTCGGGCATGATGAAGGTACAAGCGGCTGGAGGCCGGACTGTCCGCGGACACCTAAGCAAATAAGTGGCCAACTGTCCGAGTACTGTCCGCGGACTGTCCGTTCCCAGCAACTTATACGTTCTGGCAGCATCGAAGGTGAGATGAGAAAAGAGAGGAACTTCGACAAGCTCTCGCAAAACGCGATGATCGGCCACCATCGACCAACGCCGATCGTAGCGCGCCCGACGTTGATTGGCTCGTCCAACCTTATTCCTCACTTGAGAGCAACCAATTTCAGTGATCAGCGTCCTATGCGGTGCAGAAAAAAATTGAGAGGCAAGTCTCGGTATTCATGGGCGTCCATATCAAACATTTCAGCCAACTGGAGTTTCCACATAGCCGTTAGCTCTGCCGAAACTCCAGGATACGAAGGTTAGGGAAGGAAAGAGCGAGTCAAACATGAATATGACTACTATACAGTGCATTGGTAGTAATGATACAAAGCTATATTATGCTTGAACACTGGCGGGCTGGGATCTGCGAGGCGGCAACGGCGGTTTGGACCGTCTCTGAGGCTCTACTGCAGGAGACGTCCCTTCACCGGGACCGCCCTCTATGTCGGGCGAAGCATTGCCCGACATACCGCCAGCTCCCTCTGAATCCGCAGACAAGCGTTTACTCTCGTCCTTCGTCGCGATAGACTTCAGCGCGGCAGAAGCTGGCGACAAGACCCCGCCTCCGCCAGAAACATGGGCATCAGCGCCTTTCGCGACGGGCGTGGAAGTCGACCTCGGCGGTAACGGAGGCGGGGTTGGGCGTGCCTCGTCTGCGGGCGTGTTGCTACGTTGTTGCCCTCCGGCATCGTTCCGCGGCGTCTCACTCCCTTGCCCCTGCTGCTGCTGCGCCGGGGATAATATGGGACTCTTGAGTAACCGGTAAACACTTGAGATAGCGGGACTCCGCCCTTTGCTGTCTAAAGATGGTAGCGGCGGGGACGGCGGCACATAGCCCATGGACATAACCTCTCCACGATGGCTCGCGTGGATTCCGGGTATGGTCATTGTAGGGGCCTGGGGAGGCTGTGTGTGGATGGGCGAAGGTGGACTTTCTGGTTCCTCTTCCGGACGGACAGCGTCAAGATCTGCAGCGGGCTGTTGACCTGGCGCTTGCACCGCAGTTGTAGTCCTCGATGCAGAAGGCGAGATGAATCGAGGCCGCTCGCTTTTATCCGGCGGTGACGAATTTGCCTGATTCTCGGAGGGAGAAACGCCTGGTTGAGAGCCCGTGGGTGATCTGCTTGTATCGAATTCCGTTGCCTGTTGACTGCCCGGGATAGCTATAGGATTCGACGAGCTTGACGCCTGGAAGCTTGAACCAGCCACATCAGGAGACGCCCTGCCTCGCTCTCTGCGTTCCGCGACAGCGGCCCGCATATCGGCATAACTGAACTTAGGCTTGTGGTTGGATCGGCTGGACTCTGCTCGACCGGAGTCATCCATTCCGCCTTCGTCAGTGCTCGTGATCCCACCGCCGTCACGCCTCAAAGCGCCCCAGTTCACGTTAACGCCCCACTTCCGCATAGCTTCTTTGGCCGTGTTACTCAAAGCCTGCTTGTCGCCCGCGCGTGATTTCAGTGTGGAGAAGAATGAGGTGGTCGGACTGGACGATATGCTGAGACCTGTACCAGTGCGAACCGCCTTCTGCTGAGGTGCCGAGGGTGCAGGAGTACCGTCGGAGCCTTCGCCAGGATCATTGTCATGCTGATGTGAGGATGATGAGGATGAACGATGAGAAGATGCTTGAGAATGTTGCGATGCGGACCGTCGCGACGATTGAGCAGACAGATATCGGTTCAGCCCTGAACTTCCGTCAAAATCTGAACCCGGACGGGCTTGATCATTCTCAGCTGGTGCTGACCGCGGACGAGCGGGAACCGAGTTGTCCATTTCAGGCCGTCTTCCTCTCTGTTCCTCGGTCTCTTCTGTATCTGTCTGGGGCTCAGAGTGAATGCTATGTGACTCCACCTGTTGAGATGCAGATGATGCCCGACGTTGTTGGAGCACGGACGATGAGGATGTAGGTGTCTTCTCATCGGGAAAGGGATCCGCCTCGAAGACAACTGAAGATTCGGAGGGTCCGGCCTCTGCAGGCACCTCGCTGGTAGAATGAGACCGCTGCTTTATTGCAGAATCACGATCCACATCCGTGGTAGGAACATCGGGTGGGGGCATCGATGCGGTAGAAGCGGCATCTTCATCTTCAGGCGCCGAGACTTGCTCTGATTCCTGCTCCTCGTGTCGCGAGGCATCTGCCCAGATACCGCCCCGATGCTGATACGAGGAGCTTTCGAAGAACGCGATGTCATCCATATTCGGCATGACCACCGACTCTTGGATCTACGCGACGAGTCAGACAAGTATCTTAGGGACATCCAGTCTACTCACAATCTCTTTCAGCCTGGCTTCGATGGTGCTCAGTATCATTCCCCAGGTAATCTGCCGATCACTCACAATGGGCTCGACATCGAGCACCATGTGAGGCATCTGCGTGAACGCATACCATATACGATTACTCGGTGGCCTCTTCACCTTGATGAGGAGATTACCGTCCAATTCTCTCAAGACAGCCGCCAACACGAGTTTGACTTGATATGTCTTGAATCGCGCACCCAGATTTATGGTAGCCGTAGCCTCGGCGGTTATTCGTACCTCACCCTTGTAGTGCACTTTGACTTCCAGAGCGGCGTCGCCTTCCTTAGTCAACTCCTTGAGCATAGGCTTGCTGAAGGTCGGAGCTCTGTTACCGACAGACACTTCCTTGACTACCACGTCTGACAGGAAGCTAGGGCGCTTGACTTTGGAGAGTTTCTTCATGAGCCGACCGATGATATATGCCTCGAGAGTCTTGGTCCGATAGTAGCTGAAGAAGATCCGACCTATGAGGGCGTTTAGCCATCGCATCGGAATGACATCTGGTTGCTCATCCAGTGTCGAGACCAGATGGGCCATATCTTCCGGCTTGAACACGGGCTTGAGAGGTTCGAGGGTAGGGCTGTTAGCGGTATGCTCGGAGGCATGGACCAATGCGAAGTACCAGTCTTCCATATCCACGTTTGACCGAACGAAGATGAACCACGGGGTCGAGGAGTCCAGTGCCTGCTGCCGAGCCATCTCCCGCTGCCGCTCAACTTCCTCCAGCTTCGCCTTTTCCCTTTCCTTCTTCTTCTCGCCACCCTTCACTTCTTCTATCTTCTCCTCTAGATCCTCTTCACCCAGCATCATCTCCTTGGTAAGGCTCGGCATGGCCTTGAAGGGCGGCGGTGCCTTGGGCTTGAGACAGATCGCATTCCGTTTCGCAAAGAGCTCTCCGTCTGCGAGGCCCTCCGGGTAGATCACGACATCATGACCGCTAAGCTCAATGGCCGCCTCGCACTCCGTCATAGTTTCATCTTCATAGAGATACAGCACCTTGCCCTTGAGCACCACGTACCACATATCCTTCGGCCTAGACCTCTTGGGGTCCTTCGACCTCGAATCCAAGTACGAGCGCACCAATTGCACGTAAGACCCATCAAAGTTAGACTCCTCGAAGGTCCTTCGGATGGTAAGCCATCCCTTCCTCGTCCTCGGGGTGTCATTCAGATCCGAGACGCCCGCCTGAGCGTGCTCGCTCTCCACCTCGCCGTCCTCCTTCCTCTCGAGCTCCGCGCGCGTGTTCTTGTCAACATCAGGATCCCCGACAGGCACAGAGGTATAGATGGTAATAAATATTAAGCCTAGAATAACGAGCGGTATGAATGTAATCCCTCCGAGCACGTACGCATAGACAAGCGCCTTGAACGACATGGACGTCCGGGAAGAGCAATCATGAACAGGTGGGGAAGAGGAGAAAGCGGTATTCACAGCACAGCCGTGTTGTGTCGTGTCGTCGCAACGCTGGTCACCGCAGCGGGGGTGGAGGCACTAGTATGGACTGCAGCACGATAGCCGGCATCGACATTGGAGTGCTGGTCGAAGACAGACGTGTACGTCAGTTCACACGTGGTCGTGCCTTGATGCAGCTTGCCCATTCTGCTCCAAGTCCAGCAGAAGTCCACTGCACCCCTTGTGCCCATTGTTACCAGCCGCCATAATGAACGTATTGCTGCTCGTCTATAGCAACGTAACAGGAATACATCCCAGTCGTCTACATGAAAGCAGGACGTATGAAATACTCGAACCAACGACGGATGATGCTGAGAAGATGTCATATGCATGGTTAGGTCAATGGACCTGGCTTCCCCCCTTGGACCCGAGTATCCAAGAAGAAACGCGATATCACGGAACCTCCATCATTGACGGGAGTCAATGAGCACCAGCATTTTGGTCGATGGGCGGATGTGGGCGGCAGTCCGAGGAGTATCAGAAATAATGATACAGTACCGTAGAAAAGCCCCTCGCATGGAAGCTCTTTCAGCGCTTGCCGCGCCGCGGAGCCCGAGCTTTCCGTCTGACAGGGATAACCCTGGAGCACAAACCTCTTCGGGCTTGCTCCTCCAGGGTCGGAAGGACGGCGCACCAATGTCCGTTCGTGTATTGCCATTTCTCGACCGGCCTGAGGCTGGCGGGTAGGGGCTCCGCTAATAGTGGCGGGAACGCATCGTTCACAGCGGGGTGGTTGGGTACCGAGAGCCTATTGCCAAAGCACGCGTCTTGGCATGGTACCCAACTGGTCGACTCGTACGGCTCGTACGGGCAAAAGGTAATGATGATTGTAGGGGCGGAGGGGTGCGTGCTAGGGATGACCAGAATCTCCGCGGCGCCCTGGAGCCGAGTCAAATTTCGTCTGCAGTGGTATTCATGGTTGTACGTACAGAATGTGACGATCGGCGTCGCTTCCGATGACTCGGGCTACATGAGGCAAAGGCTCTCCTCGTGTCCGAGGTCGTCGCAACGCCAGATACACAGGCCGCTTCGGAGATTTCTTCCAGCTGTCGCAAATTTTTAAGACTGATGCGCGTAGTGCAGACTGTCACTGACTCACCTTTTGTGAGCTCTCCTCCATAACAGAGGTACCCATTTCGGAGAACAGGTGCGCAAGATGATCAACATCATGAGACAAAGTATCTTGTAGTTTCCTATACACCGGAAAGAGTGTCTCTTCGCAGGCTCCAACGACTCTGCGCCATGGTATGTTCGGTTTACCGGGAACCAGCTCTCGTAGCGCGTCGAGGTCCACAGTCTGGGAAGGAACGGCGAAGTCAGCGTCGTGATTGGAGACGCCAGGAACGAGCATACACACCAGTATGTCTTCCTCCTGAGAGTACGGAGAATCCGAGGGGTCAAATCGGACGTCCAACAAGCGCGACGTCGTCCTAGACAGCAGGGACAGCATCGTGTACACTGAGCCCGCCTGCGCTGCCGACTAGCTTGTGTCTCGAAATACGTCTAGTAATCTGGAGTGACCACGGCAGCAGACAGAGAACATAAAACAACGAGAACAGAGGTCAGGTTACGGAGTGAGCGACGTGTTGCAGTGCACTCGAACCGGTAAACCGACCACCGGTGGCGGGGGCAGGATGTGGGGGTGCTGCTGTCATGTGAATATGTCAACCCCAGTTCCCCAACCTAAGATCTCAAAAATAGAGATCTCATGACGGTTCCGAAGGCTCGCCGACTCTGGTGGCGCCAGCCAATTGCGTTCGATTTCTTTGTTACCCTTCTCGATCCATCCTCCCTCGCCGTATGTTTTTTGACAATAGCATTTACGTCTGGGGATGTGCTGCGTCTGCATTGTGTGTTGTTCTGTGGCACATTTGGGGGGTACACATTGGTCTGCCCGCGGAGGATCGTCCTAGAGCTGTGCAGAATTAAGCTCCAGCCCGGGAAGTGTTCCCTTAGCTTCGGGATTGGGGTTTAAATGAGAATGAAGCGCGATACCTGGGTGCTTTATGGAGATCAGCCATGATTTCGCGCAGCGCTGACGCTCGGAGAACTAACGCGGCACTTTCTCGGCAAACGCACCACAGCAGTGCACGACAGATTGAGATTGCACTGAATACGTGCTCGGGATAAAGGAACACACGTTCTTGATAGTTACGGGCAAGTGCAGCCGGAAGCAAATACGTGTGTAGTGGAACAAGATTCATATCTCCCGGAGCTACAGCACATGTGCTTCCTATGTTACGCAATTACGGTACTCTGCACTAACGAGGACCGACAAGCAGACTAACCCTGGAACAAATACGGGTCTAGGCTAGTGAAATGAGCGGGATGGTGATGCGCGGGAAGGGTCCAAACCAAGGAATGACTAGATGCTACAACAATGACCTGAACATAGATAGCAAGAGAGCGCACATAGCTAAATGGATACATCAATTACCGATGAGAGAAAGGCAAGCATGCCGTTGCATCGTCCCCTTTTAGAGCGATGATCAGAGTCCGAGTCCCAGGCATTAGCAATTCAGTCTCCTCCGTTTGGGCCCGTACGCAGAGCCGAGTTGCACATCCAGAGGCACGTCTTTGTCTTCATCATACATCTGCCTTGAGCGCGTCATGCCCCGCGAAGACGTGTATGTCTGATCGTGAGGATCCGACCATCCATGCGGTGAACATTGAGTTTGATATCGCACTTCATCTGGGACGGGTTGGCACAACAATGGCAAGGGCGAAGCCCGAGATGCATGCTCCTGCTCTTCGTACGCGCAGCGTTCTGTCTCAGGCTCGGCGTCGAATTCCGATGAATCGTCCTCGCTATCGTCGAATTCATCGTCGCTTCCGTGCGCGCACTCCGCCTGAGAAGCCCCGGTCCACGTCTCCCTGAGCGAGGCGCTCGCAGAGGTTTGCGACAGGTCGCCGAGTGCGCCACATGAGCTGGATGACGGCAGGTTGCGCTCGTCATCATCCACATCTGTCAGAGAAAAATCGGGCTTCCTCAGGAGGCCAATTGGGCGAACAGGGCGTGGCTGGTGTAAGATGGGAACATGATCCTGTTGCTCCGGCAGAGAGAGCTGCGATGGATGAAGGGAGAATGTGAATTCCGACGAGGCGAGAGATGAGGATGCGAGCGCCGATGCATTAGATGCTGATTGGGACGAATATAGATGAGACAATAAATCATCGACACTGGGCGCAGGTTGTTTGCCTATTTGCGGATTCGTATATGAGCCGCCGGGTGCTGCAGTGGGGCAGTTCGACAGAGGGATTAATTCAGTCTGAGCCGCAGGTGCGAGGGAAGAAGTATTGTGGGCCACTTTCGGGGCGTCCACCCCGTGGGACGGCCTATATTGGTCTATAGCCTGCATGAAGGCGTCGTAGATATTCTGGCCATCCTGTGCAACTATCGTCGGCGGACTAGACTCGAAGTCGTAGTCGGAGACCGGAGTGAAGACGGCCGGTGAGTAGATCGAGGACGGTGTGTCGACGTCGGAACGAGAGCTGGCCACACTTTGACCGCGCATGTAGTTCGTCTGGTAGCTCGGACTGTGCGTATAGCCGACATCTAATTTATAGGTTGGCTGTCCTGGAAAATCGGACTTTCAGATGCGGCGTATCTCGGCGTGTAATCGAGCATGACTAACCTTGGGACCACGACGGCCCTGCGTAGTTATCTGCTTGTTCATCCCGCCGCGAGTAGCATGCGCAGGCAGTGCTTTGAGAGCAATAGGGACACATGAAATCCGCTGCCCGACTGGTGCTTGCAGAGCCCGCGGTCGCGGAATACGGAGAGCCATAAACATACGAACCCGAGCTGTAGTGAGGGAACCATTGGTCTTGGAAATATGGAGAGCTCATAGTTTAGTGCGTGGCACGAAAGGCAGGGGAGGGCATTACATGAAATCGAAACATAGGACACCACGGAGATATATAGGCGCAAGGATCAACCAGGGGCGGTGGTTTTGAACGGCTTCTTGATGTCAACATATTGAGTAGATAGTTCGAGTTGAACAAAGCCGCACGTTGTCATCCGAATCAATCGAAGTGGCGCAGTCAGGCTTGCGGAATGGAACTAGTACAGCAAGTGGGTGCTTCGTATTGTAAATGGATCCGGCGCCTGATAGCTGTACATATCAGGGTAATCAGGTGCCCACGGTGTTATCTGTCAGGCCATGGAAGGAAGTAGGGACAAAGACCGTAGCCCGGGCGACAAACACGAGGTACAAGCTCTGTCCGATGCAGGGATCCTCAAGAACAGAAGCGAAGCCCTTCCTGAAAAGTGTCGTACGCCTGCTGGTGCTGGGGCCATCGGGTCATAGCCGATGCGCTCCAGGCAGGCTTGGAAGCAGCGCGTTGTGTGGCACATCATCCATACATCTCGCGTATCGCTGCAGACTGATGGGTCAGGGACGAAGTTTGCAAGACCTGCGGGATTACAAGGCGAACGACTAATACAGCAGATCATGATTCACCGAGAACTCTCAGGTGGAAAGCGGCTGCTGATTGGACTACGCCACGTCGGACCTGGCCGACGTGACCGGTGTTCTCCGTGACTCGGCGAAACATGTTACTCCTGCCTGCGTACCTTCAACTTGGGAGGTATTCGGCGCTGCGCGGCACGCCAGGTCCGATTCCTCACATGTAAAAGTCTATGGTAAACCAACGGCAGGGACTCTACAAGCAGGGAAATAATCTTTCTTGCTCCCCGGGCACTGCGCGGCATCAACAATGCTCATAGTTATTTCATCTTGACCTGAATGATATCAACTTCTAACTCTCAAGTTAGCGGCCTGCCGGTGTGGTCAGAGTCTTCGATCCATCAGATACTTGGTGTCAAGCTTTACAGTTACATATATCTGAGGAATAGATAACAAGTGCCTTCTTTGTTGCCCTAGGCTGGCATTCCGCCACCCTCAATCAGTGTTACTGTAGAGTCAGTGTACTGTATACAGCATGTTTTCAACACTGATAGCTTGTACCGTAGGCAACAGGATGCTTGCCATTAGGCAGCCGGGGGATGCCTGACAGTGCCACCCTCCATATTTGGAATTAATTTCCATCACACAAATGGTAATCCTCGACATAAGGGGTACAGTGCCTTGCATAAGAAACTGAACATCGCATTTCCGCGCGCGTTGTTTGTCCGCGCCAAATATACCCTTTTCGGGTATCGGCAAATGTGCGGCAAAGACCCATCGAGAGGGAGGGTTAGCTGGGCATACAGCTAGGGCAAGACTATAATGATTTACAGCCCTTAGTGTAGTTGTAGAATATACATTTCTATCATTCTCTGAAGCCTTTCGAGCCCTCTCGGGGCATCTGCGAGTCCCTGCCTAACAAATGGTCCCGCGAGAGGCCTTCCGGACCTACCCGAAAAGGGTATATTTGGCGCGAACAAACAACGCGCGCGGAAATGCGATGTTCAG